TTCTTTTAACTGATATCTTAACTTCTCATCTTACAGCTGAAATGGTCCTAAAAAGAAGTCTTCTGCTCTTACAGTCAGCTAAAAACAAAGACCAACAAGGGGGAAAACACATGTGAGAGGTCATGATATCATGTTGTGCTTTAAGGCGTAATCCTGGTGACAATCATGTGTGCATTGATGTAGCAAAGGGTCACGAGTTTACTGCAGGAAAAAAAAAACCTGGGGCTCAAGAGTCATACCTTAGGGGCAACTTAATCACATGTTTTCACCTAACAGCTGGTGGCAGATACACCGCTAATGAATGAGTGTATTTTGAACATACATCCATACATTTCATTTGCTCAATTTTGACATGATAAGGTCATTTCAAGTGTTTTTCGTAACATCTTAGCTTTGATTATGATCAAAACACGTGCAATCAGAGCTACAAAAGTATTACACAAAGCAGAGATAAACTTCACTTACCCCTTTATTTAGTGCGGCACGTCATGGTCTGGCCAACTCAGTGACCAGGGGATTGTTTTGTTTCCCAATGTTCAAAAATTTTTTCCTGTTGTCGTAAGAAAAACCCTTTTTTTGAGTAAGAATCAGAAAATTTCTGTCAAAGTGCAATTTTAATTTCATTTAAAGGTAAACTGCATCTCAAACACCGGTGCAATCAAAATATGCAGGTGTATCCTGTTGTAGTTCTGTTTCTTACCCAGAAGATGGCGCTAAATGAAGCAAGACACCGCTTCAAAATGCACAAAGTATGCAGCGCAAATAGCAAGGTGGACTACAGTAGATTGATTAATCTGTTAGTAGTTTAATAACTTTATATATGTCTCTTTTATCAGTTCATTGAAAGTCAATCTAAAACATGTTGCTAGCTAAGATAACCACCTAGAGTTTAAAGTGCATGGAAAAATGGATTTCCACATGACTTTTTTAAAATTTGTTTTCAAGCTATTTTCCATATATATATTTTTTTCTTTCTTGATACTTTTAGTCATTTTTACCCCATTTTTAATTCAATTTAATTGTATTTATTGGTCTCTCTCTTCATCAGTATTGACATTGGCCATAAAAAAATCTTGGTTGACCACTTTTTACAATTGCCACTTCTTAAGACTTGTCTTCCTCATTTTGTTACACTCATAATGCATTTAAAGAATATGCAGGTAAACTATGAAGTAGATTATGGTGAGTTGTTCATTGGTAAAGACTCTCCAGTTAAAGATGATTCACCTGTGGGGGGAGCTGGTGTGTCTCAGTGGATCCGTTCATATGACCCCACTATAGGCTTTGCTCAACTGCCATACAGTTGACACTATCAGATGGAGAGCTACACATCTGCATAGAAGCTTCATGTTGTTGGACACAAAGAGAGTGTCTAAAAAATTGTGTTCTGCATTTTACAGCAAGAGGAGATCATGAGAAAACCGCTGGAAATCACTTTTTATGAAGTGAAAATGGGCGAAAAATGGTGGATTTATGTAATTGGACTGTAAAACAGCTCTGCTGTGATGTGGGCTGGACTGACATGTGGATCTGTTATTCCAATCTTGTGGTTCTAACAGCCAGCTTGGTCACAAAGCACATCACCAGCACAGCATGTCAGTGCCTACTGGTATTTTGACTTTTTCTTTAGTTCAAGGCGAGTCTGCTATAAAGACGTTCAAAGTCCACGAAGTCTAGACTTTCTGTGATTAAATAAAAGTGACCTCAAAAAGGTTCAAATGAAGTTGAAAAAGACCTGTTAGAGTTAAATGAATTGTCCATGAAAGAATAAACTTTTAAGATTGATAGGCGTGACCTTTTTTTTGCCTTTGTGTGCAAGCAGTGAAAAAAAAAAACCTCACCATAGCTGTGATAAGTTTAAAAATAGTTGACACACTTTCGATCAGTTTTTGTGTTTTGTGTCTTCAACTCACTGCACCATCTAGTGTTTGATGAAAGCTACAGCTTCTGAGTAGAAACTCCTGTTTTTAGAAGATACAAAATGTCAGCTGTGGATATGATTCTCAGCTTCAGCAGATCATCTGTGCTTACGGCTCACTCTGCTGGTGAGTCAGCAGCACTGCAGGCATATTCAGAGGTTTTCAAGGGTTTGATTTATTAGAAAAAGAATTTGCCTACATTTTTGTACATAAAGCCTTTAGTTTTTTGGTGTTCATTGGGTTTCAGTGAGCCATTCAATAATTTGGTGGGTGGGATCTCTGAGATGACCCAGTGTAGACAAATAGATAAGATGTTTGCTGTCAGGTGTAACAGGCTCAGCCACACCTGCTGAACAACCAAAACACTGTCAGGACTGTTTATATAACGTTTATCTCTATCTCAGCAGCACAGGAACTGATTAGAGTAACTTGGCTTAAGATTCAGACTGTTATCTTTTTTTCTTTTAGGACTGGTGCACTCTTAAATGTTTGAATCTTACACCAACACCAATAAGCACATCTGTCAGACGTCACAGCAAAATTTTGTTATGATTTTCATGTATTTGCAGATTTCATTATTATGGTTTACCTCTGTAAATAATTATTCATAAACTGATATTTTATGTTGTTATATGTTTATATTTTTCAACTTTGTCTTTGTTTGAAAGGAATCTTTGTTCAAAGAATCTTTTCACAGCATGTTCATCCATCAATCATCCTCTTACATCCTCTTTTTTCTCTTTTTTCTTTTATCTCTTTTACCTCTACCATCTTATTTCGACTTACTATCCTTTTAGCCTTTGTTTTACTTAAAATCTTTTCTTATTTTACCTTTAAGGTCTTCTATTGATTTTAATGTTTTTTCCTGCTCATTTCTATTATTCCATTTTATCACAATATTACCATCATTATTATTTTATTATGATTGTATTATCATTATTCATATCCTCTTTTAAACTTACAATCCTGTTTCCTGCTTTCTGCCCCCTTTCTATTTCATTTCTTCCTCTTACCTATTTTTGGTCCTCATGGTCTCATTTTATGCTGTAGGGTTCTTGTATTGCCTGGGTTTCTTATGAAAAAGGAAATTGGCCTTCAATTCTTCGGCTCCGAGGCCTTGTTTTTAACTGAGCTTTTTTTTTTTTTTTTTTTTTTTTTTTTCCATGTACTGATGTTTTGTGCTTTGCAACTGTTGTCAAAGCACTCTGTAAACTTCTTTTTTTTTAAATGCTATATAAATAAAGTCATCATCATTATCATTATTATTATTATTATTATTATTATTATTACTATCATTATTGATTCATTTTCTGATTTTTAAAGAGTATTTATGTGAGCTGCCTTTTTTGGATTTGTATCTGTGCGTGTGGTTATATGTACAAATTACAGTGAATTCAATGTACATATGTAATATTCAAGTCTGTAAGGAGGGAAGGAAAGAAGGTAGTTAGGTAGGTTAAGGCTCACTTTAGTTTAGTAGCTGCTGGTGTAGCACATCCCTCTGACAATGTGCCAAGACAACATTGACAATAACATACTGATAACATGCAGATTCACCTTGCCAAGACATTAACTTTTGTTTCTATAAATGTCATAAACTGGAGGCTTAGTTTGATCCTAGGTTATATATACTTAAACTCATTAAGTACAGATAATAGCAATTTTTCATATGAACACTGTGTTTGTTTTAGGGCAAATTGATGTATTGTTTTGATTCAAAGAAATCATGAGTGAGGTTCATCTACGAATTCACTGGTGAGTATTTTTAATCATTTTCACATCTTTTTTTAACATCTTTTCACATAATTTTCAGTCATTTTACATCTGTTCATTGGCTTCCAACTCAATAAATCTCATCCTGCTATAAATCACAGCCCGCTGAAATCCACCCTGTTGTGTTCAAGTGGATTTCAATCCATCCACTTTCTCTAACTGCCAGTTTGGCCTGAGGCGGTCATAAAACCATGTGCCACTGAACCTCTGCATCGACCCTCTGAAAAGCTGATCGTCATGATGTTAATTTCAGTGCAGAAATCCATGAACCGTCTACCCTCTGTCCATCCCCCTCCTCTAAAAACCACGAATGCATGTTCTGCTTGTTTGTAATAACTGCGTCTCTCAGTTACTGTAATGTCTTTTGGCATGCGCTCCACACCTCTGAGCTCGCACGTCTCGTCCCCAGGTTCTGTCACATTCCTGGGAACATGTTGGGACAGAGTGCTCGCCAGAAACCAGAGAGAGTACATGATCACAAGTGCTCTCTCAATCTGCAGCACCCACGTAGGAATGTCATGTTTCCACTTCACATACAGTTTGACATGATTCTAAGAAAATTTGTCAATCCTGTGAGCGGGAAAACTCTGTCAGAGCTTGTAAAAGCAGAACTTTAACTTCCTACCCGCCTTGTACACCTGATATGAACACACTGTAGCTGAAAACTGTCTGTTCTAACCTGTATCCTCAAACTGCTTCGCTCATGTTTCTGTTCTTGTACAGCATTATGAAGTTGTGGCAGATGGCTGTCCACCCACTGAATCCAGTCTTATTTGAGGTTGGTAAGTGCTCCCTTTATTATGTTTATGAAGTAGCTCTGAGTCTCTACAGCTTCACTTTCACGTCCCCTCACATATGTGTTGCGTATCTAGTCGAATAGACGGCTTCCTATCTATGATTCTTCTTCCTGAGATTTCTGCCAGATTGGAGACAGTGTTTCTTTGTCACTCTTTACCAAAAGTGAGTTTTTGTTTGCCAGGTGCTCCCCAGGTGGATAAATGTTGGGTCCATATTCGTGGAGATGGTCTACACCTGACTTAGAGAGTGTATGGAAGAACTTTTGTTGTATTTGGAGCTGTATATAAACAAAAATAGATTGATGGATTGATTTATGAGTATTTTCTTGATTCTTCACTTTTAATCTCATCCTGCCATTTCTGTTCATCTCTCTCTCTCTCTCTTTTGTCTCTTTGTCACTGGATGTCGATTAACCAGTCATGGCGGTGACATGTGGAATTTTTCATTACCTCGCCCCGGGGGCACCCTGCTGTCTGTGCCTGTGTATCCTGCTGCTTTTTTTCCACCCCTGCCTTCACACTCATTCTCTCTCTCTCTTTCTCTCTCTCTCTCTCGCCCTCTCTCTCTCTCTCTCTCTCTCTGCTCTCTCTGTAGTATTATTGTGAGTCAGCCTGCCCGTGTGGAGCTGCGGGTTGTTGTTTGTTATCTAGCCAGCTGTATGGGGCAGTGGTAGCTGTCAGAGACTGATCTCCTCCCCATGGCCTGTCGCTCCTCTGGCTCTGGCTCTTACACTGTGGTTATCATCCCCCTCAAGACCAGCCTGTACAGCCTGGACGCACTGCGCTTCTACCTATGGGTGAGGAGGAAGCTGCTGTGTGTGTGTGTGTGTGTGTGTGTGTTAATGTGTGTGTGTGAAGGGGGTATATGTGAGTGTGTTTTGACAAGAGTTTGATCTTTATCACTTGAGGTGGTGATTTTTATCAGTTACATGTTTTCAGTACAACTTCTGAGTACCGTCTGATTATTAGCCTACCTGAGCTGTACAGGTGTGGTATTGTGTAGGTTTTGAAGCTGTGCGAAAGTGCGCATTTCTTTTAGAATAAAAGCAGGTTCCTCCAAAATGTGAAATAAACTGAAGTTAAGCTGTTATTTCCTCTCCAGTTTATTACTGCGCCACTGCTTTATCTGAATTTGGCCAAAATGCACAAACATGACCTCATCTGCTCTGTAAGAATAACAACAAAAAAAGGTTTAAAATTTTACGTTTTATTATTTGTATCATATTTTTGATGTAATACTCAAAGAGTAACTCAGCTAATGGATTTATATCTACAGTGTAAGAATTCATAAACCATGGATACAGTACAGTAATACTTCAGAGTGATTTATTGCCCTATAAATGTACGTACATGACACGTTTACTGTGAACCAAATGACAGCCATGACAAAAATCCTTTAATTTTTGACCAAAAGTACTCATAAAAATAGATGTTTATGTATACAAATGAAGGGACCATTATTAGGAGAGTAAAAGTACTTGTGGTTATGAATTTTGTTCCCTCAACACACTCCAAAGAAAAACTGCGTTAAAAAAAATTTCTTCCAGGAAAGTTTTTTTTTTTTTTTTTTGATTTTTTGGTCAATCATTTAATCCAAAATTTGCTTCTAAAATGGGAACATTCAGCTCAAAAGCATACCAGGTCGTTCTGTTTCATGACCGCGGTTCCTTTATTTCTGAGGCGTATGTCAGACTTCTGCAGCACATCTGAGTCATCCCAGTGACAAATTCCCTCGTGTCAGGTCTGCTCCTCACAGCCTCCTGTTAACACCTCAAAATAACACGTTTTCATATGACTATAAATCTGTTATTACATAAGTGTGCAGCTGCAGCAATCAAAGATGTTTGTTTATTTTGGGTGCCTCATTTGTTTCCTCTTTTGTAGCTGAAATGAATTATTGACTAGTATTGCAATGTTGTCATGAGTTGATAATTTATGTCACTGTTCACTGGTTTGATGAACTAGCTGTGTCCTGACCTAATGATGCCATAACTGCATCATCATCACCACTATGTGTTATGACTCCCTGGTCACTGCAGCACTGTTAGCTTTGTGTGTGAGCCCATTTAAAGAGCATGTATCCCAGCTGGGTGCATACAATAGCACTAAAGGCCTCCTGCTGCTCTGTAGATTGACTCTGCTGATGTAAACAAAGCCTTGGGGCCTCTGGAAGACAACAGGCAGCGCTGTAACCATCACATTGCTTTACACCAGGCTGCAGGCTGGTCATGCTTTCCAGCGGTAATGCTTATTAGTCACACTGGTGTCATTTAGGTCTATATACATGCACACATATCCCCATCAAAAAATAGTTTGATGCTTGTGTCTATGAAGGCGCCAGAGGGTAGAACGTGTTAGAGCTTGGTTGAGGTTTAGACTGTTTATTATAGGACTCAGAGTCATGTAGACTGAAGGTTTATAAAGATTAAAACATTTTCTCATATTTAGCCAGGACTGCATTACTTCACATTTTCTCTATTATTGAAACAGGCCCCCTGAGGAGTATTTGATTTTCTCTGCTAAACAGGTTACCTGAAGCCATCTTTATTTCGTTTTCTCTACTAGGATGACCTTTGAGGACATTTTCTTATGTTTCTCAATCAGAGGAACACCCTGAAAGGTGTTCAGAGTTCACATTTTCTCCACTGACAAGGCCCCAAAAAGTACTTTAACAAGTTTAGTCTATCAAAAGGGCACCTCAGTGGACAGGTTATCAGATTTTCTCCACTAAAAGGGCACAATGGAATGTACCTCATGAGATTTTCTCCTCTAAGAAGGCTAAAAAGAGCACCTTAGATTGCATTCCATTACTTTTTCTACTCTGGAGAATCCAGCAAAGAGGTCATTTTCTCCACTGCGAGGGGAGCATTTCAAGCAATCGTCTGCTTAAAGAGATAGAAGTTAGAAGAATTGAGACAAGACTTGAAATGAGTTACAAACAGGGGTTAATACAAAAGATTTATTTCACATAAATTTATCTGTCCTTTCTGTAAATCTGATCCAGCTGTGATCTTCCTCGCTCACAGATTAAGCGCCTGAAGGAACTGGAGAAGGAGAAGGACGCTCTGTGCTCTGGTCTGGAGATCCTGGAGAAAGCTCGTCTCTGGTACCTGCAGCGGTTGGAGGAGAACAAAGCAAAGCAGGAAGACTTTGAAACCAAGAGTGGAGCCCTACCCTGCCAGGAGGGTGCAGCAGAGGTGAGGCAGGGCTGGGACAACTTTTGAGCTCCTGCTCCAGTGTCCTTCCCAGTATGAAGTCGTTGGTGACTCTGTCCGTTTCTCTGCAGGGTCGGTCTTGCTTTCTCAGGAACTGTATCCAGCGGGTGAATGGCTCGCTAGGAACTGTGATGACTGAGCCCAATGTCACCAGCAGTAGTAATCTCTCCTTGCCAGATGCAGTGGCAGACAGCGACCTCCGGTGGCACAACACAATACTGACTCAGGTAACAATACAAGATCTTATTCACAATCTCAGAACAAATGTGATTTCTCTGGTGTCATATTCAAGTTCTGCATAACAACCTAAAAAAAAACATATAGTTGTATAGTTGTAAAAGTTTAATAGTTGTCATAAAATAAGTGCCTTTTTCACCATCAACCGGCCCTTTTAAGCAGAGGTTAATCTGTTTATTCATTATGTTATGCATAAGCCAGTCGTGTCTATTTCATGAGATTGTGTTAATGTGATTATCTGTTTTTACAGGAAGTGAGCAACAAGAATCATCAGATTTCCATGTTAGAGTTGGAGAAAGACGCTCTCCTGGAACAGCTCGATGAGCTTAAGGCACACTGACTGTATTTACTGGGGTACAGGTGGACGCATGGGCTGCACATGTGCAAACTTTTATCAAATTGTAAATATGTATTTAGATGAATAAACTACTGTGAAATATTTATCTGCTTCTGTAAGTTCTTTTAAAGCAAACCAGTTTTGCTGCAGGTTTGAATAACCTGACTGACATGTTGATGAGTCAGGTAACTGACTTGATCGCAAACAAGTCCTACCATCATAATGTACCATCAAAATGCTCCTTACAATCAATCATATGATCAACAAAAACAGTATAAATAGTAATATGATTGTAGGAAATGTCACGTATTTAATATATGTGTAATTTATATATGACACTGGGGTGAAATCAAGGTTGTGACTTTAAGTGAGTAGTGGTCCAGCAAATATTAAACCTTGTGTGAAATATAAATGTTGTTTTTTGCAGGGAGATTTCAAAGAGAGCTTTTGGTCTATTGTCACATCGAGAAATTAGATGTCCTCCACTGTTAGGATGTCTGTACCATCAGTTGATATTTCAGTCTGCACATTCTTAGTTTTATGGCTGAAATAATTCTCATTGTCTCACTAATATTTAGGGTAAGTTTGTTTGTGTTAAATTGTTGTTTCCTTCGATAGTCTCCTCAGAGACTGATCAGTGTGTTTATGTTTTCCCAAGAACAGAAAGTGCTGTGTGCAAAAAGGACATTATTAGAATACTTAATGAGTTAGATTAGTGGCTCATAATAGTAAAAAGAGTTTAGGTCCCAGTATGGATCCCTGTGGCATCCCTACTTTGACATCTTGAAGTTGTGGTTTGTAGTGTGCTAGCATTAGATGCTGTTTTCTGTGGTTGAGTTAACCTTCTAACCAGTTGTAGGATATTTCTCTAATGACCATATTTTGGATAGGAGGACATGATTCACAGACACAAATTCTTTATTGACATCAGTGAATAATCCAACAGAATTTTTTTTTTTTTTCAGTGGCAAGTACATCTATCATTGACTTTTTCCTCTGTCAGCTGACTGATGTTTGTGTGACCCCTTCTCAGGCCAGATGCTGGAGCTCAGAATCAGGTTCCAATCAATAATATCTGCATGAGTGTGGTTTGTTGTCCACCAGTATCCAGACCCATCCACTATGGTTTGATGGGGATACATGCCTCTGAGGGTGATAGTGGACTTGTTCCTGGGGTGTCTCTGTTTCACTGCAAAAAGTAAGCTGCACAGAGGCTTTACTCTGGTCTGCAGCCAATCTGTTTCTGGAGAGTCTCGGTTTTATTGCATAATTAGGGACTGGATGATTCGGTTGACAAGCTGTAGTGTTTGGGTTGTAGTGTTGAGCAGTTTGGCATCTTTCTCCTTCTTTTTTGGCTAGTTAAAAACTTGTTGGAGCCAGCTACTCCAAAATGGCGACTACTATCGCCAGGGTTCTAATGTCTCCTGGAACTAGTCGATAGTGTCCCTGAAATGACAGAGGGTGGTCTAAAATAGGACTTTTGAATATTTGCAGTTTTTGCAGGAGGAGGCAGCTGGAGTGAGACCATTTTAGAGATGAACAGAGTGAAACTATTTGGATGAAGCACAAACTCTGTGGGGTCAATGGGATTGATTTTCAGCATGCCTTGGTAGCACTTGGAATTTGCACATGGTTTCTGATCTGATACTTTGGTTTTGCTGCATGCTCCGTACACCCAAATAATTCTTTTGAAAACACCACTCCTGTGGGTGAAGCCTCAAAGTTTTGAAAGAGATGAGTCACCACGCTCATGGTGATGTACTAAGTCTTCATCCTTTGTTTTTACCACTACATTGCAACTTTATCTATGATCAGATGCACGTCATGGTTTTGATTTAAGCACAAATTCAATCCAGGTACCATTATGCAACACTTAAATCAACACACCACAGGTTATACTACTTCTTCTACAGTATCTGACGGCAATACACTTTTCAAATGCATTGTGTTCAGTGAGGATAAGGTCCTTCAGGCCCATGTAGAGGGTATGCTGATGAACTTTTTTCAGCTTTGATACCTCATATACAGTATGCTTTTCTGGTGAAATAGAATATCCAAGGTGAGCGAGACTGACATATTTTTTTTAAGAAAGTGTCTCATAATTTTCCTGTAACCCCAGGATCATTACGTTATACTGACAAAAGGTCCATTTCCGTCTTTGGTTGTGGACTCTCTCTGTCTCAACATGTCCCAGCAGCCTCTCCCGGTGGTCTGACTCCAGCTGATAAAGTTTATCTAACCAAGCCATCACACACGTTTGCAGGAAATATTCCTTTCTGAACCTCAAAAATCTGCAACCCCTTAATGCAGATGGCAACATTAGCAGGACTAATACTGATGGCATCTCTTATAAAGACAAAATATCTCTTTAAACCAGGTAGATTTTCTTTCGGTTCTAATTTTATTTTATTTTTTCTGAGTTCAGAGCAGGGCTGAGATTTTTTTCAGTTTTTTGTTAAGTGATAAAATCCAGTTTCTATATATATATTTAATGAATCTAATGATTTATCATGAGTTTGTGATGTTTTTGTCATCCTATCCCTTTGTCTGCAACAGCTTTTCCAGTAAATAGACAAATTCCAGCATCAGATCTGTGCAGGAATCAGATTAAATCAGCCCGTGTGCATGAGAAAGAAAACATCCATTATGGCGGATGCTTTCTTTAAGTAGCTTCATGTTCTCTATCTTTACAGAGCCACTGAACCATCAAGCCCCGGGTACCAGCACTTGGCTAATTATCATCTCTAATTCACAAACTGCACAGGCAAACACCTTCTGTTATGAGTTTGTCATGCCTTTGTGGATGTCAATGCTGTTCTCCAGTACCAGCATGGTTCACATACGCTGCACTCTGCTGGTCCTCAAACTCTGTTTTTACTCTTATACAATATCAGGTTTGTTTTTTCTCTTCTCTGATTTGTGGTTTTGGTGTGACTGGATATTTGAAATAGCTGTTTCCGTGCAGGTCAGCGGAGGTGGGACATATAAACATAAAAACAAGAGGCAGAAGAGGAAGCGCTTTCTTTGAGGGGAGTGTTTTGGGGGCTGAGGGCTCCCTGATAAATGCATTCCTAAAGCTAATAGGAAATGAAAACTTCCTGAGGACTCTAGGATAGTACAGTAGGTAGGGCAGTAGGTGGTCTGTGAACAATAACTTAAGATGATTAACTGAAGTTGGGACACTTTTGGAACGAGGTGTAATTTCTTGTCTTTGAAATTTTTGGCCTGTGCTGTATTATTGCATTTATTTTCCAATGACCATACATGAAAAAAGATCATCTGTAACCTTTCAACCCATTATGTGACAGAGAAATTATTTTTAACAGATAGATGATTCATTTATAGAACAGGAATGTTATCAGTTTGTCTGTATATCTCTAATTTTGCTTTATTACTTTGTTTCAGTCCACAGTGGGTCCATGTAAACTTCATGACATGTAATAATCAAACCATTGTAGTTTGTTGAAACCATAATGAAAATAAAAGCATGGATGTCACCATCTCACACCTCATGGTGATGGCTTTAATAGTACATTAGAGTCAAATATTTCATTTAGAAATTAAACATTATAACTTAAAGTACAGCTAGTGATGGAAACTTTATTACAAACGACTAAATCACTTTTACTCACCCACCATGACTGACAAACTTGACAGTCTGAGCTCTTGGGGAGCATATCTTCCGAGACAGAGCACAAACTCATAATTCTACATGTAACTTTATTAGCAGTCACAATTCATTCAAAAGGGAAAACACACATTAACTCATGTGAGTGTAGAGTTAATTTAAGGATGCTTTGCTGCAAATTTCAACACAGATCTGTCTTGTAGCTCTACTACCAAGCCACAGCTGTTTAAAGCAATAGTAGTTGGTCTTTGATAATATTTAGATATATTCTAAAATTGTACAAAATTTCTACAAAATCATGTCAGGCTGAAAAGTTAAATGGCACTTTGAGAAATAATTTCAAAATATTAATGAACACAAACACACGGGTACAGAAAACATAAATATATATATTTACCTTCACAGACTTTTAGTCCTGTCTTTTGTTTTTAATGTTTGGGAAATAGAAGCCCTTTGTAATTGTGACACAATTGACTTTTTTATTTTATAAATTCATCACCTTAGAAAGAGGATAATGTTGGGCCTGATTTTAAAAAGTGTCTCTCGAGTTTGGACCATATTGTGAAAGAATATTGGTGTTCAAATACGTACAAAAAAATCCTGAGCTATTACGTTTGTCTGTGAACTTACTGATGCTTCCTAGCTCCACTGGTCCTCCCGTACTTTATTGCTCTGAAGATAATTTATGAAAGAATAACAAGTATTTTTCTCAAAAGGTCCCTTATGTTTTGATGGACTGACTGAACTTTGTTAAAGAGATGCTGAGCTTTTTAAATCTTCATTAAATTTGTGTTTTCTTTTGTTGTCAGTTTTCTCTTTTGTTCAAGCGGTCTGGGGCCATGATGGTCACCGTACCTGCTTTCATTCCTACATGTTGCATAATGTTTTTGTTAAGCAGTTTATAGTGACTATCTGTAGTGAACAGGCCCGTAACACATTTGCTGTCTCTACTTTCAGAATAGGAAGGCCTTTTTGTGACTTAAGTTCAAGACCATCAGTGTGCTGAACTGGCAAAACATGAAGATGTTATTCTCTGCATTATTAATTTTCAATAATTAAAGGCTTTACCTGCCCCAACCAGTGAATAATGTAAGACAAGCAACTGCTGCTCTTAAAAGTACTATTTATTTCAACATAACAGGCTGGAAAGTAACTTGAGTTTGTGAAGATGAGTAGCTTTTTGTGACTCTGTACTTTTTTAATAGGCTTTTCAGTAATGTTACTTTTACTCTGGTAATTTGTAGGAAATATTGCTCTCATATTTATTATACTTTTGCATCATTTGCTGAGTTAAAAATAAAGTAAAAAGCAAAAGAAACATAAGCTGGTATATAGCCAGCTGATTGGGTGGCATCTGATGCTGACAGTCAAGTGAACCAACAGAGCTGGAAAGTAAAAGCTAGAGCTCAAATCACAATGAAAAAAGTTGGAAATACATTCACAGACTTGGCTTTGTGTAGTTTTATAAAGATTTAACAAATCCAACATCTTTCCACCCAGAAAAGAAGCAGAAAATGAGCCACAGTTTTTTAACAGGCCATTTTCAAGCTGAAGATTTTACCCTGCCTCTAAGCCCAGCAGACTGTTACTTAAGCATGCAGAGACAGTCTTAAACTGAACAAATATGCAACAAAAATATTTGACAACTTTAGATAGCTGTAGTGTATGAAAAAGTTCTAAGTCATGGTTCAAAGCTTGATCTGAAAAAAAGCATCCAGGTCCACTTGTCTTTTGCATTAAACTAGATTAGTGTGGTGTCTCAAAAATTACCTTCCCAGGTCCAACAGTAAACACTCAGTACCAACAATTTACAGTGAAGTACATTTATCTTTACCTGAGTAGATTCACAGACTGTGAGTTTTTCTATTACTTAATAGTTCATCATAGTAGCTTTGTATAACATTCCAGTACAATTTTCCACCCTGAAAAATCAGATTTCTTCCAGTCTCTATTTCAATAATTCCATGAAGCTAGTTTTTGTCTCCATACTCCTGCTTTTATGAAACATGAAGAAATAAAAAATAAAAAATAAAACAGACAGAGAAAACTGTCATTTGGAGTTGATTTACTGGCAGGAACAATCATTTATTGTTACAGTAGAGGAAGACTTAGAGAAACTAACCCAGTAAATTGTTTCCCTACTATTCCTGAGGTCAGTTTTGGATTTTTCAGTCACTGCTACGCTCCCTAGTCTGCGGCTGCTGCGCGCAATGACGCGTGTCACCGAGCGTCATCTCTATCCTGGACACGTTCACGTCCAGCAGACTCTGCAGGTGTTTGATGTAGTCAATAGCCGCTCTCAAAGTCTCCACTTTGCTAAGCCGTTTGTCCTCAAACTCCTGCGGCAGATGCTCCCTGAGCCGCGCGTAACCTTCGTTTACGCAGCGCACTCGGTGCCGCTCTCTTTCGTTCCTTTTTCGGATGAACGCGGGCTCAAAGGAGTACTCACAAACACCCAGAGGTCCATGAAAAGGGAAATATGAAAACTGTCTGCAGGGTATCCTCTGGCCGTGCACCGTATCGACGTATGCAGCGTCCAGGTGGAAGGGCAGTCGTAGGCGAAGCGCATCCCTGTAGTGCGCTCCACCTGTGTCCATGGAGAGCCCGTGGATAGCCAGTGAAGGGACATAGGTAAATTTTTCCATGGACTCCATCCTGTTAGTCAAACATGAGAAAATATAAGACGAAAAAAACATCAATGTAAATTAGCAACACGGTCTACATAATCAATAAAACTTACCCTGTCAATGGCTCCTCACAATCATCACGTGTTAAAAATATTATTTGCAGTAGGTCTACTACTTCCCACGCGGTTGTTGATTATTTAGATCAAGATGTTTTATAGGCTGAGCTGACCCTCCTTGACTGAGACTTTTTCGGTCTGGGTGACAACTTGTTTCTTGGGCTAGAAGCATGGTGGGTGTGATCAAGGGCGGAGATGCAGTTACTTCATCCAGATAAAACAGTTTACACAACGGTTCCTTCCTGCATGTGAAGTCTTTTTCATCAAAAAATAGTCCCATTGTTGACTCAGATAATACCCGCCTGGGCTTACTTTTTATTAAATATATTATTAAATATATTAAATAGGTCTTCTGATCAATGGTAAGACGTGTTTTGGATGGAGTATAGGAGAGGAAACTATGAATTATAAGTCAATTCATTAATCTCAAAGCATATTTTCAAGTAAAACCCTGTCGACTCTTTAGAGGAGGGGAGGTTAGATTAATAAAAAGTGATTAAGTATGCCTAAACAGCTATTGACAACGAACATAAATCACAAATCTAATACTACAGAGAAAACTGATCCAAAATCACCACTAAGTGCTGAGTTCTTCTTGCACAAATGGAACAATGTGATAGATCCAATAAAGTTTTAAATGAATTAAAAAAAAAAAAACCGCTATGAATTTTGTCAAATGACTTTGTAATTTTTCGAATAAAATAAAGGAGCTGACGAGGACACTCAGTTTTGAGACGCTCTCTTTCAATCCGCATTTTACTCCCAGTTTTGAGAGTCTTGTAGAGGTGGAGTGAAACCTGACCTGAGATCAGCCGAACCGCTACATCCTACGCATGCGCATTGGGGACGGATCCAGTCATGGCCCCGTTTATGGAGGCATTGTGTTGGTATGTTGTTGTTTTAAGGCTACCTCCTTCATTAATGACAGACTTATTTGTTTGTTAGAGACTGCAGTTTTATCGCGATATGAATGCACTTTTTGCTAACTCAATATCACCAAGTATATCTCTCTTTTCATGATTTTTGAAGGCGTAAGCCAGCAAGGCTAATGTTAGCATTGAGCCAAACTGGGTGATGTGTAGCAGCTTGTTCAGACATTTCAGTCAAACAGCTAAAACTAAAGTTTATATGTTAAGTTAGGGTTCATACGAAACTTTGATCTGCACGATGACACTTCTTATTTTGTTGCCAGCTTTATGAAGCAGGAAGAGAAAACGAAGGACCCCCTCAGAAACCTTTGCAGATAAACATCAGGTGTTGAGTTCAGGTGAGTTACTGTAACTCTACATTTACTGCTTAGGGGAGAGTGGGGTAAGATGAACCATTTTTCATATTTCAGATCACTGCATCAAGGCAATCATAGTTTTGTCTCTAACGAGTGAATCTGTATGTATTTCAAGATGTTGTGCATCCCTGCAAACCAACAGAATGAGTGTAAACATAATTGTCTTGATGATGTAGCATTAAAAAAAAGTGGTCTCCTATGGAGGGGGGTAAGTTGAGCCGTATCCCTACTACAGACCCTCTCGCCACCCCAGCCCTCCCTCACCTTCTCTCTCCCTAAATGACAGTCACTTCTTCACATTTATGTGTATTTTGATCTATTATACACTATTTAACTTGTACAACAATTCTTTTTATTATTATTGCATATAACTTCTCAAAAGCTGTTTTATAAAAAGCTATTTTAGGTTCTCAAGTTCAGTCCTCCAGGCCCACTGTCCTGCATGTTTTGGATGTTTCCTTGCTCCAACACACCTGATTCAAATGATCAGCTCGTTTTCAAGCTCTGTAATGGCTTAATAACGAGCTGATCATTTGAATCAGGTGTGTTGGAGCAGGGAAACATCAAAAACATGCAGGACAGGGGGGGCTCGAGGACTGGATTGAGAACCGCTGATCTAACTGTACAAATAGAGGCTGATTAATTAATTAACTTAATTAACTAGTTATTAGTTTGCTTGTGAGCTCATAGCCCAGACCTGATTGAACTCTGGATGTTTTTCAGGATGAATGAGATGAACCTGAGTCCTGTGGGCATGGACCAGCTCAGTGTGCCCTCAGTGAGTGCCAGCCACCTGGGTCTGCCCACCTCTCCCACACATAACACCATCCCCACCCCAGGTAGGAATGACACTGCTTGCTGAGAGACAGACTGGGACCTAAAACTGAAGGACTTATAAAGAGCAAAGTCACAGTATCCATCCACTACATTCCAGGTGCTTAAATTCCTTAAATTCATATTTTTTTTAGGCATGCCAGTGGCCATCCCCAGCCTGGGTCCTTCCCTGGGTTCCCTTCCCTCTGCTCTCTCACTGATGCTTCCCATGGGTCCACTAAGTGACAGGGGAGTGATGTGTGGCCTGCCGGAGAGGAACTACTCCTTGCCACCTCCTCCTTACCCTCACCTGGAGAGCAGCTACTTCCGCCACATATTGCCAGGTTGGGCACCATTGTTGTGTAGGAGATTTTAAAGCAGAGCCTGTTGTGACATTCACTGAAGAATAACAAGTCAGTTTCCTCTTGTAGGTATCCTGTCCTATCTCGCAGACCGTCCACCACCTCAATACATTCACCCCAGCAGCCTCAATATGGATGGGACCTTATCTGTGGCCAGCAACAATCCTTCAGGTCTGGATCCTTACAGTGGCCCAGGAGGCCCACTGGAACAGGGCCTGGTTCCCATGGACTCCAGACAGGTCAGCACCCAGGGAGACCTCCACCAGACTGGCGCCCATGAACTGGACTCTACAGGGTTGGCCATGGAGTCCCGTGTCAGCAGCCCCATGTCCCCTGACCGGATGGGAGAGGAGCTGGCAAACATGGACGGAGTTGGGGTTGTGGCGGTGTCTGACACCCAGCAGCAGCTCGGAGGAGGGAGGCAGCCTCAGCCACATGAAAGTTTGGCTGGGGTGGACTCCTCTGGTGGGGTGATGCCCCTCCATGGACCTCCTGTGCTGGAACTACCTGTGGTGATGGAGCCTGACCATATGGGGGGCAGAGTGGGGAATGCAGGGACTGGGGGAGGCGGAACAGGCGGTCTCGGGGAGCAGCTTCACAGCAATGCGGAACTGAATTCAGGGGTTGTGAGTGTTGTGCTCACTGGATCCATGGCCAACCAGGGCCAGCTGGAGCCAGTGTCACTCCATGGACACTCTGGGATGGGGCTGGAGGCTGTAAATGTGTCTCCAATCACTGCAGAAGTGTCACTGGGGCCGGAAAACAACCTGGTGCTGGTCAACTCTACACTACAACTTGAAGACTCTGCTTCTAACAAGGAGAACATGGTCACTGCTTACACCATCTGTGAGTGTGCATTTGTTAATCTTTTATTGAGCAAAAACAAAAACGATCGACTTGTTGTAGAACGCAGTGATATTATTGAAATGTGTGATGTCCTGGTACCATTTCTCCACTCTAGATACCAATTTTAGGGCCCAAACTGGAGTATAGCCCAATACAGAGTACCACTCTGTTTTCAGTGCAGTATTAAAAACAGTTACTTTAACTGCTTTAACTGCTTATCCTTATCCCAAAGATAAGCCGTGCTATCATTCTGCTCGGAGCATCCTCACCTGTCCTGTATCTGCCATGATTTATGCTTCAATATTGATAACAGCGACCTGACGAAAATAGTCCGGCTTTGAAATGTGTCACACATCACCAATATACCCAATATGTAGTTAATAGGTCAAGTCAAATTTAACGCAACTCACATTGACCGAAGTGCTATACAACTAGAGGAACAACAAAAAAATCCCAGAACAAGCATTTCATCAAGTTGAAGACGCCGCAGAGACAACATATCCAAATCAAAATGCAGAGACTTACAAGAATCAAGCTTTGATGTGATGATGGCATGGATTACTCGTGTGATTATGTGTTTGAGCACAGATGTAGTTAAATTTTAGCTAAAGTCTCAGCTGGAAAAAAAAGTAACCGCCAAGAGTATTTTGTGTATCGTACTTGAATCAGGTATCAAAAGTCACAGTGACATTTTAGGCAGATTGACACCAGTGGGCAGCTAGAGGGCCTAGAGCGGCAGCGTAGTTATCCAGAGAGTTGGGTTGTCCAAATCGAACAATTTCTGTGTCACTTTAAAGAAATTTAAGCCAACACTAGTTTCAATATTTGCACACAGTTCAGTAGTGGCTGCATAGAACAAATCTGGATGTCATCGACAAAGCGGTGAAAGTGCATATTGTGGTTTATAAAATTTTAACCCAATAGTAACAAAAACAATCAAGAGAGGTGAGGTGACGCAGTATCGGGGCAACTGTTCAGAGAAATCTTGCTAAAGAGCATGCACTGACTCTTGTTCTGTCCCTGCCTTCTAGGGTGCACACTATGCGAGCGCTCATATACCTCAGACTGCCCAGAGCATGGCCCAGTCACCTTCATCGCTGACACGCCCATCCAAAGCCGAGCTCGCCTATCTCTACCACGTGTACTGTGCCTGCGAATCTCAGTAGCTGATGAACCACTGGGTAAGAGGAGATACTCTGTACAGGGATTTAAAAAACCTTTTACAAGAATGTTTGATGTCCTGTATTAGAATATGATGCCTGCATTCACGAAAGAACTGAAGTGAGATTTTAGGTATTTTTTGTCTATGTTAAACCCAGTCTGGATTGTAGTCACTCTAGTTCTGTTTCTGCTCTGCCGCTGTTGTTTCTGTTTTTTTTCCTGCTATTTGTAGACAGAGTTTAAGCTGTTCAGGGATCACACAAGATTTTATACATCCGGAAATGATCCTCATGACACATTTTATGGCCTCAGCATAGAAAATGGACTTTAACCTTTCATCATTTATGCTAAAGACTTGACTTTAAAAAAAACACACACATAAAAATGACTTTACTGACTAAACGTGTTTATGCCTCTCTCAGGAGTCTTTGCACTGGACATTATTCCTCCGAGGACCTGCTTTGGACCAATGGTGGGCCAGCACTGTACTAATGTAGATCTCTCTGATTGGCCAGAAAAGGAATCTCCACAAGTATGGAAGGTTAGTGTTGAAGCTTTTGCTGAAGCCTGATACTCACAGTCACATTAAGAACCATGACAGGTTGATAGAAACATTTCTCTTTTAGATGTACCACAACAACGTACTGGAGTTCATCATCGTGACTACTGATGAGAACGAGTGCAACTGGATGATGTTCGTCTGCAAAGCAAGGTACAAGTTGAAGCTTTTCTGGTGTAAATCTGACGTCTGGTTCACACTGGAAGCGCCGCGCGCGGAACGGAAGCGCCGCGCACAGAGTTTCAGATCGGCGCCCATGTTAACCTATGACGTCTGGTTCACACTGGAAGCGCCGCGCGCGGAACGGAAGCGCCGCGCACAGAGTTTCAGATCGGCGCCCATGTTAACCTATGAGACTGTTCACACAGCACGCGCGCGGAAGCGCCGCGCGCGGAACGGCTCGCGCTCTGGAGCGCGGCTGCTCCGCTTCTCTCTATTTTCGGCGCGAGCCGCGAGCGCCGATGTAAAGCTCAACAGAGCAGATCGGACCAGACAGGAAGTCAGGAAGGAGATGCGAGAGAATCCGGTCAATTTTCAAAATAAAGTAAATTTCAATAAATTAGAAAAGGATTTACGGTGTTGCTTGTCAGCCTATTTTTTTTTACCGATGAACACACACACACACACACACACACACACACACACACACACACACACACACACACACACACACACACACACACGGAGGGAGAGCTGCAGAGATTCAGTGATGTTATTGAGACAAAGAGGGGGGGGGACTTTATTACGATACAGTCAATAGCCTCGAGCTAACAAGGCTATACATCCAACGGAGTCAACAGACTCCATATTTATTCGTCGTTTACCCCTATATAATAATTTAAAACAATACTTGAAGATGCTGCCAATATTTAATTTATGTATGACGAAATAAAAATGTAAATGAATATTGATTTACCCATTTTTAAAGCGCTCGTAAGTGTGGAAAACTGAGGGCAGACGGAAACGGCCGAGCACTGCCGGGCTCAGTCGATGTTTGACCAGCGTGTCAGAGCGCAGCAGAAAGCGCTTTCTGTGTGAACAGCCAAGCGCGAGCCGGCGCTGCGCGCGCGCGCGGCGCTTCCGTTCCGCGCGCGGCGCTTCCTGTGTGAACCAGGCGTGAGAGGTTTGTGCTGTAACTTTAAAAGTAATTGAATTGAGTATTTATGGAAGGTGTTAGTACAAATCAGAACTAAAGTCAGTTATTCTTAGCTGTCCCAAAATAGTGTCCTGCAGTAACCCCCAGCAGCCATTGTTGTGTTTAAGTACCGTGGTTGTATCAGAATTGCTGTGGCTAACTACTGCCTGAGAGTGACATAGAAGAGCCAACTGCAGGTTTATTTTTATTATGTGTAAGGTAAGAAAAAGGTGTATCAACCAATGCTGTTTGTAGTCTAGAATTAGGATAGATAGAATTACTTCAGTGTTCATCATTTACAAGTTTTTTTGCAGGGAGATGAATTTTCTCCAGAGGCCACTTCTCTTAATTCATGAGTGTCCAAAAAACAACTATAATTTCTTTGATTTTTTTTATTTTATTCAGAGACAAGAGAGTAAGGCATCAAGCAATTTTTGTACCAATGACTTATTTATTCCTGCATTTATATTTTACTATTTCTCCCATTACTGACTGTTCACCGGGCAAAAGAAATGTGCATTTTGTCTAAAGAACTTATCAAAACAAGATGATACAGCAATGAAATCACTGCCATGCAGGTTTAGTAGTCTGCAGTGGTTCTGTTTTTACACTACCACAACAGAATGAAGGAGTTAGGCATTGAATGCTGGTGGTTTAAGAACATCTCTGCTAAACTTTTATCATTGGCTGCATGTGTGTTTTAGGACCCGTGAGGAGCAGAATCTGGTGGCATACCCTGCCAATGGCAAAATGTTCTTCTGTACAACCAGAGAGATTCATCCAGACCAGGAGCTGCTCTTCTACTACAGCAGAGACTACTGCAGGCTGCTGGGTAAGATGAGGAATCATTAAAGTTCTGATTTTAAAGAGGCCACATTGATATGTTGCTCACTCGCTCATCCATTTATTGTTTTCCACCATTCCTTTCGTCTCCTCAGGTGTTCCTCAGGTGCCTGAGGGCCACATCTGTCAATGTGGCAAAGAGTGCTCCTCCTTCTCTGAGCTAAAGTCTCATCTGAGCAGCCACAACACCAATCACAGCCAAAACCAGCCTCCACACAACCACAGCCCCTCACAGCAGGACCACTCTCAGCAACAACCGCAGCAACAAGAGCAACAACCACAGCAACAGCAACACGCCCACCAGGAAGAGAAGCTGGCGAATGGGACGTCGAGCTCCTCCTCATCTCCATGGCCCTGCCACACCGCTCATGCTGCAGGACAAACAAACAGCGAAAACAGTAGCAGCAGCAGGGACAATAACCGAAACTCTGATAACGGTACACCCAGAGCCAAAGGTCAAGGTCATGTACGGGAGAAGAAATTCAAGTGCAGCATGTGCTCCCGAGCTTTCATCACCTCCACAAAGCTGAATGTGCATTTCATGGGGCATGTTGGGATGAAACCTCACAAGTGTGAATACTGCAGTAAGGCCTTCAGTGATCCCAGCAACCTCAGGATGCACCTCAAGATCCACACAGGTGTGTACAGGGGTTATTTTCAAAGTTTGTTTAGACTTTGATTTGTTTTTGTGTGCCAAGAAAATAGCAGCAATGTCTTTATACCTCGTTGCCTCTTTTCATTTATTTTTACAGTAAACTGCAAAATCGTAACGTTTTTCTGTCTCTCATAGGTCAAAAGAACTACAGATGCACAGTCTGTGAGAAGTTATTTACCCAGAAGGCCCATGTTGCGTCACACATGCTTATCCACACCAGTGCAGAGAAGCATGTGTGTGACCTCTGTGACCGTGCCTTCATTAGGAAACACGACCTGAAACAGCACATGTTCTCTCACACACAGTATGCGACTTTTTCCTTATTTTCTGCAAAGCTAAAAAAGCAGATTGTTACTTAGGTTGTTTGGCTAAAAGATAATCACATTTCTGCCTTCATATTTGCTTATCTGCTGTATTGAAGAATAGGTTTTTAAGAAAGCATCTTGATCTTGTTATAATCACTCAATAGAAGAAAGCTTGATCACTAAGGCCCTTTATACTCTTTCTCTTCTTGCTCTTAGTGAACGCCGGATACAGTGCCCCAAGTGCCACAAACATTTCCTCAAGACCAACCACCTGAAGAAACACATGAACTCCCACGAGGGCCGTAGAGACTTTGTCTGTGAGAAATGCCACAAAGCTTTCCTCACCAAATACCACCTCACCCGTCACCTTAAGATCTGTAAAGGGCCTAAGGCGGAGAGAGCAGCCCGCAAGGAGCAAGACGTGGATGAGGAAGAAGATGAAGAGGAGGAAGAAGAGGAGGAGGAGACTAGAGGGAGAGGAGGAGAGAGACTTGTTGACTCAGCCAGTACCGAGGACTGTGGTTTGGATGTTGGAGGGTATCACTCTGAGAAGTCCCCGTCACCCCCTCATTGATGACACTGTGCCTCTTGCAATGTCTTATTTATTTATTAAATGATAACGATTAAAAACCTCTACTTTCTGCCAAATCCAAGTTACTTTCTCTGATTTCACATTTAGAATTTTAAAACACAGTGTATGTTGGGTCTCACATAAGCATGTAATCGCTGCTATAATGATAATCTTTGCCAACTGACACAGATCAGTCTGTCTTTCTGTAAAACTTTTGTCTTCATTTAAACTCAGGCATGCTCACTGTTGTTTAATAAAAGCTATCTTATTATAATTTTTTTTTTATCCTGACACACTAACGCTAGGTGAAAAGCTTATATTTGTTTGTAATTCCACCATATTGTTCTCGCAATGCAACATTGTGACGTCATGTGAAACCCGGCTATTAAAATTTCTGATGCCATACTTGGTTTAGTCCTTTTGATGTATTTGTTCCTGACCTATGAGTTTACTCTTTATTTATTAAACGCAGGTTTTTTGATTACTTTTTATTTTTCATAGTCATCTTTATGTGTGAATTTGGACCAGGATCTTGAAATCAGGAATTTGAGTGTTTAAGGTATTGTGTAATTGTTAACTTGTTAAAATGTCATAGCCTCCTGTCATTTAAAGTTAACTGAATAAAAAATCTAAACTGAACTCTGTTGTCATATGATGCATCGAATGATACATAAATGAAGAAAACAATGTCAAACAGAAGCAGATTGGCAGTGCCGATATCTCAGTTGCTGAAAATTTGAGTGACATTGGTGAATATTTGACTCAAGAGAATAACAACATTCAGTGTCAGAAAAATTGGACATTTTAAAATGATACACTTATTGAAAAAAAAAAAATCTAGAGATGGGCACAGCAGTTCTTTTGGATGTACTGAATCGCTGAAATCGGTTTACTAAAAAGATTCGTTCACCAAATCACAGAACCATTTAGCTCCGACCTCCTGAACTGATACACAGTTGAACAGTTCAGGGTTCAGTTCAATTCATAGCTTCTGGGACTAGGAGACGAGATTGTTTGGCTGTGTTGCTGTGGCAAACAGGTTTGTAAAAATGAACTTGTTTATAAGTCATGATGTTTTAAGTGTACTGTACTATGGTATGCTATTTACCAAGTCTGCTTGGTAAATTGGGGTCAGAGAGTGATTCTTTCACTGAATGTTTAAAAGACATACTTAACATGCTCCGTTCCCTCGCAAACCGTTGAAATGATAGGATGCTGCGGGTTTAATGCACTACTTGTTACAAGCTGTGTCCTATTGTATGCAAGTTGTTGTGGTGTCAGTTTAGCAGTGGAAAAAAAAGGTAGATTTTCTGACAAAAATGTTTCCAGAGAGTGTTGTTCACTGTGTGATTCATTCACCAAGTGATTCAGGTGTCAGTGCATGTGGTCCCTCGTTCGTCGGCTGCTGGCCTGGCAATGCTGTTTCTCACTTCAGCTCAACTTAAATGAGAAACGAACGAATCACTCAAGGAAGTGATTCCGTTCGTTAAGTTCACTTAAAAGATTCGGTTCTTTTGTACGAATCGTTTGCGAACGACACAACACAAAAAAAACGAACTTTATGTCGGCTTTGCCTTCCAAGTAGCTTTTACGTTTGAACTTGTTTGAAATCTTTCAGGGTATTTTCGTGGTTTTCTGGAGCTTAATATTGACACACTCGCATGGCATGTTATGAGTTCAGGCGTGAACACTTCTGCTTGGCGGCGGTGCGACAGACTCTCACCTATAAATCACCACCGTAGAAGAAGAAGAGGAACGAGCGCAGAGTTAAAGGAAGTAAGTGCAATAGCTTCCGGTTAAAATACGAAACATGCAGCGCCGCGGTTGTCATTCACTTTAGCGTGGTATGAAATATTTCCTATTCCTTACAGTAATCTTTTTAATTATTTATATCACTTAAGTGCTATACCTTAGAGAAAATGTTGCGCACCAAGGCAGACTTACTCTGTAAATGCATAAACAGTGAATTATTGTTTGTAAGCTGGTGAACTGTGGCTAACCTCTCTCCGTGATTGTAGCACACAGTCTGCTGCCATTGTTTCACGCCTTTCGGGTTTTTGTCCCAGCCCGAAGGTGGACCTGGACCGTCTGCAAAGATGCTGACCCCCCCGAAAGACGGGACCCCCAGTCTGGTGGACAAGGCTTTGAGGATGAGGAGGGAGGAGCAGGCTCGTCAGGTGGTCCTGGCCTGGGCTGTGCTGAACGTGTCTTTGGCTGGTATGATCTACACTGAAATGTGAGTTTTTCTAGGTTTATGTGTCCTCTCTCTATTTACCTGTCATGCCTCAGCGCAGTGATCTAAAGGGTTTTATTCTGGTCTAGGTCCGGGAAACTGCTGAGCCGGTACTACAACATCACCTACTGGCCTATCTGGTACATTGGTGAGGTCCCACTTTTCTATGATTTACTTTTTAATCAGTGCAATTCTTTGTTGAAAGTGCAACTGGGCTTTTGCCCAACTTCTTCAAGAACTTCAAACAAGTCCAGTTACCCTTTTTACAAAGAACTAGATAACCATGACCTGGAGGAATGAGAACCTACACAGACTTATTTAATTAACTACCCAAATAAAGAATGAAATTGTGCTGCCTTAAGTCTGCTCGTTATATATAATCATGTATGAATCTTTAGCATGTTGATTATGCTGTAAATAGGGCTGGGAGATAAAACGATAACAATATCTATCAAAAATTAATTTCCCTCAATATCAATATAAAACATGGTCAATATGCTTTTCAGTAGTCGGCATTCTGCCATGTTTTGGTAGACTATAGGAATAGCCAATGAAAAGGGGAGTTGCTCCGGGTCCGCTTCGTGCTGAACCAATCATGTGCTGAATAAGAACCAAGTAGCAAACAACAGCGTAGTAGCAGACTACAGCAACCGTAGCATTTTAACACATGAAGCCAACACCACTGTGAGAAAAATGGAAAATAAGTGCTAACCCCAGCAGAAATGTAGATGAGGGCTTAACAGATGATGACATCGTCGACAACACTGGCATGAAAACGTCTGTGGTGTGGAGGTGTTTTTTTTTTTTTTCGGGGTTGGACATGAAGCAGAGTAATGTGCACTGCAATTTGTGTCAAGTACATGTTCTTGCAAAGTCAGGGAATACCTCGAATCTTTTTCATCACCTGAAGCAGTGCCACGCAGCAGAGCATGCGTAATACATAAGGTTACAAACCCTGAGCGGAGCAAGGAGCTGAAGACGCCTGTGCAGCCGAAACAGCCGACCATTCAGTCTGCTTTCTCTAGCTCAACGCCTTACAACAAAACATTGAAGAGACACAAAGACCTCACAGATGCAGTAGCTTATTGTATTGCAAAAGACATACTACCAATAAGCACTGTTAAATTTCATTTTTTATTTTGTGATATACAGTACAGGCCAAAAGTTTGGACACACCTTCTCATTCAGTGTCTTTTCTTTGTTTTTTTATATGACTATTCACATTGTAGATTTTCACCGAAGGCATCAAAACTATGAACAAACACATGTGGAATTTTGAAAACAAATGAAAAAAAAAAAGTGAAATAACTGAAAACATGTTTTATATTCTAGTTTCTTTAAAATAGCCTCCCTTTGCTCTTGATGACAGAAGTAGTCACTAAGTAACCCTGACAAGGCACACCTGTGAAGTAAAAACCCTTTCAGGTGACTACCTCATGAAGCTCATTGAGAGAACAGCAAAAGTTTGCAGCGCTATCAAAAAAGCAAAGGGTGGCTACTTTGAGGAATCTAAAATATAAAACATGTTTTCAGTTATGTTTTCTTATGCACATGATTCCACCTGTGTTCATTCATAGTTTTGATGCCTTCACTAAGAATCTACAATTTAGATAGTAATTAGAATAAAGAAAATGCATTGAATGAGAAGATGTGTCCAAACTTTTGGCCTGTACCGAATATTGATATCGACTGATATGAAAAAAATATATTGTGATAAACTTTTCCCCATATCGCCCAGCCCTAGCTGTAAAGAAGAATCTTAATTCTCGCTCCATCTGTGCTCCTTTGCAGAGCTGGCACTGGCCTCCCTCTTTAGCCTCAACGCTCTCTTTGACTTCTGGAAGTATTTCAAGTACACTATGGCTCCCTCCACCATTGCTGTATCCCCTGAGCAGCACCGCCTCTTGGGTCTGAGAAACACAAGTATCCAGGCTTCCCCTCCCCAAAAGCCAGAAAAGAAGGAGACTCCAGCCCCAGCTCAGTCATCTCCGCTGCAGGGCCAGAGCGTGCTGAGTTTCAGCCCCTCACGACCTGCCACTATCAGCCCCAAGTTCTCCCCGAGCTGTGTACCTGGGTACAGCCCTCCTCTTAGCAACCCATCCACCCCAAGCAGCGCAGGAGGACCCTTTTCCCCTTCAGTAGCCCTCGGAAAGGTACTTTCACACTTGATATTTATTCAGAACTGCTAAACTGTATTATGCGTCTGGTGTTGTGCCAAAAACACCAGGATTAAATATCCCTTCGACTTGATTTGAGAGTTTCAGACAGAAAAAAACAACTGATAGTTTCTCTATGCTCACTTTAGTTTTAACATTTTATTGCTTCAGCCTAGATGACACTTTCAGACAAACATTAGTTAAAAGGTCATTCTTACTGTGAAGCAATGGAAAAAACTGACTTATACTACTAATTGGAAACGTTTCAGAATATGCGACAATTTATTAAATACATTGAAAGCTCCCTTGATAACTTAAGAATATGATAAATCCATTTGATACTACTCAGCATTAAGTACTAATGAAAAATGCGTTGTTTTTTTCCTTTGGGTTATCTTCGGATTTTATTAATTTTTTACTGTTGAGCCTTGGTTGTGTCTGTACTTGCATATTTTTTATTGTAGGGTCACATTTTTTGTTTGAAGTTGTGTGTTGCTTATATTTTTTCCTAAATAAAATCAAATAAATACAGTGTTGAAAAAAGTGATTAAATTTACAAGTTCATTTACAAGTTCATTGTGCTCTTTTTTTCTCAGGTGTTGAACTACAGTCCTTCCCCAGGCTCCTCTCCATATCCCAGCAGCATTGGACCAGCAGAAGGCTCCAGCTTGAGAGCTAGATATCGTACATCACCCTCTGTTTTTAACTCTCCTGGCAGCAAGGAGGACTACATGGAAGACCTGAAAAGTTTGGAAAGGTTCCTTCGATCAGAGGAAGAAAAAAACCACCGCAGCCAACTTGGTACAGTTTACCAGAGTCTACGCTTTTTAGCTTTTGCCAATCTTGTAATGGGAAATCCTTTAAATATCTTGGTGATGTGATGCTCTCTGCAGGTAGTCCAGAGTCTGTGTCTCCAAACCATAGTCCAACATTTTGGAACTACAGCCGCTCAGTGGGGGATTATGCTCAGAGCCTGAGGAAGTTTCTTTACCAGCCGGCCTGCCGCTCTCAGGCTCCATCTGCCCACAAGGATGAGACAGACCTGGGTTCCAAACAGGCTGCAGAAGAGGTCTGTAAATATGACTTTTAAATTGGCATTAAATGGTTGGTTGTTATTATCTGTGAGATTAAAGTGAATGACTGGCATCAGTGAACTTTTTTCCTTTTTGTGCTCTGCAGGTTTGGGCCAGAATCACAACCAGCCGTCCTGTTGTTGACCGCATTGACAGCTGGACTGCCAAGCTTAGAAATGTGAGAGCTCAAATATATTGTGAAAACTCCGGACTGAAGGGGCTGAAGTTTTAAAAAAATTATATATTTCCCCTTCCCCAACCTTAATATGACATGATTTTAAATATAAAACCATTGTGTGTGTGTCTTTTGCAGTGGATCAGTGACACCATCTTGGTCCCTCTGGTTAAGGAAATAGACTCTGTCAACAGTCACCTCAGGAGGATGGGTTGCCCCGAGCTCCAGATAGGAGGTAAACAAACATGGGAAATGGGAGTTTGGTTAAATGCAAATGCCTTTAAGTACCTGCAATATTGGGATTAAAGACTATAAAACCTACACGTTTACCTTTTTGAAAATCCAATTTAATCTAATCCATGGTCTGCATAATTTAATGCCTGATAGCAAACCAATTATGTAGAGAGTAATGAGGCACATGTTCCAGCATTTGATGAAAAAGCCTCATTTCAAATATAGAATCATCAGTAATCAACGGCTGTCCTTTTAGTGTATTGTTCTGTGAAATAATGAGTCCTTCTATTAAATATCACTCTTTCCTCCACCAGAGGCCAGCATCAGCAGCCTGAAACAGGCCGCAGTCATGAAAGCGTCTTCCATTCCCACTATGAACTCCATTGTTCAGTATCTGGACATCACTCCCAACCAGGAGTATCTGGTGGAACGAGTAAAAGGTTGGTTGTCCAGAGGAAGATTTGTGCCTGGCATTTTATACACACACCTTTTCTCATTGTGTCTGTGTAAACCTAACAGCATACTTATTTATAATGTGTGTGTTTATTCTCTGCTGTCAGAGCTGGCTCACAGTGGCTGCATGAGCTCCTTTCGCTGGAATGGTGGTGGGGATGTGAAGAACAGAAAGTGGGATACTGATCTCCCCACTGACTGTGCTGTGAGTACATACACACACATGCACACATACACACAAACACTAACACTAAGCTACAGAACAAAAACAGTCACTGAACAGGTGCCAGTCCAAGTTTGCCCCTAATCTTGTTTTGGCTGCAACAAGCGATTTTGTTCATTATCACGTAATCTAGCACTATTTTCTAGATTAATCTGTTAATCCTGTGGTCTACAAAATGTCAGCAAGTTTGGAAACAGATATCACAGTCTTCTAGAGGTCAATATGTCATCCTCAGATTAAGATATTTTGTTACCTATTACGACACCAAAACAAAACCAAACAAAAACAACAACAGGGAATTGTAACCCCAGATTTCAGGACAAGAATGCTTGAAATAATGAGTTTAACACTAATTAAGTTCACAGCTTCTGTTGTAGATTATAATTGCCATCAGTAATTCTACACTTTTTTACACACTTTTCTTAGTGAGTTGTGTGTATGTGCTAAAATAGTCTATTGAAACAGAGTCACGGCTCTTTAACTGTCTAAAAGAGAAAGGGCAAACCCCAATAGCATTAGAAATTGCATACACACTCATCTAAAAAGAAAACTTAAAGGAATTTACAGCAAAGAGAAATATGACTGGTTAAAAAAAAAAAGACTATCGCCAGATATTTTATGGGGTGGGATATTTTTATGAGGTGTTGGTTTTCAAAAATGAAGTTCACAAGTTTTGCATAACTTGGAGCAAGGCTGACTTGACCGACGGCCAGGCAAACTGTAGCCTTAAGTGAGGAAGCTAAAGGCCTGTCTCAGCTCCACCTTTTTCTTCACGCTAGGTTAACTGAAAGTGATGTTGGGTCAGCATTTTCAATACAGTGACTACTGCCGATATGCAACAGAACTGTGCTACAGAAACAAATGGGTGAAGTCACTCAGACTATGTCCATACTTAAAACAGCATATGGATTTCAGCCTTGTGTTCCTGTCTTTGTCATCTTGTTATATGAACTAGCTAATAAGTCAGTCAAACACAGATATAGTACCATGAATGAGTCTGTCTGTTAAACCGTAGCACTTTTTTCACCCTCCTGATAGTCTACACCACATGAGCAAGACTAAAGATTAAACTGGGCTGACTAGATGTTCTTTTTCTGAGAAGCCCTCTGAAGGGTTTTTGCTGCTTGTAGAACAAAGCACTGCCTCCTTAAATTATGTTCTCATGGAGATGAACCCTGTGGTATGCAATAAAATTTAATGTACCAGTAAAAACTTTGGGCTCTTATAAAAAGAAGAATTAGAGAAGGACTAAAACTAATCAAAGCAGACTCCTCAGAACTAGATGGGAATACAAAGTTGCTTCAGTTTTTAAACAACCTAACGGCACATATGGGAAGTTTCCCACGGCCCTGTATGACTCTGCTGCCTTCAGGATTTGTGTCGCCAAAACGGTGTAAGACAGTGGGTTACATTTTTTATTAGGTTCACCAGCTGGATTCATCTGTTTAATACTTAACCTGTTTTTCTAGATCCTTATGCATGTGTTCTGTACGTATCTGGACTCGCGACTGCCCCCACACCCAAAGTACCCGGACGGGAAGACTTTTACTTCACAGCACTTCAGCCACACACCAGACAAGCCTGGTAAGTTCACACACACTTCAACTTAAGCTAAATCAGAGGGAGTAGCAAAAAAAGGTTTTGTGTGTTTGTCATCGTTGAGTCATGTTTTGTAAGAGTTCCTGTGTTTTCATCTGTTTCTGTGCTACATTTTGTAGATGTTACCAAGGAGAACCTGTTCTGCGTCCACCAAAGCAGCACGACCCCCCCTCACTACCAGCTTATCTACCAGGGACATATCTACAGCCTGCCCAAGGTGACACAGAACAACCTGTTTTTCAGGATTTCACATAAACAGTTTACCCTTTATCCAACCCCTCTAAACTTAAAATCTAATCTAAAGAAAAATCTGACAGTTAATTTCCTTCCAAAGGGTAAAAAAATCTGAGATCAAAAGATCTTTTGTAGCTCCCCCTCAAGGACTGAATTTGCCAAAGAGTAATAAAAAGCAGAATAATAGTTTTATCCAGTATTCTGTCTGCCTTTCAGTATTTGATGTCTTGCATAGTCACATGGTTCAGATCCAGGGAAAGAAATAAAAATAGTTTTTGGCTGACTACCTACTTATTTTTCATTATCCTGCCAATCAAACAGCTACTTTTTCAAAAATTGATTGTGCGTTGTTTTTTCTACAATCTGTTAAATGGATGATGATTTTATTCAATAGCCCATTAAACTTACAGTTTGAGCTGCATCCAGATTAACAGTTTACTCTGTATTACCCAGCCTTCTTACTAATGACCCAGCTGTGTTAAGTACTTTGGTCCACTTGATCAAACCTTGTTACAACAGTTAGTAGTAGCAAAGGTGACATTTGGGTCCACACAATCATACATGTCACATAAAAGCAAATCAGTTTGCTGAAGAGCGTTAACGGCACATCCAGAGTACTGTTTTTGACCTCCGGTCTTCCTGTAGACAGTCTGAGAAAAACTCTGCTTTTTAAAGGCATCTGAAGACTACATGGAGGAGATTTTAACTGCTTATTAAAATTTATTTCCAGAGCACAAAAGTAGATTGGTAGTTAATGGTGGACTTGTTAAAAGCAACAACAAGAAAGAAGAGGACAGGGAGTGGAAGAACAGAAATTAACTGGGGATGTTAAAACAGCTGAGTTTAACACCAGAACACCAGAAGTGATTTAAAATTCATTTTTAATGAGTTTATTTTGGGATAAACACTTCATGTTATTTTGTCTGCACATTAAGTTGGTAGCTGGATACTAAACTAGACAGTGTATACTTAGCCAGTGGTTGTATCAGATAGAATTGAAGTGAATATTCAGACTGAAGGCAAAGTAAACTCAGATGGTTAGCACCACATGAATCAGTGCGGTACCATCTTAAGATCGATTTCACTGTCACAGCCTTCAGTGTTTGTCTTTATTACCTCCTGCCTTCTCTAATCTGCTCTGTCCCTTTTCTTGGTTTATAAGAATAAACAAACAACTTCAAATTCACTTGACTTCTCCCTGCGCATTGATAGGATTAGTTAGTCTGCAAGTGTCTGTGAGCAACAGTCTTTGTAACAAAAAATGGACTGACAGTTGCTTTGATGTGTTTTTATGTAATGACAATTAAAAATCAAGCACTCAGCATAGCTATGTGATATACAGTTAAATGGAAGAAAGCACCACGCACTTCATATGTTAGCCTTTAACCTCGTATGTGACTTTAACTCAAGAAAAAAAGCCTGTAAACTCACGACAACACAGCAGACGTCTCATTCTCAAGTGGGTTCAGGATGTCTTTTTCTGCTGTAACACTGAGTGAGCAATAACAAGAACCAATCTTTATTTCTATTCCAGGGCAGGAACAACTTGTTCCACACAATCCTCATGTTCCTCTACGTCATTAAGACCAAGGAGTCGGGGATGCTTGGGTGAGTACTTCTTCTAATAAATCCCATAAAGCCTAGCCAGCTAAAAAGAATCTGCCACAAGTATGTGCTGTTTTATGGCACAATGGAGTATTGATTCATTTTTAACAAAAAGGTCAAAGAACCCGAGAGCAGATTGCTTCTTGATTGAAAATGATGGCTTTGACCTTGCTCGTGTCCTTGTAGGATAATTAAATTGCGTTTCTTATTTTCTTCAGGAGAGTAAATCTCGGCCTCTCGGGCGTGAACATCTTGTGGATATTTGACAGCTGATCCTCCTCCTTTTGCAAGCCAAGGGAAGCTGTAAGGAAAGTTTGGATACTTTGGCTGGAATACCGTTTCAGTTTAAGAGCTGCTCTTTCAGGTGCAGTTTGAAAAAGGAGCACTTCATTTTGAAAGACAATGCATTTGTATTTTTGATATTTTTCTGTTTTGATGGATAAATTGGCAACATACTTGTATTGTCATTGTTTTTAACAACACATGTATGTTCACCACGGTGCAGAGCTGTATTTTTTTTAGCATTGTTGGGTGTTCTAAGGTTGTAGTATGAGAATGTACCAGCATGGCAGCCTTGTAAATAAAATACCTCAGATTCCTGGTGTGGAGGGTAAAGGGCTTAAGACCTATTTAGCATGAATGCATATACCACACAATGAGCGTGGACTTCAGTTGCTCCTTGAGCCTCAGTTCCCTTCAGGTGCTGGCATGCATTTTTTTCTACTGTAGGTGAATGTCTGCTGCTGTAGGAACACTCCTGACATGCTTGAAGGAAGGGAAAGAACTGAAGCAAAGGCAAAAATGTATTACTGAAATAATCTGTGGTTGCAAATCTTCCTGTAGTGCTGGGCTACATTGCGACACAATAACAAACTCAGTGTTGATTCTTTTGATACATGATGGATTAAAAATAAAAGCCTTAAAATCACCAAAGTCTTGTTTTGTGAATAGAGGTAGCTTTAGAGTGAGTTTTTTAACTGCTAATCCTGATCTTAGGAGTTAGCCATGTGTTGCATGAAGGACTGTGCTTTTGTGTGTTTGTTTTTAATCATGCCAGTTTATATCCCCAGAATAAAATGGAAAGATTAGTTTTACCAACTGTGATGTTGCATTTCTTGACTTTAGTATGCATCCACTTGGTGGCAATGTGGTTCATTTTTTTAGGATTTGACCTCATACACAGTCACAGCATCTCATGACATACTGCATATCCACCACATGAGCACCATAAAGTGATGCGTTGTCCTGTGCTCCAACGTCGAGTAAATGACTCGAACTGATTCAAGATTTCAGAAGTGATCCAAATATTTTAATGCTTCTCTGGTCAGAGACGAAGTGCCCTGATGTGAATGTTGTGATGTGGAGAGATGCCCTTCAAAATTAAAATATGTTATTAGGCCTTTCGTGGTGTTGTTAAATCCAGCTGGTAAGCAGGGAGGTTGCTTGTGACATTTGGAAAAGTTCCTAATCTCAAAAGGAAATCATTGAATCATTTTGAATGGTATTATGGGCAAAATGCTGGCACAAATCTCGTTTGTTTTGTAGTTTATTGTCGTCCTCTTTCGTAAGAAACACAATTTACCATAATGCCCCATTTTAAGTAGCATTTGCTCCTGGGAAATGTAGTTTATCATTTCTTTAGTTCTGCTTTAAGCAAATTCCAATCAATATTTCGTGGTTTTACTGTTTACGTTTATGTTAACTGGCTCTTCGAAAATTGTCTGTTGCGTAATTTAAAGTGATAATGACGGTTACTCCGGGAAGACACGCTGAAGATATTTAAAGGAACTACAGGGACCACAATGCATTTGGTCAACGTCGCTCCTCCGCTCATATCCGCTTGACTCGCTATTTGTGTTGGAAAAAGGACTTTGTGAAACTGCGGCGATGTCAGTCCAGGTTGTGGCAGCGAAAATGGCAGAGGTCGAACTCAAAGACGTCCCCACCGGCAAAGACTTACCGGCTGACTCTCCTCTGACACCGACCTCAGAGGGCAAGAACATCGCCAGGAACGAACCGCACGAGGCCGGTTCCTCTGCGGCTGCTTCCCCTACAGCGGAGTCGTCCGCGAAAGCCGGGGAAGGTTTGCTCACCCCGAACCCCGCGAAGATGCCGCAGGCGTCGGCAATGAAGCGGTCGGATCCGCAGCAGAACGGCGGAGAGGCTTTTGTCAATCGTGACGGTACCGTCGCTGAAGCCCCACGGATGAAGAAGGTGAGTGGGACAACATTTTACTCTGATAGCTGACAAATCCTCGGTGATATTGGACCACCTCTAAGCACCTCTCTCCGCAATGAGAGCTCGCATGGTTAGAGCTGGCATTGTGTGGCGATGCTAACAGGCTAACTGGTCTCAAAGCTGATTCAACTGAGTCAGCTAATGTTTTAAATTATGGTCCTCGGTGCAAATAACAACATATGGTGCGTTGCAATGACTTAACTCTGTCTGAATGGCGGTTTCCTCAAAGCTGGCACAGCAAAAAATTAAAGACATGAACCCAGTGGATGCAAGAAAGTACCCAACTCTTTCTACAAGTTTAGGAGAGGGGAAAGAAGAGAGTTAAATTCATCTTTTTGGGAGATTTGTATAATTATCATTGAGCCATTTCATGCCCACAGATAACACATAAACCCTCGCAGCATGTACTGTGTATAAAATCATTATTGTCAGTCTAACCTGCTGTCACATTGGCATTATTAGATAGCAATTCTGCTTGGTCAACAACTTGACAATATGGTCACTTGTAGTTTCAGGACACGTGGTGCCATGTTGCAGAGGAGAGCCTGCAAATTATATAGGTTTGGTTTTCATTGGGGGGTTCATTTGTGTTATTATAGAGTGGGGTCTGCAACAGTAAAGTAGTATAAACATTACAGAGAAGGATGATCATGATCGTGCCAGTGTGTTTCCCCAGGAGTTCATGCTCTCCTGGGTTAGTTCACATAATGTTATCATCACGCTTGACCTCAGATTTGTGTACTATACAAGTCCCAGGTTTAGGTACATGCAAAGCTATATTTAGTTAGGCTATTCAAGTGCCACCCAAAGTGTGTGATCTAACTTAGACAAAACAGTAGTCAGTAATCCATGACCCTGGGGCACTCCTGTCACCTAGTTTTCCCAAGCCTGATTTAGCCTTTATGACACCCACGCTCAAGAGACGGGAGTTCCTGCTCTTGTAGCTTAAATCAGAGGTCAGACCCGAGTTAGCATGGATTTTTCTTGGAGAGCAATAATCTAAACAGCTGCTCGGCTGTGGTTGGCCTTATCTTTCAGCGCCACATGAAGTCCTGATTAAGCGGCGGATCTTGAGCAAAGTGCAAAGAAAACACTGTTTTTGATGAGTAATGCTCAGAGGAACTTCAGCCTCTGTTCCTCACGTCAGAACTGTTTTTAGGAGTTGACAATGATTTGTAGCCTGCGGTCTTTGTGATGCACTTTATCAGAGGTAGTCAGATTCAGGAATTGATTTTAGATATGTGTATGGTGAGACTCGCTCTGGTATATTGACTTCCTGCAGGCTTGTGGTCTTAACTAGCACAGTGTGTAAAAGGTTGCTTTCGAAATGGGCTGTATTCATCGGTTCGACAGTTTCTGCTCCTCCCTGTGGGATTAATGCAGAATACTTGTTTGGTGTGTTTTCACAATAAACCATTGAGATGGAAAGCTAAAAGGTGAAGCTGACGCTAAGGTGAAACCAATGGACAGAACAAGTCGGATGGGATGCCCTTGCTGTCACCCACACCTTCGACTACGTCACCCTAATCCCATAATATAACCTTTAAGGAACCACCAACAAGAGACCCAAAGTGAGAGCTCAGCTCAACATCGCAGTGTGAGAATGGACTGCGCACCAACAGCAGCACAGACCAGATGGCTTTTCATACCTCACTCTTTTACAGTGAGCAGGCACATGGAAGGACTGGGCCCGCTGGCTGAACCACAATTGGGGGACAGCCAAAAACCGGACGTGCTGGACAGTAACTGCCACATCTGGATGGTCCAGGAGACTAGATTTGCATACAGGACAATGGTACAGAAGGTTAACACCCAGGATGCTTTATGTTGGTATAATTACTAGAAATATAATCAGTGGGAGTTTGTTGTTTAGTATCTGTTGAAATCTATATGTCTACGCTTGTTGTGTCTTCAACAGGTGAAGTTGTAGAATATCTCCTAGAGCAGTGGTTCTCAAGTCCAGTCCTCGAGGCCCACTGTCCTGCATGTTTTGGATGTTTCCCTGCTCCAACACACCTGATTTAAATGATCAGCTCGTTATTAAGCCAGTACAGAGCTTGATAACGAGCTGATCATTTGAATCAGGTGTGTTGGAGCAGGGAAATATCCAAAACATGCAGGGCAGTGGGTCTCGAGGACTGGACTTGAGAACCACTGTCCTAGAGTACCAACAGAGTTGTTTTTATTGGTATTCTAATATTCTCGAATGCAAGCTGGTACTTTGAAGGTGTGTTAATGGCTTGCTATTTTGAATTTCTTTGGGACCAGGTGTAGATAATCTTTTTGACAGTCAAAAGAATTCAAACAATGCTCTTGTCATAGGTGGAAATGATTTAATGTAAGGCTGATGTTTACGAAAAGCCTGTATAATCCATTGTAATTAGGAGAGATTGCATGTTAAAGTAAAAGGAAACTGGATGACAGCAATTATTCTAACCAGAGAGGCAGGCTCTCTGAGCTCTCAGGGTCGAAGGCTTTCTATTTTCCAATCATGCTAATGCAAAGACCACTGGTTGGTTAATATAAAGGAAGAGATACATTCATACTTGTACTCTATATATATTAATACAAGTGCTTTATCAGTGGGATCAACCTTTTGTAGGGAATGTCCAACTGGGACAGAAGGTTGCCTTCAGCCTATTTATAGATCACACAGTGTAGTGGGTCCTATAGCACAATGCATTATAGATATACGACCACAGCCTGGCCATACGCATCTGCTGTAGTCTGCCTGCCCTGTGCAGCAAAGTGTAAGCGAAGCAGTGAGGCTGATGCAGTGATGCAGGCAGGCAGCAGTGTTGACTGAGAGAGTGACTGGATGACTGACTGGCATTTAATCCTTCATCATGTCGTCACATGAGGGGATTAAAAAGCCAGCTCTCAGTCGTAGGTGGGTCCAGATGTAGGCTTTTTTTTCTCGCCAGTGATGAGTTTCATCATAGCACGGCGTTAGTCACGAATATCTCCGGCTTCCGGGAAGTCCAGGGTGATACCTCCAGCTTGGAGTAATGAAGTCTAGTACAGAGCTTTACAGGCCGCAGGAGAGTTTGCGGCTTTTAGCAGGGGCTACAAGATGGAATGAAAATCTACCATGTTGACGATAAGTGTTCATACATTGATGTGAATGCATGGCAGTGAGAAATGCAAACTCAGGTGTGAGACACAGTCTGTGCCTTTTCTCTGTTTCCTATTTGCTACACATAAGTTGTATTTGTGACAAGTTAAAGCTCTTAAATTCATTGTTATTCCTAAAATCAAGAATAAATAATATCATACACACTCTGTGGACTACCATAATGATAGAGTGCCGACGTTATTCAAACACTTGGATGCATTTTTATGTTAGTTGTTTGTTTTCTCATCTTGAAGACTAAGATATAGATCAATATTTCCACTTTGTGTAATTCTATTGATGATCACTTATTGACGTGCTACTCCATATTGATGTTATTAAACAGAACTACGACTTGTCCTTCATTAATGTCCTCTCCATCCTCCAATGGTGCCAGCTGACACGCAACTGATGGCTATAATCCTGATGCTAACCAGTCAAATTTTAGCTTGGATTTCATCTGATCGGCCAAATGGTGTACATGCATGGTCTAGTATGGATTCAAGGTTGCATCTCATAGGACTAATATTTGCAGACACAATGTGAATATAGTGTACATATTACGGGTGTCCTGATACCATATTGATATCGGTCCGATATTAGCAAAAAGTGAATATCGGATTATACCTGCCCGCATTTAAAATCTCCGATATCAGCACTCCAATACAAGCAGTCCATTCCAGACTCTGCTCTGGCACCTCTGTCTGATCCAGCAAGCTGAGCCCACAAAATCACAACAACTGTGTGTACTAAGGTACTAACAAAGTAGCAAGGAGTAGGAGTGATGTCGGCTGTGTGGCAGTATTTTTCGTTAAAGTCCGAAAAAGACATTGCAGCTGAGTGAAAAACTCATCATGCACAAGTTGTGTCAATATCAGATCAATATCGGTATCGGTCAGTATTGAAGGCTACAATATCGGTATTGTATTGGTAGTGAAAAAGTTGTATCAGGAGTACATATACATTAAATGTTCCTTACTCATCACAGTTCAGACTTACATTCGTACTGAGTTTAATTCCCAGCCAATGAATTCTAACAGGTCTCATTTGAATTCACAGTGAGCACTTGTCTGGCTGTACTGCAGCCTTGTTTTAGGACGTTTTATCCGTGAGTCCACTGACCAAACACAGAGTTTTCCACTCATAAATTTGTAAACCACTTGTGAACAGCTTGTGAATCTTGGAAAAAAAATAAAAACGGGACTTCCCAGCAATGTTTTCATAGTTGTGCAGTGACCAGTCTGAAGACTCTGCAGCACAGTTGCTTCACGAGGTCATCCCTTTTGAGCTAATGTTATGTCATCCAGTAAGCTGGTGTTCCTGGTAACGCTCACTGCTAAACAGGCTTAAACTGGCCTGTGGCTGCTCTACTTGAGCGGAGGACTCTTCGTGGAATACTAGGTAATGGATCCAGAAAGATAGTCAGGGTTTGAATCGGTGCGTCACTCTCCCCTGACTATATCTGCTGTTGCATCAGTTCTCCTTACTCCAATTTAGTGGCCTATTTAAAGCCTCTTTCAAAACTCCTGTTGTATTGAATTCAGTATTGTAGCCACAACAGCATTTTTTTTTTTAATCCAAGCAAGCAGGTGAAATTTGTATGTTTTAAAACTAAAGACAAGAAAATAAATATACCCAGTTATCCTTTTAGAGCTGAATGCTAAGACTCCAGATTGTAGTTTGCCCATAAGTTCCCCTAACAATCTTCTGAGCACACATAGTTTGGTTGCAAATGTTGAGGAGTCACTGCTCTATGGGTTGCTGTCCTCATACAGGATCACTGAGTGTCTCCCTCAGACAGCCTCTGACTCAATAGAGATCATGTAATTCTCTTTACCAGACTCTGTTTTATATGTGAGTCAACTCCCAGACTGAGCTGGTCTCTTGTGTGTGCTCAAGTCTGTGCACTTTACTGATCAGAAGTATTTCTGCAGGGGATCCTGCTTTCCTTTTTTGCACTCAAATGTCGTCATAGCGTAATCCTGCTTTCGGCATGAACTAATGCATTTTGAGAACACTTAGGTTATGCCCATAAATCATCGAGATAAAATCAATCCTGGCTCAGACTGTGTTTCACCTCCTGCAGCTTTGGTCAAGGGGAGCAACAGAGGATGCAGGGTTTCTGAAACGGCACCTCCCAAGGTCATGATGTAAGAGGCTGACATATGTTGTAAAATAAAAACCCAGACCTGTTGCCCCTCTCAGCACTGTCTTAAGTGTCTGTAATTTTAGTGCAAAATGCCATTCTCAATCTAGTCAGAAGGCCAAAAGATGTACAGACTAGAGCATAAAGAGAGAGACACATAAGTCACAGTGTGGCATATGTGGTTTCACTTCACGTACTCAGCCTCTGCCGGCCTAAACATTCCTTTGCTGTGTGTTGACTGGGAGAATGTGAAACCATGGTGTAAAATCTGACAAATGGCCTGAGAAACAGTCAAGGGCTATTGTCCTTGTTCCCTTTCTCCTCCCATAAATGTCAAGATTTACAGAAAAATAGACTTTCCATGTGATGTGAGGTGGTCTAAATGAGTTCATAACTCCCAACCTCCTGTTTAGGTCACAGACGATTCATGCTGAGAACATCAGACCTACCAGGGATAAAAGGATAAGAGATCTTGCAAATGAATTAATAATCTCAGTTAGATTATATTGAACATTCATTGATTTGAAGATATTGCAAAAATCCCATTAAAAATCCAAGTGTTTCAGTAAATGATGCTACCTTAGCATTACCCACCAGTTAAATAAAATTAGAAGCTTTTTGCAGTCATGTGTGTCGTTCACTGCAGGCGTCATGTGAAATCATAGTGATAAAAAAATCTGTACTGGCTGTTCCTCTTGTGGAGTTTTAGGATGGAGTGACAGATATTTGCCCTGAAGCTGTGCTTTCTCTGTGCAGCTCTGGATCGGATTTTAACACTGCTGTGCTGACAAGAGTTTTCAGTGGTTGTTGTGCTGTGGTGGAGGACAGCGAGTGTGTTTGAATGTTGGCTGAGGTCACCGGCAGTGTCAGGGGGAAGTAAGGACCAGGGAGTATGATTGACAGACCTTGCTTACGGGAGTGTGAAGAAGAAGACTAAGAGGAAAGGAGTTGATGAAGGTTTTCCTACATTATTTTAAGAAGAGGCCTCTGGTCACACCTGATTCAAATGATGAGCTCGTTAGTAAGCCAGTACAGAGCTTGATAATGAGCTGATCATTTGAATCAGGTGTGTTGGAGCAGGGAAACATCCAAAACATGCAGGACAGGCGGGGCTCGAGGACTGGACTTGAGAACCACTGCTCTAGCAGATGCCGCTCCTATGACGCATCGCGATCGGTTACAGATTATACAAACTATTTTTATGGCTGAAGGTGGCACATAAAATGTAGTCCCTATTAAATGCATACAGAGCCCATCCCTGGAAGTTTTCACTTACTGCACAGAGATTAAGTTTCTCACAGTAGCTATTTGCATAGATGTATGAGGCATGAGAAGTCAGACCCTCATGGGATTCTGTAGGTAGACGCTAATGAAAGTATTAGAGGGGAGTTAAAGAAGTTAAAGATCAGTGGTGTGAGAGTACTTCTCAGGGTGAGGTAGTTTCAGGCATTAAAAAGGGAGATTTAAAGATCGTTAATCTTGTCCTTGATGGTCTTGTTTGTCTTTGGACAAGATGGAAACAGCAGCATATCTAAACTACTGTCAAACCCCACCAGACAGCCAAACAAAGAAAGAAAGTGTCTCATATGTAAGTGGTGGTGCTGTTGTGAAATTGAACTTGTCTTTTCAGCCTCTTTTACTCAGGAGAAGGAGTGTATTTGGCCATTTTAGTGAGTTGTAAGTGAAACCCTTCTCCTCTGATCTATGGCATCCCATATTGTTGCATTTTTGCTTCATGTCCTCTCTGATTCTGCTGTCCATTTGCCTCATGTCATACCATGCTAAACAAGTGTTGATTACTATTTTTGTAGAAATCAAAACTTGAGAAAGTGTCTGAGAGATGCTGTCTACACCAGCCCAAAGGTACCGCTCATCTGTCTCTTTCTCACCGTCTCATCGCGCTCATGAGTGATGCATTCCCTGTCTGCCTTCTCGCAGTGTAAATCTCAGCACCTCGCAGTGTGATCACGCCTCCCTAACTATCTTCATCTTAGCCACAGAGGCCGACTTAGGACATGGACTGTTAGTACTTTACACCAGTTTGAGTTTCTCTCACCCCCAGGCTGCCAGAGAGTTATCTCTTCATCACTGCCAAGATGGGATTTTCCTGCAGCTTCATTGTCGATGTCGAACTGCATGATTGGATTGGGTCACAATTTCCTCTTGATCTCACAGTTCGTCTGAAAAATTTGTAGGTAACAAGTATTAACTGCGATCACATTTTTTCGCCTCAAAGCAGCCCTAACACCTCTTGACAAGCTAGTATGACTGCAAGCATGTGAATGAGGAAATGTTAACGGTTTCGAGGCTCGATGTAGCTGCCACCGCCCTGAGTCGTATTCAGTCTTAAAGAGTGACTGTTTTTGAGGAGTGATGTTGTCATATTAACCTGGTGACTGTGCATGAACACGTGAACACGCTAATAAGTGTTTGAGTACCTCTGTGTGTTCAGACTACACTTACTGGGATGTCAAGTCAACATTGAGAAAAAAGTCTGATTCGCTTGAATTAATGCTGTTGAAATAAACCCATGTTCAAATGCTAATGCAGTTTCCTAAATGTCACTGGAATGATTCCTCTTGCCAGGCGCTCTTTCGGCGTTCATCGCAGACCTTTTACGACATTTAGGAACAATAGTTAATGAGGGTTACCTTGGCATTGATTTGACGTAGCTGTCCTGCGTGGGACTGGAAAGAAAATCAAAGAGCCACCTTTTTAGTCAGACTCCCGTGTGCTTCCCGTTCCTAAATGTACCACCCACCCACACGCTGCATCTGCGACTCCCTCTGGTTGCGATTCATTTCCTGCCTCGCCATTGCGGCTCGCTATCACTGGGAGTGTACTGTACAGCTCATTGAGTTACACATCACTCCGTCTGAAGGCCTTTTACAAGGCTCAGGTTCTTGGAACAGGGAAGTGAACAGAATGAAGCAAAAAGGGGGGGAGTGCTCGGTTTTCCTGGAACATTAACACTCAGAAGAAGCCAGGGTAGAGTGAAATTTTAAACCCCTCAGTTTGGTTACTGTTGAGCAAGCAAGCAAGCAAGCAGGCACCAACCCAGTGGCTTTCTGTGTGTGTGTGTGTGTGTGTGTGTGTGTGTGTGTGATGTGTGCCCTGTTGCCCACAGCGCTGTGTTTATATGAGGATCAGTGGACAGTAGTGGACATGAACACTGAACTGGCTTTGCAGCGTGCTGAGGAATGCAGCTCTGTACTCGAGCAGTGCATGTGAACAAAGAGCCAACATTGTGTTCAAAAAGTGCTGCCTCACAAAAGAGCCCTCACAAAGCCTGAAATGAACCCCTGCAAACCCATCTGTCTACCCTGCTTCCTATTAGTCAGGCCAAAACCACCAACGCCTGGCAGACAGAGGCAGAGCTATGAAGGGCTAGGAAATGGGTACTCACAATCCAGCTCCATGTACGGTCTCATTGACAAAAATCATTCTGTGTAATACAAATATCAAAACTGTGCTGGTGATCACAGAGGGGCTGTTGAAGCATGAAGCAGTGCAGATCAAACAGTAGCGAATTCATAATAAAATGCACAGTAGAGATCAAGATAAGAGTTGAATCATTACATGCTGTAACTTTGTTATCAAACGTCAGGCTTAAAGATCAGCTTTAATTGCATTTCAACGTAGGGTCATGGCTGCAAATGACTAAATCAAGGCTCTGAGATAGAGAAGGTAACTTAAGTGTAACATAATTCGTTTGAGGATTTTATCTATAGCTACCTGAAGAAACTGCTTTATGTTTTTTAGTGCCTAGGGAAACACAGCCCCTGACTAACATTTGATAAAGTCATAATAACAGAGCTGCTAGAAAACTTGTAAGCAGCAAAGATGAACACGAACACAATTTAAGTTGAGTTTATGCCTGTCTACATTCAGGGGTAGGGCTGGGCGATAAACCAAAAAATTTACAGATACCGAAATTTACGACACTAACACTAACAGACGGCATTTTGCCCATGTCAAAATATTCGGTGTCAAAAAAATTCATAAATAAAAGTTGTTTTTAGAGGTGTGTCGGTAGGCTATGGTCTTATGTCCCTTTTTAAGATGCTGTCCTATGTCAGAGACGTGAGTCCACCCCATCCAGTCTGTAACAAAGAGGGAGAGACAGGTGAGGAGATGGATGACGGTTCAAAGTTGCGGCGGCTGAAGTAGACAAAGTTAATGTATGAGGGGGTGAGCAGCTTGTGGAGTAGTTATCGTCAATTTATCGTTATCGAGGTGAACTGCTCAATATATCCTGATACTGATTTGAGGCCTTATCGCTCAGCCCTATTCAGGGGTGCAAAACATTGTCACTATGATATCAATAATGGACAGTAAAGGCTTCAAACATTAATTATCAGTATTGGCAGATGTAAAGCTGAAACAAAAATTGTGTATTTGAGAGTGACCGAACTTCTGAAACATTTTAAGGTGTATTTATGAGTGTTGGTGTCAGCATAGAGCAAAATGAGTTTAATTCATATCAGATTTTTGCTGGAAACTTCCGAGTCCTTAAAGCTTTGTTTTGATATCAACCGAGTCAGTTATTTTGTCGGCAGCTTGAGTTTCCACTATTTGTAGTTGCCTCCATTGTTTGTCGTGTGTCGTAAAAAATGAGCTGAGTGTGGCTAAAACCGCTGATAAGTGTTTTTACAGTGTTTACTGTAAACCAAAACAGGAGAGTGATGAGTAAAAGCCAAAACAATGATCTGCTGGAGGCTGGAATTATTGGTGGAAGTAAGGGGGAGACTTTTCAGAGCGTTACTATAAAAATAAGAATTGGTTCTGTTGTTATAAGAAAAATGAAAAGATGTAACAGTGAATTGTAAAAGTGATTGAAAAGAGGCTTACAAGAAAAGAAATCTAGCTATAAAACTAATAAAAAGCTTCACACTCTTAATAAAAAATACATGAGTGACCCTCCTAATGGGTTTATTCAGAAATAGAGCAGCACCACCCCCAGTCTGTGTGCTTTTGATGTAATTATACCTTCCCCACAGGGAGTAAGAGCTATTTATGGCAACTCGAGAGGAGAAATCCCCCCACAAACACGCAATTCTAGAAATGAAGCTCGTAATTGAGACTTTGGCTGTTTTCAGTCACATCTTTGGTTTGGCTCTCGAGCTTATGGGGGCTCTTATGGTTTCATTTCGCTTAACACCGGACATTAACAATCCATTTGTTTTGCAACCCAGTGAGAGGATTTATTGACTCCTCTGAGCCACGGTGGTGAAAAAACAGGCTGTAATGATGAAAAGCCTTTAGTGATGAAGATGAACGCTTGCATGAGTAAACAGATGAGAGGATGATTCTTACAGTATACAGCTCACAGTTCAATTTGTGTAAGAGCCTTGGTCGTTGTTGATCCGTCACTCGATTAGCGATACCGTATCTCATATACATTTAACCATATAGAGTGAGAGTGAATAGATTTGTTCAACAATGTGATCAATACTAATGCTGATCGCTTTGCTTTCAGTGTGAAAGGGGATCAAGTTACAACAGGATCTGATCACTAAGCCATGTTAGCTCCAAACAGTGCCCTAGTTGGGTTTGAATGGGTAACAAAACCCTGTTACACAACCAGAGTGTGTGTATGTGAACATGAGAGAAACGGCTGAAGGAGATAGTTAGATTAGCCGAGTGTACCGTATGGTCTAAAGGTGAGGGGGAAAAAAAAAAACCACATGTCTTAAGCTGACCCAGATGCAAGAAATTCCAAACTAATTGAGGAAAGCTTTCACTTATCCCTGAATGATGTGTGTGGCAGTCGTGGAACTGCTCCTCCATTCAGAGGCACACAAGTAGAGAGTGAAGAGCTGTGAGTGAAAGGTGAGGTTAGAAAGCCCTGAGAGTGATCTATGTCCCCCTCCTCTCCTCTCTGCTCCTCTCCTCTCTGTGAGGATGCAGTCTGTTTAATCTGTCACTAAGCCCCATCATTCATTGCCTGCTCTCTGCTAGTATCAGTGTCCCTTGCCTTCAGAGTGTCTATCAGACCATATCAGAAGGACATGGTGTGTTCTGGTGGGTACTGCTCAGTGTAGACCAGCCTGCATACTTTCCATTGTTTGACAGCAGCCCTGGCAGCACTCAAAGAGCTAAAGCTATCAGGTGGAGCCTTTTATTGGAGAGTGAATGTAATTGGAAATCCTGGTTTTATGGTACACGATCCAGTTCACCTCTTGATGTTTTTGACCTGGTGACACCTTTAAGTTGCTCATCTGTTTTTCTACATAGCAGTGTGGCTTATTAAGGAATTATATTGACACTCAAATATCTAAATCAAACTTTGTGATTAGGGGTGTCCCGATACAACTTTTTTACTTCCGATACAATACCGATATTATAGACTTCAGTATCGGCCGATACCAGTATTGATCGGATATTGGCACAAACTTGTGCATGACAAGTTTTGCACTCAGCTGCATTGTCTTTTTCGGACTTCAACGAAAAATATGTCACACAGCCGACATCACTCCTACTCTGTGCTACTTTTTACCTTAGTACACACTGCTGTTATGATTATGTGGGTTCTGCATGCTGGATTCGGGCGCTGCTAGATAGAGGCGCCGGAGTGTAGTCTGGAATGGACTGCTTGTATCGGGGTGCTGATATCGGAGATTTGAGATGCAGGCCAATAAAATCCGATCTTCGCTTTTTGCTGATATCGGACCGATATGTGATATCAATATGGTATTGGGACAGCCTTATTTGTGATCCCTCTGTTCTTTATTTTTTTTGTGACTTATCTTTTAAAAGTGACTTAAATGTGCAGGACAAAGTCTCATCCATCAGTTTTTAACAGTCTAAAAGTTCACTTAGCGAAAATCAGTGTTAAGTAAAAATGGTAGTATCAGCAATTTGCAGTTACTACTTTGCTCGATTCTCACTCAGCTGCAGCAGAGAAAGTCAATCTGAATCCTGGTGGTCATGTTTGCTCTTCTAACTCATATAGGCATTAGAGGCATCAATACGAATTTCAGTCTGATCCATAATCAGTCTAAAACCCCTCACAGGGCCTTTAAGCTGGCCTTAGTTGTACTTAACGTTTTGCGCTTATCAGCAAACGTTTCCATGTTTACATCCTAAACTACTATTGTGAGTCTTCGGCTTTAAACTGTGAGGATGTTAATTAGAGAAATTCGCTGTCAGCTAGGCTGTAGTGAAAGTAGCCTGTTTGTTTTGATGATCACTTTGAAACCCTCGCTCTGCTATTCTGCTGTCACCTCCTTGTTTTGTTGGACAACAGGGTGCTTTGGATTGCTACATTTCTTTCCTGGTTGACTGGCTCCCATGGTGGTAACTTACCTGTCACAGGTAGCCATGCTTTTGAGTCTACTAAGTAGGGGTGGGAGAAAAAATCAGTACAGCATAGTATTGTGATATTTTGTCTGGAGACAAGCACAAAAAAACATTTGTGCTATGATCCAACATATTAAACGTAAAATTGATGACTGTAACCTGTTTATCCGTTAATTTGATCATGCACAGTGAGAGCATAGCAATGCCAGCCTGCTGCAAAGGAGAGGAAGAGGAATATCCCTGTTGCTACACAACATAATCATATTTTACTAATGTGATTGAGTCCACACTACCATGAGTCAGGGGGGGGAGAAATGTTAGTTTTCATTGTTTTAACATTTTTTTCCATCTATAAATCCAACACAGGCAGCAGAGTTGCACCTGCTACTTCATCTAGATGTTATCCTGATGAGTTTGTGGGAAACCGTCATGTTGATTAATGCCATAGATTCATATTTCGTGTAGGTTGACTATAAATGTAGAAGTCTGGCCACATGATATCCTACAGGTTTTTTTGAGCAAATATAACAGCCTGAAAGCACTTGGCTCTGACTGATTTCTCTGTCCTGCTACTGTTAACCAATGATTTCATTGCACCCTTAAACCTTTGGTGATGTAAAAAGTCAAGATCTTTAGATAGTCCCACCTCTTCACATGCTCATATATCGTATATTTTGAGACAATTTGAACGAAAACTGGCAAACTTTCCTCTAAAAACAACCTCTTTGTGAATTAGCTCCATTTGCACATGGTCATTACGTTTCCAGTCACATAGTTTGTACTCACTGCTCAGTAAGAACACCTCTCAGCCTCTCTGAGTTTCCAGGGTTGCTATGGATTGAGTTTGTTTGTTTGTTTGTTTGTTTGTTTGTTGTTGTTTTGCAGCACACCGCCGTTCTTCACAGTCATCATCAACATCTCGGTGTCTAAATGCTTGTGGTGTCTGATTTAATTCTGTGAATGATTCAGATCCGTTCGTGACAAGAATAAAACAACAAACGTGTGGCTGTGCTCTTCTTGTAACAGAAATGTGAAAGACTGGCAGTGGTTTTTCAGGCAGCTGGCACCTGTGGCGTTAACCTTTCCTCTCTATAATGTATCTGTAGGTTCCCCTCGCACACATCCACGCTATGTAGGGGTTAGAGTCAGAGAGCAGGGATGGCTTCTTCTGGGGCTGTCGGTGACGTGGCTGCTCTCACTGTGGTGAAGCCCTGTGTTGGCACAAAGCCTCTGGCAACATATATGGGCTTTGTGTGTGTGTGTGGGCACGTGTTGAGCCACTGGTAATTTGCGTGTGGGCTCAGGAACTGCCAAGTGTGTGTGGTGGTAATTGCGTGACTGCGAGTGTGTGTGTGTGTGTGTGTGTGTGTGCCATTATTTACAGTCTGAGCACTTGTCTGTGTGTATAAATCAGCAGGAGGCATTCTTACATCACAGCTCCCCTCAGGCCATCATGCTGTACTCTGATATACACACCACCACCTCCTGCTTGCTGTTTTCTTCCTTTCCCTCTTTCTTGGTCCTGTCGGCCAGTCTGGTCAGGAGTCGTCAGTTCTGGGCAAGAGGAGGATTTTGGAGCCACGACTGCAGCTACCTCATCCTCTTCCAAGACTTTCAGAAAGCAGGATGTCTTCGTCTTTCTCACGCCCAGTCGCTCGTATTTCCTGTCTACTATGGAGCACACAGACTGTAGCTTCACATGTTGCAATAAGCGCCGTGTCCTTTAGATAATTGCATGCACAAGTGGAAACGCTGTCACATTCACTCTGGTATGGCATGTCAAGGTTATAACGGCAGGCTTGCGCGTCCCGTCCTTACAGGGGGAACACAGCACAGTGGGCATACATTAGTAATCCGTGCATGCATTTGTGAAGATCTACATGCATGCCTGTTCCTCTCTGGCTTGTGTCTCTGCTCAGTGCTGCTCCCTGCTAGCCTGAGCACCTCTCTGCTCTCACTTCCATCCATCTGCCTGCGTGGCTGACGGAGCTTAATAAACACGCAGCAGCTTCACAGTGGAAAGCCACGTCTCAGTCAGATCTGTACACCTGTTTTAATGTTTTTCTTTTTTCATGCTAAGTTGTCTGGTCTTTCTTGTACTTTGAGAGTTACTGCTGTCAGCTTTTCCATCAGCTATTGTTGATATGCTTTGATTTCTTTCTCCTATCATCATCATCATCATCATGCTTTTTGCACATTTGAATCAAATCGTACATTTGTCACTAACCACTTGCAGCTGGTCCTCCCAATTTCAATCTGTCAGCATCGGCCTTGGTTTTGCAAACAGCAGCGCCTGCATGTTTTTGCAATGTGTTAGACAGTAACTTGACTTGTGACTCAAAGAGCCAGTGGTGCGTAGATAGTTATTACTCAAGCCAAAAGGAGAGGACAGAGTTGATGACGCTCAGGAGTGTGCTCATTACCTCCTTGCTGACCAGTTAGATTTAACTGCAGGGAGCTGTTAAATGATTACCCACAGTATTTTAACACAGTGATTATACTCCCCTGTGCTCAATTTAAGGATAAATGGGTTCAAATGATTAAATAGTGATTCAAATGATTCACTTAAAGGTATTACAAGACCTCTAGAGTCAATTTGATGGCAGAATTTTTAAAAAAATGAAGGAAATGTTTGATTTTGAAGAGAGAACAGGACAGCGTAGGGCTGGACGATAAACAAAAAATTTACGATACAGAAATTTACGATAAAAACCAACGTCATTTTGCCCGTGCCAATATATTCGGTGTCAAAAAATAGATAAAAGTTGGTTTTAGATGTGTGTAGGTAGGCTATTGTCTCATGTTCCTTTTTAGATGCTGGCCTACATCAGAGATGTGACTTCACCCCATCCAGTCTGTAACAAAGAGGGAAAGACAGGTGAGGCCTCCACAAATCTACAAATGGAGGACGGTCTAAAAGTTGTAGCAGCTGGAGCGGTGGCTGATGTAGACTAGGCATGTGCCGATATGAAAAAGTTGATGTCATGATATTGGTGGTCCAAAATATCACGATCCACGATATTATCAAGATATTAGCGCATTACTGTTAACGTTATTAAAAGTGGCAAAAAACTGCGAAATCACGTCTCTGTCCACAGCATGACATGCACAAACAATATGAGAAAGAGACAGCTTGCGCGGCGTTGGGAGCATTAGCTTTTTGGAGCTAAATTTAGCAGAAACGTCACTAACGTTGTCAATAATAAGCAGCAGAGTAGACCAAACTTGTTGGGGTTGTGTTGTTTTTACCTTGATTTGGGCGAACGATGCTGGATGGTGTTCACAGAGGTGGGCGCGTAGGTTTGAAGTGTTAGACAACGGCTCTGCAACTTCCTTATGGCATAACCTGCAGATTGGTGTCAGGTTTACCTGCTCCGTCTGTTGTGTGAAGCCGTAAAATGTCCATACTGCCGACAAAACCTTTTTAATAGGAGGATACAGCCGAGTCGTTTCGTCATTCTCGGTCTCCGACTGTTCTTGGTCCGGCTGCATCGTTACGTTGATTGGAAGTTGGAACGTGTGCATCAACTTTTTTTTCTTCTTCAAACTGTTTCCGGTTCACAGAGTGGACACGCTCCAACAGTGCTTTGGGTGGCCGCAATGCATTGTGGGTTGCCACGCATTTTGTTGTAAAATTTCTTCATTTTCTCTTTTAATGTTCGAATTTTTGTCAGGCTGGCATTAATGTACTTAATTTGAGAGTTTGTTTTGGATTTGGGACTACTTTTGTGGTGGTTTGTTTGTACATTTTGCTATCGAGGCTTTGACACCGTGGGTAAGACTACAAGCGGGTTAGGTTGGTAAGTACTCGGCTTCGCTCGCCTCCGTTGAGAGACGCTGCCACTCGTCTTTAAATTATAATGGTGGAAAGATTATTACAGTACCTCATGATTTTATCATTGCAGACTTTTAATATCGCATATCCCGATTAAATCGTATATCGGCACATCCCTAATGTAGACAGAGTTAATGTGGGGGGGAGGGTGAGCAGCTTTTGGAGTAGTTATTGTCCATTTATCGTTACTGAGGTGAACTGCTCAATATATCGTGATATTGATTTGAGGCTATATCGCCCAGCCCTAGGACAGTGGACGGAGCAGGAAACAGAGAGTGACATGCAGGAAAGGAGCCACAGGCTGGAATCAAACCTGTGACAACCGCTCGAGGCGTATTAACCCGCGTATGTGTGTGTGGAGGTTCCCACTGTGAACAAGGGGCAGTGTAGCCTGGAGTCAGTCTGCTCCAGACGGTAATAATAACAGGCCTGATTGTAAGCCTCTGTGCCAGTCAACATAGCATGTTTCCATCAGGACCAGAGAGCCTGTCAGCTGTTTCCTAATGAGTGGATTACTGTGTCATTTTGATGTGTTGTTGTGTGAAAGTGTAATGTAAATCCATGGGGGGGCTGACTTGTATTTTGGCCCCGCTGTGAGCAGGTTACAATCAAACAAATGAGAGCTGTCTTTTTGTCCGGTTGCCACCTGTCCGAGGCATCACACAGAGCGCTGTACTAGACATCGTGTGAGTTGAATCGGAGGGCAGAGTATCCAGCGTCAGGATGGGTCTTGTTTGATGTAGCTTCAATTAGGCAGGCAGGGGAGTCGTGAAAAGGACGAGACTGCATGGCTTTGTGAAGTGGGAGAAGATGCAGAGGGAGAAAAAAACGTGGGCACCTCTCTGTCTGTGCGCAAAGAGGACTAAAAACAAACACAATAGTAACCCTGGAATAGCAATTGAAAGCATCGGGAAGCATTTCCAAAGTCCACAGCTCTTTGATGTGCAATCCAAGGGCTTCATAAAAACACAGGCGTAATAAAAATGTGCTGTTCTCTTCAGTCTGCCAGGTTGTGTGAGAGGGAGAGAAGTGAGAGAGGGAAAAAAAAAGAGGAAACAAGAAAAAAGGGGAGAGGACGCACAAACAAGAAGTGAGCTGCTCTCGCAGAAGCCTAAGAGACAGCTGAACAATAAGACTGTGGCTTTTCTATCACCTGAGGATGAATGTGGCGATAACAAAGAAGCCGCAGCTATAGGATGTCTGTCGTAGTGATCATCATGATCACTTTTTGCTGCCAAAAGGAATCTTTACTATCCCTCTGATAAAGATGTCTATCGGTGCCTCTTTGATGGACTGACTTGGACAGAGACACGTCTCTGTGACTGCCTCTGTGTGTCAGCGTGTAAGGATGTGATCAGAGCTGTCTGGTCTGATCCAACAGGAGAGCGACAGAAGATCAGACTACTGGAAAATGCTTTTTCTGGCAAAGAGGTGTCAGATCTCACACTGTGCGTTATAGCTTGTCGTGTTTGGGACTGGCTGACCTGTCAGGTGCCAGCATTGATAGCTACTACAATGAGCATGTGAGCATCAGATAGGGCTGGGCGAAAAATCGAAAATTTATAGATACAGAAATTTACAACAATAACCAATGTCATGTGTCAAGAAAATAAATAAAAATTGGTTTTGGATGTGTGTGGATAGGCTATGGTCTCGTGTCCCTTTTTTAAGATGCTGTCCTATTTCAGAGACGTGACTCCACCCCATCCAGTCTGTAACAAAGAGGGAAAGACGGGTGTGGAGATGGAGGACGGTTTGAAAGTTGTAGCGGCGGCTGAAGTAGACAAAGTTCATGTGGGAGGGGGTGAGCAGCTTGTGTAGTAGTTATCGTCCATTTATCATTATCGAGGTGAACTGCTCAATAAATTTTGGTATTGATTTGAGGCCATATCGACTGGCCCTAGCATCAAGATTGAACGACAGTGTGACATAAAGAGGTGGCCTGAAGGAACACAACAAGTGTGCATTGTTTCATGGTCTTGAAACTAACCTAGACCTCAATCTAGTCAAGCTGCTCTGAGATGTTAGACAACCAAGTCTGATTCATGAAGCCCCCTGCGTCACAACTCTCTGGACTTCAAGAAACTGCTGCTAACATCTTGGTGCCAGATACCACAGCACACCTTCAGGGGCCGAGTGGAGTCCAGGTCTCTTAATCAGGACCGTTGTCGCTCTGAGCTGAGGAGAAGAGGCTGTACACAATATTAGGCAGGTGCTGGTAATGTTATATGTAAATATATTGACTATCCAGAAGAAAACAAGCCCATCATATAACTTTTATCTAACATTTCATCCTGTTAATGGTTAAGTGTGTATATATTACTTACGCTCTGTACCGAACCTTGTTAAAACATGTCCACAAACAAAAATGATAGGCATCATATTGTACGTAAGCACCATGTCCAGGTAGCGTCTAAACAGGGCTCAAGAAGCAGTCTGAATGATTTGCAGCTCTTGAACGCAGCAGTTCTGCAGTGTTAGAGCTCCCTACCCTTCCTGTGACGACAGAGGATAATGGTTATTGTGTTCACTGTGAACACGCTTTGTTTGTGTTGAAACAGAAATGAGTCAATAGTTAAGAAGGTCGTTTTCTGATATTAAATCTGTCAAATTTTATGTGCATAATCATTTTGTGATTTTATATTTCCTCTTTTGTTCACCCCTCTGTCAGGATTTTGCAGACTCTGAGGCTTTTTGCCCCCAGATAGATCCCAGATTCAGGGCAATCTGGCTGCAGCACTTTTAGGATTTAGCTTGAGGATATTTCCAGACGTTTGTTTATAGCGTTAAGCCGTTAACAGACCATGTTCCTCTTTTCCTCCCCCTGCAGTCTGTTTTTATGTCATCACTAAGTTTTCCAGGCCTTCCAGCAGACAGCAAACACACATTAAGCTATTAAAAGCCCTTCAGCACTTTGATTTTAGAAAAGTCCTCTTTGCACCTAGCTTGTCTAATCTCCTCTGCTTGTGTGTTCTCCTTTTTAACTCTGTTTAGTCATCATGTTTTTTTTCTGCTGTCATCACATGGTTGTAGACTTCCAGGCACTTAAGGGAGAAGGAGATGGACCATTAAAGATGACCACTGAACATAAACCCTAGAAAGATGAATGTGGCTTTAAAGCTGTCACCTTACAACCTCACTGTTTTTGCTTAGTTTCTGGATGAACAACATAACATAAGCTCAACTTGTTCAGTCCTCCTTCCATCACTGACACAAATCTTGTGTCTGTCCTGCTCATTGCTAGCTTCCCAGAACAAAGCAGGTGTTGACACAACACTAGAACAACTGTAGTAGCAAGTCATGTTTATAGTCGATGTTCATCATGGGTGACTTCGAAATGGCTCCTCTCCTGTAAAGCTTCTATTGTCTGGTTTTCTTGTGTATGACACTGGTCTGGTGCCAAGCTTGGTTGTCCGCTCGCCGCCTATCTCTACTTGGATATCTGCTTAAACTACATTTAATCCTAGACACCTCTTAATCTTTGGCTTTTATACAACCAGAGCTCACTTCAATTGTGCAACCTCTAAGTGATATGGTGTAAACCTGATAGAAGTTTTAAGCTTGGAAACAGTTAGCAAGGTATTTACTACGGCCTGACCGATTTATCGGCGAGCTGATTAAATCGGCCAATTTTAGCCCATTTGAGACTAATCCGTAATCGGCCAAAACACGCCAATTTGCGCCGATATTTTAAGAAATAAAATGCGGAGAATAAGATTCAGTTTAACTTCGAAAATGTTCCGCCATTTGAAAAGTTCCCCAACTTATCCTGTAGATGGCGCAGCGACCTCATGACAAACTTTATGCACTAACTAGTAAGGTAGGTATTTGAAAACGCTTTTCTGGTCCGAGTTTGATCAGACGGTCTTCAAAAAATTGGCCGATTAATTGGTAATCGGATCCCCCCCCATAATCGGTATCAGCATCAGCCCCATAACATCCATATCGGTTGGGCCCTCGTATTTACATGTCTCCCAGACTTGGTAAGGGGTTAGTAATATGAAAGTGTAGTTTGGGAAGAAGACACTAAAAGTGCTTCACAGAAATAACTATTTAATGCTGTACATACTTGTCTAAGCATTGTTTATTTTTATGAATGGCTGATATATTTCTAAGAGGTGTTTAAGAGCAGAAAATTGCTGAACGCAATAGTAGAGCTCAACTACGACTCCCAACAAACAAATCCCACAGCTGATGCTTTTTAGTTTTTGCGCAGCAATGTTTGCATCAAAACCAACAGCTCAATTAGTCATAAAGCACATGTGAATTTGTTTTTTTTACAGTAACATAATCCAGTTGTCCTTTCTATACCAAAAAAGTTCAGCATTTCTATTTATTAGGATGTATTATTAACTATTATAGCTGTAAAAAGTTGAAAATGCATACCAAAGAAAAGATGGGAAACAAAGTTACTGATTACTCCTGTGAAACAGTTTGATGTTTCAGTTACAGTGCAGATACTTTGGCTTTTTAATATAAATCTACTATTTTTATCTTTTATAATACTAAATAAAGAGTAAGTTAGATTGTTATTGCAAACTCTTCAAGTTTTTACACTTGTATGTGTTGATTTGTAATGATAACACTTACTCTACCCAGTACATCAGCCATCCCGTCTGCCCCCTGGTTGTAAGGTTTCAAGTCCTGAATCATCGGGCTCAGATCGCTGTCAAGATTTATCACAATTCTGCCAGGATGATGAATAGGTTTTGTTGTCTAATGCCCACTGCTGGCTCACGGATAATTTCAGCGATCTTGGCTGTAGCTCAGGTTGTGTTGCCAGCGGCAGAGGCTGGGATTCCCCCAGAGGGTCGTAGCAGTGAGGAGGTGTAAACAGCCAGCTTTCCTCTTCCTTCCTCATCACTCTTTGGGTTTCTTCTCAAGGGACCTTTCTACAGGTGTCTGCTCCGGCTGCGTTTGCCTCTGGAGAATCTCACTCATGAGTCAGACAGGCAGATTCAAACATATTATAAACTGTCAGAGACTTTCTTTGCTGTACTGTTTAAAGAGACTACGTCAACATGCGTATATGTTTAAAAAATGCTCACTCCGACTCATATCCTCATCAGACACAAAACTGAGACACATCCTTTTGCAGCACTGGGATCAAGTTTCCCCTGGCTCCTGTAATCCCTACAGGTTTGGTTAAATGTCAAGTTGCTTTTAAAATTGTTTTTGTGCTTTACCTGTAAGCTGTATAGATGACATGACAGTTGCACAAAAGTGAGGCCGAATCATTTAAAGTTCCTTTATTGATTAATATGGGACATGACTATTGTGACTCCATCAGCTAGCCTTTTACTCTGGCTCCAGTAACTAGGGGTGACCTGATACACATTTTTTACTTCCAATTTGATACCGATACTGTAGCCCTTAATATTGGCCAATACTGATATTGATCTGATACTAGCACAAACTTGTGCATGACAAGTTTTGCACTCAGCTGCAATGTCTTTTTCAGCCTGCCACACGGCTGACATCACTCCTACTCTTTGCTACTTTTTAGTGCCTTAGTAAACACTGTTGTTGTGATTACCTGGATCTGGGTGCTGCTAAATAGAAGTGCTGGAATGGAGTTTGAAATGGACTGCTTGTAAAGGAATACTGATATTGGAGATTTTAGATGCAGGCCAATATAAACCGATATTTGCTTTTTTCTTTTTGCTGATATTGGACCAATATCCGATATCAATATTGAATTAGATGCAGGCTGATATAATCTGTTATTGGTTCTTTTTTTTTTTTTCAGATATCGGACCAATATCTGATCTCAATATCAAATTAGATGCAGGACAATATAACCCGATATTGTTTTTTTTTTTGTGCTGATATTGGACAGATATCCAATATCAATATCGTATTAGGTGCTGGCCTATATAATGCGTTTTTTTTTTTGTTTTTTTTTTGCTGATATCAGACCGATATCCGTTATAAATATTGTAATAGATGCAGGCCGATATAATCCGATATGGGTTTTTTGCTGTTATTGGACTGATATCTAATTTCACTATCATATCGGGGCGTGCTTATCAGTTACATCATCAGGGCAATATGGCAGTGGACACAAGTTTACTATCTTTTGCCAGAGTCAAGTTGTTTTATACTTGATTATGAGTAAATTATTTTCAAAAGAATCACTTGACTAAGCATTGCCTCAGCAGATAGCTCTTACAGACAGGAATAGGAAAAGCACTATAATTTACCCCATCAGTGCTCCGTTCATGTCACATCAGTTCAAACACAATAACAGGCATCAGGAGCAGCAGCTGTTGGCAGCGTTTTTTCGCGCACACAAACAATCAGATGTCAGATGAGGCTGCATTTCACTGCACATGTGGACTCAGTGTTTGTCTTTGTGTCAGAGTTACTGGGTTTCTCCCATTCAGTTTTGTCTCTTTAGACAATGGCTCTTTGGTTTGGGATTGAGGGGGTGGAGAAATGACCTGGTCTGGGGCTGATCTTGGAGGTGGAGGTCCAGAAACAGAAGACTACTGTTTGATTTTAATGGGTGATTCTCAGGTAAGTTTTATGTCAGGGTAGCAATTCAGAAAAACCTAAAACTTTAAACACAAAAGGGTGTCTTGCATAGTTAGGTTTTGGGTTAACTTTGATAAAGTCTAAATTAAATTCACTACCTGCTTGCCTCCTCCCTCACTCTTCTGCGGTGTCCTTAGTTCACCTGAGCACTCCCTTAGAACATGATCCTGCATACAAATACCCGTACACCAGTGCAATCTTAAGTCTCTCAGTACACTAACATTTGGCAGCAGATGGAAGAGCTGACAAATGATTCTCATGTGAGATCAGAGGAATAATCGTCTTTTCAGCCCCAGCCTGTAGAGTCATTTCAGCACACAGCTTAAGCCTGGAGCTCCTTTATGAAGAGCAATGAGTAGCTCAGAGTGAGTGTAAACAAAGAAATGAATCAGGAACAGAAACCCCAACAAAGCACAGGACCTTGTTGATCACTTCAAGGTTCTAGAGAATTGTGGGTATCTTTTTAATAATGAAAGAAAATTCATTAAAAAATCAAGCTGTTCAGGAGTTTCAGTGTACCCTCTTGTCAGCAGAAAACTCCTCGGAGTGATTCTCTCTGTAACAGTTGCTGTCTATCCCAAAGTGGTCGGCTAATGAACCAGCAGAGCTCATTACACAATATGGCTGCTTGATACAGGAAAAACTATTTTTTATGCTCAGGTTTGAAGTTAATTTTCTGTGTTTAAATCAGGTCTCCTCCCTTCAGCCCCCCTGATCTGGGCTCTGACACCTGCATGGGGAGGTGGTGAGACATGAGAAGGGAGTACAGGAGACACTTAGGTTGCTTCATGAACTTCACTAATTGGCACAGTTTAGCTTAAGAAATCAGTGATTTGTGATGGTTTCAGAGAAAGTTTATCTGCGTCACTCGCCTCCTTTTAATTTGTAAACCTTTGAGGGTCTGCCGGGGTTCTCATGACGGCAGCAGTTATGAGACTCAGCAGTCAGTTTACTGAAGCAGACTTTTGCTGTGGATCCATCATGGAAAACCAGGGTGTAAAGTCATGGAGTGGCACTGTCCCTTTAACCACCTTTTCCAACTCTGCAGCAGAATCTGGTGGCAGCCAATGTAGCCTAATGTGATAAAGTACTAAAAGCCCTCTGTGTTTTCTTTCTGTGCTACCATTAAAACATGTTGATGCAAAGTGGAAGCCTCATTCAGAATGGATGTGCTCTCTGAAAGGTCTTACAATAATAAATATGCATCATTGTTAACTGCACATAGGTATTGTACTCCATTTCTGCAGATAGTTCATCTTAGTCTTGCACACAAACCCCCTTTAAGTCACAAGAGTGGAAAAAAATGTGTATTGTAGTGTTTTGGTCCACACATGAAGTGTTTATAGGAGAGAGAGAGAACCCCAGACCCAGCTGAGGGCTCAGAGGTCCAGTGCTGCGTTGCTTCAGGGGTCTCGTCTTCATGTCTTGACCCCACTGTGTTTGATTAGGTTCAAGTTCTGCCTTCAAACACAGTCGAGTCCCGAGTAACAAAAAACTGTTTTGGCCTAGATGACTCTTTTTTGCAAGCTGTGTAAGCACAGGAAACAGGGACATAACTGGGAATTTTCTTCACATGCAATATGTTTGGGAATCCTGCAGACAAACAGCTGTGGAGACTGCATACCAGCTTCTATCCCTGTAGTACAGCTGAGTACACATGCATGACATGGTTACAGCATAGTGTCTGTAAAAGAAAAATCCTTTTTAAATATTTAACGCATAGGTTTTATTTATTTTTTCTGTTGACCAAAGCAAACTATCTACTGAAACTCCACGTATTAAAGTGAAGGTACTCTATCTGTTCAAATTACATCCTCTAATAAAAGAAGATGAAGTAAACTATTATATAATCAATCAGTTTAAGAGTAGACTAATGGAACTGTTGGCACCAATGGATTTCCTATATTTACAGAATTGACTGATTAATGATTATTATCGGCATCAGCCACCACCAGGCCGATATCACCATTATCTCCTTAAAATGATTATACCTCTATCTCGTCACCCATTAGCCCCATATTTAATCTAAACCGGCCAATGACTGGTGTTTTAATCTTATTTTGTGTTGTAATATTCAGCATCGACTGCAAAATCAGCCATGTTTAACAGCCTATCACATGACCCAGTATCTGTGTCTCTCCAATGATTCATTAAACTCCATCTAAACTGTATAATTGGCTAAGTAAGACAACCATGTAAATTAGATTTTGATTAACTATTCACTTCTGTTTTGTACCTTTTTTAGTACTATTAAATTATTGAAATATATCAGCCAGTTCATAATTAGTATCGGCACCAGCCTCTTAAAAGCTGTAATCAGTTGACTGTGATTGCAGGTTTAATTCATAGGTAAAAATCTATGAATGAAATAACTATCAAAGATGTCACAACTTGTTTTCAACATAAAAAAACAGAAACTACATCTTCAGGTATCTCACAGCAAGGACAATTAAAACCTGTAATACCTGTTGGCAAGCTTTCCCCACATGAAGCTTGACCCTAAGTAATTACAGGTTTTCAAACTTTCCATCAGCCAATCAGAGAGATTCATCTCCATTAGGATTCCTTACCCTGACAGGACTTTTCATTAACCAGATACACCTCTCAAGTCTTGAGACAGACTCTGGATTCTGACTCACTTTCAAAGACTTTGAAACGTTTTGGTTAAAGATTAATTTTCAGGTGAGGAAATCTTTTCCCTCTTGAGGCAACTCCAAAGGTTTATGAGGAAGGTCAAATGAAGGAGTTTAGCTTTTTGAATGCAGTGTGTATGCTAACATTTGTGGTTTGTTTGGTTAGAGGAAACTTTCACCGAATTACTTAACCATCTGTTTAAATCACCTTGGCAACCAGAGTGAAGCGTTAACCTGGAATCGATTTGCTGATTTCTCACTCTGACTGACCTCACTCTGCTGTTTCTCATGTAGACCTGCTGCAGACTTACTTACTACAAAAGGGTTTGTGCCACCTCTTTGCCACACAAGATTCACGTTTCATTCACAAACACAACCCTACCTGTAACCAAATCCACCCCCCTCAGCATTGTTTTTTTTCTACAGCGTCAGTGGATCATATTTAGTTCTGTTTGTCTCTTAGTGAGGGCGCAGTCTCTAGAGAGAGGAGTTTGTGTTTGTCTTGAGATTTTAAATCACCAGAGCAGTTTTGGATTCTTAAGGTGGTGATTGATTTTGGCCGAGAATGAGGAGAGTGTGTGAGCTGGTTGGTCTCAAGACAACAGCAAGAGGGCGAGAATCTAAGCACAAAAAGGTAATACTCAACCTCATGGTGGTGGTGTTCAGGGCATCTACACTTAGTGGTACTGGCACCCAAACAAAACTGTTCCTTACTCTCTCACACACACACACACACATACACACACAAAGTAACTTCTAAGAGGGGGCATCTGCCATTTTAGTAGGGGTGGGAGAAAAAAATCAATACAGTATAGAATTGCGATATGATTTTTCTGGTGATATATCGTATAGTCTCATTTACAAAGTATCAATTTTTCATATTAATCTCTAAGATGAAGTCAAATCTATGATAATGGAAAAATAAAATCAACTTTTTCCAGTGAGGTTGGCAGAGGTAGAGCAGAGGAAAGTTAGTACAACAAATATATAAATAAGGTTTGCAAGATGTGCTACATGAAAATAAAATACTGTGTAAACAAGACAAACATAAGGAAAGCCAAATGCTAAATTTGATAACTGTTGAATAAATTTTTACAAACTGCAATGTATTGTATCACAATGCTCACTGTATTGCAAAATGTTTAAAATCGCAATAATATCGTATCGTGGCCCAAGTATCGTGATAACACCGTATCATGGGGCCTCTAGTGATTTCCACTCCTAATTTTAAGTGCTTTGAGCTCTTTGCTTTCAAGAATCAGTTACTGACTAAAAAAATAAAAAACATTTGTGATATGAAAATCTACAAAAGTGAAACTTATTTTATTATTACTTAGCTATGTCACCCATGCCATAATGTGTTAAACCATGATGAAATCTTTGAATGCCAATTCTGCAGATGCTATGCAGGGGTTAATTCCGTAGCCCTGTTCAAATACCCTTTTAATCTTGGTAGAGGAAGTTGCTGGTTCAGCAGGAGAAAGAGCCGTTCAAGTATCATATCTCAACACATTAGCTGCTGCAGTACATCTGTGCATGTTTGTTTTGTTTCTGTCTCGCCCCAAGGGAGTCATGTTGTTTCACCAGGCCAGCTCAGACGGTCTCCCCTGGTGTTCAACTAGCCTGTTGTTCAGCCCAAGATCCCCTGCCCTGTCCTCAAACATTGCTTCATAGCTCAGGGTTGAAAAGAAAAACCAACTTTCCAACTCTGTACTCAGAAGGTGGAGATTTTCTGGTGTGTATGGAGGGTATTTTCTTTAAAACAGCAGATGAAACACAAAGCCTGTTTGTGATCTGTGAGGTCAGACGTGTGCTGTTGTTACACCATCCCAACACACAACTGGAATAATCCTTTTTCTTGTCCCTCTTCTACCTTGGTTACATCATTATTTTGTAAACGAGTAAATCATTGTGAAAAAAAGAATGCTGGTAGCGTTGTTATCTAACAGTGAGCAAATGTGTGTGCTTCACTTGAACTCTGTTTTTGTCATGTGATTTTGAGTGAAAGAACAGGAGCAGGCTGGGTAATTTCTACTTTTGTCAATAACACTTGGAGTGCTAGTGTGAAGCCACAGAGCGCCGTACTTGAATTTGATTTTTTCATTGTTGCTTAGCAACATTTTGAGCCCTCATCTGCATTGTAAACACGCATCTGTCCCAGGCTATAAGGTCAAACACAAGTGTGAGTATGCTGTGCGAGCTCTTGCTAACAAACTCAGTCCATCACAGGGATTACTTGAATCTGGATTCCCTCCTTGTGTCCAGCAAAAAGGGGAAACTCTGAATCAGTTCTCTTTTAATGAGGCCCAGCATCCCAGTTTCCCAGTTTCGTTGCTTAGCACACACACGTTTACACAAAGCTGTGTAGAGGTGGCAGTCTGCAGTAAGCTCCCATGTGTCTCAGTATTGAGTTTACATTCATTATTCACGTCTCATTTGCCTCCCAATCAGTCTGCAAAGTGCAGATGACAGAGATCATGAAGAGGTGTACGATGGAGTCTGGCTGTAGTTGATATTACAGAAATAAACGGTGTTTTGTTCTGTTTGCCTCACTTTTTTCAATTAAGAATAAGAGGTGAAGAAAATCAAACCCTGTGTCATAAATAGGAGTTTTTTTTTCTGCCTCTAGCAGTTCTCTGTATTTCACACACATTGATTGAACTCCACATAACGATTTTCCAGCCTCTGTTTTGGAAAATAAGCTTTGGATGAGGTGCTGAGTCATGTAGACCTATTCCTAGGTGGCACTCTAATGTGCCAGTACAGAGACTAAAGTGTTGCTGCTTCCATTAGTTTGCCTCGCTGCCTCCCTTATACAAGATATAATAACTCTCTGCCATGTCAGGTTATTATGAAATCATGGTGGGAGGGTTCAGATTTGCTGTAGGTATTTTTTTTTTTCTGTTTTTTTATCATGCTATGTCACTCCTCTGGCATTAATACCATGAAAACTAAGGGCAGGGGAGTGAGCTGCAAGAACAGCTGACTGGCATTTGTTTGGTAGGTTGTTGTAAGCGGCTGTGGATTAGCACATCAGCTCATTCACTGCCTTGCTTTAAATCCTAAAGTCTCATTGTGGCAAGTGGAAATAGAGATTAATGAGGTTTTTCTCTTTTGTTTCAGTCAAATACTGGCACAGTCAAGACCGTATGTAGGCCTATTTTAGGTGAATTGATAGTTTTGATCTGTCTTGCTGTTGCTGCTTCAGTGTTGTGCACCAATAATTATGCCAACTCTTTTTACCTGCCAATCACAAGCCACAAATCAGGCATAAAATCCATGTAATGATGAGTATATTTAGATGTAGCCATTCAATTGAGTTAGTTACCTTTAGTAACCAGCTTTTTGCCTTCATTTTATCCAGTAATAAAAAAACTACTGTGTCATTTTTTCTGGCTGTACTCGCTGTTCTGGGCCTTGAGCAAACCTGTGATAATCTTGTCCCAAAACCATGTCATAAGCTCTTGTATGCCCTGCTCCCCCTGAGCTCCCAAAATGAGTCTCAATCCTTTAGTGCAGCGCTGAGCTCCTAAAGCCCCTCATCTAACCTGCATCTGATAAACCTGAAGTGACCATTAGCCCTATTATAGCTGGTTATAGGATTCAGGCTTATTAGCACCATTAGCTCGCCCCTGATTGATGTCCTGGAGTAGAGTCGGGTCGCTGTGGTGTAGGGTCTGCTTTTTTATTCTTTATAATATTCTCACTTGAAATAAGTCAAATCTTTATGGCCAAATAGTTCAGTAGCTTTCCAATTGGCATACCTATTTTGTATCTATTCATGGTCCCCAGATGATCGTTTCTCAGTACTTCGTTTAGCTCGCAGGTCAAATCTGTGATGGGAAATACTTATTAACCACTGTGTGAGTAGGCACCAAGATTAGCGTGTACATTCATAGTTACAAGAAGATGCATCTTTTGGTGTTTAGTGAGTCCCTGACATTTCTGCTCGAGTTAACCCTGAGGTTAGCAGACTAACAACCATTGGACGGATTATCATGGAATTTAGTGTCTGCATTTATGTCCCCCACTAAATGGATTGTTGGATCAGAGGCTCTGGGTCAAAAGCACAAAAGATTAGGGCTACAAGAAGAGAAAAAAAATTATTACAGGAGGGAGATTTTTTAAATTTTCATTTCGAGATTAAAGTCGAAATTTCGAGATTAAAGTCGAGTTTAAAAAAGTCAATATTGCAAGTTTAATCATTTCGACTTCAATCTCGAAAGTTCAACTTTAATCTCAAAGTTTCAATTTTTGAATCTCAAAATTTTGACATTATTCATGACGTTTTGTTATCTCGAAATTTTGACTTTTATCTTGAACTTACAATTTTTAATCTTGAGACTCAGACTTTATTGACATAATTTTGTTGGGTTTTTTTTATCTTAAAATTTTGAATTTAATCTTAAAATTTAGACTTTAATCTCCTTCCTGTAATAATTTTTTCTCTTCATGTGGCCCTAATCCCCTTTCATAGTTTTCTGGCCATAGACGCTGAATACCAGGCAAGTACTTGGTATTTAGGATCATCATGCAGTAAGAAATTCACGATAGACTAAAGCTTTACTTTCCACTTGACCTAATGTCGATATGTGACCAAACACCAGCAAAATTAAAATCATTTCCTTCAGTCAAAGCTGTGGTGCTAAACCAGGTTCATGTACATGGTAAACATTCGCCCCACTTGTATATGAGCAATGATACCATTAGCAGGCTAACATAAGCATTTTCCTCTCTCTGTCCTGTGCTAAAATGCAGGGTTTGAGCTCTTAACATAGCTTTTCACTTTTTCTTCATTTTTATAAATCAAAGTTTACCACTCTTCGATGTTTGTGCTTTTGGGGCTTTGTTTTTTTTTTCGTTAACAAGGCCTCCAGAAGCCTTAGAAGAGGTCCAACTAAAGAAATTATCAAACTGTGCCCCACTTTAGGAAATCTTTAGATTTAACTTTTCAGATTTTGAGCTTTAAATTCAATGTTCTTTAGTTATCTGTCAGGTTTCCAATATTTGGTCTTCACATATACCCTTTGGGGTCATCTGGAGCCAAGCTTTGCTTCTGTTTTTGATGCACGCAACTCAGGGACCCCAATCTCTGAAACAATCAACAATTAAACATGAAAACAGAGGTAGGAGAGAGGGAGAGAAAAAGAGAGAGAAAGAGAGAGAGAGAGAAAAAAAAATAAAAGGAAAGGGAAACAATTCATCGCATTGTGTTTGCCGGCACATGGTTGGACCAGTTTGGGCTGGATTGCCAGGAAGCAGGAGCTAAAAGGAGGCAGAGGGAGAGAGGTGGCCTAAGAAATGATCAGACCTTGAAAGACCTGGTCCCCTCAATACACAAAGCCTTCAATCAGGTGTACACAATACTTACAGCATGCTGAAGAAGAAAAAAGATGGGGAAAGCAGTGCGCCCTGTGTGAAAAAGGTAAGAAGTAAAGGAGAGGATGGATGAAATCTGAAGAGAAAATCAGATCAGGTACTGGATCTGTAAGAAAAAGCAAAAAGGTGGAAGTCTCAGGGAACTGTTCCCTTGCTTGTTTATAAAGGATGCAGTTCTTGTTCAGTGACAGCTGTACAGTACCATCGTAGACCTCTGTATCCTCATATTTTTGTTGGTGTTAGCCACGGGGGAAGATCTGATAAATGATGGAGTGTCCCTGTCAGCAGGATAAGAAAAAGTTTGAGCTGTTGATGATTTTGTGTGTCGATGTGAATCCTCGCAGCGATGACTCAAATGTGCTTTGTGATGGAACGGCAGCTTCCTCGTGTGTGTTACTTGCTGAATGCCTCACATGTTTTGTGAATGAAGACACCCACTTACACACACTCACATACACACACACACACACACACAGGCTCAGCTTTCTGGTATCTGATGTGCAGGATGGCCTCAACTGCCAGGGTTTTCATTTAGTCATTTCTCTCTGACAGGAATCTCAAAATATTTGCTGGTGTTGTAGCCAAGGACAGTCTTTGAGCAAGAGCAGTGATAGAGGAAGGAAATGAACAAGGAATGACATCCGTCCTTCTTTATTCATCCAACCTTTTGAAGCTTTTTCTCAACCTCGGTCAGGACACTGTGACAAAGACGACCGTGCACTTTCTCAGTGCACTCGTAAATGATCTCTCTGACATAAGTGTTAGTCAAAAACTTCTGTGTAATTGATGGAAACTCATGCTTCAGTGCATGCACCACCGCTTGCATGTGGAGCTCTTGTTTTACGGTTTTATGATTGTAATAAGTCAGCTTTTCCTAAGTAATGCTCATACATGATGCAGTGAGCCATGATTTGATATTGGAATAAATTAATAAAGTGATATGGCTTAAAACCAAGATAAAAAAACCTCATGCCTGCCAACGCTTTAACAGAAACAGGACAATCTGTCCTCTGTGTCAAGTGTTTGTCTGGCCTTGTAGCCGGTCGATCATTGCGTCATTGTCTCTGTTATCTTTTAAGAGTCAGGGTGAACTCAAAAGTGGCCCCTCTCCTTAGAGATGGCAATGTTTTAGTTATGTCTATTCCCTTTATCATCATTTTTAAACGTCTTATGTTGTTAAGAATAAGCTCCACTTACGTAAACACTTGATATTTATATATCTTGACCGCCTTGGTGGTCATGCAAAAGTAATGCACTTTTACATAGTCCAGCATGTATTTTTAAAGAGTTTCAAAAGTTATTCTGACATAAAAAACAATTACATGTTCTTGTGATATTCTTTAAAACAGTTGTACAATCTGAATCAGAGTGCTGATCTCCGACCTTTCTCTGCCCCCTGTTGTCCAGCAGATCCAGTTTGCAGATCAAAAGCAGGAGTTCAACAAGCGACCCTCCAAGATCGGCCGGCGCTCTCTGTCCCGCTCCATCTCCCAGTCATCTACAGACAGCTACAGCTCAGGTAAACACACAACTCATACTTTCATAGACATGCTGTGAGTATAACGTCTGTAAATGAATGTTTCTTACCAACACTATGGGCACATTTGAGATTACCACAGACATATTTAAAGCATCAGAAATGTTTTTTTGATAATTACAGGATAGACAAAGTTTCTTAAAGAAAAAGTGATGAGGAAAATAATGCTTGCGGAGATTTAGAAATGGTGTAATTGCTCAGTTTGTCCAGCAGAGCTCACTTCCTCTCTATAGTTAACAATGTTCTCATAACTCTCAGCACTCTGCAGCACATGTAGCAGGTGATCACAGCCAACCTGACCAGCATGGTTGGAAATGAAATAACACTTTAAAAAGTTTATATTTATTTGTATATACTTCAATCTTCCTCTTAAAGTTGATAATACAGAAAAAAAGTATATATATATATATATATATATATATATATATATATATATATTAGGCCTGGACGATATAGAAAAAAAGCATATCGATAAAAAATAAATCATATTGATCGATATCGATAATTATCGATATAATTATTATAATTACTTAACATATATTTTAATTGCAGCCCTGGATGTTTTATGCTATTGCTTAATGACCTACTTTTAATAAAGAACACACAAGCACTGAATTCAAATTCAAACCTTTATTCAACCACCTTTTTTATTTTACCACAACTGAAAGTTTTTTAAAAAAGAACTAAAAAAAGAAATCAACTTAAGTGGCCTGAGTGACGTCAGTAAATACTGACAAACATAAAGACTAAAGTGACCAGAAAATCTGATAAATAAATATTTAAATAGTCTTTTGATGAAAATAAACAAAACAAACAAATATATATATAAACAGAATAGCTTTAGGTGGGAATAGCATACTACCAGTTTTAACTGTGTGGGAAACTGCCCACAGCCTGGTGTCTGAACACTGAAATATTTCTCCCGGGGTCGGGAGATTTATTTTAATTATCATGTGATTGACTTAATACACAAACTAAGCACGAGAAGCAGGACTTATCCACGCCGGTGTTGTGTCGTAGAATGCACCCCTGCCGAATGCACCCCCTGCTAGTAGCCATGATCCAAATACTCGCGTCTTTGTAAAATATGAGCTCATTTGAACGTATTTCCTCCGCACCCTTCTCACCTTTTCAACCCCTGACCCATTTTCATGCCTGAAGCGCTGTGTTTGAGAAATACTTGCGGCCGGGCACTTCATATCGCGGGTCGAGAGTGCCTAGAAGCTGGTCGAAGCCAGGCTTTTCAACGGTAGTTATTGGCAGTATGTCCCTCGCTATGAAGCATGTTACTGCATGGGTGACGTCCTTATGCCGCTCGGACGCTTTGTCGTATTTTGACAAGAAACGAAGTCCAGTTTGGTCTGCTTCACATGCTTTGTGCTGGTGCTGGCAGCGGTTCCAGAGGATTCCTCCTCCGACGACGACGTGGAGCCGCGGCGCGGCCGACACAGCTCGTACTCCTGCGGGTGCGATCGGTTTAGATGGTAAAACAAGTCGGTTGTGTTACCAGACTTGGTTTTTACTACTTCTCTGCAAATTTTGCAAACGACCGCTGTTCGCTTTTTGTCAGACTTCTAAAAACCAAAACACTGCCATGCTAGAGAACTACTGAGACCTTTTTTCGGGACAATGTCCTCCGCTTCTCCTTGCTGTAACATTTTTTCTAATACACGTGCTGTCTGTTGTGGTTTGATAGGGGCTGGGCTTGGTGCCGTAGCGTACCTGGGTCTGCGTTTGTGATTGGTTGGGAGGAAGTAATGACTGTAGTAAAAGCTACATGATAGGCTATGATGAAAAAGAAAGGGAAACTGTGTTTTTCTATCGAACTTTTTATCGACCCGTTTTTTTTCTATCGCACCACACGTCTATCGATCGATATATATTGTTATCGAATTATCGTCCAGCACTAATATATATATATATATAAGTCTAATTTTCCCAACACCGATTTCTCTAGAAGTAAGCCTTACTGACTGTGTGTGCTTCCTTGTCTGTTCTTCTCACACTCTGGACACTGTGGTTCATGAGAAACCTCAGGCTCTGTGTTAAAGGATTAGCTGCTGCTGCTGGTTAAAAGAAGAGGGGGGGGGGGGGGGGGCAGCTGGGAAGTATTGGGTGTTGTTGAAATTGAACTGACTCACCTGTTCTCAAGTACAAAGAGACTAAAGACCACTTTAGACCACCACCATAAAGGGATACCAAAGAAATTTCTCTTTTATGAAGAAAATGATAGAAAAATCCAATAATGAGAATGTCCTGTTTTTAACGACAGCTTTGAAAGCCTCTTATTCTGAACAGTAACTTCACCTGCATCTGTAAACTTATTTCACATATAGAGTCTTACATTTTATACTTGGTACTGAACTTCCTGACCTTGGTCTGTAGCTTTAAGATAAAAAAAAAGGAGAACTGCATCCTCTATTTCAGTCCGTTTCTAAGGTGAGAATTGAATTTGTCCGAGCTTCTCTCTTACACCCCCTCTTCTCCTTTCTTCACTCTCTCTCTGTTCACTTTTCTTTGCCTCTCTTTTTCACCCATGTCATGCAGCCAGATAAGGGCTCATTAAATCACCTTCCCTCTCCAGCCTGAAGCTGTCAGATCATGACTGAAATAATGATCCGGAGACTTTTTCCACTTACGGATGATAATGAGAGCACTTGGTCCACATTTATTTCACTTAGTGGTTTATGAAGCTCATTTTTAATAGTTGTGTTCACTTCACTAGTGAGAGCAGCTAAATAGAGTGAGACGTGTCACTGCCAATGATTTTCATATTATTTCCAGTCACATACGGATCCAGTAACTCCACTTGGAGTTTTTAAAAACTTTATTTTCCTGATTCCCTGTCCTCTCCTATACTTCCCTGAACTCCATGCTGCTTATTTCACTGATTGTTGCCACAGTGGAAAGGACACACTCAACTCGCCAGTAATTTGTTTCCCAAGATCCATGTCTCCTTGGTAGCACCTCAGTTAAACTTTTTTTTTGAGAAGAAGAAGAAGAACTTTATTGATTTATTATCTTATTTATTAACTTTACTTTTACAATATAATTAAAACATTGAACAATTCTGTTTTTCTTTTACATGTTCAATTAGAAACACTACTGTTAATGAAAAACTGTGTTTTAGTTAATATTATAATAACTTGTAATATATTTAGGTTTGAATAGTTGTAGGTTAATATAAAACTAAATGCTGATTGGATGACATTTTTGAAAAGTGAAAACTGAATTTAAATGACTTCTTTGTCTTTTGGTAAATCTGACAAACGTCAATGTTAGAAATTTGAGTCCCTTACTGCAAACTTGCGTCTCACTTTTGACTTACTATGGAGTTTCTAAGCATGACATACTGAACTTGTTGTGTACACTACACAGTTTCCTTCTGAAGAACATGCAAATGTTGGATAATATGGAAAAGACCCATTTATCACTGACCAGATCACTTTCTCAGGCTTTGTCTCAGGATCCTTTCCACTCTCATGACCCCTAACATCTCCTTTCACCCACACCCTGCCCTCCCTTTACTCCTGTCTATACGGATGATAGATTTCAAAAGAATAGTACATGGATTACCACCTATTTTTTATCCTTTCCCTTCCTGGCAGAGAACAGCATGTTCTGAAACTTTATTATTGTAACAGTTCTGGCAAAGTACTCAGTCCTATCTGATACTGATCCATGGTCATTTTGAAAGAGTTGTAGGAGTGAAATTGGCACCATGTACCTGCTCAGGAGGACATTAGAGGGCAGCCCCAGTGTAGTGAGTCAGCCTGAAGCTCAGTAAACACACCGTGCTCGTGCCAGACATGAAGCATTTCCTTACTAAGTGTGCTGCTTTAAACTTTAGGCACTAGTTGTTTTTATCACACAGTGCTTAAATGAAACCTCAATTTGAGATGCTTCTTTTTCATACTGTTAAAATCACCCTGGAGTTGCGAACAAAAGAAGCCCAAGAATGGCGCCTTGAGGAACTCCACCCATTATTTTTGTATGCTCTGTGGTCTAAGTTTTATCTGTCTAAAACATGGTCCTGTTTTGATTTAAAACAGTTACCCACTGATCCCATCTGTCTTGCATTATTCACATTTATTTACATATCAAGATTGAGACTTTTGTAGTTGTCTTGATTGTCATTGACCTTCCTCATCTCAGAAAAGTGGTTGGGTTTTAAGCCTTCCTAGAAATAATTGTAAAATTGTTAGAGGTCATGAGTCTATAGCGCATTTGTAAAGACTAGCTTTGTTTTAAAGTGGATTGTCTACCGTGGGCCTGTCAGTGTTTGTTTATGATTTGCATTGTTTATTCATATAATATGCAGTTTAACACTTTTTTTGGTAAAGCTGACTGTGGATTATCAGAGGGGCTTAAGAAGGATTTTAGATGTGACACCGTTTTTCCAAGGCTTTGATTATGCCCAGATGCAGCCTTGTTGAGTGGGGGCTCTACCACTTGCTAGAGAATGACAGTTTTTGAGTACTGATACTCTGGTGACAGTTGATATAACTATTAATATTAACCAAGAGAATCTACATAGTTTCAGTTAATACAGATGACTGTCTGGGATCAGACAACATATTTATGTGTCCTGGAAATGTTCAACAATACAGTCTAAGATTATAACTCTGGCTAAGGAGCAATACATCTGAAGCAAAAGAACAGCCTAGAAGTATGATACACAGTTGTAGCTTTTCTTGATGTCTTGCTCATATTTTCTCTTCATTCAAATCATTTACCAAAAAATGTGTTTGATTCAACTCAGTTGCAGGTACAAACGTCTGGGGCAAGTGCCAGTAATATTGCAGACATCCATTGTGAGATTACATCCCGTCAGGTTTGAGCACAGAGAGAAGAGACTCAGACGAGAGGAAGGATTAGGACAGCGATACATGAGCATGTTTTCAACAAGCTGACATTGAGGCTATGATGTTTTGTCTTTGTGGCATCAAGGCTGCTGTGTGTCAGGGTGTATCATCTTCGGCTCGGCTGATAGGTGTCCTAAGCTGAACCAAAAAAAAAAAACGCCCCGTCAGTACATAACTTCAAATCTGCTTGGCTTGAGGCTGCCTACCCTAAAAAGATTCCTGCGTTTGATCCTTTTCAGACTGCAGATTTGCAAAGGCATTTGTTGACTCTCAAGAGCTTGTTGAACCCGTTGATCCCAGTGTTGACCTGCTGCAGTGATCTGCTAGCTAAACTTACAGCTCAGTCATTTTATTAAACACTTGAGTCAAATGTTGAATATTTTGGGGTTTTGTTGGTTTATCCATTGAAAGATTTCTGTCAAGCATCCCGAAAGAAGGTTGTTTTTTTTTTGGTCATGACTTTTAACTCTCTTAGAAGTTAATTTCATGACTTGTTCTTGATGTGAAATTGTCTTTAAAACAGGTTTTAGCTTTTTTTCATGGCTAGCAGACCACCCCCTTCCCATTTTTGACTGATCCTATATTTCTCCACTGTATATTGTGAAATTATATGTTTTCAGTCCTGTAATAATGACGAAAGAGGGCAAGACAGCATGTGTCAGGGATTTTTTGTTTTACAATTTTTAAATCGATTTTTATGTTCAAAAATCGTTTTTTTTTTTTTTTTTTTTTGGCTTTGTTTTTTCTCAAATTTAAGAATAAATCTTGAAAACTGACTTACATGTTATGGTTATTTTGGGGGGAAATATGGTTCCTGGAATAGTCAGTAGACAATCATAATCATTCAACTTATTCACTGGTGTTAAAAATGCAGACTAAAAATCAAGATCAACAATATTGTTAAATCGCAATTTCAAATCGGCATCCAAAAAATCATAGAAGAATCGAATCGGGAGAAAAGCATATCGTCCCAGCCCTAGAGTATAGTACTTCTGGCTTTATGTGAAAAAACTAATAACTCTTTCTGTCTGTGTGTGTCTTTGTGTGTGTTTCCTACTTTAGCGGCGTCGTACACGGACAGCTCTGATGATGAGACGTCTCCTCGGGACAAACAGCAGAAGAACTCAAAGGGCAATGGAGACTTTTGCATCAAAAACATCAAGCAGGCCGACTTTGGACGCAGAGAGATTGAGATTGCTGAGCAAGGTAATCTTGAGGACTGTGACTGTAATAAGAGGAGTGAACTTGGCTAGTGGTTTTGCAGCCCAGCTGGATGCCTTTAAAAATATTGTAGAAAAAGTATCCAGGGCAAAGCGACCAAAATTCAGTTGTAGTCTATTAAGCGCACATTATGATGGAAAGTGTGTAAGCGCCTCCTCCACACTGCTGGGTGGCCATATGTCCCCTGCCACTGTAAGTGAGAAACACCATTTAAGAACCGACACATTAACACACATCTCCACATCATTCCTTTAGCACTTCAGAGAACATACAGAGGGCCTCAGCTGCACCCTGCAGGCTATGTTCACACACAGACACACACACACACATACACACATCACTTAGCATCGTTTACTCCGTCTGCTGGATGAGTCATTAGATAAACTAGACAAAGTTTTTCGAAGGATTCAATGATGGATTTTCTTTAACCATCCAGCTGATTTCTCTGTCTGTTTTCAGAGATGCCAGCCCTGATGGCTCTGAGAAAACGAGCCCAGGGGGAGAAACCCCTCGCTGGTGCTAAGGTGGTGGGCTGCACCCACATCACTGCCCAGACTGCTGTGAGTCCAGATGACACACGCACGCACACACGCACCAAACACACATGCACACAGACAGCACAGATGTGACGGTTTTCCTCCCCATCTTGACTCTCCCATCTTCCCCAGGTGCTGATGGAGACTCTGTCAGCTCTGGGCGCTCAGTGCAGATGGGCCGCCTGCAACATTTACTCCACCCAGAATGAAGTGGCAGCTGCCCTGGCAGAGGGAGGTGAGGCTGACCTGGGGGCTCTCTTTGTATCACACCTGCCCTCTTCTTCTCCTTCTTCTTCTCTAATACCTTTAAGCCTTAGATGCTCTCTGTTTCACATCATGCTCTCCTCCGGCAGATTATCTGTTTCCTGCGTCATGTCTGCCGTGCATTAAACGCTTCCCTTCCTTTTCAAGGTTTCAGTGTATTTGCATGGAAGGGTGAGTCAGAGGACGACTTCTGGTGGTGCATCGATCGCTGTGTCAACGTGGAAGGCTGGCAACCAAACATGGTAACACACCTACGATCTAAATAAAGACGACTTATGCATGGCGATTCTTTTTTCATCCTACAGACCTCTTTTTAGATCCAAACATGCTCTTTTGAACAAGCGGTTAGATCTGTTTGGGAGACAGCCTGCATTTTGAAGGGGTTGAACAGGTTTATTAGATCGTGGTGGAAGGAGAAAAGGAAAAATCCTCAAAGCCTTGTAATGCTTTATCTCAGATCCTGGATGATGGTGGAGACCTGACTCACTGGATCTACAAAAAATACCCCAACATGTTCAAGAAGATCAAGGGCATCGTAGAGGAGAGTGTCACTGGTGTGCACAGGTGAGACTCAACCTGCAAACATGTCATGTTATCGTTATTGTTAAAAAAGATGTTACTCAAGATGGTGCAGATTAAAAAAAAATCATTTTACATGAGCGGCTGCACAAGAAAATGTCACCACAAATTTATAAACCAACAAGCAGAAATGTGTTTACACGCTTGCACACAGAATTTGTTGAGCTAACATCGCCATCTAGTGGTAGCTGTAATCAAATGAATAAAGTGATTAAACCAATGCAGCACTGCTGTAAATACAAAAGCGTTTTAATTAGTAGTAATTTCTAAGTGATGATTTAGAAGTGCAGAGCTTACAAAAATGCTTAGATATATATAAAAGTGACAAGGGTCAAAGCTGAAGCCTCTCTCTGTATTTTGTTTGTATTTTTGTGTACGTGTGTTTAGGTTGTACCAGCTCTCCAAGGCAGGAAAGCTGTGTGTCCCAGCCATGAACGTCAACGACTCTGTGACCAAGCAGAAGTTTGACAACCTTTACTGCTGCAGAGAGTCCATCTTAGATGGGTATGTGACAGAGCCTTTCTTTTTAATGATTACCCTTCTTCTCTGATAATTAGTTCAATACCTTAATAAGTTTAAGGCTTTTCATTGAGCAGTTGTGTTTGTGTCCCCAGCCTGAAGAGGACCACTGATGTCATGTTTGGAGGCAAACAGGTGGTGGTGTGTGGATACGGAGAGGTAAGGCTGACATTTTCATCGATTCATTTAAACTCCCACACAACGCTCACTCACATCACAGAGCTAAAGTCAGTGTCACTCTGCTGGAACACAGGTCGGGGGAAATTACAGGAAAATTACTACGAGCAGATAAAGAAGGGGATTTACAAACAGCAAGTGATTCAATAAATTTAAGTCTTTACCAGCCAAAGTTTACAGGATATGTTGTATGTGTTGCAAGTTTTCTCTAAAGCAGTGATTCAAAACTGAGGTACTTATGAGGGGTTGGAGGATTACTAGTCCTGTAACCAAAAAGAAAAATATTCAAAGTGTGATTCGAATGCAAAAAAACAGGTTATCAAATAAACCAGTATTATTGTATTTGATATGAGCTTTAGTTGGCCATCTGCAAATGTCCAGTTGCAAACCAAAGTGATCACAAGATACTGCCATGACTTAAACTGGATCAGAACAGTCGCTTCGAACACACTCAGAAATATCATAGGATCCAGTGGATGGTCCATCCATATGATCATGACTGGAGCAGGAGGGTTGATATATACTAAGGCGTGTTTCTATTGAAATGACACCATACAAAAAGAAAGCTTTGTGGTATATTGTCTCTCTGTCTCTTTGTGTGTCTGCTCTCTTCAGGTGGGAAAAGGCTGCTGTGCCGCCCTCAAAGCAATGGGTTCCATCGTCTACGTCACAGAGATCGACCCCATCTGTGCCTTGCAGGCCTGGTAGGAGGCTGCTTAATGACTTATTAGTTTCATCCCCGGTGCTGACACGGCATTAGTCTCATGCTTTTTGTTTGTTCTCTAAATCGCAGCATGGACGGCTTCAGGCTGGTGAAACTGAACGAAGTCATCAGACAAGTCGACATCGTCATCACCTGCACAGGTCAGTTCAGACCTCCTCTCGGTCTCAAGTTCTTTCTGTTCAGAAAAGTCTCTTTTTTTATGAATTTGGTAATGAATGCAGCTGAAGAGTCATCTCTCAGCAGCTGTACTGAGATTTGTCCTGTCAGCTTTCGTGCTGTGACATAATCCACAACCGACAGTGCATAAATAAATGTAGAAGGTGTAAGACATGAAATGGACAGCCAGTCCAACAATTCTGTCAGTGTTCTTTCAGGATGACCGAGCAGATATTCACTCATTGTCGTCAGTGTCTGACAGTCGCTAATCAAGTTCCCAGCTCAGCAGCCAGGGAGTTGTCCTGAACTCTTAATTGGGGCAGAGAATTACTAGTCTGTCTGCTTCACTGCATAATGCTGCAGGCAGGTCTGAGGCACAGGGCTCTCCTAAGGATGACCGCAATTGGACAGAATAGATAACAAGAGGATAATAAAGTAGAAAGGGGGATTGGGTTTGTGCAAGATTTTCCTAATGAAGTCTCTACGTGCTCTAAAACAAATAGAATTTGACAAGCATTAGCTCTAATAAGATCATGCACTGGTTGCTCCATTAAGATTGATTCATTAGAGTTCCTGCAGAAGAATTCTTAAAGCTTGAACTTGTAAATGAATGAAACAGTTACACGTTTGGAAATATAAATTAAACACATAAATCGTTTCCTTAGCAGATCATTTTAAGAATAGTATAGAATATTCCTTTATTGGTCCCCCATGGGGGAAATTTCTTTGTCACAGCAGCATCACAGACAAAGAGTGCAAAAATGCAGTTATAAAAATAAAGATCCTAATATTAAGAGCTTAAATAAATGTAATAATTAAATTTTGGCTTTTTTGGCTATCCCCAAGCTTTGCAAATCCATTTTTCTACAAACAAGGCCTAACTCACAAAACCAAAACTTACATCGCTTGAGTGTTTCTGAAACCTGTGTAAATAAGCCCAACATGTTTTTGTATAATTCATGCAAAGGGTTAAGTGCATCACAAACTACACTGCACCACAAATAGTGTCACTGTGCTCCGGCATTCACATCCACATGCAGTTAGAGTGAAATTAGGACTGTCCAGATACGATATTGATATCGGATATTGGTCTTAAATCAGCCAAAAAACAAGTATCGGATTACATTGGCCTGCATCTAAAATCCCCGATATCAGCACTCAGATACAAGCAGTCCATTGCAAACCCCACTGCAATGGCGTCTGCAATGAAGACGTCGGCAATTCTAGCTAGCAGCGCCTGGATCCAACACATAAACAGTGTTTACTATGGTACAAACAAAGTAGCAAGGAGTAGGCCTGATGTCGGCTAAGCGGCAGTATTTTTTGTTGAAGTCCAAAAAAGACATCGCAGCTGAGTGCAAAACATGTCATGCACAAGTTTGTGCCAATATCGGTATCGGACGATACTGAAGACTACAATATCGGTATCGTTTCGGAAGTAAAAAAAAAGTTGTATTGGGACACCCCTAAGTGAAATGTTCACTGTCTGCTGACAGTTTGTGGTCATTGTGCCTCAAAGTGTTAAACAGAAACTCTTCAGGGATCAATGCAACAACACCACCTGTGGATGAACTAAAATTGATTGATATTTACGTGAAGCAGATTGACAATGACTGACATTACTATTTTTACAATAATCAGGAGCAAAGCTGTCCTGTGCTGCCTGTGACTAAACTGCACATACAGTCTGTGCATCACACAAGAGTGTGGATTTTTTTCTAATGAGCAAGCTGTTCCTTGGGTTACTATGTACAGGAAGTAAGCCGGTTATGAAGTGACATTGGTGTCACATTTGAAGTGATTTCACGTTGAAATGGTTAGTATTTTGAGGATTCAGCCCTGTCAGCATAAAAGCGTACAGCTCAGCTCTGAGCAGCAGAGAGCACAAATGCAAATTACTCATCTCACCATCAGATGCAAAAATTAAGCAAACTTCACAGTACTGAAGAATTTAATGATTGTTTTTGTGCTTGAATATCATCAGTACGGTTTGCTTTATGGGTTGGATCGTCAGACAGAGCAGATAGTTGGTGCAAATTAGTGGCTCTAATCCAGTCTCAGTTAATTCCTCTTATAGACTTTGCGTTGGCCGTCTCCGAGGTATATCCACCAACCCGGTTTTACATTTTTCTTTCTATATTTGTTGAAGATCACCATCTGTGATCGATAAACTCGCTCTCTACCCCTCGCATATGTGCTGAGAGCAGCATCTGACTCATGCTCTGCAGGTAACCAGAGAGAGATCATCATTTAGACTGACAGCAGTGAGCTTTGTTAGCTGCTTGTGTTTATTTAGAGGCACTGTAGAAAAAAAACACAATGTTGGCCACCAGCTAAAGGCACAGCTATTTTAGTTTGATCTCAAGCAGCACTTTGTTTTCCAGTGTCTTCATAAAGATGGCTTTAACCGGCTTTGATTCCAACAAGCGGCAGGACTTAAAAGCTTTACACACACATATCGAAGATTGATGCCATTTAACTCAAAGCTCTGCCACCATCCCGTCTCTGTACTTAGATGTTTACAGTGGGATATTGATGTCGCACAGTGGAACAATTCAGTCCAACCATCAGGCCTCTATTGCGTTCATATTGAATGAGAGATGTGAATATAAGTTTTTTTAAATTGGTGATCTGAAAATGGCTGAAAACAAAGTCAAATTTGAGAATAAAGCTCATGTATTTAAAGGGGAATCTGATCGATTATAACATAGGTAATATACAGTAGCCCCCCTGTCCCCACTACCACAGGTACAGTATCATTCTGTGTTACTGTAAAGTGACACACGGGCAGGAGCAGCCCTCATTAAATCACATGTTCGCGCTTAATTAACCGAGCTAATACAAGAGATAAAACTTCATTACATGGATACAGATTCATGTCTCCTGATTCCCCACCTCCTGTTCATTTTCTACTCTTATTTCACTCGTCATTTTGCTTCTGTTTTATATTGTGCTTTCTTTCTTTCTTTTTAATCTTCAGCTTCTTTGTCTTCATCTGTTTTTCTTCTCTCTTTGTCTCCCTCCATCAGGCAATAAGAACGTGGTGGTGAGAGAGAACCTGGACCGCATGAAGAACGGCTGCATCGTCTGCAATATGGGACACTCCAACACTGAGATCGATGTGGTCAGTTTACCACCCCCACCTATCTCTAACACAAGTAACAAAATGCTACACTAACAAAGGAGGAGGTGCAGTTTAAGTGTCTTACCTTCTCTTTGTTGAAACAGATCAGTGTATCACAGAGGAAACCCAGAGACACGATTAAGTCTCAGAGTAAAATCAAGACTCAGCCGTTCATGTTACAGCATGTTTAATGTGAATCTGAACAATTGCCTCGCAAAGAAAGACTATTCAGTCGGAGTTGCCATGGTTACTTAATGCTTTGTTTAGGTTAGTGGGGTTGCAAGAACGAACCCTTAAAACGCCAAGGGCTGTTTAAAAGCCTAAAGGAGGTAGAGAAGCTTTTACTCCACAGCCGTCATCGCTGATTTTTTAATGAAGGTCGGATTGAGAGCAGCTTTAAAACACAGTCCAGTTTGGGAAATGCACAGCAGCAAGTATCAGGTGAAAGACTTCCTCTTGATTTCTCTCTACCAAATAGTGGAGCAGAAGTGCAGGGAATAAAAATAATCCTTGCATGAAGGGATTATTTCAAGAACTCAGAATGAGTATTAGAGAAAGGACAAAGTTCAGACGCTAGAAGAAGTTGTGTGACTCACCTCATCAAGTTCCTCCGTCCTGGACTAGACCAAGCAGACTGAGTCAACTTTTAGCCCCATGATGATACACAGGCAACAATTCTGCAGAAGTGAAATATCGAAAAAGAGGATAAGAGAAAAAAAAACCTCTAACAATAGATCATGTCTGTTGATGTCATCCTGTAGGCGAGCCTGCGGACTCCTGAGCTGACCTGGGAGAGAGTTCGCTCTCAGGTTGACCACGTCATCTGGCCAGACGGAAAGAGGATAGTGCTGCTGGCTGAGGTACACACACACACACACACACACACACCAACACACACTCTTGGACAAAACATGTCAGAAGAACCAATTTCAATTCCTTGTTGGACATGAGTCATTATTTGGAGTTGAAGTCTTGAAGAAAATCTTTAGTTCAGCGTCTTTTTCAGCCCATGATCGCAGTGACACAGTGAAGTTATACCTCAGTAATGCACATGAATTAACTCTTTAAAAACCCAACAGGTGCACCACAGAGCAAGAGTAGAGCGTAAACCAGGTCTGTGAAGCCTAAAGTCAGTGTTTGTCACAAAGCTGACTCTCTGTAAACCAGGCCAGATTACTATAGTAATGGGGTCTGTAACGGGGGAACCTAGTTGGACTGGATTATAATAATAATAATTCATTTTATTTGTACAGTGCTTTTAAAAACCCTCAAAGACGCTTTACATAGAACATAAAACCCAAGATAATAAAACAGAGAAATGAAAACAGTAAAATAAAACAGTTAAATTTTAAAAGCAATTTTATATAAGTGATTTTTTTAAAGGGATTTGAAAGTAGTGGGGTCAGGGCAGTGTCTGATGGAGGGTGGTAGGGAGTTCCAGAGGGTAGGGGCAGCTGTGGAGAATGCCCGATCCCCCAGGTTCGGTGCTTTGGCCGTGATTTTGGGGTGAGGAGAAGGGCAAAGTTGTGTCTTAGATTTATCTGAAAAGCACCATCGTTCCCTGTGATGCAGACTAAACAAACGCTGTGCCTTCCGTTAGTGGTAATAGTTCCTGTTTGTTTTAATTTTAAGCTTTTTGCATCAGGTAAGAATCTAACTTTGAATTTCAGCACCAAATCAATGAGTCAATCTAACTTCTATTTGGTGTTATGAAAAAGTTATTTCCATGTGTTTTGATGAAGTAAAAGTCTCATCCTAAATAGTTTACGCCAAGAGTGGTTATGTGTTTTTGCTGCTGTAACAACAGGCAGAGGTGAACTGTGTCAGAGTCCTTTCTTTTGTGGATTAATTTGATATGATGTGTGCGATTGTTAATCTTTGGCTCAGTTTTGTGTTATTTCGAATCAATAATCCCTGTTTATGGGCTTTGGCCAACCAGAATCAAGTGTTTGGTACTTAAAGGTAATGAGCATGAAAGCTAAGTGATAATGATGCCTCTTAGTCTCTTATTGTTGAGCTACTCAAAGAAAGACGGGTTATATTAAACTGGCTTCTGCCCTCACTTATAGAAAATACAGTATAATCAATTTCCAGCATGCAGGCACACGCACAGCCAGAAACAGAAGCATCGCAGGTTAAGACTTGGTTTGTGTGCGTATGTGTGAAGAGTCGTGAAGACTTAACACTTACTGACAGGACCGGATAGAAAGGCCTGACAGCCCCATCAACGCCTGCGCCTCTGCTGCTGTTTGATCTGAAGAAGATTCACCCAATCTCACCCCTTCCTCCACCATCATCACTCACACAAGTCAAAATCCAGCTGTGTCCCCAAAAAAGTGATTTCTTCAGAGAAAAACAAATATTCCAACTGCATCATTCAGTATCTCTGAGGTGAAGTGAGTTTACAAAACTGACGGGCTTGAAAAAAGGATTCATTTTTATTTCTGTCTTTATTTACAGGATAAACTCTTCACACATTTACTCATACAAATTCAGTCAAACTGAACCATTTTTTTCTTTTTAATTCATCTTGAGAGAAGTAAAAGATTGGATTAGGAATTTTATCTGCAACACTTGTGGTCTTCCAATTACCCTCACTGCAATGCAGCACCTCAGACAGCAGCAAGAGTTCACAGTCAGCATGAAGATGAGAGACGCAAATAAGACTCCGAAAAGCTTCTGAGAGGACTTTCTTGCTTGTTATGCAACAGAATGAATTAATACTGATGCCTCTATGTGACCCCAGAAAAAATAAGACCTTCAGTGCTTTATTTTAAGAACGTTTTTAACCTCCTCCACTGGACAAGTGTCAAATGTGGTGAGCTACAGTGACGAAAATGCTCCTTATACACTCCAATATGCTTCACACTTGAGTTTCATAATGTGGAACTTGGTGTTTTTTAAGACTTGAATCATCTCAGTCAAACAGCACATCCTGACACTCTTTTCCCCCTTACTGCAAAGTGTATATTTTTACCAGCTCTACTCTTACCTCGTATTGTTTTTGCCCTCCAGGGTCGTCTGCTCAATCTCAGCTGTTCCACTGTGCCCACTTTTGTGCTCTCCATTACTGCCACAACCCAGGTACAACAAAGAATCAGTGTATTTACAATACTTACATGATCAGCATGTGTGTGTTTCACACATACTTTGTATGACGGACAAAGTTGTGTGTGTTTATGTGGGTAAAATGTGTGTGTTTTCCCTAGGCGCTGGCGCTGATAGAGCTGTACAACGCCCCAGAGGGACGCTACAAACAGGATGTTTACCTGCTGCCCAAGAAGATGGGTGAGATATCTGTCCTATTAAAATGGGATCAAACTCAAACAGAGACAACTTCATGCAAGATCAAACCTTCATAACTGAAGTTTCAGCCCGCTATAACGCGGGGAATAGGGATAAAAATATAAGCCGGCTTGGTACTTAAGTTGCCACCAAGCAAAGTGATTGACAGGAAGTAATTACAGAGTTTGTTGTTGCCCCAGCAGAGGGCCTGCAGGCATATTACATATACTTCCACTGACAACACACTTATGCTATCATCTATTCAGTGCAGGGTCGTCTCCCTGGATAGCAGATCATTCACAGTAGAATAAGTAAAGTGCGTCTGTGCTTATACTGCCTCTGTGCAAGCTTGTCTACTCCGTAGCCAGTCACATATCTCAGTTTTTCCCCTCAGTCTGAGAGAGCAGAGCACGTACTTAGACAAGATAAACAGAGAGCCAAATGTAGGTCACACTGTCAGTGATGGCTGCTGCTGCCACAGCACATGCTGACAGGAAGATGATGAAGTCAGAGGAGGAAGGAAAGGCTGAGATAAGGAGAGAAAGACACAGAATGATGAGGAGAGGAAGCAGAGGAGGAAGAGATGGATGAAGATAAGGAAAGAGTGAAAGACGGCGTACTCTGGATCTCTGCTTATTCTCTTCCCTTTCTCATTTGAAAGATTAATCAGCCACAGATGTCTGCTGAATGCTAACATGTCCCTTCTCTCTCTCTCTCCTGTCCTCCAGATGAGTATGTGGCCAGCCTACATCTCCCTACATTCGATGCACACCTCACAGAGCTGAGTGATGAGCAGGCCAAGTATCTGGGCTTGAACAAGAATGGGCCCTTTAAGCCAAACTACTATAGGTATGAAGACACTTACTCTGAGCGCTCTTTCTTTGTCTTGTTTAGTGGTTAAGATGATGATCCTGATTTAAACAGGTTCAAGGTTCAGGTTTTATAATTTGCAGGTTCATGTTATTTAAATTACTACTTTTTCAAGATATCAAAAAACCTAATTCAGTGGTTATTGCTCTCTTGGTTTATATTTTGTTTCTACAGTCCCAATGCCATAAAAGTAAGATGTGTTAAAAAAAGTTTTTGGTGGTTTGCAAATCATTTAAACCCTTAAACTAACTGGAAATAGAGCAAAGACGACATATCAAACATGAAAACTGACAAATTTTAAATTTTTGATTTGAATAATACTTTGAAAAAAGGTCATGGCCAATGAAACGCCAACAAAAAGATGAATTTGTACGAGGTATAGAAGAGCACTCCAGAGGGGCTAAGTTTCTCAGAAGTGTTTCACCTCTCTGTGAGAGCAAATAGTTTGACAGTTTCAGAGTGTTCCTCAGAGTAAAATTGAAAAAAATTGGGGGATGTCATCATCTACAATAGATATTATCGGAGAAATCTCTATGCAGAAAGGACAAGGCTGAAAATCACTACTTGATGGCCTGCAGCTGTATGAGCTTCAAATCATTTCAAAGACCATTGTCAGCGCACTCAGTTCATCAATACATCCACAGATGCAGGTTTAAACTGTGCCATGCAGAGAGACAAACATATGATCCATGAATTGCGGCTGTAACCGGAGTCCAAGTGGGAAACTGCCCTGTGGTCTTTTGAGTTAAAATGATGCCATGGAGGAACCTTCCTTCTTGTTATCAGAACACAGTTTAAAAGCCTGTGCCTGTGATGGTTTAGAGACCCATTAACGCCCGTGGCATGGATACTTTACTAATCCCTAGGAGGACATCATTAATATTTAAGTTTGAAGCAACATATTCTACCTTAAAGATAATACCTTTTATCAGGAGACACCTTCATATTTCAGTGACCCGAAGCCAAAACACATTTTGCATGTAACAGCATGGATCAGTAGTAGAAGAGTCCTGCTGCTGAACCCGCCCAGCCAGTCCTGACCTATAAATCCAGATACTGTTGTCCTTGTTTTTTTTTTTCAAAAACAAAGAAGAAAGGTGAAGTAACATAAAGTTCAACAGCCCCCTGTCCCAACTTAGTTATAAAAAAAATCAAGTTGTTCAGTTTCATTATGTGATTTGTTGTCAAAGCAGTGTTCTCTATTGAGTCTCGGGTTTCAGTGATTTGTGAGCCATCAAACTCAACATGTGACGCCGTTTTCAGACCTTTTTAACAGAATTGGTTTCAACACGTGGAACATTTATTTTGGTTTAGTTAGAATTCAAGCATTAAAAGTATCAGGCTGGTTTGGGAGAAGGTTGTTGTTTTGGCTACAGCAGCTCAGTTACATATCACGTTTATTTCACTTATTAATCTACTGCAGAGTTCCCTGGATCGAATTTCTTATTGTGTTGAGTTTTAAAACGAGCGACAAACAACGTGCACAATGAAGAAGCAATTCATAAAAAACGTGTGAGTGTTTTGCAAATCTAGGGTTTCTGTCCAGCATGAAAACCAAAAACCTGCTTTAGTTAGGTCACTCCCATCAGCATTGGCAGCACTCTGTGTTGGCATGCTAAACTGCAACGCTGTAGAAGATCAATATTTACCTGCTTATCAACGGCCTTCTAGCATTGTCATTGTTAGCACTGACAGCATTTTGCTGCTAACATGGCTGTAGACTCACATAGTCTGAGTCTTACTCTATAAAGTTGTGAGGAGTAACGTTTTTGATTCGTTTGCTGCAACCATCCGAATGTTCATGCTTGTTCTGTTTCTTCTCTTAAAGGTATTAAACCTGTGTTGGAGTGGGACTGAAAGATACAAATACTCCATGAATGGCACAGACTCAGAGGGAGAGGTAGAGAAGGAGGAGAAGGAGGAGGACCATCAGGAAGGATGGACAGGATAGTCAACACGCCTGCTTTAAATCTGGGGGGATGGAGGGGTGGGAGGAGCTACAACTGAGCTGAGGGGTGGAGGGGCGCAGTTTCCCCTGAGCTTTTGGCAGTCTTCTTATTTATTCAGACTAAACAACAATAATGATAACGTTAATTTTGCCATTAGCTAGCTCTCCAACATCTTCTTTTAGTCTTTTTAGAGGATGCTTTACTTCCCTTCACTTGTCGTTTCAGCACCATCATCTCTTTCTCTGTAGGCACTCATTTGTGTGTCCAGTTGTATGTAAGTCCTCCATTCACCCTTCCTATCGCCAGATCTTTTAACTATTAAAGATGAAATTATTGATGCTAAATATATATATATACTATATAAAAAAAACTTGATTAAAAATCTGTGTGAATGACGATGACCTTTGAAGATTTAGTGACGGACATTTTTTCCTGTCCCTTTTTTTTGTTGTTGTTATCTTTTCTTTTCTACCTGTGATTATGTTTTTGTTTTTCTCTTGTGTAACGTTAAAGGGGCGGGGTTAAACCGAGGGGGAAGGGGTTAGGCGGGATCTCAGGGTCCAATCATATCATGTCTTTTTATTTGATTGTTTCATCAAGATTCACCGTTGTGTCTGTTTTTAAATATTTTTTATGCATTCTGTCCCTTTGGATCAGCCTGTAATCTGTCATTTTGGAGTTAGACTGGAAGGTGACCGCCCGTCACTCAAAGCCACAGTGAAACCATCTCATTGGCTGCTGCTTTCTCAGCTTCCAGCTGCTCACATGGCACAAGTGTTTCAGTAATGACAAGTATTTCAAGCTAGTGAGAGCTAGCCTTTTCATTTTGTCTTGTCTTTTACCAAGAATGATTCAGCAGTAGTAGAAGCATGGCAGGTTATCAGATCATTACAAGGGGTATACTGTATATTTAGATATTTATATTGAAATTAAGATTTTTCTATCTTTCTCTTTCCTGCGCATCTAATATTGTTACTTTTTGAAAAAATCAGCATACGTTATAAAGACAAGCAATTTAATGTTCTAATGATAAGTGTAATAAATGTGCTCAAACCCTCACTTTGAATACTGTGACAGCAAATATTTACAGAGATACCAAATCTGCAGCAGAATGCTGCCAGGCCGGTACTGAAGCAAATATCTTCAATCAGGTCCTTCATGAAAAGTATGGTGCTTAAAGACTTACTGTAGTGACCATACACAGCACAGCTCCTTGGTACTCAAAGGTTTTCAGCTTAAAAACATGGCTCTTCATTTACCTTCTGAGAAAATTCATGAGATTTCTCACAGTATTGGAGATCTCCAGAGCGATTACATTTTGGTTTTTCTTCCATTCCCACAAGGCTGGATTATTTCTGGTCAAGTATCTGTCCTCTGCAGCTTATCCTCAGCTGAACTGACAGTGAACATTAGCCAGTCCTGACAGATATTTCACCTGACAGCCAAGTGCGCTCCGCCGCTATACCAGCTCTGCACCTGATCCAATCAGATTCTCTTTGTTATCCTGCTGGGAGAGTCTGCCAGCTCCGCTCTCTCACAGGGATCAAACACTTAAACACATGCACAGTAGCTTATTGTCCAGGATGGACTCTTACCATACTGTATAATCATAACACACTTAGTTTTTGGGGAAATGGCACAAGGGACAGAGTTTACCAGTCAAAAATACAAAACTCAAATATGTCTACACATTTCATACAATTACATCATACTGTAAGCATTATTAACTTCCATTAAATGAACACCAACCTTACCTAATGTTTAAGTTAACCACTCAGATGTCTGCACAACACATTACTTAAGCTGCTAGCTTAGCTTTGCATAAAGTTAAAACAGCAACACAGTCAGTTCAGCCTTTTGTTCAAAACTTTTATAAGCTGCAAAGTTGTTGGCGAGGTGACGCTTTCACATTTCTGTGTCGCCCTGCTTTCAGGCACTAATGCTAAGCTAAGCTAACTGTCACATGGCATGAGCCTCACGACTGTTGCACAGCCATGTCTGGTATCAATCTTCTCACACTTTAACCACAAAGCAAACAGTGTATCATAAAATATCGGCGTTTTACTGTGGAAACGTTTAAGTCCCTGAACTGATTTTGAAGCTTTTTCACAGAAACCTTGTGTAAGCCCATAAACCACCATGTAATGACAAGATCCTACACTGTGTCAGAGCCCATACGACCTCATATTCCCGTTTTTCCCTGCCAGTGTGTTTGCATTTCTGTCTCCTTGTGCTGATAAATTCCCCCCTATTGAAGTAGCGTGACCTGTTGTTGGTATTGTACTTTTAACTGTTGTCCTGAGTCTTATTTTCCCCTTTTTAAGTGTGAATGTGTGTTAAAGAGAAAGCGACGTACACCAGAGAGCAAATGTGATTATAATTGTGTGTGTGAGTGTGTGTCTAAATGTCTTTCTGTGTTCATACACATCATTTCTATGTAGGCCATGGTTGCTTCGTTAACAGCTGCCTCAGGTTCCTTGCCTGTGCGTCAGGGGGAGAAACCATTCTTTAGTTTTGTCAGCGGTGAGCTGACCAACACGTGGGTGGGCGGGGGAAGACACCAGCATCATATATGTATATACAAACTATATACAGATATGACAACCTTTAAAAGTATAGCAAGGTAAAAGAAGACTCAATTCCTGTATTTATTGTTGTAAATCCTCATACAACGCAAACTGGCAAAAATCTCAAAACATGTTTTAAGTTGTCTAATAAAGAAAAATAAACCCTATGTTTAAATATTGCAAGTGATAATGGTAGATGAGCAATAATTTAAAACATTCTGTAATCTTAACGAATAAAGATGTAAAAATTGTAACCTCTCTGTGTTTATCTCTTTGATTTTTAGAAACAGTTAAGCCACTTTGGCCTTATGTAGCTGTTAGTGGGATTCCAGTCTATTTTCATAGGGGATTGATTTCTGAGTGGTTGTTTTTGTGTGTTGGGAGGTGGAGGGGGGTGCTTGTATGCAGCTGCTGAGGTCTGTCACAGGCACAGTGAGCTCATCTGAGCCAGCAGCTATCAGACTGGGACGTCTCTGGCTTCAGCAGCTGGCCGTGAGCCTTTATTTATTCTTGACACACAAACCAGCATCACCGGGTTAAACGGGCAGTTAGACACAACCAGAGTAGGATGTCAGAGTAATTTACCAAAACAAGTATGATCTGATCACCACTTAGTCTTTAAAATGTAACACTCAGAAGGCAAAATTGAAATATGTTTTAATTCATATGGATTCTTTAAGTTTCTAATTAGAGATCAAAGAGTTATAATAAGCTACTGAAAAGCATCATGGGATTTGTAGGAAAATTTCTTAAAAAGGGTTTTGAAAGACCCTTATCTGGTAAAATTGCTCTCTTTTGTTTGTACGTGTTAATTTTTCCTCCTTAAGGTTTGTGTTGAATTTTAAAATTTCCTGCATTAATCAGTCAAGATGAATTAAAAAGAATGGTGTATTTGTGGATTATTAGTTTGCTTTGATTTTATATGTCAGACTCCAGTCTAAAGTGGTTCAACCTCTCCTGAGTAATTGCTTATCATGCCCCCTCATACACCCCCTGCTGCCAAGCCGTAACCCAGAAGCTTATGCTTACCTTCTCCTGTACAATCCAATCATGTCATGTTAAGTGGTTTTTCACTAACGTGGGTGTTGGTGGGTGGGTAGGACTGTTCTGCAGCCTACAACCCCCACCTCCACCTTTCAATAATTCATCTGCTCCCCTGAAGAGGGGTTGACAGAAGGTGAGGCAGCAGCTGGGGGTCCCACAACCTCAACTGAACATTTAAACAGGGAGACACACAGGTCAAGATCCAGGCACAAGATCCTTGTCTGATAGCAGTGTGTATATTTTATCACTGATGAGAAAATTCTGCGTTAATTTAGTTTTTCTCAGTTGATTGGAAACACATTAGCCAGAGAAAAGGGGATGCGAACTACGTTAACTTATAAAGCTACAATCCTAAAACAAAGATTTGGTTTTAAAGCTAAAGCTTACAGTGTGGACTTCTGATTTTACAGGTGCTTATCTGATAAAAGGGGAAAATTACCAACAAAAACAGTGTAAAGCTATAGCATTAGCTTCAAAGCACTGTGGCTGCACTTCGACTCACTGTCACACAGGCTAGACATTTTTTTTTTACAATGATATATTAATTTTAGCTTCTTTTGTAGCTTCTTTTGACATTCATGTTATTGGACTTACTGATTTTTTCTTCAGGTTTGAGTTAAACAATGTCATCCCTTTACAAGACTTTCCAGGAATGACAAAAAGGGGGATAAATTGGCTTGATAATTACTGGTAATACTTATAATTATGCTCATATTATTTTAGGTAGTTTATAGTCAGTTTTTAACCTACTAAAACCTGACCATAAATTAAGTTTTTTATACCAAAGTTCCTCATGAAAACCATAACATTAACGTTTGTGAAAAGGACTTTGCAAAATGTAAACTTTTTTTCTTGCTTTTTAGTGTATTTCATAATGTATCTAAAAGTTTTTTTTATTGTTTTTTTTTATTTCTAATTTTTAAATTTTTTTTGTAAAAACATTAACGTTTATTAAAAAAATTCCTTTTTTTCCTTTTTTAATTTTTAATTTTTTGTATGTAATAACATTAACGTTTATTAAAAGGACTTTACAAAATGTAACAGTTTTTTTTTTACGTATTCGCGTATTTTATAATGTAGATAGAATTTATTTTATTGGTATTTTTATTCTTTTTAATTTTAATTTTTTATTTTTGTATGTAATAACATTAAAAGGACTTTACAAAATGTAATAACAGTCTTAGTATTTGCGTTTTAGTGTATTTCACATAGACTGTATATAAGTCTTATATACAGTCTATGGTATTTCATAATGTATCTTAAAAAAAATTTATTGGTAATGTAATTTTTTTTAATACTTTTATTTTTATTTTTTGTATGTAATAACATTAATGTTTATTTATAGGACTTTACAAAATGTAATGGCAGTCTTTTTTTTTTGCGTTTTAGCGTATTTCATAATGTATCTACATTTTTTTTCCTATTTTTTTTATTATCGGTATTGTTGTATTTAAATGTTGTAAATGCCTCTGGGGTATTTACTATTACTCTTATGTTCAGATAGTCCGTGTGCTCTGCCACTCTCCTCTGCTGTCATGCTGCCTCTCTAACCCCGCCCTCTCGGGGTGCGCATGGACAGCGGACCAAACAGACCGGGGGAGTAACAGCAGCAGGAGGAGGAGGAGGAGATCTTCAACTTGGGCTCCGGAGCCGGTGCTCCCGCTTGTGCGGTACAGTCTCAGCTCTCCACCGGACCGGTATGCACTATTCGCGGAGGAGGAAGTGAGCCGCTCCGACAGAGAAAGATGCAGGCGGAGGACATGGAGGTACCTATCATTAATAACCTTATCGATAACGGCGACAGGCAGAAGCCGAAAGGGAAAGATGTGTTCAAGGATCAGCAGAAGGAGTCGGAGGTAAATCGCAGCGGTGTTCAGTGTACAGTCTGCTGCTGAGGCTTTATGGTGTAGGGGCGCGCTGGGTGTGTGTGTATGTATGTGTGTATTGTTGCTGGGGAGCTTTCGGACCAGCTGAATGTCCTCTCCATGCATTGAGTCGCTGTCTTGACTCGAGAGCATACATGCATGCAGACAGGCAGGCAGACGGTGAGGTGTTATTTTGGCAACCGGCTCCTATAAATAACCCAGCAGTAATCCTACAGCGGTGCTCAACGTGCTGAAGGCAGGTGGGGAAATGTGACTGCTGCTGCTGACAGGACCACACCACCTCTGTAACACACACACATATATGTGTAAAGAATAATCATGGCTCACTGACGGTAAGGGGTTTCACTACTCTGAGGGTATCCAGCCCTTACTGTGCGATATCCCAGCCCCCTTTTGGTTGACTTTGGTTTGTGTCCTTGAAATAACTGGCATGTTTCCTCAAATCAAACCAGTCAAACAGCCTTGAATGGTGGAGTCATCCAATCATTTGCGAGTAAGAGCAACAAAATGTCAAGAGTTGTCATTTTGTTATCATAGTAATTTGGTTTAATGGACTGACAGAGGCCTCTCAGTACTATGGACATAGTTTTTTCAGCTTCAAGCATGCTGTGAATTTAATCTACAATACACTCAAACACCAAGTATTGTGGCTTTACACCTAGATTATTTTGGCATTATTTGCAAATTTCTTAAGCACCGGTGCCAATTTGGTGTTTGGGAAAAAGCTTGAAAATCTTTAGAAGAAGAACCTTGTTGCCTGTAACATACCTGAATAAGTGAAATTATTCATTTGTTCAAACCGGCTACCCAAGCCCCCCAAAAAAAATATCACAACATGAAGAAAAGCAGTAAATCGGCACAGTTGTCAACAGGGAATCAGGATTAGTTTGACATTTCTGCCCAAAATCTTGATTGGAAAGAGTTCAAGGTTACCAAAGCAGTGGCTGATTTATTGTCTATTTATCAATGTTGATTAATGATTCAGTTATTTGTCAGTAAATGGTCAAGGTTTTCTTTTAATGGTAGTTTTTGACTTATATCCTCTGATACAGATCTATGCACTTCCTATTGCAAGAACTCAGAGCTTGCTTACAAACAGATTTTACATAATCCACCCTCTGAAGTGTGGACCAGTGAGTTTTTTTTTCTACACAGCAGCGGTCCTTTCAGTCAGATGGCTCTCCTCGTACAGCCGTGCAGCTTTAATTCATCCACTCATGAAAAAAATGAGAGGAAGATGTGTTTTCATTCCTGGGTTGCTCGGCTTCAGAGTTAGGTGGTCTAAGCTGTCATCCAGGCACAAATCCAGTCAATAACATGTGAGGGTTTGGTATGAACACGTTGAATGGCCTCAGAGTAATTGGAGCATATTCATTCTCACGCCCTTTGATTCTGGGACGAGGGGTCGTTGATGGTCTTGGGGGTGGGGGTGTGACTGAGGGAGACATTGAAAGCACTTAACATCAGAGACGTGTTTATGTTGACGCCCCCCAGCCTCTGCACTAGCACCAGGCTAGTCTGTCTGCTTAGTTAACCTCATATGTGAGTCAGCCATGAACATAAATTGCCGTTTGTGTTGCGGCCATCTCTTGTCTATGTGGCATATGTCGGTTGGAGTGGGGGTGGCCTGCCTTGACTTAGTGCCCGGTGTTTGCACACTGAGGAAAGCTGTGCCAGTGTGGAGCGAGGACGGCTCTCGTTATCAGCTGGCAGCAGGGAGAGGGGGGGGAGACCGGAGGGAGGGCGGTGAGGGTGGCAGGACTGGGTGAGAAAATGATGGAGAGGGAGCAGGAGAGGCAGAGAGTGAGACGGGCAAAGGCAGGAGAGAGTGTGCTTTAGCTGACAGGAATTTAAGAAACATGACAGTGTGTGATGTAAAGAGCTGTCACTTCAGTCTCAGTGACAAGTTGCACCCCCGCTTTGACAGTAGGCTCCTCACCAGATGGATAGAGCATCAATTAAGGCTCATTCATTTGCAGCAGCTTTTATAACAGTCTGATTAATCACTTTAAAACCATGTAAACCATTGCAGAGATATTCATTAGTTTTAGCCCTGTTCTCCAGTGTGTTTTCTAACTTTTATATCATTACTTCTTATTTATTAATGATTAGTCAATATGTAAGTTAATGGAAAACATAGATTTGACTGCTGTGGACAGTAAACATCCTATCAGTTGGTCTCAGACAAAACAGATATGACATTTTCTGAACTGTAGGGATCAGATATATTTTTCAGTTAGATTTTTTTTTACTTTTGGTTCGATTTATTTTGGATCCACCATTAGTTACAACAATATATGTAGTAATTATTCTTCCTGGGGTCCTTTTAAATAGTCACACGTGTAATGTCTTTGGGTTCTGATGTGTTTGTAGTTTAAAGTGACTCCAGATTTGGAGCTATTACCTTATCACCTTTGACACTTACTTACGACCAGTCAACCAATCCTAAAGCAGGAATTATGGCTGATCAACAAAATAGTATTAGCTCAAATCGTCATTGTTACGCAACTTGGCAATATTTAATTTTAAAGTTAAAAAAAGGACTCTTTAAGGATTTTAGCTTTAGTTAGAAAAGCTCAAAATTAGTCCCAAAAATCCCTCTGTAGTTTTTAACTAAAATGACTAATATGGTGATAATTACTTTAAGGAAATGATATAGAAATGATCATAAATGTTCACCCCGCTGTAGTCCGTAATGGACTGGCCCGAGGTCTCGCTACAAACAAGTGGCTGCTGGAAGAGAGTAGGTGAATTGTGTTTAGTCTCTTTCTCTCAAAGAAATCAGGCAAAGTTAAAAAGATGTTTGGTGCCTAGAACTATGGCTGGGACCCTATAGGTACTGTTGATGCAGTTAGGTGCTGTTCTGAGCATTATTTGTGGCTATAGAGTGGCGTTTTAGTTGAGGTTTGTGATGGCTTCCCAGACCGTTGTGTATTGCTGTCCTGCAGTCATTACTCAAGTTGGTAAAACTAGACAAACAAGCAGTCTGCAACATTCATCTCTCGATGGTTTCCCTGCCATGGTGGTGGCCATCTTGTACCAGAATGTTTCTATATTAGCACATAATGGACCGATAGGTAAGAGCCGTCCTTTTTTTCGAAGAGGAAAGGATTGGTTATTGGTTTGTATTGATTGAAGTTGTAGTAAAAAGTAACTGGGTAAAATCTTGTAAATCATTGTGCATCACAGTAGCTTCTTGTCCTCAAGGGCCACCGTCACTTCTGACATTTCCCTAATGTGAGGGGTGAGCAAGAGAGCATTTCAGTCCGGAATTCTACTGCTAGATCTCACTTAATTTGTCTGTTCATACACACTGTACCTGTAAGTGGCAAGAATCCTTTTTTCATCATTTCCCACTGTGCAGTCTTCAACAAGCCCTCGTCAGAAGGACCCTTTCAACGTAACCAAAGTATAAGCACATAGAAAGCACATTCAGCCATCAGCCCACCTGTTCTCTCTTTATGGGTATTAACATTGGTCATTGAAAAACCTCAATAGGTCAACCACAAATAAGCATGTATTCACCTTACATTTTGTTTAAACATACTGTATTTTGAAAATGAGATTCAAAGTTAACACCGGAGCATAGCAGTTACTAGCTGTGATTCAAGTGTTCACTCTAATGGCCTGCTTGTATCAAGTAAATAATGATATGCATTTTAATGACACGGCTAAGTGTTAACCCCGTGACTGAACAAACTGAAGTGTCTGACAGTAGGATGGATGGGAAAGGGCTGCACAGTGGCAGCAGTGGAGGATGAATGTTGGTGTTGGAAGAGCCGCTTGCAGCACAGATGATAAAACACAGCAGCCTGTGATAGCTACCATGTATCTGGAGTTCTTCCTTTCAGGAAGGCACAGTGGAGGAAGTCTTGTTGAGCCTGCTGTAAAAATCCCACAGTGCTGACTTTGATTTGGCATTGACTATATTTTACCAGGTTTTCAACAAGCTTTCTACTGAATGAATTACATTTTTTACAAGGAATACACACATAATCTATGGTATTATCAATAATTTTACAGTTATTATTACTGAGAGTAGGGCCACTAATTAGCTCCTTACAGTTGGATCAATATACAGTATTGCAGTTATTTTCACACTGTAAACATGCTTTTACTAAAAGATCCTCCAATACTCTCATTTCCTCAGTGAACAGTATGATAGAAATGCCTCTGAAGTTGAGTCCATGATGATTCTCTCAGCACCACCTGGTTGCAAAGACCCACTCGCTTCTGTCACGCCCACACTTGAATGAAGTTTTGTTGAATCTGATGTGATTCTCATTTCCTGGTTTACGTGCAGTGATGACATCAAATCACATTTCTTTGCTTGATGTCATACACAAACACTCTGCTGACGTCTTGTATATTTCAGTCCGCGCTCTCTTGGCTGCAGCAGGTATTTATAGCAGATAGTAACATGACAGCACAGAGTTGTTTAACCAGGATAGCTGACTCAGAGCACATCCTTATTTACAGCCCTGGCCCCGGGACAGCTTTCACAGGGTTAAACATGTTTAAGACTCAGAGCTCTGAGAGCTGCCTTGGGGTCCTCTTTTTAATTCTCATTAACTTCAAATGTGAAACTTTAATCATCCCTGTGGGCGAATTTCATCAGCTCACAGCCCCCAACCTACAAGATGAAGATAAAACTGAAAGTCTTCTATAGTCACAATGCTAATTCTGTAGCCACTGCAAAGCTTTATTTGCCCCAGGTATGGATAATAAACAGGTTAAACTCCAAATCCTGGTGTTATGAACCCCCTCTTTCTGCTGTTGCATACTGAATCATGAAGTTGTTATTGTAGCTCATTCATTGCCTCTGTTCTGCCTATGTCATAGCACTAAGATTATGAGTCAGCATGACTGCAGTGATTGAGCAAAAAGCTAATACAGGCATGTCCCTAATAACGACACTTACATGGTAACATTCAGACAATCTTCGCCTCCTTTTTTAGGATGTAGGGGAGACCGGGGCTTGTTGTCACATGGGTAAGTTGTCACATTGCAATTATCTCTGCCACAAGAGGGCGCAACTAAAAAGTGGAATACTAGTTTTATTCCTTACATGGTCAGGGGTCATGTCCTGTCTGAGAAGAAAAGAGCACATTGAGATGATCGCCAATGAACCATTTTGCACAACCCAAAGTTTAAAACAAACAAAAAACAACTTAGTATATTTTAAAATAAGCTTCTTCCAGATAAAAAATCTGAGCAGTGATACATGTGGACTTGTTAGAGGAGAGGTTAAGGCATCCTGTCATACCTCAGTCATTGTTCTGTTTTAAACTAACTTTAAATCAGAGCTATAATTAGCAAACATGGTAGTTTGGGGCAACATGTCTCAGTCATTTTTGGGGTTCGTTGTCACATGTTTAAAAGGGATTAAAATTAACATCGAGAGTCTGCTTATCAGCAGTCGTCATATTACTACTCTGTAATTGGCTGAAGAAATATTGTCTGGTTGTTTCCAAGCAGGGACATTGATAAACTGAATCATAAACCAAGTAGAAAGTTTATACCTGATGGTGGCCCCAGATGAAGAGGAACCACTAAAGTAATGATTCAACCTGTAGGAAACATCCATTACCAAGGTTTATTTTATGACAGTAGTGAAGACCATGAATTCATGCTGATTTATGGGTAAGTAATTTATTAGATATTTGTTGTTTGTTGTTGTCAGTAAAAGTGCACTGTATTTAAAACTTTTCAGCACCTAACTTTGACACCACAAAGCATGTTTTTTTTATTTAGAACCATTTGCAGACATGTTAAGCTGTAACTTGTTTTTGAAAAGTGCTTTGTAAATAAAACAATTATCATGAGTATTTTCCATAGACTGTATATAAGATGGACAGAGTCTGCCTCCTCGCTGGGTGAAGCCACTCCGAGAACAGCACCCTCTGATGGTGGGCTGCAGTACAGATCATAAATCCCGCCTCCGCCAGCAACGCTTATGGGACTGTGGACAAACTTTAGAAATTTATTACACAGAACATAAATTTTTCTCCCCCCTGCTTGTGATGTTGACATGTAGTTATTGTAAGACTGGTTTGTGCCCAAGTCCTTTTTTCTCTGTACAGCTCCGTTTTTAAAAGTTATTAGGCGGTTCATGTTTTCTATGATTGACACCTGATACAGCCTATGGGCGTTCAGGGATTGCGTAGCTCTTCCGGGGGGATACGCTGTTTGAGCCGAGCGTCATCACAGGGACTCTCGGCGACTGCACGGCAAAATGCGCACAACGCTACTACACAGCTCTGGTTTCAAGGAAGTGGAGAAAAACCCGGAATTACCGAGAGCTTTTTGGCTTCAAATCCGTATACAGGCGGAAGGTGGAACCACGTTGTCCATCTTATATACAGTCTATGGTATTTTCCCTCTGAGCAGTAGACGGCTATTAGACATCTAGTTTTTTTTAGACCTAATTTCAACTGTCTAGATTCTATATATTTTTAGACAGAATGTAGACATTGCACTGTAACTCATTATTCGATAACTATTTATTTCAAAAAGCAACTGTGAGTTGCATAACTGATCTCCAAGTACTTAACCAAAATAATTATGATCGCCGTTGAGCAATATACAGTGTAGTATAGATATAGCCCAGATTTAGATTTGGTCTAAACTTGGTCTAAATTTAGACGTCTAAAAAACTTTCATTTTTAGACCTGTGGTAGCCTGATTTTGGACCAGTCGTCTAGGCTACATTAAGACGTCTGTTACGTCTCTTTTAGACCAAAATATTCTCAGTGGGATAGCACATGCATGTTCCTTTGCCTGCAGCACTCTGATCTCAAAAAGGACTGAGCTTCAAGGGACTCTGTCTGGTTAATAGACCTACGTACTGACAAGTACAGCATCCATCCCTCCCTTCAAAAAAAGCAAACTATCACCATCATGTATTAATCAGTTCCATAAGCTGAAGAGTAAATGTAGGCTGTTTATTTCATTTGTAAAAATATGTTATTTAGACTTTTTGCCAACCCTTTTGGTTTGCTGTTGTGAAAGGATCTCTTTTATTTTTTTATGACTTTATTTTAGAAGTTTTACATTTTTGTAACACATAGACATGAACATACACATACAAACTAACTAACTTATTACAAGCACAACTATACAGTAGCCCCTCACCTACCCACCCCTTTTGACCAAGTGCACACTTTTGACAGCGATATAATCTGTCAGATTTAGACTACTGTGTTACCATCAGGCTAAAAAACATTCATATTTTGTGAATGCTGCACAAAGAAAAGCTGGATCATAAATATGCATTAAATCGCTCGTAGAATGTGGGTGTGTCTCATAGCACCTTAAATTGTGCAGTCTTCCTTATGTGCATGTGCTAATCACAAGACGAGGCTATAGCCAGAGCCAGGAGAGACCCTTGACTGGATACAGAGGTTAATCTGCTCTTAAACAGGGTCTATGTCAAGACCTGCGACCTCCTTTCCCTCTCTTCATCCTCACTGCAGTTTAATCTCAACCTGAGCACCTGAATGGGCCACTTTGTTACAGACTATCCCGAGGCTATTCACTCAGCTTTCAAACAGTAGCTGTGCACAGTGAGCGTGTGTGATTGTGAGAGGATGCTCTAGAGGGTCTGAGAGTAAAAATGTAAAGACTGATCCTGCTGCCTAGAGATTCAGCAGCCAATCATACGCAGAAAAAACATGATGTGGGAAAACTGTGAACGAGCTGAAGCGTGTGTGGGTGGGTGGTGTGTGGAGCTGAAGTGTGTACGTTTGTGACCACACATGAGTACACAGAAGTGGTAGGTGTAAAATGTGAGTAGCCGACAGTATGTTTGAATATCTGTTTGTATATGGGTGAAAGGACAGCTGTGATATGCTTATTAGTTGAGTGCTTCACTATAGTGAAGATACTATAAAGGTTTTTACTTATCTTTACAGAGCTCCATGGAGTCTCCAAACCTGGAGTTTGAGTATGGGGACACAGACACGCTGACTGCAGAGCTTTCAGGTAAGACTGATTATGTAGTAAAACTGTGGGACATGTCATCAAAATAACCAAATTAACCTTTGCAGTCGGATTAATCATGTTACCGTCTTTTTTAATGGTACCAGCACTTCATGGCTGTCTACATGATCTCACTTTAAATCTGGTTTATCGTGTCTTTGTGCCTACGAAAGGCCTGGTTTGCTGCTTGAATCTGTCCTCCTTACACTTTCAGTGGCCTTCATCCTCTTTCCATGGCAGACTGTGTCAGACTCGCTGCTTTGTGCTCAAGTTATGTCTAGTTCTTATGTATGACACAGGATTTTAGAGTTCCTACAGGAAAACCAATGTCTCTGCTCAGTGTTCAGCACACAGTGTGCTCATGATGGAGGAGGAAAAACTTATCTGGATTCCTCAGGTTCTCTTTTTCAGTGTTTTTCATAAAATCACCATAATAAGCAAAGAACCAAATCCTCCAGTCCAGTCCTGACATGTTGTTCAAACGTAGAGTGTATTGTGTGACTCGTGTTGTGAGTAATTTTTAACACAAAGATTATACATTCAAAGCTGCTAGCGTCTGTGTATTTGGTTATAGCTCATGTGTAAGCAGAAGTTTAGTTTATGAATGAATGACAGAAGAAATTAATCATGATAAATGTCATAAATTGATAAACAAAAAGATGGTTCCTCTCCATGAATTCGTTTGTCCCTGAGCTAGGTGACGTTCAAGAAAAAAAAAACTGAGTAACAGCAGTGATTTTAAGTCATAGTGAGCGTTCTCCTGCTAGATTACAAACAGCAGCCGATTTGCCAAGAGTGTTAGTCACATCGAAGCGAGGAGACAAAAACAGAGAGACAGTCGCAGAGGCTTTCAGTTCCTCAGGGTTTGAGGAGTGACAACTGTTCTCAGGAACAGAAAGAGATTCATGGGAGCGTGAGGGATCACTGATGTGTGGATGAAACAGTTCAAATCACCACTGATGAGACAGGAGCTCAAATCTGTCTGCTCTGCTTAGGAAACAGTCGTTTACCTGCTGGACTTCAGGTGTCTGAATTTATTCTGTTTATTTTAAACCATGTACTGTATTATGTTGTTCTCTTGTTATTCCATTCTATTGTATGCTAACCATCTAACACTACATTAGCTGAGATATTATACTCTCACTGTTATCAACCCATAACTTTACACTGTAGTGGGTACTGCTCCTGGATTCATCTTTTGGTTGTATTATGTTCTGCCTTTGAAACATGACAAAACCTTGAACAAATATCCAAAAATGGGGAGCGATCAAATAAAGAATAATGATTTTTTTTTTTCCCTGAAAGGTGTTTTTTATGATTAGAATTATCAGAATATATGCTGAGTTACAGTCTATTGTGATAGTTAAACTCAAATTTTTGTCACTGTTTTGTGTCCACAGAGCTCTACAGTTACACAGAGGAGCCAGAGTTCGCCCTGAACAGAGACTACTTTGAAGAGGACTTCAGGAGCCATGGTACTGTTGGTTTTGTGTATTTGTGTATGTGTGTATGAGAAAGAGAGGGATAGTACTATAAGGGTATTAAATGTATTTTGATTGGGTTTTTCCACATGAGGATGCATGCAGGGTTGTTGCTCCCACAGTCAGTGGTGCTCAGATGAGGTGATGTGTCTGGTGTGTTTAAAACAGAAAAAAAGAGGTCAGAGATAGTCACCCTCTACCAGGACCCTGCTTTACTTGGCCGTACCAAACACTAGAGGTCTACAGTAGACTGGAGCTGCAGTTTTTTGTTGCTGCTGTGTATCACTAAGACCTTGATGGGTCCTCCAACTGTGAGGCTGCTGTTGATTGACAGAACAGTACTGAGTCCTTTTGTACAGCTCTGAAAGTCCCCGTCGGCTCCAGCTAAGTGCTTGATAACAGGCTGTGCACAGGCACCGGGCTGAAGGTTAACTGAACAGAAGGTTTCTTATGGAACAGAGTGAATGCTCCAGACAAAATGTATTTCAAAGGAAACTGCAGGGCAATGATAGATATATAATGTAAAGGTGTTTTTATGTTGTATTAGCTAGTGTTAGAGAGCAATATTTACCCATCAAGAACTCTTGAGCCAATATGGAGCCACAATGTTATGGCTCGCCTTTCAATCCTCTCTGGGGCTTCTATCTGGAGCCATGATGCTTTCTGTCAGAGTAAACAAGAACCCATCAGGGGATTCTTTAAAGAAATGTTTTTATAATACAAGAATCTCATCTTAAACCCAACCTTTATCCTGAATTTAGCCCGTAATAGTATCCTTCAACAAAAACTTGCAGCTAACTGCAGCAAATCACAAGTGAAAGTAAAAGAAAATACAATTAAAACGCAGATTAAAACTAAAATATATGAGGAAAATCGACTTTTCAGCAATCCTTGAGAAACCCATTCTTCTGAAAAAGGATGAACCCTTTTCTTCAAGTGAAAAAAGTTCTCAATGGAAAGTACTCTTCAACAATGTTCCTGAGCAGGGACCAGGACTCTTCAGAAGGAACCCTTTAGGGACCCTTATCTCAGAGAGTGTAGCAGTAGATGGCTTTGACGCAGAACAAACAGTTTTTGTGGAGCAAGCCTGTAATCTGCATCTGCTTGGAGAGATTTCAACTGGGAAACGTCTTCACTGTCTGGTTCTCATATGTGAACACTTTGTTATTTTTGAAATGCAGAAACACGAGGAGGAGGTTTTCTGTTCTTCTTTCGAAAGCTGGGTTCAAGCAGTGGTCAATAGGGATTTGTAACACAGACAAAGATCTGTGCAGTTCGGTTGGGGTTAATCCGATCTGAACTTAGAGTGCATTCAGATCTGCAGCAACACACCTTACACACAAGTTGCACACTTGCTGAGTTAGGTACTTTAAATTCCAAAAGGATGATCACTGTCATATTGTTTTCAAGTATTACATTGTTGTAATTTTCCTAAATGTTACATTCCAGTGGTAATCACAAACCCACTCTACCTCCTGAGCCTTTGGGGTGTTTTTCTTCACCTCATACTAAAACCTTTAAGAAGGATGTGTTAAACACAGCTCACATATGAGCTGCAACACAAAGGAGGGATGTATTCAATGTGCACCTGTTTGAGGAGAGGGTGAATGGGAACATCAAAGCTCTGCTCTTTCAAGAATGAGAATCCCTACAGGTACAGAAGGAAGGGCCAGCCTTAACCACGTGATTAACAAAACAGCCTCTCAACATAAATTATAGTCTGATTAAGTAGAGATCCTGCAGAAATACATGGTTTCTTTACCTGATAGCATCTAGTTTAGTGTTCAGTAGGTTTTTGCTCATGAATATTTTCTGACTCCATTTAAATTATTCCAAACTTCTGCCAATTAAAACACCAGTTGGGTTTAATTTTTACGATTTTGTGCATCAGGTTGCAGCAGAGGTGGTTTGTTTTGATGACTGTATAAAACGGTGTAAAATCTTGCAGAGAATGAATTAAAAAACACGAAGGTCTAAAGTCATTGTAGTACGCATTACAATCAATAGCAGCTCTTTCCATTTGCTCCACAGCCATACCAGCTTCATCCTCTTCATCTGTCACCTTCTCTCCAAGCCGAGTGGTAATGAATAGCAGGATTAGATGAGAGCCTCTCTGGCTGCTGTTTTAAAGAGATAGAGGACAGAGCTGCCTCTTTACATCACAGCCTTTTCATTAGTGTGTGTTTGTCTGTGTGTGTGTGTGTCTGCTGCTGTCAGATGATGGTTTCCCTCTTTGAAATATGTGCTTCACATGTGTGTATGTGTGTGTCAAAGCTTCTGACATTTTGCTTATTATTTTTTTTTTCAGCCATTACACTTTAATCTCCCAACTGTCTCACTGTGATTATGACAAAGTGTCTAATTTAAGCTCCTCACAGAAAAAAGTAGGCTTTTTGGAGCTGTAATTACAAAGCGTTTTTTTCTGCCTGCTGTAAGTAGACAGTGCTAGTTAGACAGTCTTCAGTCTGGGCCTCAGTGATCATGATGATTTTCTGCAGCTTAATGCCTATTACTGTCTTTGTGATAGAGGACTTACACATGAGAAAAACCACCAGGCATGTGGATCTTTTACTGCTGTACTTTCTAGGTCCACTTTGTGTAAAGCGTACAGCTTGTTTCCTCTTTTTGTACGTGCTGTAGCCCCCATAGTTTGGTTTATCATTATGGTGCCCCCGGCTCTGCTAATTACCGTATGCTTCAGCGCTCTGTTGCTCTTAGCTAATTTTAGAGCTGATGCAGTGGACTTCAACATAAAGCAAAAAGGTACCAGTTACTCTCTATAGGACCTCTCTGCGTATGTAAGCATCTGCAGTATTTCACATGTGAGGCATGAAGAGAAGTGCAAATGCTCTAAAAAGGCAGGTTGTCCCCTATGATCATTTGAATCCTCATGAAGTAATCTGAAAGCTGCATGGATATGTAGGCTAACCACTTGGAAAAGAAGACTGAAATATCAGGAGAGAAATCACTTCATTGTTTCAAAGTAACACAACATGTGATGCAACAGTTCCTGTACCACAATAGCTACTGTAAGCATCAGTTTCTCACATATTGTGTTGTTTAACACCAGGAAGGAAGCTAGGTCGTTTTTAACAGCTAACGTTAGCATTAGCTAATGCTTATTAAAGAAAATAAATGTTTGTCTTGAGGTGTTGCTTTTTTTGTATCCCTCCCTGAGTTTGAACTTCCTGCCATTGTCAGACAACTATATCATGATCAATGAGTCAGTACAGGACCTTTACAGAAAGACTTATGGTAACTACAATTGGCTTCAGAAATGTGTTAGCTTGTGCTTTAGCCTGCAAGGTATGCTAATGCTAGAAAATGAAAGCAAGTGAAGAGTCAGGAAAAGTCTGGTAAACAATTTACAAAACGAGGCATTATCCTTAGATAAGTGGAGTAACCTAGATTTAGCTTAACGTTTACCCCATTTTCTAATCTTTTTGGCAAATATAGTTGTGTTATACACAACAGAGGTCCAAGCTGTGCTTGAAAAAGACTTACAACCACTTTTGCTTTTGTGGCTAACATAAAGAGAAATAGCAACTTATAAAAACATGTCAGTTTCTTGGTCTGGTGTGAACTGCTTTTTGTTGCCTAAGTTTGTAAATATTAGTTATAATGTTAGCTTAAGATGTAGATTCATTAATGACTTTGTAACTCTATATATCTATACTAAGTATTTCCCCATTTCTGCTGCTGTGCTGTTGCTTTAAGATCCACTCCATAAAGTGAACCATCTAGCCCAACTTCCCTGTCTGTCTTTGGTAAACACTATACCATGCAGACACGTATTCTTGTGGTTTTCTCTGACTATTCTAAAGCGAAGGGAAAGTATACTTTAAAACTGTGTTTCCTAAAATAACCTGGCACACTGTGTTATGTCCTCTCTGCAGCTCGAGGCAGGAGGTGGATTGAGCTGACAGTGGAGGAGCAGAGGGCGTATGTGATGAGGTTGCTGGATGCGTTGGAGGTGACGGACAGAGACAAGAGGCTAAAGGTGGCCAGAGCCATCCTCTACCTGGCTCAGGGTGCGTAGGCAAAGGATATATCGACCAGCTAAATGCTTTTTACACAGCAGAATTTGTACTGTTACAGTAAAGGAAGCACAGGCGCTCTGTCTTTTACACTTTTTAACAAACCATCACAGTTTCTAATTGACACATTTTATGATGAATGCACTTTTATTGATGTTACAGCTATTACAGAGAATAAAGATAAATTGAACTGTTTAAAAGGTATAAAATGTATGTTTTTATTGTGTATTCTTCCTACAGGTGTGTTTGATGAGTGTGATACAGAGGTGGATGTGCTCCACTGGTCCAGGCACAATGTCTTTCTGCTCTACGACATGGGTATCTTCACAGCACTGCTGGAGCTGCTCACCATGGAAATAGAGTAAGGAGGAAATACTGACTAAGTTTCAGTTATTAAAAGCATTACTGCCTGAACTGATGGAAAAAAGCGAATGAATCATCAGTTAGGATGATATTAGCTAGGGTGACCATACGTCCTCTTTTACCTAGACAAGTCCTCTTTTACCTAGACAAGTCCTCTTTTTTAGGGGCTGTCCTGGTTTGTCCGACTTTGTCCAAGGAAGTTTATAAAATCCTTCAAATGTCTGCGGTTTTGTAAATAAGTTCCGAGTTTGTGTCATGTGGACTTGCTGAGTTAGGAGCGTGTAAAAGACACTTGAGCTGACCCAAAAAACTCTCAAAATTAACTTTGTGCGACTTCATGACACTGCCCCCACGAAGTCGTGTCCTCTTTTTGGAAAGTCAGAATATGGTCACCCTATATTAGCAGGTGGTAAAGAGAGTCTAAAGCTTGTCTCACTTGTCTTTTAATGATAATTCTATTAATTTTAAAATGGTCCATTCAATCAGCTAAAAGTAGTAGTCTCTCATCTTCTACAGCAGATGTATTGTTGTTAGCCTATCAGACATGGAGTTTTAACCAATCAGTCAAGTATTTAACCCGGCCAAAGGGAATCAAAAACTACCCCTTCAAACTACATGCCGACTGTGTCACTCTTGACATGGTTACTGAATTTTTGTTCACCTTCTGTTAACAATTGAGTGTAAAAGAAATGTACAAAACCCATGAAATAGAGAAGAAAAAAGCTTCTCTGTATGCAGAGAGGTTCTCAGCAGCTCTTTATATAATTTAAAGATGCATCTTCTCCTCAAACGAGGGCCTGCAGCAGCTCAGAAAGGGAGGGGGCTGCAGAGAGAAAAAGGCAGTCATGACATGGAAATTTGAAATAGTCTCATCTGCAGAAGGGTTTTACTGTAGGGTTGTTGTGTTGCTAAAAGGTCATGTGTCAAAGCCCTGTGAAAGCCAAATTTGGCCTATGCTTAAAAGATTAAATTTTCAACTGTGATCTCTCAGTTTTGAAGCACTGGCCCTTAAACACATCCACTTAGTCCTTCCAGAAACCTCTATGCTGTGAGAGGCGCTCCCATGAGTGTGAGGAGGTCTGCATGAGATAAACACAGAGAGCAACAGAGAAACGCAGGAGAACAAAAACCACTATTTGTGATCTGCACTTCAAAACCTCCACGGAGGATACGGTGGAGCAGCAGATCCTTCAAGTCATTTATTTTGCTGCCGGTGCCAGCCTGAGTTGGGATCCAGCGCTTCTTTGTTGTTATGTAAGCTGCTCTGAGGCATGATGGCACAGTCTGCCCTATCACCATGCTGCACGGCAAAGCAGTGTAAACAAGCTATCACACAAACACACACACATGGTGCTTTGCAGGTTATCTGAAAGCATTAAAAATGTACTCTAGTAGGAAAGAGACAGTTGTGTTTGTCTTTGTTGTTGAATATTTGATTGCTTGTGTGTGTGCAGGCTGGCTCTTCAAATGAGAGAAGGTCATGATTTACTTTCATTTTTGCGTTTGCAGTAACAGCCAGGCATGCAGCAGTGCAGTGAGGAAGCCTGCCATCTCTCTAGCAGACAGCACAGAGCTCAGGTAAGCAAAATAACACCTTCATCGACATCCTTTCCATTCACAAACAGAAGGTTACTTCCTTATTCCTCAGTGTGCTCTTTTCTCCAATGTTTATAATTTTCTAGTTTCCATTTACTGTCACGGATCATTTATGTTCCACTCAGTTTCATTCATTGCCAGTGAAGCTGAATGACATTCATTTTTAACAACACCCTTCTGCACACACATACACACACCCAAACCTTCACACACGTACACAGAAAGGCTCATTTGGGTGCCCCTGAATGTCGCTAATAAATAATTACAGCCCAGAGGAGTGTATTTGTACCTAACTGCTGCCACTAAATTGAAAGCCTCTGTAGTAATTTTGAACAAAAGGAGAGTCTTTGTTGGGTGAATAAAGCAGCTAATGAAAAGACGACTAACCGAATTACATTGATTAAATATGAATGTCTGATGCATTACCCTGACGGTTCAAAAAAATCACTTCTTCTCATACTTGCACATGCACACACTAATTGCATAAAAACATTCCCTGCTTCTTGCACTTATGTTTAATTGTTGCTCATCATTTTCTCTGTCATGTTATTGTGTCTACCTTTTAGGCCTGTTATTAGTCTTTAAAGCACCAATTACAAACAATTATAAAGGATTCCTTCGTTCTTACAATGAAGCTAAGTCGTGCGTGTATGGTTTTCTTGCAGAGTACTACTGAGCATCATGTACCTGATGGTGGAGACTATTAGAGTACAAACAGAGGACGACAGGCCTGAATGGAAAGCAGCCAGAGAGGCCTTTAAGAATGAGCTAGGTGTGTGTGAATATTACTGAGCATCTTTACAACCATCAAATCAATCTAACTAGAATTATAAATAATAACAGTGGAAAGTAGGGTATGTAATAACAGCTGCTTCCATATGTTCTGTGATGTGACCTTTAACCCTTTAGGTTCACCTTTGTACAATGGGGAGCCTTTTGCTCTACTCCTCTTCACCATGGTGACCAAATTCTGCAGCATGAACGCCCCACACTTCCCCATGAAGAAAGTGCTGCTGCTGCTTTGGAAAACCATACTAGTGAGTACAACAGAAACATTCAGCGTTTACATACATTTCTTTTTGATTCTGTGCTGTGTGTGTTTTCGTTGGTAACATCCTGATTACTTTTTACTTAAAGGGTAACAAAAAATGTATATATTTCTACAAAAAAAAATCGCACATATTTCCACCAAAGTCAGGCAGATTTGGTACTCTATATATGAGACATAATGGTCATTATACCAGAAATACTGTATATCCATATAGTGCTTATAGGAGACTGTAACATGCTCTGTTTTAACTTCATGTCAATCTTCTTGAGTTTGTCTGCTCCTCTGACCCTTCTCATGTTGCAAGTCTGCAACAGTGCTGTAATGCAGCCCCGTCATGCCTGTGTGCTGTCTTATCGATTCACCCACAGTGTGACTTTGGTGCCCCAGTGCATGATACATGATCACGTTTGCATCATGGCGTTGCAGAAGCATGAGAGGTAGAATCAGGGCAGATCAGCATACGCACAGACACTCAGGCGTGCAGACACAGACAGAGCGCTGGTGTTCTTTGCCTGCTCCGCTGGCTCACAGTGAACCTGTTCACCTTTGAAATGCATCTGTCTCTACTCGCGATGCCAAAACACAGTAGAGGGACAACTTGGTCCTATCATTGTGCTTCAGAGACATTCATACTGAAGGTGAGGGGAGGGGTGTACATACCGCGCCTTAAACTGGCAGTATGAACAGAGCTTCTGGTGTCAAGCTTGTTGTTCTGTGAACCTCTCCTGTTTCTCCTCAGTATTGCTTTTTTTGTCTCAATATGTGGCCGGTGTATGTGGGAACTTTGACTTATTTTTGCTAACAGGCTGATGTTAGATTTACCTGACTCCATCTGAACCGGTGGTCCTTGTTTTTAAAATAAGAGGTCATAGAAAGCAGTTATTGATAAATCAGGATTAAGCTAGCCAGACAGTATGCAATTTTTGAATGTTTTAAGCTACAGCAAAATTAATAGCTGGCTGAGTAGAGTGCATCCACCTATATTCTCCCATCTCTGACTCTTCTGTGTTTATGAGTTCCTGTGCTCCTGCGTCTGTTCCCTTCTTTTAGTTCACATTGGGGGGCTTTGAGGAGCTACAGGAGATGAAGGTGCGAGGCCGGGAGCGTCTGAATCTACCCCCTCTCCCTGAAGACAGCATCAAGGTAGTCAGGGCCATGAGAGCTGCCTCGCCTCCGGCCTCGGCCATGGAGCTTATTGAACAACAGCAGCAGCAGAAGAGAGGACGCCGCAGCCGCAGGGTACCGACCTCTGACCCACAAACACACATACATCACAAATTCAGAGCTTATCTAAATGCTACCTCCACTAATTGAATCACGACTTACCTTTTTTTTAGATGAACAAAGTTGCGTTCATGTAAAATTCCTTCTGTAACTCACCTTCTAACTCTTTACAAGGTCAGGTTCCTCCTCAAAGTCTTTTGCCAACATCACTGGTTCTCTGTTGTAAGTCAGTGATCCCAGAGATGAATCTGGCGTTGGGTTCGGCTTTGACAGTTCAAAGCCTGTTGTTTTTACTAAAGCTGTAGAGTGGAAAGGCTTTCTCTCTAATTGCCCTCTGGTTTCTCATTGCCCCTCTTCCTTGTGTCCCCACAGAGTGCCTTTGTTGATAGCTTGGAAGGAGACAGTCCCTTTCCCAAGAAGCAGGTCTTTACCCACAAATTTCCCTCCTTTTCCTTCTGCATTTTCTCTCTGCATTGAGCTGGATTTAAAGCACTCCTCTCCCACCTCTCCCCTCCAACTTTTTCTTCTCTCTTTCCCCTCTTTTATTCTCCTGTAAGATAACCTCATCAAGTCATACCATTGGTGCACTAAAATCAACACAGACACATTTGATATCACAGATATTTTACCTCTGCTGCATAGTGTAATGTTGACATTATTTTGGTGAACAAAGTCAGATTTTAGAGTATCCTTTACAACTCGTTTATAACTCTTGGGAAAAACGTAGGTACCTCTCTGAAGAAATAAAACAGAAACCATCTTAGTGGTTTTGGTGGATTTTAGATAGTTAAAGGAAGATAAGTTCCACATTTGTTTCTAATTGTTAATTATCCAATTATACAGAAAGTGCTCATTTAGCTTAGCTTAGCACAGAAACTGGACACAGGGGATAACATGCAGCTTCACTCTGTCCAAAGAAAGAAAAAATGACCAATAAACTTTCAAAGCTAACCAACTTAAATGTCACAGTGAAGATTTCAAACTCAAGAGAGTAATGGACAGACGTGCAAGTGCTAGGTCTTGGTTCAGACTGTGACTTCCTGAGGTCTAGAGTGGTTTCGAGGCTATTTCATGGTAACAGTAGTCTTAAATATAACCTGGTGTATAGGCATGAGATTGGTATTGATTTTTTAATCTAATTGTCTCAAAGGAGATGAAATAACTGCTTTTCCCAAAGTGTGGAACTGCTCCTTTAATTTAACCATTTCACCTGCATGTTTCCTTTCATTTACCAGCAGTTTATTTATTTTGCCTTCCTCCGATTTCTCCACCTCTCTCGACACTTCCCAATGATCTTTATTTCCCTGATGTTTTATATTCTTTTTCTTTTCTCTTATTGCTTCTGTTCTCTTCATTCCCTCTGTCTCTCTCTCTCTTTTTCCCATCCTTTTTAATAGTTTCTCTCCTGTCTCCCACCTCATCATCCAGCGACACCTCATACTGCCCTCTCTGCCCTCCTCTTTCCCTCCTATTACTTTCTTCTCTCTTTCTCCTCCTCTTCCTCTTTCCACTGTTCAGTACGGGGGGGCGGGGCTTGAGAGACAGGGCTGACTTGCTGGCTGTTATCATTGGCACCGGAGCGGTCACTGTGTACAGTCCCATAATGACGGTCACTTCAGGCATCGACTGTAGTAGCATCCCCTTGTAGTTTCATCACATTGCTGCTAGAGCTGGCCTCAAAATCACCCTGCACTGTAGACTCTGGACTAGGGGTCAATAACCTTAAAATGCATTCATTGAGGAGGTGAATTGAGATCTTAATGGACATATTTTCTCTTTCGTAGGGTTCAGGTTTCAGTTGATCTCTCTCTTAAATGGATGTCATTGAAAGCAGTTGTCCCCTAACCCTGATAGAAAAACACTAGCTTTACCTCCCACACAGCGGCGAATGGCTTCTCCATAGAGAATGGCTCTCAGCACAGTTTCACCTCTTCTACCCCTCTCCCTTCCTCCCTACCCTCCTCCTTATTTCCCACCATACACTCACTGTACTCCTCACTTAGTCCAGCATTAGAACTAGTCTTGGCGCACCATACATTGACTGCACTAGCTCCACTAATGTTGACTCATGCCTGATGCTTGCACTACTGCCACAGTCATTCATCAGAGAAGCTGTTTGAACTGAGATCCTGTGCTTGTTGATGTGGGAATGTGTGTTCTGCACTTGAATTGAATAGCATTTTCCAAATGATGGTAAAAGAAAAGTGTTACTGGACTTTGTTTGCAAATGTTGTTGTCTTCCTAAGTGCAGATGTGTGGTAAGTTCAATCAGTGATTCTGCTTGTGGGTGTCATGGAAAGCTGTCTCTTTTCTGCCTTTTGGAGTAAATGTCATGTCAGTGTGGTGGCTCTTACAGGGTTTGCTCATGTGTTGTTTGAGAATGTGGCTGAACTTTTATAAACTTTTATTTTAAAAAAAGTGTTAGAAGGAGGGAGATATGGAGTCTGATTTTATGCTAACCCTACGGCTAGAGCTGAGTCAGTGTATGTTAGCTTAAAATGAAAACAGAAAAACCAACAGGCTGGTGTAGGAGTTAGTTAAAACAACAAGCTGCCTTTCATATTCGGTTATTTTCTTAGGATTAAAATTGTTTCGAAACGTGTTTTTAGGGTAGCTTTAGATATTCAGTCAGATAGTTTCTCTATATCTTTGACAAAACCAGGATTTGAGCTTTTTATCCTGTTTTGATGTAACTCAAACTCCACCATGGATGCAGGCTCATAAAGTTGTCATATAGGAGAAGGATTTCAACTTAAACATCCAACTCCTCACAAAAAACATTGGTAAAGTGAATCTGTTTATGCTTTATTCTTTACCCTCAACAGAAATTTATTCGTAGTCAGCTAACAGCGTGTTTTCAATGAGGGAACTATCCCTTATATCAAAATTAACTCTTGCCGTAGCTTTCTGACCAGATACTTCATCTCTCAGCAGCACATTCACTACTGCACTATTTATGCATTGGCACAGAAATAAAGAAATATCTGATTGTGAATTTTTTTAAAGTTCTGTGAAACTTTTTGACAGTGTTCTTGATAAAAGCTGAGACATCACTGTTGATCCAAAAATGCCTGCTGAGGTAGAGGTGTTCGTTATACGAGTGATATTTATGCAGTGGGGTTGAGTCATTTATGATTATTTACAGCTGGATTTTCCTTCATTTCCAAACCAGAACAGGCTCACCTCCCTCCTGTGTGTATTTAGAGGTAATGTACCTCCTGACTAACCTAACATTTGACCACCCGTCCCCTCCCTCTCTCTCTCTCAGCCTCTGGTGAAGCAGGACAGCCTGGACACTTACAATGAGCGCGACCCTTTCAAAAACGATGACGCCCGGGATGAAGAGGAGGACCCTGAAGACACTGACAGCGGCATTGAAGGGGAGGTAGACCCCTTAGACCGGGATGTCATCATCCAACCTCCGCCTCCTCCGCCTCCCCTCAGACCCCCCACAGAGAGGGTTAACTTCCCCAAGGGCCTCCCATGGGCCCCTAAAGTCAGGTTAATTGCAGTTTTTATTATTGTGCTCCATTTATTAACCATGTAAACACCTCTAAAATGATAAAAACAAATATGAGTGTCAATATTTAAAAGTTGAAGTTATAACTGTGCCAAAAATGGAAGAAAAGATACCTTAAACTGACAGGACTCGTGGTACCTGCTCAGGCCTAAATGTCAGGAAAATACACTAAAGCACAGAAAATGCTCAAAATCAACATTCAAAACAGCTCAGACCTTTCTATAAAATAAACAACAACTCTCATCACTTAAGCTGATACAAAAATATGTCTGCTGAATTTTACATGAGCTCAAACCTCCAATGATTGTTGGCCACCTGCCATTTTGACCACTAAAGTGGAGAAAACTTCCCACCCACAGCCTGGACTTCATACCATTTGGCAGGCAGCTGGTGTCAGTTTTCCGCCCGGATCCTGTGCCACCGCTTGCAAACTTGGGACAAAATTAGAAAACTCGTGCTCAGTTTTCCCTCCTTACTGTTATCTCACAATGAGCTCTCCATCTGTGTATCCCAGAAAGTAGCATGTGTGTCCACCCAGGGTGCTGCTGTCTCTGCTTTAGAGCCATGAATAATGCATCGGAGAGAGCACATAAACACTTCATAGCAGTGGATTTATCATGCAGAAAACCCGCTGTTCCTCCAGCCAAACCATCATTAAGTGAGTTTGAATCAGGGCGCTGTAACACACCAGGCTGATAAAGTGTCAATCAGGAGGAGGCTGTGAACCCTTCATTCAGTGTGACTGATGAGATTTAAGAAGGCTGATGCAGTGTTTTCTGCTCCTGCGCTTGTTTGTGTGGGTGTGCACTCACATGCAGGGGCCTCCTTTGGAAATGACTGTTTAATAGCTTGTTGATGAGCAGAGTTGTTGCAGCAGGCGTCCTCCAATGAATCACATATCCGACTGTTGTCTGTCTGTGTGTGCACAGGGAGAAAGATATCGAGCACTTCCTGGATACAAGTAGGAACAAATTCATCGGCTTTACCTTGGGAAAGTAAGTGTTTTATGTGAGACCATAAAATATCCTTCCAGCATTTTCTTCTCTCTGTGCGGTCTGACTGTTCATTGTTTTATAGTGATATCGACACCCTTGTGGGCTTGCCAAGACCCATCCATGAGAGCGTTAAGACTCTTAAACAGGTGAGTGGGGACACCTCCTTCACTGAAGAACTCTCAGTCAGACCATTGAGATGCTCACGCTGTAAAATCAGACAGAAAAACAGAGGGAGCAAGAAACGAGTCAAAAGAAGACCAAAGTTTGATCTTTGGTTGATTAGTTATAAGTATGTCTCACTTTGAAGATGAGGAAATCAAGGAGGAACAGTTTAATTGGCATAACAACCCACTCAATCCCTCATATAACCTTTAGAGGGTGAGAAGAGAGTTGAAGCTTGTAGAGGCTTTGCTAGTCTGAGTGCTTATTTCCTCTTATTTCCTTTAGATGTAGCTTTTTTGGTAACACTTTATTTGACGCCTATCTCTGTAACGCATTATAGATACACGTATAATGTGTAATAATCATGTTATAGCACTGTATAACTATAGTTAAACACTCATAAATGATCATAATGCTTTATTGCAAGAATCATCACACATTACAAAGCATTTTGTCATGACTTAAAGGTCAGGTATTATAATGTGTTATAACTGTTAACAAGTCATTGACAATACCCACATAGATGATGCAATGCAACTGGTGTTAACAGTTATAACACATTATAATACCTGACCTTGTAAGACATAATAAAATGCTTTTTAATGTGTTATGATTATTGCTATAAAGCATTATGATCATTTATGAGTGTCTGTAACTATAGTTATACAGTGCTATGACGTGATTATAATGCATTATACATATATTTATAATGTGTGATAGAGATATGAGATTTTTATATGAAGAAAGCATAATTTAAACACCTTGTGCTGACATTTTTATTAAGTTCCATTGGAGTCATATTTGAAGTAGGTGTTAAATAAAATGAAGTAGCCTGTGGTGAGGCTGTTTTGAGCTATGCCAGGAAGATCTTAATGCCTTCTTTACTTAGACCATCATAGATATATCTGAGATGGACTGATCTGAATGCTGCACTGTTGCAAAACTCCCAGTTTATTAGATGTCTAAATTTACATAGAAGGCCAGAAAACATATTCATCATCCTCTAGGCTTTTCATGTTCCCTCCAGCCACATGGCGTGGCATCAGTTTATTTAAAATTCTGTTCAGAGGTGGTGACTCAGCGAATCAGGTTTTCTCCAACGGTGGTCTCTCCAGGTTCCAGTGTTTGTTTAGGACAAGTTAGTTTCCAATGCATTCAGCCACCTTACTTCCCTTATTTCAACAGTCTGTGCTCCTCAGTGTCCTCCTTCTTTCTCTCCTTATTTTGAGTTCATTAAGTCTGGAGTGTTTTCTAATCAATACTCTCATTCCTGAACCCCCTGACTCTGACTTTCCACTTAAAAATATATTCATCCAATTTGAGCAACCAGTGAAGTGGAGTTACATTGAAGGAAAGTCCTGCTGGGTGACAGAGTTACAAATTCACACTTCTTCTAACACCTTCCTTATATATAAATAACGTGTCATTCTCTTCTTTCCCCAGCACAAATACGTTTCCATTGCTGAGTTGCAGATCAAAAGGGAGGATGAGCTGCAGCAGTGTCCGCTTACTTTGGTCAGTAATGTCAACACAACTTTTAAAAACCCAAATAGGACACCAGAGTGTACGAAAGAGGATTAGGGCCACAAGAAGAGAAAAAAATAATTACAGGAGGAAGTTTTTTTTAATTACATTTCAAGATTGAAGTCAAAATTTAAAAAAGGCGAATTAAAAAAAAATTAAAATTTCAAGATTAAAATTTATTACTTTGATCTCAACATTTTATTTTTTTAGCTTGAAATTCTGACATTATTCATAACATTTTGAAATCTCAAAATTTAACTTTAATCTCCTTCCTGTAATATTTTTTTTCTCTTCATGTGGCCCTAATTCTCTTTCGTAAGAATGTGACACAGATTTATTAAGTGAAGATTAGTTTTGATTTGTACTAAACAAGGTTCTTTCTTTCTGTAATATTAAAATTGAATTCATCCACTATACGTAATGTGAGCCTCCCTCTCTCTGTTTTTCATGTCATGTAGGGAGAAGAGGAGGTGGAGGAGACACCAACAGAGATGCTGTACTTGGGCATGCTTCCAAATCTCTCCCAGTATGTGGTGAGTAGCTCGTAACATGTTCCTGACTGGCTTTGTCACCTCTTTAATTTTTACCTTGATTCACACTACCCTAAAAACTCACCATAGATTCACTTTGCTTTATAGAACTGAGGGAAAAAAAAGACTTGAGTTTTTCCCAATTTGTCCCTGCATGACCAAATCACATATCGTCATGAAATAGATCCCATGCTGGGCTTGTGTGTCATATTTTGCACTATTTCCTGTGTCAGATTGCTCTCCTGAAGCTGCTTCTGGCTGCAGCTCCAACCTCCAAAGCCAAAACTGACTCCATTAACATCTTAGCTGACGTGCTGCCTGAGGAGATGCCGTAAGTACTGAGGATCAGTGCTGCAGGATGAATATTAAGTATCTTCTTCTCATTGAGAGGTTTTTATGCAGATGGGTTCAGATCCAGCAGTTGAAAATACTATTGAATATTCCTGTGGATTTCACTACAGTCAACATCTGATTTTATTAAGCTGTTATTCACCAAAACCAAGATGCAAGATTCCCGCCCTGCTTTTACATAAGCAGTCCAGTTTACAGATTACAAGACCCATTCATGTGTGTGTTTTTTCTTATTTTAAATCTGAAACTCTATTCCGCCTGTCATTTCTGAGCTTATAAAATAACACGAGTGTGAAAAATACACTGTTCTTTTCAGTCTTTAGTATGGCCTAGTTTTTGACTGTCTGACACATCACAGAGCTAAAAGACACTTTCCCTGTGGAGAGAAGAGCAAAAACCATCCAACTGAAAACATTCATAACCCTGTCTGACATTTCTGTTCCTTCAATCTGTGTTTTTTTTTCAGCTTTTTGATGCTGCACACTTTTATTAGGCTTGGCTGAAAAAAAAAATGAAAGCGTCATCAGAGAGTAACACCAATATTTGATTTAGAGAGGGAGTGAACAGTGTTTCTTTTCTTTTACTGAGACAAAGCTGTATTTATGTTAGAGATTCAAGACCTTGCAGTGTGTGTGTATGAGTGTGTGTGTGTGTTCACGGCTGTGTTTGTCTTCCAGTATCACCGTCCTTCAGAGCATGAAGCTGGGGATTGACGTGAACCGTCACAAGGAAATCATCGTCAAGGCCATCTCTGCTCTGCTGCTGCTTCTCCTCAAACACCTTAAACTCAACCACATTTACCAGGTTACACACTCTTATTCTTGCGCACACACACACACACACTCCTGTCTCTTCTGTAACCTCCTCAAATCAACATCTCCCTTTCTCTTTCTCTTACACTATTCTTCTCTTTTTCTATCTTCCCGCCCCCCTCTCTCAAACTCACTCTTAACAGTGCACCTCCCCCCATTTCTACCTCTATAACCCTCCACCTGATTAGCCGGTCAACCATTTCATTTCTGTTTCCCCCACCCCCACTGTTGAACCTTCATCACCCCCCACTCACACACACACCTTACAACCTTCTATTACACTCATGGATATGTATTTATCATGGTGTGCACAGAAATCAGGTTGAGAGACAGCATGTGAACCAAAAAAGCCATTTTTTGTACTACTTAATAATCTATTGTGCTTCAGTTCAGGAAGGGACATTCCTTCACTCGTATTATTGACAGTATTGTAAGTCATAGTGGTAGCGCCCTCTGCTGCGACAAGAGAAGATTACATTTGGCAGCATTAGGTTGCCAAATCTCAACTCCCAAACCACACTTTCATAAGGAACCATCCTTTATTAAAAATCAATAAACCCTGACAATAAGGGCAGAGTTTTAAACAAACCGCTGTCAGTGAAACACAAAAATATGATCAAATGATGGATTCAGCAGCAGAGTTATTCTGTTTTAATCTTGGGAAAGCTTCTTGGATGAGTCCAAGGATTTGTTTAGAATTGGACCTAATTCTTGACCTTTTCCTTAAATAGAAAAATTAATCAATGATGCTGGATTATCAACCTCAGGATTATATTCCCTTCCTCTGTTAGTTTCCCGTTGTGGATTTTCCTCTCTTGCATTTGTCATGTCAGCATCCTCATCTATCAGCCTTCATCTGTTCGCCTCTCTGTCTCTTTAAGTGTTGTAACTGGTTTCTTTGTTGTTATATTTACTCTTCTCCAGACTGTCAGGCGTTTTAACTTTCCTTACTGCTGCCTCCTCTTTTTCCTGCAGTTTGAGATCGTCTCCCAGCACCTAGTGTTTGCCAACTGTATCCCACTCATCCTTAAGTTCTTCAATCAGAACATCATGTCTTATATCAGTGCCAAAAACAGGTAGGATCTTCTCCTTTTACTAAACACTCCCTCACCCACACACTCAACGCTCACAATGTTTTTGTTCTCTGACCAAAAACAAGCACGATTTGATGTTAACATACAAGATCTGTAACATTGTGTTTCCAGTTTTGATATTTGGTCCTACTGTATCCCCACGTATTAAGTGCATGGCTGTATTACTACATACAGTAGGATTCTGGGAGGTTGAACAGATGGCGTCACAGCAGCAATGCAGTGACAGGAGGTTCAGGTGTGAAGGCAATGAGGTGATCTGGGGTGAAAGGACCCTGCCAGTCTGTTGTAGTTCAGGTGCTGACTGCAGTGCTGTAGTAATGTAGACTAAACTGTTTACACTGTGACTAAAAATCTGTCTGTGTGTGTTTTCACTGCAGCATATGCGTGCTGGACTTTCCCCACTGTGTGGTCCATGAGATGCCTGAGCTCACCGCAGAGAGCCTGGTGAGTGAAACACTGTCAACCTGACAACTGATGATCCTCACTGGAGGAAACCCAGCATCTAACTGAAGTAGTTCATGCTGTGATAAGAACCTCAGTGTGTACGTATGTCTTGTTTTGCAGGAAGCAGGAGACAGTAATCAGTTCTGCTGGAGAAACCTGTTTTCTTGTATCAATTTACTGAGAATATTGAACAAACTCACCAAGTGGAAACACTCCCGGACAATGGTGAGTGAAAGTCCCTGTATAACTTTGAGTCTGAGTGTTTTTTTCTATTTGCTTCATCTATCTGCATCAGTTTTTGGAGGCAACTGGGGACAGATACATTTCCCTGTTATGGACTGGAATATTTCCCTTAGCAGTGATCAGCTACTCTGTGTAAAATTTGACTAAAACCTAACACAAAAGTTAAAGAAGAGCAGATCCCACTGTCTACTGTGGTCTTTTAAGAGATAAGATATTCCTTTATTTGTCCCACAAGGGGAAATTCCGATTTTATAGTGAGTTAGATTCAGGGTAGATGCTTTTAAAGGTTGAAACTACTGAAAAAACTATCTTGACACTCCCTCTGCAGATGTTGGTGGTGTTCAAGTCCGCCCCCATCCTAAAGAGAGCTCTGAAGGTGAAGCAGGCCATGATGCAGCTCTACGTTCTGAAGCTGCTAAAGATCCAAACTAAGTACCTGGGCCGCCAGTGGAGGAAGAGCAACATGAAGACCATGTCAGCCATCTACCAGAAAGTCCGCCACAGGCTCAACGATGACTGGGCCTACGGAAACGGTAAACAGACACAAAGAAAAAGATTTATGAAGGTTCAAATTGTTCACTTGGAGCTCGTCTCAGCGAACATCACATCACCTTGTACCTCTATACCTCTAAACCTTTCAGAGCTTCTTTATATCAACAGAAATGTTAATGTAAGCACAGTGTGATAAAAAAGTAACAAATACATAGTTAAAATCCATTTGATTCTATGAACCAAATAGCTCTGTTAGACTGAGGAAAACCCCTTAGCTCACGGCTTGGTGGGTGTATAATAGGGCTGTCAAAATTGCTCCAAAATGGCGTTTGAATATTCGCTCTAAAAATAACACATAGGTTCGAACATATTCAAATATCTATCATTTACTTCCCCTCATATCTATCATTTTTTCCATCTACCGTGTCTGCCCAAAATCCGAACAATTCCCAAACTGAGCTTCTTAAGTTCGTTGGAGTCCAGACCACTCTCTCTGAGTTTGGCTCAGAACAAATACATAGTTAAAAATCCATTTGATTCTATGAACCAAATAGCTCTGTTGTTTTCCCTCTCCGTTTTTTCCCGCTGTTAATTTAATATTCGAATATTAATTTCACATGTGCTGTATAATGAAGAAGAGCTAATATTAATGTTAATAAGCAACAAATGAATAGCTCAGATGTGTTCTCTTATCTAAAGTGTTGCCAACAGCAGCAGCTTCATAGTTTTTTCAGTATTTGATGTGAAGATCCTCCAGCCTCCTAACACCAAAGAAGGTCCAGCAAATCAAACAGTAGAGACTCAAGAATGATCAAGGAACTTCATAAATATTTCCAAAAAGAAAATTTCAAATAAATAAGAGGTTTAAGTTCAAAATAAATCTCCCAATTACTATAAAAAGTAAAAATAATAAGGACACCACACAAAAGGAGAACAGCAAAACAAACGTGTTTTTTTTTTTCTGCATTAGTCTGAACATTTAAACTGACATGGTTTACAACCAGCTGTTTTCTTTCTTACACTCTTTTCAGAAAAGACCTTATGATAACAGAATAATCCCCTGTGTAACAAACCTACCGTATGCTTCATGGGTGCCAGAAAGAGGGTGGAGTTATAAACTATTGACATGTGCCACTCTAAAATAAACTGCAGCACCTTCATTTGGCTTTTTGGCTCTCAGAGCACACTGGTCCCTTAGTCATAATGTCTTGGATCCACAATTCTCGCTCCTGTTTGTCTTCCACATCCTCCAAAAAAACAGTCATGGAGACAGTTAGCAGCATCAGTCCTCGTGTGGCCTCACACAGAGCTTATTAATAGAACAGAGACTGCAGTATGAAAAGCGTGTTTCCCTGAGGCTCTGCTGGTGTGACATTTTAGATGAACCAGTTGTTATTGTTACTCTTTCATTAAATTATATGGCCTCATGCGTGTGTCTGTGTATCAGTCTGTATTATGACCGTACAGTGTGAAATACTGTCCTCCAACAGCCAATTGTGAACGGTGGAGTGTGTTGCCATAGCAACAGCAAAAGGAGGGACTGTTCAGGGTCATGGTCCCTTGTGGGAGAGCAAGTGATCTGTCACCATGAGTGTTAAGAGAGAAAAGAGGATTGTGAGGGAGAATAAAAAGGAGGAATGGTGGAAGATGTAGAAAATATTAAAGTGCGTTCACATTTTTAAATTTATTTAGACACTTTAATATCTTCTCTTTTTGAATCTCCAGACATCGATGCTCGACCCTGGGACTTCCAGGCAGAAGAGTGCGCCCTACGAGAGAGCATCGAGAAGTTCAACAGCCGCCGTTACGACAAGAACCGAAATGGAGAGTTTACACCTGTTGACAACTGCCTGCAGAGTGTGCTGGGTCAGCGTGTGGACCTGCCAGAGGACTTCCACTACAGCTATGAGATGTGGCTGGAGAGAGAGGTGTTCTCTCAGCCCATCCAGTGGGAGGGGCTGCTGCAGAATCCCTGATCCAAGTGAGGGAGGAAGGGGGTTCATTTAAGGGGACATGGTGATGAATCCGGAGACATTTTTAAGATTTTTTTTTTGTAAACTTGATTCCAAGATGAGGAGAGAAAAAACAGGGGTCCTGTGCGTCAGATATGGAAGGACGGGGGAGGGGTGAAGAAAAAGAAGCAGGATGAAAAGCTAACAAAGCTAACACATGAGGAGAAAAGACAAGAAACAAAAGAGATCAGCACAAGATGCACACACAGATACACACATGACATCAACATGTGCCTATGACTACAACAAACACACACATGGACATGACAAGCAACAGAGGTAGCAGTTAATAAGAAGCCGCTGTAGCAGGAGACTGTTTGGGTCTGTTATACTGCCCCCTCCTGATGTTTCAGAAGAAATACTACAACCACTCTGTCAGTTTTGACGTCCCCCCTTTTAAAGAGTTGGTGCTTTTGACTTTTTTTGTTCCCCTTTATTTGTATCAAAGTGTGGTCAGAGTTTTTTGGATGAATACTTTTCTGACAGAAGATGTACATTTTAATGAATTCAAACAAGTTTTTATTATTTTTAATATTTTTTTAAAAAGCCTAAAGTGGGTACTGAGATTTGAATTTAGGTGGTGGATTTTAGAGTTTTTCTTATGTCTTTTTAGGGAATTAAAGCCCTTTGAAAATCACCCACAGGGTCATTTTTGGTAGTTAAAACTCTGGAAATGGCCACAGTTTTAAATAACGGCATTATGTTCTCTGTGAATGCCACAAAAAAGACAAAAACAGGAAAAAGGAGAGAGACATATACCAGCTTTATGTGTACAGTGTTTGTTTGTGGATGTATAAGGTCAATGTGTGACAGTGAAATGAAAATGAATAATTACAAAAGGTTAGCTTGGATCAAGAACAATATCAGTTTCCTGGGTCAAAATTTATCCTCTTTTTAAACCAGAAACCTTCTTTCAAAATTCCTTTCCAAAACGTTGGTATTTTTTGATAGTTAAACCCAGAAATCGAAGAGCAAAATCTTAATCACTGATGTCATCCAGGGTTATTGTATTCAAACCTGTGTCCTCATTCGGTTCCATAGAAAAGCTCAGGAGCGCTGCGCAGCGCAGCACATTGTGCTTTGGGGCAGGAAGGTCAGCATTTGATCATAAATCTTCAAATCCTATTTGAAAACTGTGAAAGTTAAAGTACTCAGAGGAACAGTTTTGATAAACAGCTGTTGTTAGATAATAGCCACCATATGCATCCTACCACTTTTTAAGCAGGGTGGTCAGGGTATGCATGGGCCTGACTAGAAGTTGAATTGGTCACCCTGATCAACACTGCAAAATCCCAAACTACGAAAGGTAATTTAATGTGTCAGAGGCAGGATGTAGGTCAAAACTAAGTATTTTAGCTGTAATTTAATAGGCTGCTAGTGCTAAACAATAAAACAAGAACCTATGCACTCTCAGTGACATAACAAAAGAAACCTAATGTGCTGTTGCCTTTTTATTGCCCAAGGAAATATCCATACCAACATTTTCAGGCAGTACTGAGGTTTGGAGCACACATCATCATGAGCATTTAAAAACATTTGTGTGGATATTTTACAGGAGAAAAGACTTTGTAGTTTGAAGGTGTTTCTATACTTTGGAAAAGAGGGCCACCAGCTTTTGTATGGAACCAGCACTCAGAAAGTGTGACAGCTGAAGTGTAGGAACTAAAATTTTGGTTGTAGGTTAATTATGACTCCCTGCTTTAACCCCTGACTTTCCCTCAATCTGCTTGACAACAGCACAATACAGGACAACACTGAGCTCCTCATGGTGGCCTTGGTGAGCACTTTGCCACCCTTCTTTGGAAGAACACAGCTGTCACAAAATCGGTGCTGTTTTTGTAGTTTGTCTTTACTGTTTTTTCACATGGAACTACCTAAACCAGGCTCTGGATGTTGGAGCCCCGGGTTGAATTGTCTGGAACTGAAGCACACAAACAAGCACAGAAAACACAGAGCATGGTCAGCTTTAGTCCATGTCCTTCTTGCTTGGTTCAGATAGGGGTCATGAGATGTCATATATTATCTTTGTATAGAACAATAATGTTGACTCTTGACGTCTTGTGTTTCTCTGGAAATGTGCATGGCCACTGTTATGTTTCGAGGACCTGTTCATATATGTGGAATGGCTTTTTTATTTATTTTTGACTTACAATGTTTCAAGCACAACTAGAAGTGTGTTTCTTTCAAAGTTTATATTCTGCATTACAAGGGATTTTTAATTTGTCTTCAGGAAGACAAAACCTTTGAAAAAATAATATTGTAATGTATACCTTATAGATTCTCAGGTTTACGGAGATAATATATTACAGTTTTAAAAGCTTCCTTGCCATCACCTAGCTCACTACTTGTGGGACAGAAAACACATTTATTGTTTCAAAGTAACACCAGGAGCACTATAAATATATATCTACTGCATAAGCTGTTCACTAATAACTCATTGTGAGTTTGTATTCATGTCAGTTATATTACAGATGGATTTTTTGTATACTGTGCCAAATTTCAGTGCCATTTCCTACTTTAATTTGAAGTGTTCTTGCCTTCATGAGCATATTCAATGGTTTCAGCCATGTCACCACTGACCGTTTGCAATAGAAAAACATTTTTTTCTACCTGAAAATTGTACAATCAATGAAACTTGCTGTTTGTTATATCTGGAACAGTATTTTAACAGAAGTGTTCAAGCATTGTATGGATGTCACTACAGTATATATGTGTTTTTGTTACGCACATTTCCATATCTGTATAGTCTAGATAAATACTCAATACTGAATTTGTTCAGGGGTATGTGCAATTACAGATCCATAGAGGCATTATGAATAGACTGAAAAAAATACAATAACAGAGCTGCATATTAAACAATGTTTAACAGTCGTGGTTGTTTGTGTAGAAGTTATTCATGAGCTGGGGGTGTTGTTAAGGGTTGCAGAGGGTCACTCACAATGCACCGCTCACGCCAACACTGAAGGTCAAACTGACCTCATACACTCACATCATATCACTGTTCCTCAGGCAAATGTTCCACCAGCTCCAACACAGATATTGTGGATGGAGTGTGAGCAGAAGGCACTCAGTGATTGGTCGATGGCATAATGGAGTAAAATTGCTCTTTTATTTTTCAGGTATGAAACCAGAGATTGGTTTAAATTATAGCAATTAAGTAAAAGTGGGTAAGTAAGAACACGCAGCTAACTTAGTACTAACATTTTTCATTTCTTTTAACTATTGCAGATTTCTGAATCTGGCTGTAATAAATCAGCATAAGCTGTGGAAAAGGCAGCTGATGACCGCGCAAGTGTAAAGTCACAAAAAAACGGGCTTCTGCTTTCAAACACTTTGACACATTGATTGCATGGATGCTTGACCATCTTTACATAGATATACATGCATGTGGGCACATGTGGTTTAACTGCTGGTGTTTAGTATGGTACATACAATCACCAACATTGTGCTTGATAGAAGAATTTCTATATTTTTTGGGAGAATTTTGCCTAAAAGAGTTAAATTTCATGGAAAAATCAATAGAACAATGTTTGTTTTGTCAAAACACTGTGATGCATTTTCAGGCCCAGTGCTGCTTTGCCGTGGAACTGTCCAGTCCAAACCAGCCCCTGTGTGTCAGTGAACGTGCCCTCACCTTCCAACCTACAAGAAATCAAAACTTTCACACATCACAAATGATTGCATAACCAAAAGATAAAGCAAAATAACCTAACTGTGAATGATTAAAGTTACATTTCTGAATATTAATAGATAGTAATTTATAAAGAATAATCATGTTTTTCCAATGCAGGAACAATACATTTCTATCTTATCTTCAATATACTCAGAAAATATACTTATGTATACTTATGCTCTTAATGAAAAATGGAAACAAAGAAGTTACCTGTTCTTGTGAAACTGGCCTTTGTATGTGGAGCCATCAGGGAAGATGTATGTTCCTACGCCTTCATACATGTTGTCTTTGAATTCTCCTTCATATATGGCTCCAGAGGGATGCTGTAGGGTGCCTCTGCCATGTATCTGTGACACACACACATACACACAGACACACACAGCATGAGTTTATCACTATCCACAGAGAAAAAAAACAACCACTCATCAGAGGGTCTAAGACACCACACACAGGTTAATTCCTTACTTTGTCTTCATGCCACTCTCCAGTATAGACAACACCACCTGCTGAGGTGTGTTTACCAGTTCCACTCCTCACCAGGGCCCCTGATGTATCCCTGCTGCACTCCCCCTCTGTGAAGAAGTTGGCACAAAAAACTTATAAGACTGCAGTGGAAACGTGTTAAAGCTGTGTCATTATCACTTACCATATTTGTCTCCATTTGGGAAAATGTAGGACACTTTGACAGGCTCTTCCTCTGTTAAGAAACAGACATTTTCAATTACTTAAAGTACCTGACAGATGAACAGGCTTTTCCCATATTGGTAAAAAAAAATAGTTCCCTTTTGAATTTCATAGCAGGCGGAAACAAAGTAAATTGTGTGTGCCTGTTTGTGTGAGTGTGCTGGGTGTTTAAAATCAAATTTTCACTATAACACCCCACCAGACATCCGTGACAGCTTCCCCACAGCCGGCAGATGGCTGTCAGAATGCGACAATGAAGGCTCTGCACTCCGCCACAGGCGTCTAAAATCCTCAGAAATTGATTAGGAAGTTGTGGAAATGGCACAACCTAACTAGACGCTGAATTTTCGCACTAAGACACTTTAAAAAATGATAGAATTGTTTACCCTAAATATACGCTCTGCTCTCTGTGTTGTAGCGCGACGCTCACGGCAGTTACCATGGTTACAAGCACTGATAGTGCTGTTTTAAGGGGGCAAAGTAAAGAAGTGTTTCAGTTATGTCGTCAGATCTTTAATTAGTCCAGTAACATAAGACATATCCCAAAAAGAAGTGGGGAAAACTTTAAAAAAATAAAATAAATAAATAAATGACAAAAGTGCGAGAGGTGTTGGACGCTTACGTCAGCATATACCGGAAAAGAATCTTTGAACCCTAATTTTGGACCAATCAAAATGAAGCAAGCTGCCGGTTGACGGAACGGCTGTCTCAGGTTCGTTCACGTTTGTTTTCAAAGTAAAGTTTTAAAGTTGCTCTGTAGTGAATTCCACTAATATTTTGACACATTTCGTGGTATAAAAAGGCACCTGAAACTCTCTCCGTGACATATAAACAGATTCCTCCCACCGGCGTGTTAAGTCAGAAGAAAGGAGAGAGCTAACACTTAGCCGGTTAGCTAGCTGAATCAGTACACACTTCACTGACTGTCGTGTCGTTAGTCCAGGATGCACAACATGAACCACTTTTATCCTTAATTACACAAACCTCAGCTTGTTTTTGTTCAGCGTGCTAAGCAGACACTTTTCAGAGAGACAGGCGTGAAGCTGGATGGTCATCGCCCTGGTTGGGTTGTTGGTCTGCGTGCTCAGTTTGGTTGCATAATTGTAGCCAGCAGCAGTGTGTGTGTGTACGCGTGTGTCAGCCGCGGTGTGTGTGTCAGCCACCATCTCATTACACGGACTTGAACTGAAGTGCCACAACAAGCTACCCCACAAGCTCTGTGTGCAGCAGTGGACCTCCAGGACCCGTCTGCCTCACAGCAGCTCTCTTTAAAGTGTATCCTGCAGTATCAGATCGGAGGATTTATTTAAACTTTATTTTTTAACATTTTCCTTGCAGATTTTTTGATGCAATGAGAGGACACCTCGTTGAACGTGAGTATACATTAGTCTAAAAGTGGTCTATTTAAAGCAGCCCATGATGTGTTTGGTTACACTGCTGTGAGGCTGATGAACAATTAACTGTGACTGAATTATTTTCACAGAGACATGAGTGGAAGGAGAAGAGGTGGAAAGCCGAACAGAGGAGGGGGGAGGTTCAACAAGCCAAGAGGAGGTGGTGGTGGAGGTGGAGGAAGGAAAGGAGGAGGTGGTGGTGGTGGTGGTGGAGGAGGTGGAGGTGGAGGAAGGAAAGGAGGAGCTGGTGGCTGGGATGATGATGATGATTTCAGCCTTGATTTTGGACCCCCTCATTCAAGCAGGTTTGTTTTCGCTGCAACAGAATTATCTATAACATCAGAAATGTGGTGTCCCTATTAGGGCCCAACCATATGGATTTTTTGGGGGGCCGATACTGATTATTAGTGGGGAAAAAAATCAGAGAACAGATTAATCGGCTGATTTTTGAATTTTTTTTTATGAAGATATATATATATATATATATTTGCACAGTATACTAAATACTGTAGATATACTGTAGGCTCCTGCTCTTCACGCCAACAGGAAGACCCACTGATCAAACTCGGACCAGAAAAGCGTTTTCAACTACTCTCTGCATTCTCTGCATTTTATTTATGAAAATATCGGCGAAAATCGGCGAGTTTTGGCCATTACCGATTAGTCTCAAATGGGCTAAAATTGTCCGATTTAATCGGCTCGCCAATAAATCGGTCGGGCCCTAGTCCCTATATCAGATCGTTTTCTTCATCCTCTGTCTCTCTGTCTCTCTCTCTGTTTACCTGGCACTTCCGCCTCCAGACCTGGCAGAGGACAAAGTGGGGGCGGCAGTGGCAGACATAAAGGTGGCAGAGATGGAGGTAGAGGAAGGGGGGCTAGAGATCGAGACAGGGATGGCAAAGCTCTCCCAAGATCCCTGGCAAGGACAAGGACATGTCCAACCTCTGGGGGCAGCATGAGGCCAGAGGTGAGCACCATGCCCTTGCAGAGGATCTTCATGACTAATGACGCTCAAGAACAACTCAAGGAGCTGCTGCGAGAGCTGCAAACCCAGGACCTTGATGACCCTTATGAGTATGTAAATTCTAAAGAACAGTTATCAAATAATCTGAATCCCCAAAAGGATGAATTCTAGAAAATGACTTTGTCAAGATTAACTGATGTCCTCATTCACATCATCCTCTGTGCTTCAGTGAATCTGGTTCAGACTGTGTGGAGGGAGAAGAAGAAGAATTTGATGAGTTGGACCACCGTGAGGATGGCCAATTTTGGGCCACTAATGATGAGTCTGTGGAGAGGGCAGAGAGCCCAGCAGATGAGCCATATGAGTCTGGTGATGAAGGGTCTACGCCTGAACCTGTCATCTCTTTATTTGCAATAGGTAAACTCTGCAGGTAATGTACAAATGTATTTCTTTTGTTCAATATTGTAGCGGTAACACTTGTCATTACAGCTGTGTTAATACCAACACCACCGATAAGTTGAAAGGTGGTCGTGAAGCATAAAAAAGGTGGCCTCTGGCACATTAAAATACATCTTTTCCATTACACGCACTCTTCTTGAATATGCACATTTTAATGGGTTTAAAATTCAGTTCTCCATGGTGAATGTCATAATTTATTGGCTGACATTTGCAGAACACGGATGAATACTACACTCTGCCCAGCAGTGCTGAGTGCACTTGAATACATATAGAGCAGACAAATGGGCATGTCTCTCTATCATAATGATGCCCATGTTGTGTTTTTGCGAACCGCGTGATCTAAAATTATTGTAATAAATCAGCCTTTTTACATGTGGATTGATTATTTATTTATTTATTTATTTATTATGTTTTTATTGTGTTTTTATGCCCTGTACAGTGTCCTTGAGTGTTCAGAAAGGCGCTTTTAAATAAGATGTATTATTATTATTATTTACAAAGTGCTATTAGGTGTAGAAATTTACACCAAATAATGCATCAATTTTAATGCTGTAAGTTACTGGCCTGCCCCCCAAAAAACAACCTGTTCTTCTTCTTCTCAAAGAGTAGCTTATTACAGAGCTAGCAAAATGTCTCCAGTCATATCTCATGTTAAACATTTTATGGTTATAATTTTAAAGCATTTGAAATCAAGATATTTAAAAGTATTCAATAATATGAAATAAAAACAGCTTCATGTTATTCTTGTATGACACTCATAACTGTGGTATTGTTCAGCTGTTGTGAAAGCCAATCTCTAATTTGCTCTAAAAATGTGTTTTTTAGATTACCCCATTCTCAGCTAATGGAGTCTGTATTCAAATGGCAAGAACCATTATAAGAACCTCTCTGTTTCTCTAGCCTTCTTGAATCTAAACCCAGTGTTATTGTTTCTATGCTGTTGTGAGTCAAAATACTGAGCTGGATAAACGTTCACGTCCCCACAGAACTTTTTATTTCCTCTTCTTTCATCTGTGCAGGTTTGGATTTGACAGAGAGCGCAGTAAGCAAGCACTGGAGTCCGGAAAAGGGGAATTTGGCACCACTTTGGAACAGCTCCTTTACCAAGTTTTTAGTGAACGCTTCGGCCAGAAAGCACTGTCCCTGGATGGCCTGGAAAGCGTGCCTATGGACGAGTGTTTAAGCCAGAGGCAGGAGGAAGCTCTGGCTCTAACTGCCATTTACGGGGAGCGCTTTGATGAGTGTATCGCTAATGCAGTCTGGACTATAACCCTGGACCTGCCGTTCCTGTCAGAGAACGCTAACAAGAATAGTGATCGATTTCAGAGTAGAAGTGGTGGAAGAGCTCTCTGCAGGTTTTTCGGGAGAGGAAAACCTTGCCGCTTTGGGGACAAGTGCAAGTTTGAACACCAGCTACCAGCTAAAGGGAGGTCTGGAGCTGGTTCCCCGGACCTGAGTGGCCCAAGTCAGCCCGGCTTTAGCAGCTATTCTCCTCCTGAGTATGAACTACATATCCGATTCCCTAAAGGAAACCGCTATCCTTTCCAGGCTCTAATTGTGGCCTTCAGTACCACAGACGAGTCCATCGGAGCTGCAGGGAGGCTCAGCGTGACGGAGAGATTATTTGGAGAAGCACTGACTGCAGCAAAGAACGGCGAGCCAGTTGTTTATACTCTGATCTCCATATGTGAGGATGAAGACACGATGAAGGAACTGTTAGCAGTCAGTCATCACAAATACAGCACGCCGCCACCTGTTATTGTCGTTCCCCCTCCTCCTCCTGCTATAGCAAAGAGTAAGAGCACGAAGAGCAATGCCTCTGAGGAAAGCAGGGGTAGCAGCAGCAGTAATCCCACAAACAGCAGAAGGATTGTCCCGCCTGTCAACCAGAAACCTGTAAATGGTGAGTTAAAAGATCAGTTATCACTCCTCAGTCAAATATTTTTGTTTCAATCCCATAATTTCTGTCTTTAAAAGTAAAAGATACAACAGAGGCAGATGAGCCGGATGACCAGGATGAAGAAGATGAGGATGAAGCTGTCCCTGTTGAAAGTGAGAGTTATGTGAATCTGAGGAAGAAGATGGTGAATAAGCACAACATGAAGCTGGATAACGTCCTGCAGGAAAGTAACAAGCTGTGTCGAGAGTTTCAGAGGAAGCAGGTAAAATGAGCCTGATAATAAGATGCTGTCATTATATTTGATCTTACATTAACTCCCCTCTCATTAGTGTTTTTGATTCATTGCTCTCCTGTCATCCTTTCATGCACACAGTCATCCAGGCGTTTCAGGTCTATGCTGGAACAGAGGAGGAAGCTGCCGGCTTGGCAGGAGAAAGAAAACATCCTCGACCTGTTGGATAGGTGCCAAGTGCTGGTAGTCAGCGGGATGACGGGGTGAGTCACACAGAGCAGCATTAAGCATTGTCATATTCAGGAACACTCAAATAGAGGACATGCTATTTATAGCAAAGCAGAAAAAGGGAGAAAAAGAAACCTCGCTATTAAATCTGAGGAGGATGTATGCAGAGTCATATCTGAAGAGGATATCATCTTTTTTGATAAAGGAGAGTATAAATCAATCAGACAGGATCTTTAATCTGATCTGATTATCATTAACTCATCACTTAGATCTCCCAAATTCAGGCCCCAGCTGTAAACTGATATTTTAAAAGAGAAAAATGAAGATTGAACACAGAAAATAAAAACAAACTCTGTCCGAGTTCAAGGTGCCACATCGTAAACTCTGTCTGACTGAATGTCTGACTTACAGCTGGGGTTAGATGAGGCTGCGCGTTGGTGCACTTGTTAGAGCTGTTGCTTCACATCAAGAAGACACCTGGTTTGAATCCCCCTGTTGGGGGCCTTTCTGTGTGGAGTGTACATGCTCTCCTCATGGGTTCTCTCTGGATTCTGTCCCACAGTCCAGAAACATGCCTGACAGATAAATTGGCGTGAGGCTGGTTGTTTGCCTCTATGTGACCGACAACCTTTTTGTGTTGTACTCTACCTCTTGCACTATGACACCTGAGTTAGGCTGCAAGTGACTCTGAAAGGGAAAAGATGGACAGATGAATGGGTTTATTTATACAAACCCCTCAGTGGTACTACATGTGTTCCGAAAGAATATCCTTGAACCTGGCTTTAGCGTTAACTTTAGGTTCTCAGTTCTTTCCCACTTTGTTATTAGTGAGGGACTGAATCTTTGTATTTTATCACACACAGATGAGGTATTGGAGAATAAGCAATTTCTAACTTTTCGGCCTGTTGATTACATTTATTCCAAGGACGAGTTTATCATCTATTTTTCTTCTGCAGTTGTGGTAAGACCACTCAAATCCCTCAGTTCATCCTTGACTCCACTTTGAGCGGACGAGCAGATGAGGTGGCAAACATCATCTGCACTCAGCCACGCCGCATCTCCGCCATCTCTGTGGCTCAGAGGGTGGCGCAGGAGCGGGCGGAGAATCTGGGGAACTCAGTGGGCTACCAGATACGCCTGGAGAGCGTTAGGGTACTGACACGTCCTTCATGTCTAAGACTCAACAGTCAGTTTGTGTTATTTTTTAGATTTCATATTCCAACTCTTCATCTCTGACTACTCTTTAGTCGTCTGCCACCAGACTGCTGTACTGCACTACAGGAGTGTTGCTGAGACGACTGGAGGGCGAGGCAGACCTCAAAGGCGTTACACATGTCATTGTGGATGAAGTGCACGAGCGAACAGAGGAGAGGTGAGATCAAACAAATGAAGTTATTCTTACAGAATTTTCTTCACTTGTTTTTACCATGGCAGAACAGTTTAGTTTAAGTATTTTGTCTTCTTTTCTTTTTTCAGTGACTTCCTGCTGTTGGTTTTAAAGGACCTAATAGCTCAAAGGCAGGACCTGAAGATCATTCTGATGAGTGCAACTCTTAATGCCAACCTCTTCTCTGAATATTTCTATAACTGTCCCACCGTCCACATACCAGGTAATCAACAAACTGTGGGATCTTGCTTTAGATATTCGCATGTTTGACACCGTAAATTGATTGTTCAGTCCATTTCTCTGACTCCAGGGCGGACTTTTCCCGTTGACCAATTCTTTCTTGAGGATGCGATTGAAAAGTCCCGGTAAGTACATCCCATCTTTACTTCAGATAATGTTTCAGCAAATTCTCCTGATTGATCTAGTTTTAGATATTAACAACCCAAGCATGAGGGAGACGCAACAAGTGTGGTGGGGGCGACAAAAAGGCTCAGATCTTAAATACAATGAATTTTTCCAGTTATGTCATTGAGGACGGCAGCCCTTACACACGCTCAGGGAAACAGAATTCGTCTTCCACAAGTGGACAAGGAAGTAAAGCACATCCAAGAGACATGGTGGACAACCTTGGTGATGATATGTGGAACTTCATGTCTTTCTGTAAGAAGGACTTTGTCAAAGACTCAGTCCCAGACCAGCAGCTCGGCCTGCAGGAGCTCACACTCAGATACAAAGGTGAGTGACACAGAAAGTACCGATCTGTTCTATGAACTGCATATCCTCCTGCGTCATACGATAAAGCGGACAATAACATGCAACGGTGTGTTCTGCTTTTGATGTAGATACTAAGAAGTCTGTTTTGAAGACGATGGCAGCAATGGACATGGACAAGATCAACATGGACCTGGTGGAGAGTCTGCTGGAGTGGATTGTGGACGGGAAACATGGCTACCCTCCAGGTGAGACACACCCCTAAACGGTTAATTTAATCTCATCATGTTGATTTCAAAACTGGAACGTCCAACACAGACTTTTAAATCTTGATGTAACATTTTAGATTTCTGCATACAGGTGCAGTGCTCGTGTTTCTGCCGGGCTTGGCTGAGATTAAGATGCTTTATGAGCAGCTCAAGTCCAACAGGATGTTCAACAACAGAGGCACAACCAGGTCTGTTTCTACAGATGTTTTACTGAGAAAAACTTATATCTTCCTATTATTTTTGGTCTGGTTTTGTAGTTTTATCTGTTCTTGAAAGGTTATGAAGGCAGTACATAAACAAACATTAGAAATTAGTGCAGGGCATCAAAACTACACAGAATAAATCTCTATAATTTGTATATACAGCCGATTTATCTTTAACCTCCTTATTTCAGCACTTTTATAAAACAGGTTTTAATGTGACATTTTTTAATCCAGTGATCAAGTAGTAAGGAACACTAATACTTGCTTCTTGCACAATATTAACTTTGCTCTAATGTGTTTCGCACCCATTAGGTGTGAGGTGTACCCTCTCCACTCAACCTTGTCCAACGAGGAGCAGCAGGCAGTCTTCAGCCGACCTCCAGATGGTGTCACAAAGATCATCATCTCCACCAACATCGCAGAGACCTCGGTAACCATTGACGATGTGGTATATGTCATTGACTCTGGCAAGATGAAGGAGAAAAGGTGACGTTTTGCTAAGCTCAGAGCAGAAACGATGGAGTTAAACAGTCCATTCATTTCTGCCTTTTGTTGAACAGTTTGTTTTTGTAAAGTCACACGCCTGAATTCTCTTTTGGTTGTACCCCCAGGTACGATGCTTCTAAAAGCATGGAGAGTCTAGAGGACTCGTGGGTGTCTCGGGCCAACGCAATGCAGAGGAAGGGTCGAGCGGGTCGTGTGGCCTCGGGGGTCTGCTTCCACCTCTTTACCAGCCACTGCTTCCAACACCAGCTGGCCGAACAGCAGCTGCCTGAAATCCAGAGAGTGCCTTTAGAGCAGCTCTGCCTCCGGTAGATCCATCTGTTTTCTGTTTGCATCATGACAACCTTCGTCTTCTTTGTGAATGCAGTTAGAAGAGGCTAATGCATAACATGCCTCTATAGAATTTTGATTAGAGTTTTGTCAGTAGTCCCTCTCAACAAGCCCCACTTATCTTACAGTGTCCAGTTTGGTTTTGAGAAAGGACGTCCCACTTTAAGTATTTACTGTTTCCCTCATCAGAATCAAGATCCTGGACGTGTTTGCTGAGCGGACGCTGGAGTCAGTTTTCTCTCGCTTAATTGAGCCCCCGGCTATGGGAAGCTTGGATGCAGCCAAGCAGCGTCTGTGTGACCTGGGAGCTCTGACTCCAGACGAAAAGCTGACTCCACTGGGCTACCACCTGGCCTGCCTGCCTGTGGACGTCCGAATCGGAAAACTCATGCTGTTTGGTGCCATCTTCCGCTGCCTCGACCCAGCGCTCACCATCGCTGCCAGTCTGGCTTTCAAATCTCCATTTGTAAGAAAGTGTTTGTTGTTAATGTACCATAAGTGGTGGTGGGAAATAGTCTTTAAACACATTGCTTTCTCTAACCTGGTGTGTGCTTTGTTTTCTAGGTTTCCCCGTGGGATAAACGAGAAGAAGCCAATGAGAAAAAACTGTCCTTTGCTGTGGCCCAAAGTGACCATCTAGCATTGTTACAGGCATACAAGGTTCTACACTGACTTGTGGAAAAACATACTTAAAAGCTGTTTATTTCTACTTAGGCTGGTTTGGCTTTAGAAAGGATTGATGAGACGGATTATCCCTCTCTTGCAGGGTTGGTGCTGTGCTGCAAAAAATGGCAACCAGGCCGGCTTCCTCTACTGCAGGGAGAACTTTCTGTCATGGAGAGGCTTACAGGTCCAGCAGTATTAAATTGAAACTCCAAAATTTGTGGGGTGGAGGTGGGGGGTGCTCCTATTCCACCTTAAATAATTTATTTATTTTTGGCAAAATATTTTTCTGTGTACAGGAAATCGCCAGTCTGAAGAGGCAGTTTGCTGAGCTGTTGTCTGACATTGGCTTCATTAAGGAGGGACTCAGGGCCAGGGTCATAGAGCGCATGAGCTCCAAAGGGACTGATGGTGTTCTGGAGGCGACAGGCCCTGAGGTAACAAACACATGCATCATGCATCACGCATACAGGGTGTATTTTTTATATTTAAAATAATAAAATAAAAATAGATTTGAGGCTCTCTTTGGTCTTTTATTTTATATTGGAGGAGTGGTTGAGACTTACTCGGTTATTTCCATCCACTGGTGAATGAAAAATATGTTCAAAAGCCTGTCTGTGGTTGGTTTGCAATCACTGCCAAAAACCCCAATTAAGATTTGAAGGCCATCTGAACCAAAAAACTGAACCTCAAGGAGGTCAAAAGTAAATACATGACAAAAGATTCAAGGCAAAAACAAAAACAGACCCAGTTTTTTGGTTATTTCTTCAGGTAACCCTAGACAGGTTGAATCAAACTTTGATCTATGTTCGATTTATGAAAGATTTTAGCTCTCAGTTGATATTACCAATAATCCTTTTTCATACTGATAACTTGTTTCCTTTATTTTAGGTAGTTACAGATAACTGAGAAAAAGTGTTTCACAGGCTTTATACGTGATAAAATGTTACTTTCCACATGTGGCGTAACTTAGAGAGTATTTATTCTAATTATTCCTTTTTCTCTTTGGTCAAGGCCAACTTGAACTCAGAAAACATCCGACTTATGTCCGCCATGCTGTGTGCCGCCCTCTATCCCAACGTGGTCCAGGTCAGTCATTGAAACAAGAAATGGAAGCCAGTGAGGAGTATAAAGCTGTCTCTTACCTCTTTAGTTAGTAAGCTACTCAGTGTTTCAATATTTTATTTAGGTACGAGCTCCTCAGGGGAATTACAAGATGACCAGCAAAGGAGCGATGAAGATGCAGCCCAAAGCAAACGAACTGCGCTTCATGACCAAGAATGATGGCTGTGTGCATGTGCACCCCTCCTCTGTCAACTACACAGTAAGAAACGAGACAGAACAGCTAACCTTGAACTCCATTGCTAGTTAGGTTACCGAGCCTCATGACTTTTCTTTGTGCCCCAGGTCCGCCACTATAACAGCCCCTACCTGGTTTACCACGAGAAGGTGAAAACAAGCCGTGTCTTCATAAGGGACTGCAGCATGGTGTCGGTTTACCCGCTGGTCCTGTTTGGAGGTGGCCAGGTCAACATGGAGCTACACAAGGGAGAGTTTGTCATCTCACTGGATGACGGATGGATCCGATTTGCTGCTGCCTCTCATCAGGTCAGGGAGGAGAGATAACTGAGATTTAAGAGCTCAGATTTATGTCGCGTCACAACAGCAGCTAAGATTATCTTTGTCTTCAGTTCATCTTTTTGCATATCTTTGCCTGAAATGTGGTGACACTGTGTCACTTTTAATTCCACATAGATATGGATCCAGACTTTTCAATAGATCATTTTTAAGTTCACCATCTCTCTGGGAAGTAGATATTTTATCCATTATTATTAAGAATATGAATGATATAATTTGAACAGTGTTAGCCACTTAATATAACTGTGGGGATTTTGAGGGTCTGGCAGTTTAGAGTCCCTGCTCTTTCATCATGCTTGTGTCTGTGTGTGTTTGTGTTTGTAACACAGGTGGCAGAGCTGGTGAAAGAGCTGCGCTGGGAGCTGGACCAGCTGCTGGAGGACAAAATCAGGAACCCGAGCATAGACCTGTGCAGCTGCCCCCGCGGCTCCCGTATCATCCACATGATAGTGCACCTCATCACCACACAGTAACGCTGCTACTCAACACACACGTTATCAACCTTTAGTGTCAACCCTGCAGGCTGAAATGCATGGAGCCATGTGGTTAAAATGTGTTTTTTGCTTCTCACTGCCATCTAGGGATTTGTTATGACACATTAAACCATCAGCTGGGGGTGAAGTGAGGTCACCTGGTTGGGGTGCTGCTACACATCACCCTCCTGCCACGTGACCCTTAAACACCTGTGTTAGTTTACATGACAACAGCTATTGCTATGGCTGCACTGAAGCAAATATTGCCTTTACACATGGCTCTCTACAGGTGATCAACATTATTGTAATTGCTGGAATAAAGTGCTTCCTGCTGTTTTCATGAGATCTATTTTGACAGGATTGAAATGCTAAAGTTGAAAAGTTTTAGTGTCATGTAACCGTATGTGCAGTAAATTGGCACTCAGAGAATTGCTGATGTCACACTTGTTTACAATGTGTTTTTATTTAAGATGTGTGTTTGTCTCACAACTGAGGACTTTGATGAGTTCATATTGGATTCCTTCTTCTTCTTCCGCTGTGTCATGTTGTGTGAAAATTTGTAATGCATGAGTGGAATATCCAAGAGCTTCTGCAATCTGCATGGTACTTAGTTGTTTTACATTTACTGAATGTATTCAACTGTAACTATGATGTCAGTACAATTTCAAAATGTGAATGCAAGGGCTTTTTGAATCAGGATAATTTGGTGAGAATTGCCAAAGAGTTATAATGCTTTTTGTTTCTACAAAATTCCACAGCACAGCTCACAAAAAAATAAAAATGGAAGGATAGTTGGCTGTTTTTTTAATATTTTTTTTTAATCAGAGTTCTATAGTATATTAAACTCACTCCTCATGCACTTATTTTGGCTGCTTCATGGTGTGTTTGAAGCCTCGCTGCACCTGGGGGGGCAGCGAAAGAATTTACAAGCTCATGGGAGAAGCCAGCCTATTCATTCATGAGCGAGTCTGCTCTGTCTCTAAGACAACAGAATGTAAACAAATGGAGTATCACTGTCCTTGCTGAAGCCTTTCAGTTGCCACATACTTCAGTGCCAATCCCAGATCTGGTAAGAAACAGAATTATTTTAACGTTTTTGTTCCGTAGTTTTTTGTGTGGATGTGTTTTTATACCACCGCCATCAAATCAATCTTACTTGCAAGAACAAATCTACAGTTTGATAAGTTTACCTTTACAATTTTACAGATGGGTCGATGATATGTCAATATATTGGAAGTGACCGTGACAATTTCTACTATGGTAAATATATATACGTTAATTATTAACTTTAAATACAATATATACACTTTTATTTAGTTCAAGAGAAGAAAACAAAAATGTATTACAGACTTTTTTTGTGTATTTCAAGCCCCCTAAATACAGGAAATCAAGGTCTCACAGTTCACGGCCAGCAAAGAAGACAGGGAGTCCAAAGACCCCCCCAAAAAGGTCCTCTAGTGCCAAATCCACCAAAACTGAGGTTGACATCCTCAGCCCAGCAGCCATGGAGAATCTCCTCTATATTGCCCATAATGCAGGAGACTGCCTGAAGTTCAGAGGGTTTGGATGGCAACATTCAAATAACAAGAAGAAAAAGAAAGGAGCCAAGCGAAAGAAGAAAAAGTAGAGAATTTTGGCCAAAAGTAAAATTTCCTTCTTTGGTTTACAGACGTTTCTTCTAGATGCCTTAATAATAGCACCACCTGGTGGACTTCTTTTGAATAATCACCCAAGAACTTCCAGCAGCCGGAACCAAAACATCAATTACTTCTTCCCTACAGTCAAAAACAGGATTGCAAAAACATGCTAGTAAAACTTTTTATTTCAGCACCTTTTATTTGAAACTGAAAGAATTAGAATTGTTTCATAAAAAGTTTGGCAGTTTAACAGGTCAATTGGAAATGTGAAGCAACTTTTCTCAGCTTTGTGCAACTGTGTGGTCTATTACTATTGACTTTGGAGAACATTATACATGAACAAGTGGAAATGAAAACAGCACAGTGCATTCCATTAAAGGCCAGCCAACAGTGCCATAATACTGGACCTCAACTTATCACACTGCTAAGCTGGAAATTCTCTTAATCCAGTCCTTGCACAACTGATCTTATAAAAAATAGGCTTAACTGAACGTGCCTCTAACACTAAAGGAAGAAACAAAGCAGTTCCAGGCACTGGTAATATTCTCATACAAATTTTACATTATCAATTCTTGTAGCAAATATTTACTCATTGAACAGTAACCCTGTAAAATAAATAGTTTCTCTGCAGACTCTGTCTCTTCTTGGTTGTAACATGGTCCCACTTTGGTCACTCTGGGGGCTTCTTTTTGGCCTCCACGTCTTTCTTAAATGCATCAATTTTCTTGGCTATGTTGGGAACCTGGAGGGAGAAGCAATCAGAGTTCAAATGGTCTGATGCAGAAATACAGTCACAAACTAAACCAAAGGTGTCAAACTCGAGGCCCAGGGCCCAAATCTGGCCAGTGGAACAATTATATCTGGCCAACAAGATCATATATTTGTATTTTTATTGGCCCGTCAATATGAAGCCTGCAGATTTCCTCCAGTATAATAATGTAAACTTTAGCACCATCATTTAAAATACCCTTAATAAACCACAAAAATCAGGGAAATTAAAGGGTACAGAAGACTCATGATATTTGGTGTTTGATTTCATGTTTTCAATTTTGCATTTCAAGATTACAAGCCAAACATGACTGGATTTTTTTATTTCATGCTTTGTTTTGTTTTACTCAGTATTTAGACTTGTTTCATTTTTATACTTTAGATTCCAGTTTTAAATTTTAAGTCATATTTTGACCTTTTAAACCTGATTTCAACGTTCTGCTCATGTATTTGCTCTTTAACTGCATTATTTTTCTATTTTTAATATCCTGCTCTGATCTTTTGAACTAATAAAAATAGAATAAAAAATTTCTTCTCTTCTCTTTTTTTATCATATTTTAATTTCCAAATGAGTTATAATCATTGCTATTTTTGTTACATATTTTTTGAAAAGCAGGTTGACAGTTTTGGTGAAATGTTGACCCTCTTTGGCCCTTAGGTTAAACCTAAATCCAGATTTTGGCCCTTGCTGTGGTTGAGTTTGACACCCCTGAACTAAACTGATCACACTAAAACATTTTTTTGCAGTGAAGCCAACCTTTAAGGTCATAATAATGAATTACAATTGAAACTTTTAAAACTGATGTTCATAAAAGGTTGTTATTAGGTTAATTTGTTTACACCCTGCACCAGTAAGGAGGCTCAGTAATGGATCATTGAGTTGATTAATCGTTAAATCAATGTGTCATTGCTGAGGAATGAAAAGCTCCTTCACCACCTGCTAAGCCGGTCCTGGCTTATGCCACAGGGCGTGGCAGAGTCTGGCTTTTATGACAGGCAGATAACTTGATTGTATTATAATTCAGATAGATTTTCCACTAGACTTACATCATAGTTCTGTGCCAGGTACATCCCCACGACATTTCCCAGGGTGAAGCCAGCCTGGTGTAGAAAAAACAAACCACATGAGAGGGATAGAAACTTCACTAACAAAGTACTGCCTAGTAACTTTCATGGTATCACTGCTGTTGTTTGGGTTTTGCACAAACAGTCTGTGGTTTTACTCAGTGACATTCACATTTCTCTCAAAGATACTCCTTAATGAATAACACCAGAGATGAAGTTCACTCATGCAAAAGTAAAGACAGAAGAACTGCTGAACTCAAGCTCTGTTACTGTAAGCCACATTAGCTTTCTTTAGCATCTTTCAGCGCCCTTTAAAACGTCATTAACAGGCAAAAGTACGCCATATAAACTTACCAGGAATTGAAGCATGCTGAAATTATTAAACACTGGAAACCACGGACTAACTGACTGGCAAAGTCAGGTAGTACGTTAAAGGTTAGACGAGGCAAATCAACCACCTCACGGCCGAAGGAGCTAACCTGTCATCAACAATGCGTACACGCATGCGCGAGAATAGCAGCCCATCGCGTTATCATCGGAAGCATTGAATGTAGTCTTTTTCTCAGCCTGAGCGCTACCAAGGACGAACGCGGCAACTACAACTCCCAGCGCTGCGAACACTCTGTCGTTCTTCAGTGGGTGTTGTTGCAATGGTGGTGTCGGTGGGACATTGAATGACTTTGGCTCCATCGCGAAATTGGCAATTTTATTCATATTATTCTTGAACCGCGGGCATGGAGGCTCTTATTCCCGTTATAAACAAGCTCCAAGATGTTTTCAACACAGTGGGGGCGGATATCATACAGCTGCCGCAGATAGCAGTGGTGGGGACACAGGTAAATGCCCTGACTGCTCTGAATGTAATTTAGACACAGCGGCTGTCAAGCTAGCTCGTTAACCTTGCTTTGCTGTGATTGATAGAATGTACAGAGGGAATATTACTGGTCTTATAATATTCAGAAATGTAAAAAGTATGCAAAATGATTTCACGAAGAAGCCTCTGTGCAGCTCTGCAGTACTGAATATTGAGCTGGACTGCAGCAATCCTTGTATGCCAAGTCTTCTCTGGCACCAGCTGTTAATCTATTTTCTATCTTCAATCAGGGCTATTTCAAGAGACACATCTCCGCACCACTCACCTCCGTCAACCATAGACTGGTCAAAGCCATAGACTGTATATAGAAGAGTGTATACAGTCTATGGTCAAAGCATGCTGCTGTTAGCTCTGCACCTGACCCTGCTTGGTCAGAAGTGAGGGCCAGAGATGCCTGATCTGGTAAATGTAGTCCTGGGTTTATCCTCTGTTTTACTCATGTCTCTGCACTCCTTTTGTGTCTCCAGAGCAGTGGTAAAAGTTCAGTCCTTGAAAGCCTTGTGGGTAGGGACCTTCTGCCTCGTGGGACAGGTATCGTAACCAGGAGACCTCTCATCCTCCAGTTAGTACATGTGGATCCTGGAGATGCGAGGAAGGGTGATGAAAGTGGTAAGTACCAAAAAAAAAACCCTCTGATCTCAGCAGTGTTTTACACAACAGACTCCACTCAGACCTTGCCTCAATACTTTGTCAATATATTCCTGCATATAAACCAGCAAAATTTTCAGATTGACCATGTCTGTAGGGTGGGAGAGATATCTGTAGGAATAAGGCCCATTGTGAAAGAAGGGGTTTAATTTTCCAGTTTTAAAGTTCTGTCCCTCTCATTGTCTTTTTGATACTTGCAGATGCTGGTGTGACAAAACACTGTGCTTCACAAAGGTGCATTAGTACATGTGTCCACCTGGATTAGCTCTGTAGTTCTTTCCCTTTTTAGAGCCACACCTGTAATTCAAGCTGCTTTAACCCTGAGACCAGTAACTCTTGTCAGATGTCCTTATGATAGCTACCCTTACTTAGCCTCCTCCTCTATTGTGTAGTTTTACATTAGGTGGTAATAGTAAGTATATGTGATTGCTCATTTGGAGAACACTTGGGTATGGCTATAACTAAATATGTCTGTTTATATTTCACAGGCAGAGAGGGGGAAGAGTGGGGCAAGTTTCTGCACACAAAAAATCAGGTAAGATTTTTTGATACAAAAGAAAAAAATATAACTATGGCTCATGCTAATCCACATAATTTTTGTGTTTGTTTGCAGATCTACACAGATTTTGATGAAATCAGGCAAGAAATTGAAAATGAAACGGAGCGAATATCAGGAAATAATAAGGTGAGATGGTTGGTTGAGTCACTTTTGCATATTTTCTTACGCAGATGTTACAATGTTACTGAAGTAGTAAGTTCAAACCAACTACTAATGAAGCGCCTCAAAAGATGCGTTCTGGAGGAGAAGTAGCAAAAAGACGTCTTGGTCCATGAAACACAATGAAACTTTTAGGTTATTCCCATAAACACAGTTCCCAGAGTATCATGAGTGAGTGTTTATTCACAGTTTAAAAGCCCTTTATGACCTGATTAGAAGTCTCTGAGAATAGAGACCCTGCCTCATATAATAAGCCTCTTTTTGATAAAAATAAAAAAGCCTCAGTGTCCCATTCTTAACTCAGTTGATGACCTGAGTCAAACCTTAACAGTGTAATGAAATAGGACTAACTTGGTGGGCATTTATGCTGCTTGGGGATTAATTTTAATCCTCAAATTTCAGCTGAACTGCTGACTCAGCCTTTAATACTAGCTAAACTGAAAAGCAATCACCGTAGACAGCAGTATCTCTTTAAGTAGCTGCGTCTCTGCCTGGCAGTACAGGGTAGTTACAGACAAATCCCATGAATAACTGAAAGTGAAAGAGCCACATTTATTGCAGTGTCATCTACCTTTGATAAGTGCATGCCGAGTAAATGCTGCCTCAAGAGGTGAATAATTTTTTACTTTGACCATCGCATGATACTAGGTAGATCCAGAGGCGTTTTTAGCTGCTTTATCAGTCGCAACATACTTTAACTGTGGATAAACACAAGCCCTTACTTGGTGAGGAGTCCCTCTTTGTAACTCTGGCTGTGCAGAGGATAAAGATACTCTTCTGAACTTTTATAATCATCTGTAACTTTGGCCTCCGCTATATGGTGAAGTTTCTTTTTTCATTTTCTCCATTATGTAATCAGGTCGTTGCTGGTGTCTCATGTGTAAGATCTAAATACAGTTGCGGTCACATGTTTTAGTCATGTACCAGCAGCTGTCAAATGTTCTTCATCCAGCTATCTCTGCTGTTGTCACATTCAGCAGGCAGCAGCTGATTTGCCACAGGAATAATGGCAGCTGCACAAGATGGTGCAAGTTGCCCGCTGGATTCATTCATACTGTCATTCAGTTCGTTCCTTCCTTTTTGAGCTTTTCATTTGCCCAAGAGGTCTGCTCTCCTTTGGCGGCATGAAGCTACAGCCATGACCTAGCTCAAGGTTATACCTCGTTTTTTGGCGTGGTGTTTGAGTTGTAGGACTGCACATACTATTTTTTTCACACTTTTACAATACAATCACAACACAGCACAGCTCTGAGGGTATTTTCAGATTTTTTAAAGACTCATTTGATAAATTCAGATGTGCAAATAAGAACTAATTTCAGCCTGTTTCTTAATGTTTAACTTATTTAACTTTAAAACAAATCTACTTTTCCTGAAACAGACTTCTTATTTTGTCTTTGAGGAAAGATGTACCCATCCTCTCCTTTGACAGGATGGAGTGGAGGTTTGGGCTGGCAGCAGATTTTGATGTAGAATTTTGTTTTTTCAACCTCAGAGATTTTGAAAACATCCCTCTGGGAGGGTATATATTGTATAGAGAAGTGGACTCACAGCTTTGTGTTCATGTTTCACAAATAAAGGAGAGACACAAACTGCCCCTACAGCAGAGTCGCAGCAGGGTCTAAAACAGTGAGCAGAATAATTACCTGTCGGGTTATCATAACAGTTGTCTTTGATGGCTGGTAAAAACAGTTTCTTCTCTCTTAAGCATTATTTTTTGAGTATTTATAAAAGTGTTGGGCTGTTCAATAAAGAGTCCACGTCTTTTCTTTCTTCGTCCCTCTGCAGGGGATCAGCGATGAGCCCATTCATCTGAAGATATTTTCTCCTCACGTTGTCAACCTCACACTCGTGGATCTGCCAGGAATCACCAAGGTAATGCAGGCTATTTCCTGCTCTCAAAAAGAAAGCTTTGATCATTGTGGACTCCTGGGGAAACCTTATCTAATGCTTAAAAACCAGGATTTACCGTTTTCCCTCACTGGTTGGTGCTTTTGTGTATTTGATCCATGTGGATTTCTGGGGGGAAAGGAACTCACTCTTGATTCGTCTAAACCTGCTGTCAGAGCCCAAGTGTGGGCAAGCTTTGATTCCAGCCTCATTAGTTTTTCCCCTCCGGTGGAACATGTGTTAATCTGAGAAACCCCCTGCTGTCGTCTCTAACCAATCAGATTGAGACATGAAGTGTCTCTTCTTTTAATTGGCATTGTTCCCTTCAGGTGCCCGTGGGTGATCAGCCTAAGGACATTGAGGTTCAGATCAGGGATCTAATCCTGAAGCACATCTCCAACCCGAACTGTATCATCCTGGCTGTCACCGCCGCAAACACAGACATGGCCACCTCAGAGGCTCTGAAAGTGGCTCGAGAGGTCGACCCCGACGGTAAGAAAAACTGAAAGGATCATTCACATCATGAGTTGTAGCACAAATAGCAAGTAATAAAACTTAAGAATGAATGTGACTCATCAGGAAGGAGGACATTGGCTGTGGTGACCAAACTGGACCTAATGGATGCTGGTACTGATGCCATGGATGTTCTGATGGGCCGGGTCATTCCTGTCAAACTGGGGCTGATTGGTGTAGTCAACAGGTCAGAAAAACATCTCTTTATGTGTGATGTATTGATTATGCATTGATGGATCCATTAGTTATAATAGAGACAAGGTTGAAGTAATAGAGATGAGAGGCTCAGTAGAGATTTAAAGACAGAGATGGGTGTTTTGTAATCCATTTTTAATGCTGCAATCATAATCTATTGATTCCTTAACTGTCAGCTGTACATCCACAGTAGTGCATTTTAATGAGCATCCATTACCTTTATTCTCCATGTGTACACTCACACTGTGTCATGATGTTGAGAGCTAAAGACAGCAATGCAAGTGAAAGCTTTTGTTCTGCACAAACATAAAAGCCCATTACCGTATATATTAATATCTTCCAGTTTTGACCTTTTATTGCATTTTCCATCATGAACCAGGGTTAACTTTTGGTGTTTGTTGTGTTTGAACTTTCAGGAGCCAGCTGGACATCAACAATAAGAAGTCTGTGGCTGATGCCATTCGAGACGAGCATGCTTTCCTGCAGAAGAAATATCCCTCTCTTGCGACAAGAAATGGAACCAAATACCTGGCCAGAACCCTCAACAGGTAAATGTGAGAACAAGTATGAACCAGGACTCAAAGCCTTTAGCTTCTTTGGTGTAGACAGAACTTAAAGATCCGAGGATCACTGTCACAGGAGTTTTCAGAGAGGTTTAAATAAAACAGAAAAGCAAGATTTTTAGAGAAAAATAAAGTGTATTTTGGGGATTTTGGGTTGTCATGATACCAGAATTACAAGCTTTGATTAAGATACTTTTCAAAATAAAACAACACTGACACCTGTTTGGATGCCATGACGACCAAAATGGGCACTTCAAGGCACCAAATGTTGTGTAATTTTCTTGCTCTTCATTTCCATTTAACAAACATCTGTTTATCATTACTAGTGGATATTTGCCAGCTTGTGAATGGATATTTGCCAGCCTGTGAATGAGAACAGTTGCTTTATCCATGGCAGCCTAAAGTTTGATGTTTAACTGTAACTCTGTGGTGATTTTTATCAAGCCTCTGATAGTATCAAACATTACAAATAAAAAAGTGGTTTTTGTATCTGGAGGTTTTAAAAAAATATCAAATATGAAAAATTTGACGGCCCTATTTGAGAAAGTCCTTCAGTGTTATTTATTATATACCGTGCATATATATTTTTATTACCATGCTTATGAAAACGTAACCTTTTCAGAGAGACAGAAACAGGATGCTCACTTCAAAAACTGCAGCTTTTTATTGTTTGTACGACAAAAAAACTGCACATAGCAGGGGTAAAGAGTTTTTTTTTTCCAGCATATGAGTGTTTGGATTTTCATGCTGGGAAATTTCAGAGAGAAATGAAAAACAGTCTCTGTCTCTGTACAAAGGGTACACAACAGTGGAGGCTTACACAGATATGAACAGATGTTAAGACTTAGCAGGCAACATTGTGCCATATCAGCAACAGCGAGAAGCAGCCGTTAAAGAAGATGCCTTTGTCTGTCATGTAGACAATAGGAATTAATCCTGTCCAATCACAGAGCAGTCTCATTCTGCTCCTGCACCAACACAACCTCTTTGCCCTTTCTCTCCGTAATGTCAGGTTACTGATGCATCACATCCGAGACTGTCTCCCTGAGCTGAAGACACGGATCAACGTCCTGGCAGCCCAGTACCAGTCCCTGCTCAGCAGCTACGGTGAACCTGTTGAAGACCAGAGCGCTACCTTGCTGCAGCTCATCACAAAATTCGCCACAGAATACTGCAACACCATCGAGGGCACAGCGAAATACATCGAGACGGCAGAGCTGTGAGTACCTGCATGCTTCTCCTCCTGGCAGCCACATGGTGATGCTGTTGATCCAGCGCAGGCAAAATGAGCAAAACAACTGCATTGGTTTCATCATTTAATATGATACAACTTGTAAGTTGAGGCACGCACCGGCTCTGTGAAGGAAGAGCTGACAGGAGAGCAGGCCACAGGGTTCACATCACTGCTAATATCCCCCCGCTGCTACTTTTCAGGTGTGGTGGAGCCAGAATTTGTTACATATTCCATGAGACTTTTGGCAGGACGCTGGAGTCTGTGGATCCTCTGGGAGGACTCAGCACCATCGACATCCTAACAGCCATAAGGAACGCAACAGTGAGTGCACTGTCTCATAAATGTGACATCATTAGGGAGCTTTTCTGACTTGTTAGCTCTGTGAGCAATGGTACAAAACAACGGAAACACAACTCTTCCTGTAGAACACAGTCGACTGTCTCACTTTAAAGAGGACGGTTTAGAAGAAAAAGCCAGCCTTCACCTCCCTCTGCCTTTTCTTCATCAGGGCCCGCGTCCGTCCTTGTTCGTGCCTGAAGTTTCTTTTGAGCTGCTAGTGAAAAAGCAGGTGAAACGCCTGGAGGAACCCAGCCTGCGTTGTGTGGAGCTCGTCCATGAGGAGATGCAGAGGATCATTCAGCACTGCAGCAACTATAGCACACAGGTAATCAGCTCTGTCAGAGCGGGAATCATATTTATTTCTCTTTTTCTCAAACATGAACACTCACATGCAGGATGGTTAACTTTTGCAGGAGCTGCAGAGATTCCCTAAGCTACATGAAGCCATCGTGGAAGTTGTTACCTCTCTTCTGAGGAAGAGACTGCCAATCACCAACGAGATGGTACCATCACATTCATCTCTTTCTGCATATGAGCTGTCATTGCCTGAGGCTATTAGCTTTCATGTCGGAGTGTTTAATGAGAAGCTCAATCCCAACACTGTGGTAATAACTCTGTTCTTTCCTGCTGTAGGTGCATAACCTGGTTGCCATAGAGCTGGCCTACATCAACACCAAACATCCAGACTTTGCAGATGCCTGTGGGGTCATGAATAACAACATAGAGGTTGGTACTCATCACAAAAGAAGTTCAAATACCAACAATGCACACAAAGAAAGAGCTGTAGACCTAGTACTTCTCAGCTTTGGCAGGTTATATAGTAAATTATTATTTTTAGGTCTTAGAAAGTATAAATAACATCCAGTCAGACTGCAGGAGAGGGAAATAAACCTGCGTTAATTCTCATTTAATTCATGTCGGGTAACTTACCGTCATGGTTGAATATTCCAGGTTTTCAGTTTACAGCTATTACCATGTTTCTCTTATCCAGTCATTATTGGATCAAGTTATTTTAAATTAAGTTATAAGTCATGTTATAAAAGTCAGAACCTGAGTCAGTAAGATTCAGACAAAAAAGTTACGTTGGTTAACCTCATTTATGACGTTGAATAACAAGTGGATCATGTCATCACCACCTCTGTTTTGGGAGAGGTTTGACCTGGAGTTGTCAGGATGCTTGAAATTTGAACTTCGATATGAGACTCCTAAAAATCAAACAATACTCAACGTCTGTTTGGAAATCACAGCAAGAAAAAAACACTCCTGGGGACCAAAAGAGGTCAATTTTGTTAATTTGATTTCTGACCTGCAGTTAGTGCTGGTATACCAGACTAACCTTTGGTGCACTGTCAATAGTAATGAAAGGCAAATGTGGTTTGATTTTTCTCCTAAAAGAGGGTGTATAATCAGAATAAAATAAAGAATTTGAATTATTCATGATTTAGAGGGTTTATGTGGCGATACGTTAATCCACACCAAGTCTACTCTCTGTTTATATTTTCCGAGTTTCTCTCTCCTGATGTGGTCAGTTTTTAGACTTCAGTCACTGTAGAGCGTCGTCAAGCTCCCTGCCAACAGTCCTCAGGCTGGGACTAACAGAAAATATAAACAGACAAGACAGCAACGTTGTTTCTCTCCTCTGCCCTCTGTCTGTCTGACACGGGCAAAAATGTCACGTATGTCTTCATTAGACGCTAAAAGGACCGCACAAAATGTCAGTGTTTGGTGACCTATGAGTGAGGAAGTTTGCTGTATAGCGGCTGAAGAGCAGAGCGGGTCAGAGGCAGACAGCAGACAGGACAAACATGTGGCTTAAGCTGCTAAAAAAAACGAATCCAACATCTTGCCACACCTTTGTGCAAAGTGGAGGACTATTTAAAATTTCTTTGGAACATAACTGCTGGGAAACAATCAGAAACAAACTCCTCACTTTGAAATTTTCCTGCGTGGTGAACTCTACTGGAACTCTCTCTCTTCCCCATCTATCTCTAATTTCTTTAAAATTTTACCTTATATATTTTGCCTGAATTACACCCATGCTGACCAAGATATTATGTTTTTTATTGTAGGAGTTTCACCTTTTTCTTTTGACTATAGCTTTTTCAATGATAGACCAGTGATTGAACACACCTGATTCAAATGATCAGCTCGTTATCAAGCCATTACAGAGCTTGATAACGAGCTCATCATTTGAATCAGGTGTGTTGGAGGAGGGAAACATCCAAAACATGCAGGACAGTGGGGCCTGGAGGACTGGATTGAGAACCACTGCGATAGACTATTGGCAGTCAGATATTTCCAAATAAGGAATCAAACCTATATGAGTTTGGAGTAGTTATTCTGTTTGAACATCATCCACTTTATTCTGTTCAGATTTTCAGATTAGGTTGTAAATATTGTGTTTCCATAGTGTTGTCAGAGAGCAAAGTTGCATATTTGTGGTCAAAACTAGCAGTGGAGCTTTTTCAGGTCTGATGGAAAAATAACAGTGTTTTAAAGGTGCAAAATAGCCTCTTTGATTTAGTCCTTTTTTCGCGATATAATTTTACATAGAGGTATTGGTGCTCATCGTAGTTTGCCAAGATGTTCATGGATGCCAATGTTTTTCCATGGATCTGTAGGAGCAGAGGAGGAACAGGATGAGAGAGCTGCCTACTGCGGTGCCCAGAGATAAGGTAACAACGCTTAAAACATAAAATAGCTGTAGCCCATGCCTTCTTCTATTTGCTTGCAGTCGGCAGTGTTGGGGGTATAAAGATGACTTGTGCTGGGTTAATCACTTATAGCACGACAGGATGAGGTTCTGTGAAGCAAATGCCTCGGATAGTTTCCATCCAGGAATTCTTCTTCTCTCCTCCCCTCGAATGACTTTCCGCTGCCAAGCTCCCTCCCTCTGTCTCTCCACATTTCTTCACTGTGCTTTTTCTCTCTCTTTCTTTCCGTTTCTGCTCTCATTTTCCTGCTAGTCTGTTGGCAAAGGCTCGGCTGGCCCGACTGTGGTTTCTGGCGAACTCCACGCGTCTGGAGTAGACTTGGATGGTGCCAAGGTGGGCACGTATACAGCTCGCTGGCTCTGTGCGGGGCTGCCGGTGGGGAGGGGACGGGTGGATAGATAGATGGACGGATAGATGGGTGATTGGATGAATGAATGGATGGATGGGCATGGGCTGCAGGCATGCACTCTGATCTTTGTTTGCTGATGCCATGCTTCTTGTCTTCTTGCTCCTCCTCAGCCTGTGTGGACTTGCACTAACAACTGTGTTTTCTGCAGAGTCTGTTCCCTCAAAGCTGCTCCTCCTGTCTCACAGAAAAACCCTCTTCCTCTTTTTTTTCTCTTTCCAACCTCTTAACACTTTGGTTTCCTTTTTTTTTACAAGGTCTATAAGCATTATGTAATAGTGACAGATCACTACCATTGGGCATTATCTGCTGAAGCCTTTCTGGTGTGTAGGTGCAGATTTTCGGTGAACACATATTTGGATATTTTAGAAGTCGTTGTGTCTGTATGAAGTCTGCAATAGGATGGACATGTCTGGCTTTTACTGCCATGTATGTTTACTGATTTTAGTATGCACTTCTATTGTACAGTATGAGTGAAAAGAGCATTATTATCATAAAATATTGACTAAATCAAAACATTTTGATTTGCACCATACCAGGACACACATTCACACCATAGCGCTATGAAGACCACATCATATTTTTGTCATTATTTCATACTATTGCATTCCTACTCCGGATAAAAATAACAGTCATTGGAGGGATTGTCATGGAAGTACATGGTGCTGACATGCATGTCCCCAGGTGATGGACCCCTCCTCTTTTGTGATCCCCTCTTTTTGTTCCAAGCATCACCACTCCGCCAGTATTCTTGTTCTTAGTGAGGTCTATGAAGAGCAAGGAGATAGAATGACATAATTGATTTATTGAAGCTCCTGTGAGAGTTTTCGCTGGTTGTGACACAGATTGAAATGAACATCGAGACACTGATGACCCACGACAGTGACAATAACAACGTTTGTAAAAAAAAAAAAAGACTGACATGTCGTAACTTTTGATCCCTGTAACTATCACAAGGGGTTCAGGGCCAGACATATTTTCGGCATGGTTGACAAAAACACTTCTCAACTTTTCCAAAACAAATATTCACAGTGACAGATACACTTGAATGTTAAAATGAAGCATGATGGGATTTTGAGTCAGGAAACACAGCTGACACATAATCAGGACAAAGCAGCAAAGAGATAAGAACTGTCTTTTTGTCCACAGGGGGCGCCAAACTCATCACAAATAACTTCCCTTTAGTAGTTTTGATTTGGTCGACAGTCCCATCAGACTCAGCTTTACTTTCAGTATTATGCTAGTTGTCTTAGTAACATGCCAAGTCCAGGCGGTAAACATGATCTGAACTGAACCTGCTTCACATCAGGATGTTAAAATCCTCATTGTGAGCCCGCTGACGTCAGCACTGTCTGACAGCACCACTGACATAGCTGTAGACTCTTTGTTTCATTGTCAGTGATGGTTTTCTATTGTAGCGTTTTAATGGTTCAGTTCACTTCTTGTCTGAGAGCAGTGAAGGCTTCCTCTAAACTTTTAGGCAGATGTGGAACTCTGTCAGAGCCTGTATCACGCTCAGTCTGAATGCTTGCCTTCCAGTTCCTAGAGTGTTTTGCGTACACGCTTGTCTGCCTTGTGGTTTGCATTACTGCATATGAGCCGGTCATGGTTATTATGCTTCATAATTTAACCACTCTCTCCCTGTAAATCCCTTTTTAAAAACAAAAAGTAAGATTCTGATCATTTGCTCATGTTAGTGTTGTGAACATAGAGTACATCTCTGAATTTAAGCGTTCCTCTGTCTCCCGCTGTTCAGGCCCCAGCAGCAGGGCCTCAGGGAGAGCAGGACAGCACTGGGAACTGGAGAGGGATGCTGAAGAAAGGAGAGGAAGCTCCTGGCTCTGGACCTGGAAGTCCCCTTAAAGGGGTCGTCAACCTGCTTGACGTGGTAACTGAGCGTTAGCATGTGTGCCTCTCATTTTCAGTAGACTACAGTATATTTTAAAGGAGAGTCGATTCAAACATCCTGTCCTTTTGCCCTCAAGCCTGTGCCAGTCGCGAGGAAGCTGTCATCACGTGAGCAGCGGGACTGTGAGGTCATTGAACGCCTCATCAAGTCTTACTTCCTCATCGTTCGCAAGAATATCCAGGACAGGTAGGCCAGCAGGTTCATCTTAAAAATAAAAGAAAAGAAAAGAAAAGAAATTAATAAATAAATTAAAAATAAATAAATTAAAAAATAATAATAATAAATAAATTAATTAATAATAAGAATAATAACAACAATAATAATAATAACAATAATAATAATAATAATAATAATAGTAATGATGATGATGATGATGATGATGATGATGATGATGATGATGATGATGATGATCTGGCTCTTATGTGAACACCTTGAAAAGACCAAAAAATCAACAATGACACTGATTCCACAAATTAATTTTGCTATTTTGTACAAATTTAGTTTTTTATTCTTTGCTGCAGAACTCCTTTCAGGTTGTGCCTTTGAGGTTTTTTAAGGCAACACCAAAAACTCTGTCTTGCTGCTATGTATACTTACAAGTGCACCAAAGGTATATTTATCTCCAGTTAAAAATAGACCCTGCAAATGTTGTATTTACTTCTGTTTGAGTTGCTGTCCTAAAAATAAATTAAACAGCCGTTGTAGGAAATCACTGAGTCCCTAAAAAAAGACCAAATTATGTATTTGGGAGCCGTTTGTAAAGAATCATGTCAGTAAAAACCATAGACTGTAGAAAAAGAATGGACAACGAGACAGAGTCTTTAAAGGGAAGGCAAAACATTTGGTACTCTCTCACTGCCGAGCTGGGATGAGTGTCTTGAAGTCAACTTTTGCTCTTATTGTAGTTGGTTTGTGTTGTGTTATTTCATATTTGTGTTCATTGTCTAAGAACTTTGGGACACCCTGTCCAAATTTTAACACAGTCTGTGGTAAAAACCAATGGGGTCAGAGCTAAAAGCCATAAATACAGTGAATTGCACAACTATCAGCCAACTGAAAAGCAGGAATCTCTGAGTGCTCCATGTGACCAGTTAACTTACATGTCTGGAGATATGTAGAGATTTTATGTTTTTTTTGTAATTGATATATTATATTATATTATTGGTACCAAAAATCAAACCATAGTATAACTGTAGTGTAGGGTCCAATAACAGTAGACTGATGTTATTGTATGTCACTCTTCGTCCACTAAATTCTTTAACTTCATCGCCTACTGGGTTTGATATTTCTACCTTAGTTAGTATGACGCAGTCAGCTCGCTACACTGCCTCCTTGTTCTGAGATATCTGTCCACTCTGTTTACTCTCTCTCTCTCTGTCCTCAATAGTGTACCGAAGGCAGTGATGCACTTCCTGGTCAACCATGTGAAGGACAGCCTCCAGAGCGAGCTTGTTGGTCAGCTGTATAAATCTGGTCTCCTCAACGACCTGCTGACTGAATCAGAGGACATGGCCCAGCGGCGCAAGGAGGCCGCTGACATGCTACAGGTAACACACTCACATACTGTTGTGTCCCCGATGAATTGAAGATTGTTGGACCGTATTTTTATTTATTTTTCTTATTTGTTTATGTTTTTGTCTTTTCTTTGTCTGCAGGCCCTGCAAAGAGCCAGCCAAGTGATCGCTGAGATCAGGGAAACGCATCTGTGGTGAAAACTCAACAAGTACTGAACCTGATCTGTTATCACCTCATTATGCCTAAAGGACCGATGCGCCACGCACTCATCATGTCTGAACAAGTTTTAGAAATGAAACCATGAAAATGCACTGATCTGATCCCTGCTCTAATATACAGTAGGTATCATGAAGACACTGGAGCCAACCGAAGAAACTTAAGGTAATTTAGATTGTTTAATTAAAATGCTTGATGTTGTTAGGTACATGAAGGAGAAAAAAAAAAAACGCACTGCCTCTTTTAGACAACGTTCAAAACAAGAATCTAGAAACTGTAGTTGCCTCTCACGGCTTCCTGGAGGAATCCAAAGTGCAGCCAAAGGCAAAAGTACTTTTCATTTCTGACAGACAGTGGTTAACCAGAATGGAAATGGACCTTTGTGTGAAGTGGAAATGAAAGTTTGATGCCATTTTGGCAGCACCACAAAGCATTCTTCACAAAGTTATGGCTCCAGGTTATAGAAAAATCAACAAAATATTCCTTTTCTCCTCATCTGCAACCCTATTCATTTAGGAGTAGCTGTCATGTGTCAAAAACATGGGACCTCACAAGTCATAGCAGGGATTGGTTTGCTGCAGTGAAATAGTCTTGTGTACATACTCCATCTCTTTATCTTTTGCACTGTTGTCACTGCACTGTACTGTATAGACAGACCGTCATCCTGACACTGTATGCCATCAGAATCTTTATTTATTAAAGTGTTATCTCGACGTGCGGATAATGTAATGAGCACTGTTGCAGCCTGCTGTGGTAGGTTATTCGATTTTGTTTACATATCGCTACCTGTATGTGAAACTATGGTGCACTGTGGTTCTGTGTATGTTCCCCAAACAATTAAACCTTATTTTAATGCCAGTTGGATGCATTCGCTTGCTTTGAAGCTGTTTAACTGACAGAAACTGTGGGAATTAAGAAGAAATATCCAGACAAACAAGCACTCCTGGGTTTAAAGTACACATCTTTTTATTGTTCAGTCTCAAACCAGCTGTTTGTAACGCTGCTGTCTTGTTTAAACATACGTTAGTGTCATTCAAGTCAACACAGCTGCTCCTTTTCAGACGCTTCTTTGAAGAACTCCTGCTGATGTCTTCGTCTATCTCACCCTGCCCTTGGCCTTGCCTCTTCCTTTGGCGCTGTGGAAATGCAAACACATATTATTTAACAGTCTATTATCTACTTTCTCAATCAGGCAGCTTTTTCATTAGATTCTAGTCAGTATTAAGTGTTTATATATATAAAAAAAGATCTGGCTTTTGTTGGTAAATTTTGCGAGTAGCTCCTATGTGACACGCATGAAAGCTCCTTCTCTGTTTGAATAAACAGAAGCTTGGTAATAAGCAGTGTATTAAAAAAACAAACAAACTGTAACGTGAAGCATAAATAGACTTGAGATAAATGATTTTAGCATCCTAAAAAGGGCAAGAATTTCCCCAGATTGACTTTCCATTCAAGTCTTCTTAACGTGAAAAGAAAAATAATATTGATGATAAACTATTAAAAAAATATTGATTGAATCTGATGTTTTAGCTCAATCATTTGAGGTTTACTTTTTTGTTCTAAAGCTCCTGTAAGAAACTCTCAGTTTTGGCCGACTTCAGCGCCCCCAGTGGACGAGGCAGTCATTGCTTATGTAATGAGCTTCCGAACTTTTATACTCAGGAACATTATTTTAAAACTATTGAACTATTTTCTCAAACAGTGTTAGCAGAGGGGTTGGACCTCTATCTTTATTTTCTAAAGACTGTCGTGTTATTAACATGTTGCAAATTAACCTCATTAGTTGAGAGACCTTCCTCTTGTTTTTTTTTTTTTTTCAGTATAACACAACTTTTTGAGAGTTGTGTTGTCCCTAACCTAACTTTGTTGAAAAATAATTTTTCATAAAGCAACACTTTTTCCCATTTTCAACATTTAATATATTGTCTTTTTTTAATGTCCACTTAAATGTGAGTTTGAATAGTTTGCATACCATCTTTTCATTTTTTGTCAGCATTGTACAAAGTATCAGGACTCTTGAAATTGGGGTTCTAAATGTCAATTTAGTGGAGTAAAAAAAAAAAAAGCATATACCCTAATGTAAGGCATCAGAGAACAATGCTGTGTTTTTTTCTTGTAGTTAGCCTATAAAGTACTACCATGATTTTTCATTATTTTTGGGGCAATTTTTGCCTTTTATTGATAGGACAGGGTGAAATGTGGGGAGATGGACTACTGCGGGGACCATGGTCCCCCTACAAGGAGCGCTAATCCGCTAGGCCATCTGCGCCCCCATGTTTTTTTGTTTTTTTTAATCCTTTCTTATTTAACAAATCATATCTTTTACTACAAAGCTCCTGTAGTAGAATTTTGACATGCTTAGAGAGTCTTATACTTGTATATATTTCATTTCACTCTGTGTGATTTCATCAATACCTATGTTTTCTTGGTCTGCATGTGCTACACTCCCATTAAGGAAATGTAGGTGGATAAAAATAGAGGTTGAAGCAGAGGGGTTAACGTGTGCACAAACCAAAGCATCATGCTGTTAGAAAAAAAGCCAAAGCACATGAGCACAGCTGGCAAACACTGATTGTATCCTCTGAACAGCAGCCTTACCTTTGATTCCCTGCCTTTTTTCCCTTTCTGCACCATAAGATCTGATAGATCCTCACTTTAATGTACCAGACTTTAAAAGCAGAGTGTACACACTTACCAAATGATTCAACAGACATGGCTTTCTGTCTTAGAGCGCCGCCTTTCAAGAGACTACTTTTTAAAGACGGTTGGTTCAGATCAGCTTACTTTTTAAAATTGGTACTGATAGTGTTACACAAAGCAGTTTTCAAAAAGCTGTGAATGTGCAGGGCTTTAGGAATCCCTCAAACCACCGCTTGATTCTCTATTTGACCAACTTCAAAGCTGAAACACAGCAGTGGTTCAAGAACACAGTGTTTTTACACTTCTGGATGAGGATGTTAGGAGGCATAATGAGTTATAGATGAATGGAGGAGATTTGCTCCATCAGTTAAAAGAGAATACAGAAAATAACAGAGCATATTAAACTAATAGAGAATGATGAAGGAGAAAAGTCATGCATGCGTCTATCAAACAGCACTAAATAGATATTTTTATGGCTGTCTGAAACATGTAAAAATCTGGATCTATATTTTACTTGTTTACAGCCATAGAAAGATGAGAGCCGAGCTGCTCAAAGTTAAAACGACTTACAGAGACTATGTTAATCTCATTCATTCAAAGACTGAGTCACATGTTCCCACTTTGCATGAAGTAGGATGATGTGAGTTTAAAAGGCCTTGGGGTAAAAGACAGAAAAACACATAGAACATCTTTAGAAGTGAACAGCTACGGAAAAAAAAAGGTGAGCAAATAAAAAAAAAATGTTTTACAGAAAACACTTCATCTCTAACATTTGTCAGAATATGCAATCTGACCCAACAAATCCCAAGGCTCTTTAAAAAGGACCAAAACCACCTCAATACCACCAATGGCTTTTACAAAAAGCCACAATGATACTCTCAGTGCTCATATTAGCGACACCTGAGATTTCCTCAGGAATTCTCAGGTGAGGGTTCGAGGATGAACGCTACTTACCTCTGGTGGTTCTGAACACGCACCAAGAGCAGATTGATCTGTGGGGGGACAAACATGGAGGACATGCTGAACACGTGAGCGAAAGCAGAGCACATGGGCGAGCACAAGCTAAGCCAGAGAGCAGACCTTCTGGGCCGTAAGAGGAGCTCAGCAGGGCGAGACACTCACCTGAGATCCAAACAGCTGAATCTGAAGAGGAGGACTCACATCTTGCTGTTTCATCTTTTTTTGTTAATCTTAAACCTCAAACCTGAAGAGAATCTTGGAAAATCTCAGAGCTGGTACCAGTTCAAATGATTTCTGAACAAGTCAAACTGTTTCTCATTTAGCCAGAGGAGTTTGAAAGAAAGCTGGAGTTATTTTCTGGAGACAATAAGTCTGTGTTAATAACTTTGTGGATCATTGGTTTTTGTTTGTAGACCCAGTGCAAAAGAGGTAGAGATCATACTCTGAAATACCAACAGGTGCTTGTGTCCAGCTAAAACCTCAAGATATCACAGTTTCAAAGGATGGTGGCGCTTATTGTTTGCCTGACAGAAAAGAGGATTAAAAAGACATTAAATACTGAGGCTGCCTCAGTTTCCCTCCTCTTACATAATCAGGCTAAAGCAGGCCTTGATAGTTTAGTTTCACTCTATAATTATCTGATCAAATGAGTATCGGGATCCCAAAGGTTTCCCGTCTCCCGCTGACGCCTCACTGCCTCTTCCCAGTGTGTACTCGTGTGCTCTGAATGGCTAAGTTTTTGTGTCTCATTGCTGGGTGTTTGGTAGCAGTGTTGGGTTAGCTGAGGCTTTTTCATGAACACTAAATTTCACCTTCTGTTTGTGGCTGTTCCCCAAATTTGGTTCCTGCCCCACCGCCCAAGACCCAGTTTGTGACCGTCCAACACACATTTTGCAGCAAAACTACACAACAACCAAGCGGCTCACACTCCTTATTAACAGTTACTCACAACTTCTGCTGCTCATTGATTCGGGTCTGGAGCACATTGATCTGGAAGTCAAGCCACATTCATTTTAGATAGGCACCCTGAGGACAGCCTAGAAGGTTATGTTTCAGCGTTCATACCCCGGGGGGGCTGTTCATGGCTCTCAGCTACAAATCTACCTCTGTCTGTCATTTTAACCGCATGAAATTTACAGCAGATCTACATACACCAAATCAGGTTAAGAAGTAGGAATTGTAGTATATCTGAGGCTAATGAGGCGTATATAAGGATTTTCATCAAACTTTAATAAAGAAACATCATAACTTTCAATATTCATTTGTAAACACAGAGACTTTAAAATTATATCAGATCTTGGGTGTTATAATTCATTATGGCCTTTGGCTAGAAAATAAGTAAGTCTGAGGCAAGAGTGACCAGGCTGTAAGCTGAGCTCAAACACTTAGCCTGCCTTGCTTTGGCAAAATCCAATAACCAGCACTTCTGAGGTTGGTAAATACTGTCAATCTGAGGGGGCTTATTACCATGTTTATAGTTTTGTAAACTGGATTGTATAATGTCAAATCAAACGTACAGCCCACTGAGCAATAGATGGCTATTTGATGTCTCGTTTTTTTTTTTTTTTTTTTTTTAGACCTAATTTCAATCATCTAGATTATGTATATTTTTAAACGGAATTTAGACGTCACACTTTAACCCATTATTTCATAACTATTTATTTCAAAAAGCAGCTGTGAGTTGCATAACTGATCTCAAAGTACTTAACCAAAATAATGATGATAGCCGTTGAGCAATATACAGTGTAGTAAAGCTATAGCCCAGATTTAGACTTGGTCTAAACTTGGTCTAAATTTAGACGTCTAAAAAACTTTCATTTTTAGACCTGTGGTAGTCTGATTTTAGACCAGTCGTCTAGACTACATTAAGACACCTCTTTTAGACCAAAAAAGGCTCAGTGGGTGTCAAACAAGCTAGTAAGAGTATTTCCCAAATTTCTGACGATTTCTTTAAAAGTATTTCATCAAGTGTCTGAACCTCGTTTGATTTAAATATAGACGCTTTTAAACATGTTAATTTAAGTTTATTTATTTTATTTTTGTCCTGTGAACACCTCGAGATTAAATACTTACGTCATATTTCTGTTTCTTCAGTTTCTCGCAGAGGTCAAACTTCTCAGCTTCCAGCGTCAGCAGCCACTGCCAGAGTTCACTGGCTTTCTCCCTTCAGAGCGAGAGCCACAAAGACAGAGACTGAGAGGCTTTTTTTAAATTATGAAACTGTGATAGAGGAGTATTCAATAACGACACTTGTACTGTGTATGTCAGTGTTAGTCTGTTTACAGCACGGTGAATGACATGGAGTAAGAAAACGCTCCTACTTCAGCTTGTCTTCACCCAGATGGTCGATGGTGAGAGGCTTCCTCCTCTCTGCCAGGATTTTCTTTTTCTTTTCCCTCTCGGTCTGCTTCTTTGCGCCCCTCTTTCCATCTTGCTGGATTAGAGAATCAGTTGAGGAGGATGTGATCAAGACAAGATAGGGGAATAAAAAGAGGCCACAGAGTTTGGGGGGCAGGTTTGTGAATGACGCAGAATTCAATGGACAATATTTATTTATGTTTGTGAGTGCTTGCTGACCCTCTGCTGGACTCCTCCATACTGCTGAGTCATGTTAGTCAGTGCCTTCTTCTTCTTGGCGTCTTCATCCAGCTTCTTGCGGGCCTCCTCCAGCTCCTTCCTCTCCTTTTCTTCCTACAGCAAAGGTTTAAAAAAATACTTCAATCTTTGACAGACTTTGTATTAGCACAATGTAAGTAGGTAGATGCTGCTTTTAAACATAAATTAACTTCTCTGAAGTCGTGTTTCTGCATGTAAGCCAAATATTAACATGTTTTTCCGTCGTCGTCATCATCTCCAAAAAGCGTGTCTGGCTGTTTAACTTAATATCCTTTTCATTTCACCAGCTTTTTCTGCCTTAATCTGGTGATGCGCATGGATTTTGGAGCTTTTTAACCAGCAATATCTACCTGCCTCAAGTGAAAAACAAAACAATGTCAGCGACCACAGCTGCAGAATTGGGTGATAATCCCCTGCAGTTTCATTACTTCTGGCCACTTCCTCTCTTTTTTTATTCTATCCCTTATTATTATTATTAAAAAATCCAACTGTATCCTCCTCAAAGAGAAATATATTATTTGCTGATTTTCAACATAAAATGTTAAAAGTCCCCCTGAGACTTATAGTTTTTAAAAAGTCATGTCATAGAGTTCAAAATTAAAGCCACACAAGGCGTTTTTGTCATGCAACGACAGTAAGTATTCTTGTTTGTTTGAGAGATTTTGCTCCTGTGTTGTTTCTCTTCATATCAAGGCATAAATGGGGGAGCTGTAGAGGAGTAGTTGTTACCAGACTCTCTTTATTAATTGTCTTTGGGGTCAGCCCTGAATAAATAGGATCTAGATTAGAGGGAACTCACAGCAAGACGAGCCTGCCTCTCCTTCTCCTGCTCTGTACGGATCCTCTGCTGCTCGTCCCTCTCAGCACGCCGCTTCTCCTGCACATCAATACACAAACACACACACACACACACAGTGTAATTGTTTACTGGGTGGTGCATCACTCCATCTGGCACTCGTTCTCGGAAGACTTACGATCCTGTTAACGAGAGCAATGAGCTCCTCCTCGTCCTTCTTCCTCTGGATGAAGTGGGCCTCAATCAAAGACTGCAGCTCAGTCAGATCCTTCTCCTGACGCTTTCTGTGTATGTCCTGCAGTTACAAACACATTGGCATACTTAGACTATCTCTGATGGAGTCACTTTCAAAGAGCTAACCCCCTAAATTAAGTCCTACAAAGGTCTTGATCCTGAACCGATTATAACTCAAACTCTCCTGCACCCAGAAACCCTTTCAGTTTACAAAATAAAGACATGAACAGTAATACCTTTAGAGCCATTTAAATTGCCTATTTTGTCTTTAAGTTGCATAAGGAGGCACAAATCACTCACATCAAAGTCAACTTTGTCTCCTTCTGGTATCTTTGGCACAGTCATAGGTGGAGCAAATGCCCTGAAATAACATCTCTTTGTTAGAATAAGAAACATTGTGGATTATCTGTGATTGGTGCGTGTCAAAACATGAAAACAACATTTACAAAAGCCTTACTTTGGTTTGGGTTTGGAGTCATCTATCATGTGGGAAAAAGGTCAAAGTAGAATCACAGTTAATATAAAACAAGTCCTCATTTAATCTTCACTTCAACACAAAAGCATCAGTCTTCACCAAAAAATTGTGGTATAAAAAATTCACAACTGATCCATCAAAATGACAAACACACAACCACATCTTGACAAATTTACAATGGAGGTCTGTAGACTTGGAAAAATCTTACCAGACTCTGTTCTTAACACTAAGTCAACACTATGACACACTATATGTAAACTGTCACAAAAAGACCACTATGAACTGTCTGTAACCATTCAGTTTGTCGCAACTAAAACAGTTTCTGTAATAAAAGGATTAAAATGAGGAAAAAATGTGCTTTATTTTGGCAGGCAGGATATCTGTGTGGCACAAAAACGTGGCCCAAGGGCTGAGAGTAGATGCAGAGCAGTCAGGTTAAACAACAGTGATGTACAAAATGTCCTGGGCAGGCCTCCTCAGTAAGTTACCTTCATCTGCAGCAGGAGATTCTAGGACAAAGGACACAAGGACACGTTGGCAAGCAGAATACAAATTGGTTTGCATTATTATTTGCAAATGCTTCTGCACTCTGCTCTCATCTCTGTTTTATAGGGTCTGATATAAACTACTTTCTCGCCCATCAGAAAGAGAAATAGAAAGTCTAAACAAGTTCTTTATGACTTGTCATGCAGGGTTGGTGTTAGCGCTCTCGGGGTCTCATGCCATGAAAACTTAGACCTGCTTTCAGATTCAAAATGTTCTATCAAAATAAATCGAATAGAGAGAAATTCACACCCCACAACAAGTAATTGAAGAGATTGAAAGTCACCATTTCTATTTCCTACAAATATCTCAGCACTGAGGTCCCATCTAAGGACTATAAAACACGGTGGGATGTGAAAACCAAAGTGATATACAGTTATTTGGTCACACCATGCAGGCAAAGTTTAAACAGAGACACAGCCTGTTACCTTCTTCTGCAGGCTCTGCAGGCGGTACATCAGTGATAATCAGAGGAAAACATGAAGAAGATGAGAGGTAGTTAACATTCATGGTGTGAGTCAACAACAACATGTTTTGGTGATCAAGCAGAACAGTCGAGTCAAATATACCATTCATTTATTTCAATCAAACAAGCTTGAGCAATAGATGACATGAGCTTGCATATGTTTGTTATTAAAGGAGGATTTGATAACAATATATCCTGAGCTACCACTGAATATAACAGTGATAAAAGAAACTATACCTTCAGCTGGATGAGGCTCTAAAGTGGTGTGAAAAAAGAAAACAATATATGATATACCACCATGCCATTAGTTAATGCAACAGTATGTACACAAACTGTTCAGAAAATGACATGTCACAGGGCTGAATACCATATGACAGCTTGTCTTTTAAATTGCCATAAAACCCGATTTAATTGTCCAATAATGACTTCTAAAATGTCAATATTCTGTCAGCAGAAAGATGAAAAAGCTACCCTCCCTCTGCTATAAGCTTTTCTGAGCTTAACGGGCAAACTCCAATTTCGTCTGAGTGGATGTCACAATTTTTTGGAAAGTGGATGTCTAATTCTGAAATATTTTCATCCAGTATTAACTCAGCAGGCAGCTCCTTGGCAGCCAAACACTGCAGTGAATACTGAACATAGAGAAAGAAAGTATTGATTCAGAAAAATAAATGGTGTTCAAATGATGAGAGTTGGAAAAGAAAAGACAATTAAATATTTACCACAGTGTGCATTTGAAGGTTTTCCTGAGTCTTTGTTATTCATATGAAAAGGGAATGTTCATAATAGCCCCAGTATTGTTGTGATTAAATGTCAGAAAATCCCAACCTTTCTCTTTATTTAATCTTTATCTTTAAAAACAAAGATGGAATTATTCTGGAGACAGATGCTCACCTTCTACTTCAGGTTCAGCTTCTTCTGTATAACACGAGCAAAACAAAGATTAATGAAGTCCAAAAGTCACACTAGAAGAGATGGTACACTGCACCACAATAACACATCAAAAGTATGTCAGAAAGAAGTGAAGTGCTGATATTTACTGACAAAAACAAGTCATACAGACCTTCCTCTGCTGCTGGCTCCATGTCTGAGTGAGCAAAATAAGGATTAGTGGATCAATGAGAATGTAGCAAACGGCTAGGGGCTGGGATCTGGTCAAACTCTGAGCACTGTGTTTTTTTTTTTTTTTCTCCGGGGATGAGCTGAAATCTTTGCTGATGTCTGACATTCTGAACAAAGCTAAAAACTTGACTGATCGGGGATCAAAAACTGAGCTCTTCAGCTGTTTGTCACAATTCAGAAATCACAGGGAAGAAAACTAGAAAAATCTGACAAACCAGGCTGTTTAGTATATAAAACTTATAATTTAAAGGACTCAAATGAATTAAAAGTATATCATTATCCCTGTTTGTTGGCCTAAATCATCTAAACCTTTGCTTTTTACAGATGTGTCTCTGATGACAGAGGTAGTTTTAAAAGACTTCTTAACATTTACTCTATTTACATTCATTTACATAATCTATTTATTGAATAAAGTCAAGTTCAACCAATGGTTTTGGTGTTTCTAATTGATCACAAGATTAATTCTCACAATTCTAGCAGCTTTTAGGTTAAAAAGAGATTATATATCTAGTTAGCACAATTCACCGATAACAGCGAACACATGACAAAAATCAGGATCACAGAGACTGCAAGTAAATGGCTTCTGGATGTGGCTAATGTTAGCAGAGCTAGCATAACCAGTTGCAAGCTTAAATCAGGGCTAACTTAGCCTTACAGCTCGCCAAAAATTATTGAACATCCCAGTATAGTATTTTTTATTTTTAACAATGTAAACAAAGTACAATGTTTCTGTAAGCACACTTCTGTTGTGCTAGTTGTTCGTTTGAGTTACCTTTGTACACATCACTCTGCCTGGAGTTAAGCCATCATTGTGTTAGCTGGAGCAACATTAAAGTCAGAGACAGGAGATACTGGTACACCCAAAACAAGACAAGTTATTTAGTCATGCTGAAAATAAATCTTGTACCTTCTTCTTGCTGAGTTTCTTCCTCTGAGAAGACATAATCAGGTCAGCTACGTCAAGAAATGGAAACTTGAAAGTGCCAATTTGCATTTGAAATCTCAGCGTGTGCCCTCAATAATTTGTTTTACCTTCTTCCCTGAAATGAAAAAAGTCAAGTTTCAGTCAAAATCAGTCAGGTCTATCTTTTTATTAACTGTGGAAAGGAGAAATTAAACTGAAATGTGTTGATGGAAGGACTCACAGTGTCTCCTCAACCTCAACCTCGACTATTTCCTCATCGGCCATCTTGGTTGTTGACTTCAACAAAGAGAATAAAGTGCATTTCACATAAAACATCAAAAGGATAACAACACACTTAAGTGAACCACGCAAAAGATATGACGTATTGTTCACCTACTGTCCTGTTTTCAGACTAAAATGAAATTCATTATCATTAATATAAACACACACTCATTACTGTGTACATCATTCTCCTGAGATCAGCATAGTTATTGTTGGTTCTAGACCTTTTTCTCAGTATTTTGGTGTTTTCAGATTGTTTTTGCCTTCTTTATATTTTTCTCTTTGTCTTTTTGTTTGTAATACTTCTAGAGGCCCTTGAGATTTCTTTCCCTCTGTTTGTATCTCTGAATCTTTCTTCTTTTCTCAGAGCTTTTATCATTTTTGCAAATCACCAAACCAAAACCCACTAAAAACAAACAGAAAGCCTTGGCTACACGCCGTGAGATTGGAGCAATTGTAGAATTTGAAATGATTCCACCATGGGCACTGAAAGCAGAGGCCCAGGGCTTTAAACAGCTCCAGGCCTAATCCTCAGCCATTTCCTCTTGGCACTGATCAAGGCTGCAGGCGGCTGACTGGAGACTGAGCAGTACTTGGAGCTACCAGGACAGCACGATTCCTTCAAGAGACAAACCAACACATCTGAAGATCCATGCATGTCATATTAGCTTAGAAATGTGCTCTCAAAAAACAATTTCCCAGGTGCTCATAAAACTTGGAGGTGGTATGCCACAAGGAATTTCCATCCCATTTCTCCAAATTATTAGGGCCCCAGCCGATGATGCAAGTTCCCTTGAGGATCAATTGTGGTTAAAACACCTATACCCTAATGTAACCCTGCAGTTAGAAAAATGTTGACATTTTTCCCAATTTTTATTTTTGTACCGATCGACTCCAAATGGTCTGAAACGTGCTCCTTTTTTATCATACTGTATTATGACATTTATTCATACTATGCTATGACATTTTTTTAGCACTGTATGATAACGTTTTTTATCATACTGTACTTTGACATTTTTTTATATACTATACTATAATATATTTTTTTATCATATGATACTATGACATTTTTATAGTAGTATACCATGACATTTTTAAACATACATTACTATGACATTTTTTAACATACTTTACTATGACATTTTGATCATACTTTACTATGGTATTTTTTAACAAACTGTACTATGACATTTACTTGGTTACTATGAAATTTTTTACCATACTATACTGTAAGATTTTTTATCTTACTGTACAATAATATATTCTAGCATACTATACACTAACATTTTTTCATTTTATACAATGATATTTTAACATAATAAACTGAAAGTTTTCAACATATTATATCATGACATTTTCATCATACTATAGTTGGATTTTTTTTATCAAACTTTTCTATGACAAATTTATCATATAATATGATGTTTTTTAAACATACTATACTATGTTTTTTTATTATTCTATACTTTGACATTTTAAACATACTATACTGTGACATTTTTTAATTATACTTAGGCATTTTTATTGTACTTTCCTATGACATTTTTATCATACTTTATTGACATTTTTAACATACTATACAATTATTTTTTTAAGTACTATAGTATGACATTTTTATCATGATTAGTTTTTCAAACTATATGATGAAATTTTTTTCACTTTTTATTATACTATACTGCAGCATTTTTATCACTCTTTACTTTAACATTTTTATCAATATATACTTTTTGTTTATTAAAATAATACAATATGATATTTTTATCCTCCATACTGTGTCATTTTTAACATACTATACTATGACTTTTTTTTATCATACTATACTTTGACATTTTAAGCACAATATCCTCTGAAATTTTTAAAATGCTGTACTTTGTCATTTTTTTAACATACTATACACTGACATTTTTTATTATATGATAGTATGATATTTTTATCGTACTACACTATGACATATTTTTAAACATAATTACACTATAACATTTTTTTATCATACTATATTATGACATTTTGCTCTTACTATACCATGATTTTTTTTTAACACACTACACTATTATATTTTTTATCACACTTTTCCCTGACTTTTATTTTAACATACTATACTATGACATTTTTTCCACTATACCATACTTACATTTTTATCATACTACACAATGACATTTTTCAACATACTACAGTATGATCTTTTTAGCATACTATACAATGACATTTTTAGCATACTTTATGATAATATTTTTTTAACATACAATACTATGACATTTTTTTATACTATACTTTTACATTTTTATCAGACTATACAATGACAATTTAATCATGGTATATTACGACATTTTTATCATACTTAACTATATTTGGGCAGCTCAGTGGTGAAGTGGTTAGTGCTGTTCCCTCACAGTGGGAAGGTCCTGGGTTCAAACCCTGGTCGATGTTTTTGGCAAACTATACCATGACACTAAAAACATACAACACTTTGACATTTTATCACATTATACTATGACTTCTGTTGTCATATTAATTCTATTAATTTTTATTATCATGCTATATTTGATGATTTTATAATCATACTTTACAATGACATTTAATATCATATTATACTTACAATGACATTTTATAGCAAACTAGACAAGGATTTTTTTCAAGTACTATCTTATGACATTTATTAAACAAAGTATGCTATGACATTTTTATCATATTATACTATGAAATTTTTATCATATTAAACTATTTTAAGTGTACTTTGAAATTTTTTATCACACAATCCTATGACATTTTTATCATACTTATCTATGACTTTTTTAAACAAAATATACTTTGACATTTTTTAAATATACTATACTATGACAGTTTTGTTTGACCAAAGTTTGATTTTTTTTTAACATACTATACTCTGACATTTTTAACAAAATATACTATGACTTTTTCTATGATTTTTTTTTTTACATACTACACTACATTTTTATCACAATGTACTATGACATATTTTTAAACAAACTATACTATGGAATTTTTTATCATACTTATCACTGATCATACTATACTGTAACATTTTTAAATCATACTATGATTTTTTTACACATACTATCCTGTGACATTTTGAAAAACAATACTATGATTTTTTTTTGTTTATCATACTATACTATGACATTTTTAACATACTATACCATGATATCTTTTTATCATATGATCCAATGACTATTTTTTTTAGTACTACAGTATGACATTTTTTAACATACATTACTATGACATCTTTGTTATACTTTACTATAACAATTATATTATACTATACTATGATATTTTTTTATCATACTATACCATAAAATAATTTTTTACTTGAAGATGACATTTTTATCATACTACACCATAACAATTTTATTATACTATACTATGATATTTTTTTACCATACTATACCATGAAATAATTTTTAACTTTAAAATGACATTTTTATCATACTATAACATTTTTATCATACCAAACTATGATTTTTTTACAAAGTGTTATTTAATTTTTTTTTTATCACAGAATCCTGTGACATTGTAATCATACTTTACTATGACTTTTTTAGACAAAATTTACGATGACAATTTTTTTAAACACACTATACTCCAACATTCCTATCTCAATAAATATGACATTTCTTAACCCTTACTATACAAAGACATTTTAATCATACTATACAATGACATTTTGTACCGTACTATACTATGACATTTTTTTTAAACAGACTATACTATGACATTTTTTACCACAATATACTATGACATATTTTTAAACAAATTTTACTATGGCATTTTTCATGGTAACATTTTTATACTATACTATGATTTTTTTTCACATACTATCCTGTGACATTTTGAAATACGATCCTATGGCATTTTTTTGTCTTACTTTACTATGACAATTTTTCAACATACTATTATATGACATTTTTTAATCATACTACACAATGACAATTTTGTCATACTATGTTACAATTTTTTTTTTACAAACAGTAATAAGACATTTTTAAACATACTCACAATGACATTTTTTTCATACTGTAGGATGACATTTTTCTCATATATTACACATACTCATATACTATAATTTTTCTTTCATACACTACACGATATGTACTATAATACCATTTACAACACCATACTTCGCTTTTTTAAACATAGTATACTATGACATTTGTTATTATACTATACTATGACATTTTTATCACAATATACCATAACACTTTTGAAAACAAACTATACTATGGCATTTTTTTTTTTATCATACTTACCATGACATATTGATCATGCTATACTTTAACATTATTATATTGTACAATGATTTTTTTTACATACTATACTATGATATTTTTATCACACTTTTCTATGACATTTGTATTATACTATACTATGCCATTTATCGGACTGTACTATATTTTTTATCATTCTTAACTATGGTTTTTAACAAATTATACTATGACATTTTAATCATTCTTTTTACTATCATATTTGAACATACCATACTTTGGCATAGAGCTCGAATTGATGCTGCAATCAGCGGGCGAGAGCCTTGGAGAAATTATAGGAATTTTTTATCATAATTATTATTGTTATCATTATTTTTGAAATGTTTTTTAACTTGATGAATTTTATGAGTGTTAACTGTTTAGTTTTAAAGGCCTAGAGTTAGCAAACCACTCACTCCCTCTTGAACTGCCCTCTTTTATTTGTTGTGCCTGTGGACTGAACCAGCTGCCTCCAGGTCTTCTGCTAAACTACGCTAACCCTGACTTCTTAATGCTCACTTAACATGTGTTTAAACTTAATGAAACAGAGTTTATATTTTCATCAGACTCTTGACAGGTAAGTTTTGAGCTATTACTGTCAACTTTCTCTTGAGAGTTTGAGACGTGGTATGATGTTAAAAAAGCCTTGATAAGACATACGTCTGACACCCTCTCACAGCTTATGACTTATGACTACATGCTAGCAAATTACAGACATTTTAGCCAAAGACTTTGGAGTTTGCAAAGACTGAGAACATTGGATTTATAGGCCTTTTGGGGTATTGGTCAAGTTATTAGCTTGTCAGCTAGCTAGCTCTGGCACTGAGTATTTTGAGGATTGCTGCAATTTCTGTCCCCTCTTTCTCCTTCTCCACAGTGGTACAAATAGGAGGATAAGTCAAGGAGCCATTCCCACTTTCTCCTTAACGCCCCAGTTTCTCCCCTTTCCCCTCGGTCTGAGAAAACTGCTCATTCTTTCTTCTCTTCCTCATGTTTGCTTTGTTACTTTGCAGCCGCCTGTTCAGTGCTGGTGAGAGTAAACCTATTGATTGTTCATATTATTCACACTGTTGAACAACACAACTTGCAGAAGGCAAGACTGAAGTCCTGTGTTAATATTAAACATGTTCAATTTTAATCAAAACACCATGAAGAAAAAAGGCTGCTTTAAAACAGCACTGCGTTTTATGAGAAGCTTTCATAAAATGAGCAAGACCGTGGGAGCGTGCCCCAACTTTAGCAGAACTTTTATGATTTTATTCTGGCTTTGGAAATGTGTCCATGCTTCTAAGGTTTTTTGGTGTATAGCCAGCAGGAGCGAGATTCAAATAAGAAAAAATTTAAGAGCTTTTCTGGGATGGATAATTTGGACTAAGGAGCTGTTGTACACTCAAAAATCAAAGCAGAAGACAAAGTTTTCTCAAATATAGCATGTTTCCTCTTTGTATGTTCGACTTCATTCATGTGGCTCACAACCCCATTTACAGAAGCACATAGCTCAGCTTCCTAGTCAGGACTCCTTTAACTCCACCGGAAAATCTGAGCCTCCCTTTACAAAACAACCACTTTAGCTTATTTTTAGGTCAAGGTTAAGGTTACATGGATTGGATATGAGATCATTTACTCCTTTGTGTATAAATATACAATAAATATCAGTGAAATTTTAGAACATGATTGTGCTGTGCATGGTTGTTCAGTCCCTCTGATCACGTTTTTCCAAGGGCATATGCAATAAAACAGCTCATAAACACCAGAGTCAGAACAGTGAAGGAGAGAGAGGGTCTATTTTTAAGAATAATAGAGTGGGCCTTTGAACAGGTGTGGAGCTGCTCCTGTAGACAATGGCTTTGGCTCACCTCGCAGAGCTCACAGTAAATCAATGAGCAGACAGGCTATTTTTGCTGCTGTGGTTTGGTCAGCTGCTGCTTGGGGACATTTTAACAACAATGCCTTGCAGGTCTGTCTTGCTGCTAGACCTCAAGTTTATTCCAGGTTTTTTTTAAGTAACAATCATGACATTTTGTTTCAGGTGATGCTTGGATAAAAACAAAACGAGCCTCACATGCCTCAATCCAACTTTTTGTCTCTCCTTTTTTGAAATGTTCAGGACACCAGCTGCACATTTCTCATATAAACACTGACCAGTGTTAGACATTTGCTTAAATTCTGTAGCATATCTGCTCAAATTTAAACATGATGGTTCTGGTGTCACTGAGTAGGTATTTCTTGTACTGTTAGATTATTAAGAATCTGACGTCAAAGGAGAAATGTGAAGATGTAAGACCTAAAAAGACAGAAAAGCCATCTGGTGGAAGAAAAGCACTGACTGGAAACCCAGAAAGAATCCGCAGTGTATGATGCTTGTCATGGCTGGGGTATTAAATGTGTATTTGCTTTAATGCATGCGGTCAGTCCCGTCTGGCTGAAACTTTGTAATAACACACAGTCTGACAGCGGCAGGAATGTTGCGGGCGCTGGTTTCAGCATTAGGCTGCATTAAGTCAAAGCCCAAAGCATGCTACCGACACAGCAGTCTCAGGGGCGAGATTAGCACCTTTTTCACCATCGTGCGCTCTGCTCAGATCAGAATACATCAAAGAAAAAACATCATAAAATCTTTAGGAGGCTGCTTAAGCAACGCCTGAACTGATTTTATTCAACATTTCAGACTTTGAATGAGAAACAGCGAGAAGTAAGATTAGGCAGAGGGGGTTTTGTCTTTGTCAGATTTTTTTGTGAGTAAACTGAATGTTATCCATTATTTTTTAACTGTACTCTCAACATCAGATGATATTAGTTTTCTCAAAGCTGAAGTCTTACCTCCTGTATATCCCTGAGAAAGAGCTGAGATTAGCAGCAAATTCAGGTCTTATTCTTTGACATCCACACAAAGACAAGTTCAATCATCCTCCCCTACAAAAAAAGCTCACTTAATACAGCCCTGTCCATCATGTGACCACATTTCTTTTCTATGACTGGTGAGGGTTGTCGGTTCTATTGTTGGAGGCAGAAGATGAGTTATACCTGGAGAGGAATGCTGCCTCCGAGTACTCTGCTGTCTTCAAGGCCAGAAAATGAAAACACCACTTGTTCCCTTTCAAAACATGATTGGGCAGAAAAAGATAGACTGTGAAAGTTCTGTCATTTTCTTTTGAGATGTGACAGAGCTCTCAGCAGCTTCATACTGAAACCATTCAATCTGTTTCAATAATGAATTAACAGCCGAATCCTGCTGCATAATGAAAGTATTTACTCAGGCTGACACCACTCATTATAACAATGATTCTGACAGTCCTTGAAAACAACAAAGGACTTGACAAGTGCTGCTACTTTAGTCTGTCCTTTTTACGGCAGTCTGCGCTCCAGGCTAATCTAACGTGCTGCTCGGAGACAACCTGCTATTACAATCTTCCTGACAGCACAGAGAGCCACGGCGCACTCCACAAAGACCGGGTCCCTTCACTGCCCTTGAAACCTTATATTGACTAAAATGCAATCATATGCAACAAGATTTGTTTATTCTCCTGATTATCTATAGATCTACAGCTCTGTTTGTGCACCCATGCTTATTCGACAAAAGTTAGCTTCATTAAGCTGGCATTGGCTAAACAGGAAATGAGGCGAGGGAAAGGGAACATAAAGTGGGGAAGAAAACTATTCATCAAGATGGATTTGAGAGCAACTGGAAAATAAAAAGAGCCATTTGAAGATAATAATCTGTCTTCATCGATTATATCACATGATTAATAAATGGTGGGCAAGTAGAGTAATTCAAAAGCTTTGAAAAGGATTAATCAACCACTTTTAATCACGTTGTTAGATGATGTGTTGGTGGAGTCTTATTGTCTGACAGCATCCTGCTACTATTTTACCTGATTTTTAACAAAGCAGAGCAAACCGGGGGTGAAGTTAAGAAAGGAAACACGACACAGCTGAATACCTCAATGTCTTTATTGCTGTTGTTGAGTCATTGGTACAATGTTTAAAACATTCATCCAGTTGAAAAATGGCCCACTTGTGTGACATTGGGAGTGCTTAGATAGACTACAGATAGTGTGTTCTGCATAGGCTTAGCGCTACACAAACAACAAGTGTCTGGTTAAACATGGAATAAAAATGGACACAAAGATGTAAAAAAAAAAAAAAGAACAAAACAGCATTATGAAACCACTGTATTTAAAAAAAAACCATAAATGTCACATTAAATCACACTTTCAAATGTTTTGGTCAAGCCCCCCTGCTCTTTTCAGGAGCCGTGGAATGTGATTGTCAGACTTTTGAGCAGAGATGTCAATCAATTTAATGCCCCGGTAAACAGTCAGAATTAACAGAGCTTGCATTGTGCAAAAACTAGGAAAAGGAGTGTGCTACTTAAGGCCATGTCAGTGAAGAAGAAACATTTAGTCACAAGTCTTAATATCATACTGAGTTGCTGTGAGGCTTTCACGTAATGTACCTCAGCTGTCAAATACAAAAAAAAAAAGTTTTTATTGCAATCATAAGGCCAGAAGAGTTACATAGTGGTAAAGATCCTTGTTTTTAACTATTATCTCACTATTCTGCCTAAGCACCCTGAATTTGCTTTGTATGCCATTACTTTTAAGAATAATGCTGAGCGTGAGAGTGTGCATAGAGGCAATAAAGAAGTTGAAGGTACATTAAAGACAGAGGGCTGGTCTGCAGATTTTCTACATTATAAAACCTAAGGCTTTAAAGCAGTAAAGGCACCTGGTGCACCTGCTAAAAAAGAGGAATGTTTGAAGGTTTTAAAGTGATCAAACAGGTACAAAAGCTACAAAACAGAAGTATAAAAGGACACATGAAAACATAAATAAAATGACGTATAGGATAATAAAAGTCATAATGGCCTTCTTCCACGATCCTATCACCTCCTAAATGAACTGCCTGTTGGTGAATAGTTTGTAGATACAAAAGAAGCAAAAATACTTTTTGTTATGAGTATAAAGATGTTATATAAGATACAGTATAATATTCAAAAACATCACATGTGCTAACATATATTACTCAGACCATTGCTGCACTATTGGTAAGACATAATAAAAGTGAAATCAGCTAAAATCTAGAAGTGCTTATATTTCTATCCTGACCTGGTGAACGTTGAATAAAATAGGAATGTGTGAAGCTTTTCCTTTAAATATAAATAAAAAAAGCGAGATGGAAAATGAACTGTTGGAGGGAGAGAGCCGATTTCACCCATCTCTTTGGAAACTCATCTACTCTCTGCTGAACAAAACAGTCGGCATGGAGAACATCAGATCATCTAAAATTTAATTAGTTTTTCTCTTCATGAAAGGATTGTAAAAAAAAAAAAAGTAATTAGTTAAAGTTATTCAAAAGTCCAAATTTCACAGCATTTTGTTTTTCCTTTAGAAAGCAAAAAGAATATTTGTGCAAAGGCACTTTATGTGGCAACCGTACAAAAATAAGATGCTGTTTCAGTACAGTGCTTGGACAACCTCTCTGCTGTCCCTCAGGTTTTCGGGGTCCGTCTTGGAAATGTGATCATTATTTGGTTCTGAAGACAAAGTCAAAAGGAAGAGTCTCAGATTGTCGTGGTCCCCAGCTTTAGTGGCTCTTTCAAGACATTAATGTCCCATACCTAGAAAGAGAGAGACGAGACGAGTCTGTTAGTGACTTCACTGCACGTCTGCAGACAGCTGCGGGTTCATGAGTCTGACCTTTGACCCAGACGGTCAAACAAAGCCACAAACACCACAGTGAAGTGTTGAAGTCAAACAGTTAACATGTAGTTTAAAGGGAACTTGATGCTGACTGTAAAACTTAAGAAAGGTTACCTGCTTTTAGTGCAGTATGTTACTGGGTCAACTTTTTCAAATGTCAGTACGATCCAAAGTGATACAAATGTCTGTTTTCATACTCAACTGTTTTGAACGTATTTTTTAACAATTCACTGAATACTATACCCCTGTCCTCACTTTAACACTAGGAATATTTCAGTAATTGATACTTTAATAGTCAGCAGAGTGTGTTAAAACACTCTTGGATATTATCAAATACCCTCAGAGCTATTCAAATCCAAATAACACTTTGATATTCCACTAATGCTGACAAGTAAGTGCTACTATGTTGACACCTAAACCAAGATGGACAACCTTATACCTGTGACATTAGCATATTAGCACTGCCGTATGAATGTTCAACCTCAAAGAGATGCAGAGCCACCGCATTCCACCACCTGAGCTCATCTGTGTTAATATCTCAGACACTTAATGGATGAATCTGATTTACTCATATGTGTAGCACTTATAGATATTTGTATATTTTTAAGTTGAGTGAAGCATTGAATAAAAATATTACTAAAGAGTGATCTCTCTGAAGTCAAAGGAGTCGGGTAGATTACAGTTTCCACGTTCATCATTCCCACATGGTGAACATGACTTTGAAAGCTCTCTCTTAGAGTCAGGCATGTAAAGAGTGTGAAGCTGCTGTCTCCTGGGGAGGGAAGGGGGTGTCAAATGTCTGTTATAGCATGTGGCTAAATCAAAGCTACAAGTCCCAAATCTGAACAAATCCTCTGTCATCATCTGAGTTAGTCTGTGACGGTGTGCTAATCTCCCAACGTACCAGGGAATAATGCAACAACCCGGCCTGGCAGGGACACTTTTGAGAGAAGCTGAGTGGCACTAAGACGCCTGTTGAGGACACATTGGGTTTATAGATTGGTGTTTGCCAATATGTGCTCAAAGTCATGTTTGGAATCCCTCAAGGCTAAAACTTCTTTTCTTCCCATGAGGAGGAACAAAAGGAAGAGGTGTCTGGGTTCAGATATGATTTTAAAATAGAAAGCAATGTTTAACCGGCATCCCAAAGTACTGTGGAGTAAAAGGCCAAAGGGAAACTGAAAAAGACGACAGGGTTGGCTGTGAAAGGGCCAGTTACCAGACGAAGACACATGCTGTGGTATAAATCAAAGAGCCACTGACAACATGACAAACTTTACGGGAAGGTCATACCTGCAAAAATGACTCTCCTGCCAAAGCACTTGAACACTTTCACAATAGAAGGGAAGCCAGTGAGTGATCACATGATTTTAGTCACACTTGTTTCCTCTGCTGCTAGTTTTGGACATGTTTATTCATGGGTGCGGTCTTGTGGGAGCATGAAACAGTTCTGAGCATGATCATCTTTGAAACTATGAAAAAGTGTCATGGCATCTGGCATTTACAGTAACTATAAACAGTATCACATTTTATGGTGCTGTGGAGCTGAATTCTTTTCTTGTTATCATGTTTTTATTACCATTCCTGACATTTTTACAGCATTTCATTCAACAGTTATTTTTATTTTATTCTATTATTTTAGGATTTTGGTTATTTTTTCAGTCTTATTATAACTGCTGCTATGGAGTGGTCTGCTGTTAGAATTAACTGTACTTGAAATGCAAATAGACCGCAAAATATTCAGAAACAAAAACAAAAAAAGTGCTTTCTGGATTTTTTAAACACAGAGCTACATCCTAGTCAGAGTGTCTTAGTGAAAACTGCTGTGTGTCATCATTATTCCTGTATGCACACATTAACAAGCTCTGCAGTGACAGACTGACAGGCTATTGTGCTTCGTGAGAACTCACCGTTAGCGACTGATTTGGTCTCTCCTCTGCCTGCCACCTGAAAGAGATGATGCCAGGAAGGTTAAACAGCAAGAATGATCAAGAGATGCCTGCAGCACTTCCCCTCTAACATCAAAAGTGCTTACAGCCACTCCTCAGCTTACACTTTCACCTATTGTGCCTCTTCAATCCATCCAGATCTCTCCCACCATCGTTTTCCTCTCCATCTTGCCCTCATATAGCATGATTTGCTAATAACAAGGCTGCCGACCGACCTATTTCCTGTCCAAGGCCCATTTTACGTCAGTGCAGACTACTGCCTGCTGCCCTCCAACCCCAACCCTTACTGTGGTGGACCACAGCCTCCAGCCCGCACTGCAGCTGCTGGCGCAAAGCACACACTGCTACCAGGGTAGGAAGCTAAGAAGGAAGGAAGGAAGGAAGGAAGGGAGGAGGAAGGACAGCTAAAGTGAGAGAGGTAGGTTTCTGTATTTACTGTCTATTGAGCTGCTCTCCAAATACAGCTTCATGTCTATTTATACAAACAAAGGTAAGAGATTTCATTCATGTCGGGTTAGTCAGACATGTTTGACAGTGCGAGGTAATAATGATTCAATCCTGTCAAACTGACGTAACTCAACACAGCAAGGCGCCGAGCCTGTAAAAACTGCTGTAAACAGTTTTTCCATTAGGGCGATATAAAGTCAAGTGAAGTAGGGCTGAGCGTGGTGATTTGTGGTTCTCAGAAGGAGGAGCGGCAATGTGATACAGCCATGTGGGTAAAGCAGCCAGCCTGCAGTTGGACGACAGGCGCACTGTTCAGGTTTTTATACGACTCTGAGTTTACACCGAACTCTAATCTCCTGAGTCGGCTTTTACAAGTTATGGGTGTTAATGGAGTCAACAGCGTAATCCTTTAAAACAGGCTCTGGTGATAGGCTCACTTTGTTCCCTTTTTATTTCACAGCACTTTCAACATCTGGCAGAAATGCTGCACAACGTTAAAGTTTTATTTCTTAAAGCTGTATGTGTATGTAGGAAAGAAAATTGCTTATTGCTCAATATGAAGTAAACGGTGATAATTACATCCTTTTAGAGTTTTCCTCAATGTTGGCTCTCCAATTAGATTCTTCATTCACAAGAAACTGATGCTGATTATTTCAAAAGCAAATTCATCTCGACCCCTTTACTGAGAAACTGAGCACAGAGCAGGCAGAGGGGCTCGGCTATCCGCTACTGAAATAATTTTACCACATAACTCTAAGAAAGTTACAGCCTGACATCATATCGTCACCATATTAAAATTATGGTCTATTTTTGACGAAAATTAGTTTTTGCCTAAATCGTCCCTTGATAATGTTGGCCATCTCTGGTAAAATAAATCCTTAGTTGAAAGGATGATGCCATGATCCTCATTTTTGTCAAAAAATGACTTAGGCCATTATTTAAACAGGGTGACGATATTCATTGTATTAGTACGCATGTTCCTCCACCTACAGGCCACCTATCAGACATTCAGGTCGACAAAAAACAACTGAAAAAGTGAGTCACAGCCATAATGCCAAGCACATATACGTGGACAACAATCAGTCTGACTCATACATCATAGAACTGGTTGGTTGATAAGTGTGTTGCAGACGATGGATCCTTGAACACGGGTCTCTAAAAGCACTAAAAAGTTTCTTTTTACACTGACAGTAAAAGTTTGGTCAGACTTTCTTTAAATAAGCTGAATTTCACGATAAACTAGATCTGCCTGCTGTAGTTGATAGAGTAGCTTTTTTATACCCATTCCCACCAGGTTCCTCATAAAGAGGGGCCGAGCATTACCCATGACTATCTACAATAACCTTTTTACAACTTCAGCTATACAAAAACAATATCCTATCACACTTGTTTGTTCTTTAATGTACTTCCACTGTTTGGGTCTGACTTCTAATTATGTTTTCCACATTTATCCATTCAAACATTTATGTATTATAGCCCCTTTTTCGTGAAATATGCAGACATATACCACAACTAGTAATTTGAATTTGCATATTTATCGTTATTAAATGTATTACTTATTCTTCTTCTTGTTTTTATAGGTAAACAATAAAAACTGTAAACTAATGTTAATGCCCCCAATTCCTGTTTCATTTAGTTCATAATTAACTTTAGATATTTGTGCTGACATGAAAGTGCAAATAAGTAGTTTATTAATGACCATGTAATTACTCCATTTATTATCCAGTGTGTGGTTTTCTGCGTACTTTACTTTGTGTTGGATCAACTTGTTTAAAGAACGTAATAAAACCGAAGTGTAGTCTTTGGTTATTTGATTCAGACAGTAAAAGTGTCAGTAAACACATCATAAATTATCAACTGTGGTTCACAGATATTTAATGCCCTGATTGAAAAAAGCAGCAGTGTCCAGCCACAGCAGATCAGATCAGATCACAGCTTTGCCAAAAAGCCGACAGCGTGACAGCAGTGTGAGCTCGCTCTGTGAGAAGCGCTTTAAAGAAATGAGGAACAATGACTCTTTTTACCTCTCCAGGCTTATTCCAGATCTAACGGTGAGGTCAACTAGCTATGAGAGTTCTTAAAAACAAACAAAAACAGCAAACAGAAATGACTGTTACTCCCATTTTTTTGTAACATCAGAGTCACAGTATGGTGAGATATTCTTCTAACAACAGCTGGAAAAGCATGAACAACCATGAGGAAGCTTTCCAAGACCACTACACCAATTTGGCACTGCAGAAACTTCATCTGGACAAACTCCAGCATGTGTAATGCTCATTTGGAATTTCCCAAGTGGGTGAGGCTGTTGCTTTTCTAACGTTTAAAGAGCGAGAAAAATTTCCTATAAATCACAGTTACCTTGGTTGGAGAGGCTCCTTTGTTTTCCCATAGACTCCTCTTATTGGTGACATCAACAGGCTTCAGGTCCTGTCAGAGAGGACATAGGAAGCAGGAGACAAAGGATCATATCAGCCGTGTTCAGAGTGTTCAGCATTTGTCTCAATTTGAAAATGATCACGGTGTTGTGACAAGTGGAAGAGTACCTGAAGCACAGAGGGGGGAGGGATGACAGAAAACTTGAGCAGTGAGAGCAAAGGTTGACAGACACTAATGAGCAGAGTGGTGCTTACAGGAGGAGGTGGAAAATAGCACTCTTATTATGAGTCTCAGGCAATTGCCCTGAAGACACTCAATGAAAATGCGAAGTAATATTCAAGAGGAACTGTTAATGTTGTGGCCTTGGATTACAGTCGAAATGTTCTCTTCTTTGAAATATGGTTTTCTTTTCACACGCTCAGCCTCAACATTACATGAGACATATTTAAGAAAAAGCTAAATCCAGCACAGAGGGCTCTAATGTAAATATTTGGGAGAGATATGGGTAGAAGTGATGAGAGGTGAGATAATCTGGCATGCAGCCATCCACACAAACAGGCCCGATAATGGAGTTTGCTGTCTGCCTGCTAGCATAGCTTATGATAAGCTGAAGATAAAATGCTTAAGTGACACTGTTTACCAAACTGATGCCAACTCTAGGATATCTGCGTGTCCTTTATTTCTGATGTAGAAGCGAGGTAAGGGTGCACGACAGTAAGCTCTTTAACTTTGTTTTTGTTCTTTAAGACCACCAGGTGGTGCCAGACAGATGCTGCTTCAACCTGAACAGCTCCACTGAATCTGTCAGAAATGACCCGAAGAAAACACAAAGTCTGCAGAACACGAGCAGCAGCAGTCTGGAAATTATATTTCTGCTGCAGGATGATACAAGAGTGAGGAAACTGAAGGTTATGAAGCAGACCAGAATTAAAATGTTTCTGTGCACAACTGTCTACAAATTAGTGTTCACAGAAATCAGAAGTCTCCTTTTGATTTCACCATCACCCAAAAGTATGCTGAAATCCTATTTCTTTAATAGTTTAGCAGTAAATTCAGAATTTAAAAGTGATATGACCTCAAAAGGACACCTGTGTTTATAAACCCCTAGACTAACATGTTTTTACAGTCTGTTTGAATTTGGTTTAACTAAATCTGATAAACAACAAACAACCCAACAAGTTCTGTCAGAACCAAATGTTGTTTACACTTGATTTGTCTGTGCCAATGCCACATCAGCCTAAGTCTAAAAGAAAAAAACTGGTCTGACTTTGAAAAACAGAGGAGAAACATTCTCCAGCGAAATGCAAACAAAGTGCCGGATGCTTTGTTACAGGTGTATATGATTTTCAATTCTCAGGTATTCGTGATAACTAAAATACACCTCATCATCAGGGGTCAGAATAGTTAAGTATATAAAATACAGTATCTAGTTTATTCTAACTTTTATTCTAGGTGATGTTTGATAACCCACTGACATGACTAGCTACCTACTTACTTTCCTACCTACGCACCCATTAATGTATTATCTACCCACACATACACCCACCTTTTACTCTCCTACCAACCAACTCACACATCAACCTAGCTCTCTTGCTATCTACCTATCCACTCAGCTATTTCGCCACCAACTAACTAATCTACCCACATGATGAGCAGGCGTGAATAATATGAAATTAATCTATAGAATTAGAAAAGTGTTAAATACTTTTTGAATTCATTGATAAATCATTATTCTTTCCAGCTTTTGTTTCACCATCTTTTCAGGTTTTCTACAGAATAAACTCCAACAGGAGTCCCAAATATTGGCTGTGATAAATTCTATTATGTTGGTATACATCCACCAACATGTAAAGTTGTTTACACCGGTCATGAGAGACAGCTGGATCTACTGTGATGTGATACGAGACCTGTACTTTTTTGCAGCAGTGACAAGGGTTGCTATGGCAACGACCTACCGCTGGCCTTCCTCCTGACGTTTTGCCGCTCTCTGGGGTTTTATTCAGCCAGTCATTGATGCGGCCTGCCACGCCTGTCTTCATCACAGCTGCTTCCTGTTTGGATAAGGTCAAAAGTCAGTTAAGCGCGGTCGTCACCGGCAACAGGGCTGAGCAGGAAGTACCAGTGAATCAGGCCTTTTTTTCTCTATTCCTCTCTTTTCTCTCTCTCACTTCAGCATCACAAGCACACACGAAACTTAACATGCCCCATCACCTCCTCTTTTACCTTGAATGTGCTTCCGCCACTTCCAGGCGAGCTGAACACGTCGCCTTTCTCCCACATGCTCTTGATGTTTCGTATGCTGTCAGTGACCATGGGCAGATCCACCGCTCCAGAGCGAGGGGATCGGGACTCCTTGTTCTCTCTCTGTGAAAACAAAGTGGTGGCTTTAAGGAGGTGATGGGAAGGCAGGAGAGGGCTGGGCTAATAAAAGCTTACACATGTGTCCTTTTTCGTTTGGTGATAACAACTATTACATGTTTCATACAAATGCAACACATTTACAGCATAATATGAGTCTGTTGCCTCATTTTAATGCAGAATTAAATGTTTTTTTCTCCTTTTTTGACAGTGGAAAATGTAATGCAGTGCTTTAAGCATGAAAATCAAAAGCTGTATAAAATCAGGACAATGCTGGAGCCACTTACTCAAACAGAATGAAGTCAGAAATGAGAAAAATCCTCCCATGAGCTCACTAAAAGTGGACTTTCAGCCAGTACATTATAATCATTACAATATATCTGAAATAAGCATATCATTATATACCCGTTTGAAATATAAAAATAAAAATACTATGCCTGGAAATAGTGCCATATTAAGGATGAAACCACTGAGATTATCAGTGTTTAAAAAAACATGTATGAGAAACTCAAAAGTGCGGCTAGCTGCCTGAAATAAAAAAAGGAACATGGCTCATCTGGTGAAGTTAAAGTTCGGATAAAAAGCAGTTGCAGAAGTTTGTGTAGGCTGTCTGTCAGAGAGCCTTTGTCAAGAGGAGACTCATTTCCTAGACCAATCCCACGACACTAACCCTGATACTTACAACACTGTGGAGCTCAGATTGAGTATTAGGCTAACAACAGACTCAAACTCTGACTTTTTTCTTATACACAATTTGATTATCATGATGATTTCATTATGCTTATAAATACTTCCTTTTCCAAATCTGAATATTTTTTGTTGTGTCAGCGGCCCTGATAAATACTCCATGATAAAATGTTGTCTAATTTATTCCTTGTATGTTTTCCTGTTTGTGTATGAGTTGCTGAAAGACATGTCATTGAATTCCTGAAATTGGCTCGGAGCTTCATCAAATGATTTGTATAGCATGGGATGAAACACGTGTTATGTGCAGCCTCTGTGCTGCAGTGTGTTTCACTTTTCTATTTTAAATGGTGTTTACCTGAGTAGCTGAGGTGTACTGCTCCAGCCTGTTGTCTATCTTGGACACCACAGGGGAATGAGCTGCCTTCACCGTGCTGCTGAGCAGAAGTAAAAGTTAGTCCACACGGCATGGGACCACTTTAAATATCATACCAAGTGTAGTCAACCATTTTATCCTTAGTGCCCTGAGAGAGCACACTTACTGCCCTTCATGGAGTTTAAAACTTACATTATTCTGAAAAACAGCACTGCGAGTCTAATTCTCTCTGCTGGAAGGAAAAAAAATATGTTTCTGTATGTTTTCACCTTTTCTGTGCCGACTTGTTCAGGAACTCTGCCCTCTCCCCGATCTGTGGAGAGAGGTTAGTAGAAATCTGGGTTAATGAATAATTTATACTTGCATACACACTGCACTACACACATTTCCCATCACTCCTCAAAGCCTTAAAACAGATGTTTAACCCAACCCTTCTCCTGGTTTCCATATTTCTATCGAGCCTTTATTGTTTCTATGAGCACTGTTACAATAATTCAACATGCAGACCCTGTAATCACCAGCACTTCTTCATAATGTGAGTATTCACTTTACTTCCCCTCCATTTATTCTTTGACTCACACAGTAATAAATTTACGACACATTTTTCCTTCATGTCTCATATCTTCATGCGTTAAAGCTAAACTCTGTCTAACGACAACAAACAATGTCGCAGATTGTTCCCCCTGTGTGCGACATGCTGTGGAAGACACAGACACACAACCCCCACCACCACCACCACCACATACACACACACAGAAAAAACACAGCATGTCTGCTGTTGGACTGTGGGAATCTCAGAGGCTTGTTTATAATATGGTGGGGGGAAAAAAGGCTAAAAGAGGGAGCAAAGCATGCGTTCCTCAGACACTTGTGTAAAAATAAACTCAAAATGGACAAAAGAACATGCAGAAAAAGCTCTCCCTCTCTGTCCCTGTGAAAAAGACCCTGTGCTCGGCTGCTACCGAATGTGGGAGTTCCCAAAATACTCCTCGACAGGAAATTCCCCATTCTCATATGCGTTTTAACGAGCTGTGGCCATACGAAGCTGTTACAGTAATCCTGTTAACCCTAATCACTTTCCTGCAACTCGCTGCCTGTCCTTCATTCATTCCTGCTGTCCTTCTCCCTCCATAGGAAACTGTTTTTATCTAATGTGCAGAGCGAGGTTATTCTGATAAAACGTTAGCAAGCCTCTGGGACTGTGTGTTCCTTTGGGAGGTGATCATTAATACAGAGATGCACAGTAAAAAAAAACAAAAAAACAAAAAGAATAATTGCATGACAGGGAAAACACTGTGGTAAAAGGTAATGATGATGCTAATGCCTGCTCTCAGAGGGATGCATGCTATTTTGGTGATCAGGGGAGTGGGGGGAACACAGCATAGAAACAGGCACCAAAAATCTAAATATGATTTATCTAGAATATGACGATTAAAACAATCATCTAAAGCTGAAGGACGAAACATGATGATTCAAAAGATATTACTGCAAAGCAAAGATTCATACAAAACACAGCGAGACACCCCACACACACAAGCCCACTCTGACACACAGCTGTACCTACTGTAAACATGACCACAAAGTAAAGCCCTGTCTGTACCGCGGTCATGTGGAGAGGAACAGTTGAACACCAGTTACAGAAGTGACCAGAAAGAAACAGAGTCTTTGAATCCAGCACAAACAGAGCTCACACACCGTTAAAGCCAAGCCCAGAATCTGGAGTCTCTGTGGGACAGGCCAGATGGATATTACTGCTAACTGTCACTAATTAGATTTTCTCCACTGGCTGAAAATCCCCGATGATTTTGATTGTGTGGGAGTTGGCTTTTGGCAACACTGGAAACATTTATTCATATTTGACTTGATTAAACACCCCTTCACAGTGACAGCCATTTATCTTTGGAGGACCCGGTGTTGGCAAACGCTGGTGGATGTTTTTAGTCTTTGACGAGCAGGTTAATGAGTCAGCAAAAATTTCAAAGCCTACAAAAGAATAAATCAGGATTTTTAAAATATATGACTTTTCCCCCTTATCTCCTCTAGTCTGGGACAGTTCTTACTATTTTTAAACGCCTCAGTCTGAAAACACTTCACGTAGAGCGGAGCGAGGTGAAAGGGGCAGATGCGGGTCATCTGGTCCTTAATCTTTTCAAATATTTGGGATGTTTAGCTTGAGCTTTGCTGCACTGCCGGATGAGTGGGATTTGTGCGGTTTTGAGAACTGTTATATTGACTCTGTTATGCTGACAACTGTGCTGGAAGGGACACAAGAGCTCGCTGTTTAAAGCTACAAACATTTCCAGAACTGAAATTGATTTTTAACCCTCTTACTGAATGTTTCCTGTGGAGCCATCATTCATTCATTCATGTTTATGGTAGCATTTAAATTATAGCACTCCATGTGTTGAGAAGGTTTACAGGGTAAAGAAATCATCTGCAGCTAGAACAGAAGACTGTACTTGTCACTTGTTTACATTGATTTGTTAGTATTTTTGGCTAACACTCTTAAAGTAAGAGATGAACCATCTATCCTCAGCTCTGAGCCTGACTTCAGTTTACTTTGCTGGTTAATGGGGTCAGAGCTCATGCTTGATGACTATATTCACAGTCACACTGTGGGTGCTAACATAATTCTACAGCTTCATATTCTGATTCACTGGATGTAACAGCAAAAGATTGATGATGGAACGGACTAGAACAGAAATACAAATTAGGAAACTGCTACACAGTTAATCAGCTGGTGAGGATGCTACCTTTGCTAATTTACCTGTTATGTGTAAGTTTCTGTAGATGTTGCCAGTTAGTAAATAGGGGAGAGTGGGGTAAGATGAGCCATTTTTCATATTTCAGATCACTACATCAAGGCAATCATAGTTTTGTCTCTAACTTGTGTACTTGCATATATTTCAAGATTTTGTGTATCCCTGCAAACCAACAGAATGAGTGTAAATCCTATGGTCAACTTACCCCGTGTATGGGGTATGTTGACCATAGGAGCGGAGTAAGTTGAGCCGTATCCCTACTATCCCCCCACTCTCCACCCCAGCCCTCCCTCACCTTCTCTCTCCCTAAATAACAGTCACTTCTTCACATTCATGTGTATTTTTATCTATTATACTCTATTCAACTGGTACAATTATTATTGTTTTTTTTATTATTATTGCATGTAACTGCTAAAAAGCTGTTTTGTAAAAAAGACATTTTAACATGAGACTGTCTTTAAGTGATTCAGAACATTCACAGCTGTATATCTGAAAAGAAAAAGCAAGACATTTCAACAATCTGAACTGAAACTCTGATCCTCTCATCAGACTCCTTTACTTTCTCAGTTGAGCCACTCGCTCAACTTAATCCTAGCCAAATGGTTCAACTTACCCCAGAACTACTAATATGACTTTGATAGTCCTCTAAAATGTTGGACTTTTATGTTGTAGCTCATAGATACCACAATGAAACAAATTTAAAATGATCTTTTTTTGGTGTGAACACAGTTCTAATCAAACTTATGACAGACTAAATTCACTTTCAAGGGTGAAAAATGTTTTTTTGGAAATAAATGTCGAACCCCTTCACCCATGTGCTCCATGAATTGATGCCCATCTCCTAAATATTTGGTCACATGATTTTACCATTTCCAAGCAAAAGGAGGTGGCTTAACTTACCCTTTGGCTAACTTACACCACTCTCCCCTAAGTATATTGTTTTCAAAACAATTAGAAGTCAGCAGAAAACAACCCATAATTGTGTGTAATACCTACTGTAAGATGGCTACAGTTAGCAACATCTGCTAGCAATGTTATTGTGTAAAATCAGGATTTTGAAAGGAAAACTTTTAAAAATTTAACCTGAAATGTTGTGTGCAAGACCCTGTAGTGTCTGGATTACCTGATGTGCACTGGTCAGTTGGAAAGCTAAGATAGTCAGATGCTGTTCTGTGGGCAGCAGGGCAGAGGTAGATAGTATCATAGTGGACTGACCTTCAGAGAGGATCCTCGAGGGCTGACACACTTGAAGGGTCCGCCCTCTCCATCCACACTGTCTTCCACCTTCTGTCTCTTCTCGGCTGCCTCTGCTCTCCTCCTCTCAATCTCCTCCTTCATCTTCCTCTTCTCCTCCTGAGATGGGTAGATATGTTTGTTTAGAGCTCAGACAGTTTAGTTCAATCACACAACCTTAAAAAAAGTGACTTTTCTCTAAGCTCAACCTTTGTAGTTGGTACGAAACCTTCTGAAAGTTCAACTGGAGCAAATGTAGATGGTGTTGTATTGTACCAGCACATCAAACTGGATATTGCTGCTCATGCTAAATGCCTATTACTCTTGTATGTTCTCTTAAAGGGATACTCCGGCTTAAAATTAATTTAGGGTCAAACACACCGTAACACTGAGTTAGACATCCTCTCGAGAGATGAATGTTGCTGACCACTTGCTTCTCTAGTTACACCAACTTTAGTAGCGACCGCAGGATAGCAATACACAGCGGTCTGAGGAGCCATAAACAAACCTCAACCAAAACGCCACTCTATAGCCACAAATAATGCTCAGAACAGCACCTAACTTCATCAACAGTACATATAGGGTCCCAGCCACAGCACTAGCCACCAAACATCTTTTTAACTTTGCCTGATTTCTTAAGCAAAGAGACTAAACACAACTCACCTACTCTCTTCCAGCAGCCGCTTGTTTGTAGCAAGACCTCGGGTCAGTCCATTACGGGCTACTGCGGGGTGACGCAGCTCAAGGAAGAACATTTATGATAATTTCTTTATTATTTCCTTGAAGTAATAATCATCATATCAATCATTTTGTACTGCAGACGTAGTTCTTCTGCCTTAGCGTCTCAGTCTGATTGCATTTCCATAAAGAAATGATCATAAATGTTCTTCCTTGAGCTGCGTCACCCCGCAGTAGCCCGTAATGGACTGACCCAAGGTCTCGCTACAAACAAGCGGCTGCTGGAAGAGAGTAGGTGAGTTGTGTTTAGTCTCTTTGTTAAAGAAATTAGGCAAAGCTAAAAAGATGTTTGGTGGCTAGTACTATGGCTGGGACACTATATGTACTGTTAATGAGGTTAGGTGCTGTTCTGAGCATTATTTGTTGCTATAGAGTGGCGTTTTGGTTGAGGTTTGTTTATGGCTCCTCAGACCGCTGTGTATTGCTATCCTGCGGTGGTTACTAAAGTCTGTATAACTAGAGAGGCAAGCGGTCGGCAACATTCATCTCTAACTCGGTGTTACGGTGTGTTTGACCCTAAATTAATTTTGGGCTGGAATATCCCTTCAACAAACCTATATTCCTGGAAAAGGCCTAAAACCCACTTTCTGTTCACCAGTGGCTCAAACTGGGACCAACTAACAAACCCAGATGTATAAAGAGCAGAAACAAAATTGAAGTCTAAAGTTAGACCAGGAACAATAGAAACGTTCGTATTGTCATGGGTTATTGTAACAGACAACCAACAATCAGGGGTTCAGCCAACCAGACAACAGATATGTGCCACTTCCTAATTGATTTACTTAATGCACTCACTGGAGCCTGTCAAAGACTAATTCAATTACTCAGAGCAAATCCTTATTTACAATGACCGTATGCCTCCTGAATAAAAGCCATACTGGAGAGCTTGAGACCTGTAGACTATCAACAGTTTTTCTGAACAATTAATAAATGAATCGTTTGTACTGTATTCAGAAGAGGAATGGTACTTGGCAGTATATCAGCCCTCTCCAGCAGCCTTGTCTTGGTTAATTAGTCTTTCTGTATCTCTGGGCCATCTTTTAATTACCAACCAAAAGGCCTCATTAACATCACACAAGAGAAGAAGAACAGGGGCAGATAGCGAGAGACGGGCTGCCATAGTCTGAGCCAAGATCAACAAAGACGACCAGTCGGGGTAATAGTGAGAATTCGGGGACTGGGAGAAGAGGGATGAAAGGAAAAATGAACTGCACTGTGTGGCTGAATACAGATGTGACAGCAGTGGAGGAAGAGGTTATCACGTTAGAGATACAAAAGCAGTGGGGTTGGAATAAGAGGAGGAAGAGGGACCGGCATACACAAGTTACTGGAGGGGACCTGAATGCATGGGGTCATGATAAGAGTGAAGTATGGATAGATAAAGGCCCCATAGAGTGAGCCTGACGAATGGCTTTCAGACTCACAGCTGAGGAGGCTAAACCAACATTACATGGAGAGAAAAACAATGAAAAAACAATATGGGAAGTGAAGTTCAAAAGACTGACTCAGAAAAACGAAAGAGACCAGCGAGTTAGACGAAATACACACCACTCTGAAAGCTATACCATAAGATACTCCTTCAGCTGTTCCTCCTTTCTAGGTAAACCAAAGAGTTGAGGGTTATTTCCAGTGTGAGATGAGGTTATTACTCAGAGATTCAGATGTTATGATGCTATGCCATGCAGCCACAATATTACACATTTGCTGGTTTGTACTCTGCAGAATAAATTCACCAAAAATACAATGACTGCCACTAAAAATGCTGCTGTGCACACCTTTCCACACCGTGGCTGATGGTTACTGCAGTATAAGAACATTGAAACTTCTCTGTATTCTACTTCATATGCTTCACTGTTTCCTTCTTCAGACTTTGTGCTGCTATGTATGCTACAGCTACACCAACATAACTTTCTACAACATATTTCACATCAGAAGGTGCTTTTTGACTGCAGGAATTTTCTCCAGGAACTAGGGGGCTTTTGAGGAACTGTGTGCAGGAACAAGAGTTGGTTCTGGGGTAAAAGATCTACCCATTAAAAAGCCCCTACTCAGGGGGTGGTACTTTAATATCCCAGGGACTTAAGGAGGCAGGATCTTACGATTTCAGACATTTGATTATATTGTAGATAATAATGTTATCTTATCAATAAGATTATGTATAAATATGAGTTTCTGATGCTGTTGATGTTCATTTTTTCATCTAAGGGATGCTTTTGGGCATTATAATAGTTTTAGGGGTTAGTATCATCAGGAAACAATTCTAGTTACAATTTAAGCTTGTATATAATTTACACAAATGTGATTTGTGACACCTTTTTATGAATAAAAATTCAGCTGAGACTCAAGAGATGCAAGCTGCACTGGTGACTTTATTTCCAGATACCTTCCCTGGATGTCACTGACTTACACTGGTTTGTTTGTTTTTACCCTGAACTTTAGGACCTCCACAGATAATAGTGGACCACAGGAACCACTTAGGTCCTTGAAGAGAAGTCCCTGGAGTAAAAAGTTCTTGGTACTTTAGATGGAAAGGCACATTTACATTGTACCAACCACCACTCTGCACTCTCTGCTGGCTGTAAACTGCTCTGTAAGCTGTCTAGAGGGGTAGCATGGCCCCTTTAAAATCTGCTAAGTCACCCTACGTACAACCCCCAAAACTAAAACTACATTTAACTATTTATAGCCTGGTCAAGAGCAGGACATGTGCGTCATCATCAAAAGAGCAATTTCTTTTTTTGGTTATTGTTGATGTTGCTTGTTCCTACACAAACACACTGCCAATTACCATAATGTATTTTTGACAGTAAATATGGAAAGAGTTTGCCTTTAAGATAGATCTGAATACACTCTGTCATATATCTGTCATGATGCGTCTTTTTAGTTGTTTTGAGTCCTAGATTTATGTGTCCTTACTTCACTTTGAAGCACACAAAGCTCACAGGCCTTTACTCTGGTTCCTGTTGCTTGTCAGCCTCCACTTTGTGAGTGATCTACATGCCTTTCAGCACAATAAAGTGTTTGAACCCTGATGACGCACACCAGCTTTACTAAAGTTATTGAAACGGGAAAGAAACATTTGTGTGTCAATAATCGCAGGCCTCACAGACACAAATCTGGGACACCATAAAAGTGGGCATGTCTCCTGTCAACACCTGCTGTCAAATGCCAGTCATTTACTACCACTAGAGACCAACTCCTGAATGTATTTTACACAAATATGCCCACTGACAGTTAAAAGCCTTTAAAAATACACTTATTTACCTAAATGTTTACGTCCATTTTTTTGCATTTCATTTTGACTTTAAGAACAAAAATTAAGTAGAAATGGGATGACCGAGACAAGAGGGACACACAAGGCATCAGCTGAACCAGTTAAACAGCATCCACCGTGCCGCTCACTCCCACCTCCTCTCTGGCTTTCCTCTCCGTCTCCTCTTGCTTCCTCTGTTTCTCCTCTTCCTCAAGCACCTTCCTCCTTTCTTCCCTCTTCTTCTTCAGCTCCTCCAGCTCGACCTCAGCCTCCTGCTGCTTCTGCCTCATCTTCTCAAACTCCTCACTCTCTGCATCATCGCGGCGGCGCTTGAGCTCCTCCAGCTTGCGCTCAGCTTCCAGGCGGGCGGCGTCGTCCTGCTCGTCACTGGCGGACACCTCAGGGGAACGAACACTGCCGCGACTGAAACAGACGCACAGACAACAGGTCAGGAAACCAAATCTGAGGGGCGTAGAGCTGCTTGACGTACAGGTTCATGCTTGACATTTGATACAGACTGAATATTTAAACACACACTTGCAGCATTTGTTTTCTTCATGGACAAGCAAACACTCAAAGACAGGCAAAAACACATTCAAACATCAGCAGTCACCTGAGCAGAGATACTGTTACAACACGTCTCAGGTTTCTTTCTGTGGGGATTAACTGTAGGTGAACCAAAACACATGAGTGCCCAGACGCGGTTGACTGCTGAGCAGAACCAAATCATTTGCTGGAAATCTAAATCAGACATGATTTTCAATCATTTTGCAGATACCTAAGGCAGCGCTGCAAGGCTCCTATATGTGAGTCAGCTGTTTGACAGACATTAAATACCGAGACTGGAACATGAATCACTGTCGGTCTGGTGTAACAGCGCATTAAATATGAAGGATTCACTTCAACAGTTTTGTAAGTTGATCAAGCTTTCAAACATATAATCTACTTTAACAGTTTTTAAATGAATTTTTTTTAAGCCATGAACATTATTGATGTCAAACTATCAAAATCAGTGCCTTCTTCTAGATGCTTGTTATGGAAACAGGTTGTTAGTAACTGGATCTTCACAGCTTTCCAAGAACAATAAGAAAGTGTACTTTCCACAACACAATTAAGGTAATCTGATATCCCAATATAACTTTCATGAATAGATTTGAAACATTCATGAAGTGTGAAAACTATACTTTGTTTTCCATCTTTACTTTACTTGTATTGATTGAATACGAGGGTGAGAAAATGCTGTTTGAAATGATATGAGACATAAGTGAATCATTAAAAACATGGGTTCATGTCGCTTATATTCTTACTATTTCTGAGAGGAATTGTTTGGTTTTATACTTTTAACTTCTTCTCTAAATTTATTAAAGATGCTGTTTTATACGAGGACAGGCTCTCCCCACTCTGGCCTCGGTGGAAACCATGATGTCACAGGATGCGTGTCAGCGTGTTTGCGTACCTGGGGGTCCTCTCAGGTTTCCTGTGCTGTTTGGGAGTCACCTCCTCATGCAGCCCTCCATTCTGCTTTCTCTGCTCATCCCTGGCCCCGCCTCTCTCCTCCACCTGCACAGAAACAACCACGGGGGACGGTGAACAGAAGTGCCATTGGCGGGTAGAGGTGGGCGGAGTCTGCCATGTGACATCACAAGTGGTCAAATGACAAGGAGCAAGCGAGGACACCCCACACAAAATAACACAGGGCATCCTATAACACAGTGTCCACTCCAGAATTACTGCTGAGACAGGATTATCTAACGTGTGATCACCATGGGTGTGTCTGCAGCCAGACTCTGTCTCTGACTGTACCATCATCAAAAACACACTGCAACTTAAATTATAATCAGAGTGTGTTTAAAGTCAGTACATGCTCTGAGTCACACTTAGTTTATTATTTATGAACATGCAGCAAGCAGTCAAAATCTGCATGTAGTACTGTTCTCTCACTGTTGATGCAACAGGCTAGTGGGACCTTTTCAGCACTAATGATCATAATTTACTGTAATTATGTCTTCACAATGACTTCAGTCTGAACAGGCACAAGAATGCTCCAAAACAGGTCAATGTCAAATTGATGCAGAGAAATAAGAGCAGTGTTTGTTTGATTCAGCTGTCTACACAAACTTTAGGACTTTTTCAACCAAAGCTTAAAGATCTCTATCGTTAAAAAAAGGTTCAGTTAACCTTGACTGTCTGAAACAAAAAAAGGCAGATTATTCTGTTTGTTTGAACAAATGCTTGGCAAGAAAGAAAAGGGGGAAAGTATTTACTTCTGTCATGTAAAAGAGAGTTTATAGGGCTAACTGGTTAAAATAAAAACATTTATTTAAAAAAAACAAAAAAACAATAAATATATCATTATAATTTCATAGATTTATTGCAACTTTGAAAACCATAGACTGTATATAGAATGGATGCTGTCTGCCTCCTTGCTGAGTGTAACCACTCTGAGAACAGCACCCTCTGGTGACGAGCTGCAGTATAGGTCATAAATCCCGCCTCCTTCAGCAAAGCTTATGGAGCAAAGTTTTGAAAATTTATTACACAGAATAGAAATTTTTTCTCCCCCCTGCTTGCAATGTTGACATGTAACTACTGTAAGACTGGTTTGTATTCAAGTCCTCTTTTTTCTGTGCAGCTCCATTTTTAAAAGTTATAAGGGGGTACGAAGATTGCGGAGCTCACCCAGGGGATACACTGTTTGAGCCGAGTGCCATCATAGCGACTCTCCCGCCAAATGCGTACAATGTTACTGGGCAAGTGGTGAAGTGTGTACAACGCTACTGCGCAATGTTGGTTTCAGGAAATAAAGAAAAATCGCAGAAATACCGAGAGCAATCCGGCTTCAAATCTGTATACTGGCGGAAGACTAAACCAAGTTGTCCATAGTGTATACAGTCTATGTTGGAAACATAAAAGTTTTAGTTCATCAAGCCATGAAATACCCCAAAATCCAAGTCTCAATCAAAATTAAATGTCATGGCTTAGAATTTAATAGCAAATAATTAGTTTGAGAATTTTTCAGTTTTTTTGTCGAAGAAAGGTAGTTTTTTTTATTCAAGTTTAGGCTCCCTTGTATAAGATATGGCATAAATGCTAAAAACCTATAGAAATGGTGCAAATGTAACATGTAATATTTGAAGTTTATTAAAAGATTGGCAGCATTTGGTTATTTTTAACTGGCGTTTGGTTGTCTAAGTTTGAGGGTTAAAAATATTAACCCCCACATCCAGCACTAGTTTAAATCCAAGGCTCAGTGGACTTTTTTTATCTTGCCTTGCTGCTTAACACACATATCCTTTTCAAAAAAATTCTGATGTCTCAGCTGCAGTGAATATTTGGAGTGGAGTCAGTGTCATAAGTGCTCTCATAGCTTAAGTGGTGGGCATGCAGAAAAATGCTGTGACCACTCTGTGAGGCATAGCATGAACCTCATTAACAATCTGACTGCATGGCTGCAACCACACCTTGTAAAACGCAGGCTCAGTTACTGTCAGTTTGCAAATGGTGCGAGTCACACTGTGACAACAAGAAGTGTGGGTAATTTCAGCGTCTGGCTCCAACATTAACATTAAAATACCTTTTGACCAACATGAGATCAAAAGGTAAATCTGTGGACCTCTTTATAAAGATCCATCCGGACACTGAAGTTAACCAGAGATCTTTTCTGTGCTGTGCATCACACCTCTACTGAAATTCTTACCACATGTTTGATACCTCATTATCCTCTGAGTGCAGTATCTCAGATACCTCATTGTCCTCTTCACTCTCATTTCTGAGTGCCATTGACTTGTTCTCTGAAGAATAATCTACATAATTATCCTCAGGTACCTCTCCAGCCTCCTCTGATGCTACTGCATCCTCCTCGGCCTCTGAATTAGCTGACTTGGCCAGGTTTGAACTCTCACTGACTACTGAGTATGTTTCTTCTTCAGTGTTTTCCTATGAGAAAGGTTTACAGCAGGTCTTAGAAGGAAAGATCAGTGAAAGGCTGCAGGACGTGTTTAAGAAGTCAGTAAATCAATAACCATACCTTTGTTTCAGTTTTTGCTTCTTCAGTTGATTCCTACAGAAACAAGCATCAGTTTGCAGGAATTGTCAGTGTGCAGATTTAAAGACAGTCAGCAGACATTGACTGATGACTCACCTTATCTCTCGAATAAGACCTCCTCGGTTTCTCCTCCTCCTCCTCCTCCTCCACTTCCTCTTGTTGCTCCTCCTCTTCCTCTACACCCTCATCTGCTTGCTCTTCAACTTCAGGAGCAGCCTCCTCTTCCACCCTGGGCTCCTCGTGCTCTTTCTCTCTCCTCGAGCTGTACCTCTCCGTTTTCTCCTCTTCCTCTTCTTGGTCACGGTAACGACCTCTGCGCCAGGAGGAAGGCCTCTCCTCCTCAGAGTTGTTTTTCTCCATGGAGACGCTGATGTTGCTCTCTGTGGTCGTGGATTCCTGCCTCTGCCTCTCCAGCGCCTCTTTCATGCGCTTCTGTCGTCTCTCCTCACGCTTGGCCATGCGCTCCTGCAAGGCCTGGTCCTCTTCGTCTCCGTCACCACCTCCTCCGTAAGAGCTGCTCACAGTTTCTGTCACACTGAAGAGAGAGAAAGGGGAAGACCACTTCAGTTGTGTGCTCTTTTGTCACTATGAATGGAGCCTTGAGTTCAGGGCAGCAGACATCAGCTGGTGAGAAAATGTGGGCAGAGACACTGCGCACAATATTTTCTGCTGTTACCACTGGAATGTGCTCGATAAAGACCTTTAAAACCCAACAGTTTCATGAATTTGTAGTGGCAGGAGAAGTCAGACAAGACATTTCAAACATGGGTCAGGTCTGCATTTGAGGACTTGGTTAAAAAATGGAAAAAAAGACTAAATGTCAGTTCCCTTCAGTGAAACCAACAACAGAGCTCCTTTAGTCTAAAAAGCCCACGTCTTTAAATATAAACAAATGTACTACCAGTTAAACTATAATATTAAAATAAATGTTGAATGAAGTTTACAAAGTTTATTATATTAGAGGGATATTCCGGTGTAAAATTAAGTGAGGGTCAAACACACTGTAACACCGACTGCTCATTTCTCTTTATGATCATTTCTTCATGGAAATGCAATCAGACCGAAACACTAAGGTAGAAGAACTACTGCGTCTGCAGTGCAAAATGATTAATATGATGATTATTACTTCAAGGAAATTATAAAGAAATGATCATAAATGTTCTTCCTTGAGCTGCGGCACCCCACTGCAGTAGATGAACTCACTCTGAGGTCTACGTACAAACAAGCGGCTGCTGAAAGAGAGTGGGTGAGTTGTGTTTAGTCTCTTTTTTAAAGAAATCAGTCAAAGTTAAAAAGATGTTTGGTGGCTAGTGCTATGGCTAGGACCCTATATGTACTGTAAATGAAGTTAGGTGCTGTTCTGAACATTATTTGTGGCTATAGAGTGGCGTTTTGGTTGAGTGCGTGGCTCTCTGTATTGCTATCGTGCAGTCATTACTAAAGTTGGTATAACTAGAAAAGCAAGCGGTTGGCAACATTGGTCGGTGTGCTTGACCCTAAATTAATTTTACGCCGGAATATCCCTTTAAGTGAAACCAACAACAGAGCTCCTTCAGTCTAAAAAGCCCGCCTCCTTCCATATGAATAAATGTACTGCCAGTTAAACTACAATAGTTAAATACATTTTGAATGAAGTTTACAAAGCTGATTATATGAACATGCATGGAATAGTTGAGTTGCACTCATAGCTTTATGCTGTGATTTAATCAGACTGCTGTGTTTGTCCCAGTTTGCACAACTCTAATTATTGACTGAAGCTGCTATGGTAAGTGGACACACGCCTACTTTTAGCTGGGTGCTATCAGTTAGTCTCCTTGTTGACCTGTTTCAGATAAAAAAAAATAGACAAAATGTGTCAGCGAGAGGCTAACAGGAAGTATGTCAAAAGATTAAAACACTGTCACTTTTACAGCTCTGCACAGTTTGTTTGTGATAAGAAAGTTTTTGGGGCCAGACTGAAGTGGACTCGAGGACTTCGAGTTTCTTGAACTTCTGCATTGGCTTCATTTTTCAACACTGGGTGTCACTGCTCAGAAAAAAAACATGACGATCATTAATGCGAGAGTCTCCAAGCTCTCGATTACTGTGAGTGTCTATTTCTCAAACTCAAAAAGCTCTTCTGTGTTTCTCTGAAGGATATTTGCCATTTGTCTAAGTTAGATGTGTACTTTGGACGTCATTACTGTAGCATAACTGTGGCCTTATAAGCTAATTTGAACCACCTAGACTCTGGCTCCAAACACCCGCGCAAGATGTCCTCTTCGCATGAAGTGATTTGGCTTCACATATGTGCAAGATGAGAGGGTGGAGATATGCCGTCCATCTTAATATACAGCCAATCAGCACATTTACATGATGTTAAGAAAATGTATGCGTTTGTGTGACTGAAGTTGGACTTTAAAATCATGTTGGCATCTTAGTCCAACAGAAAACACATCAAGTTAGATTTTCATACTTTGACTCATAAGTCGAACAGCATAACAGATGCCTTTCAGGAGGGCAGACAAGACAAAGGGAAGTATGACACTGGTTAGCCTCTTTGTAACTTCTATGGTGATGTAGTAGGTCAGCCAGGAGACAACCCAGTAACTAGTGACTAGCTGGAAGAGGGTAAATTTCCACCTTGTTGAGGTGAGGTTGAGGTGGACACACTTTAGTCGATACATTGGTTCCTGCCTTGAGCTTGTGGGTCAAGGACAGCAGTTCATTGAAACTACCTAACAGAGCTGCAGCTGGACTTCACTGTGCATGTAAAGGTACTGAACAGCGAGGACCAACAGCTCTGCAGGAAGACTGCTGAAGGAGCAGAAACTTCATACTTTGACAAGGAAATAAGAGTGAAGATAAAATTGCCAAAGACACTCGGTTGGATAAGATCTGACATGGAACAGAATAAAATATGACAGTAAAGACAGAATTCCCACAACTTATCTAAAACACATGCCAAGTGAAGTTTCTCTGAGAGCCCAGCAGAAGTTTCAGTCAGTCAGTTAAAAAGGAAATCAAAGTCCTGGCTTCAACTTGCACACGGCTCTCCCAGCTGCAAAACAAACTGAATTGAATCCCATGAAAGGAAATCTAAGTTTACACAGAGAAGCTGCCATATTATTGTCAGCTCTTTAGCCAGTATGTGGAGATGACAGTCTATTAGCTTTATTGACAGGTCTACACCACAGATATTCTTTAAAATAAACTAATGGTCAGAGCTTCAAATAAACACACAGTCAGTCAAATTCCACTTGGATTGGAGACTGAAGGAAATTTTGTATCTTTGACTCAATAGCTCTTATCTTTGCCAAGTTTCATGACAATCAATCCAACAGTTGTTGAGACATTTCAGCACAAACCTCAAATATGAACCTCATGGCTGAGCTATAATAAAAGTCGGGGAATGACTGAACTTTGAATTAAATTTAATTAAATCTTAACCAAAGTGATGGACGAACTGTCCAACTGAATGACTGACAGCACAGTCTGTGTCTCTTTCTGTCCATCCAATACCAACTGTACTTTTGGCTTCAGCTGTGCTTTTGTCTACTTCCAAATATCATGACTCATAATATCCTGACCCAGAAGTCTGGCAAACATTATTGTTGTACATCTAAACAAACAACAATGGCTGGGTAACACTCAGTCCTGCCTCAGCATCCTCCTGCACAATCCCCTTGTTGTTTGACGTGCCCAGGATTTATCTCTGAGCTCATAGAGAAACATTCACGACCACAAAGCAGTGTCTGTACTCCTAGATACCAGAGCAGCCCACTGCCTCACCGAGGCCATTGATCTCACAGCCCAAAACTGTGTGAAAAATGGGTATTGAGCACCTTTGATATGATGGCAGTCTTTGTGATGGACGGGTATGAGCTCATGAGTGGGCTGCCACAGTGACAGCTGAGACTGGGTAGAATATGAGGTTCATTTTTTTGCATTTGTTGACCAACATGTACTTGAAATGATGGCTTGAAAGTCATTCCATTTAATTTCATCACTCAACACTTGAAATATTACAATACTGTGTCAGCATAACTATGTACAGCAGGCCTGTCAAGTTAGAGATTTATTCATATCATGCATGGGTATACATCTGGCTCTAATATCTAAGATCTTAAGATTTTGAAGAGGACTATTTTAGCCTTTGAAACCCACAAGAGCAAAAGTGTAGGGGGCACAGTTTCTTTTACTGTGACAATTTCTGCTGATGTCCAGCTAGGCTAGTTAGCTCGCTATTTTCAGTAGATTGAGCATTTCGCAATGAGCCTTTTAACATCTGACTACATTAGAGGGTTGAAAAGAAAGATTACTTTCACTGCTTTACTACTACTTTAACTACAACTCTGCATAGTGTGGATGCTCTCCATCTTGGCGTTTACTCCTTCATTTGATTTGATGAATATATTTGTTAACATATTTATGACACAACCCTTCATCAGTGACGTTACATTAAATCTGAGGAGAGGTTAACCTTTGTCAGAATTTTCTACTGCACAGTAATATGAGAAAACATACCACTGGAAAAAATGAGTAAGTCTGTTTGCTAAGAAGCCAAACACTGTTAGGTCACAATAACTTTGTGAGTCAGTCTTTAGCTTTATCCAACATCTACAGCCATCAAGTAAAGAAAACCATATAAAGGCTCCAGACTTAGGAGTTCAAAAAAAGTGGATCAAACTTTAAGTGTGACGATTAAAAAGCAGGGGTGGGCCGAGCTAAAACCCTTAAAACACACATGGCAACAAGAATTGAAAGTTAAGCTAAAGGTGAATAGATAAAGTGATCATTTTCTGGCTTTACCAAATTCTCCCCAACTTAACAATATACTGTAACTGCTTTTGCGCTCGAGGCTTTTAACTAATTTGGGTGAAATGTAGAGCTGTCCTGACAGGGAAAGGTGCTCACAGGGTTTATTTAGTAAAGATGTTGAATCCTCTCAGCTGTGCAGGAACTGACAGTATGACACAGACCACAGCTCCTCTTCCTTCCTCCTCCCTGTAAGCAGATTATTTGTCAAAGACAGGTCCTGTGTAGTTATTTATGCGTTACCTGTGGCTGTTGGTCATGACCAGACTGTCTGGCTGTCCGCTGTGCTCCTCGCTCTCCCTGTTCATCAGCCTCTCCTGGCGTGCCCTGCGCCTCCTCTCGCGGGCCGCCTCCTCTTCATCATCATCATTTCTCGCCAACCTGAGGGAGACAAAGAGGGGTGAAAAAAATGAAGGCACAAAGGGAGAGATTTTTCTTTTTTCCCCTTTATTTTAAAGCACTTTTTTCTCTCTGCACTTCCTGAATTCAGCCTTATAGTCAGAAACTTCAGAGTGAATCATTCTTTAAACTGCACTGTAATCACCACAGTTACCAAATCTCAAGGATTTGTCTGCAGTTCCTCTTTTTTCCTCGCCTCTATCAAGCTGACCTGTCAGCTGTGCAACAACCAATACTTCTTATCGTGGCTGCAGTTTTCATGAGCTGATAAAAACTCGGTCTGCAGACATGGCTTGGCAGAGAAATCGTGCTTGTATTGGTCTGGTCAGTGTTAGAAGAGAGCGAACTGCAGAGATGTGAGTGTATGAGTGAGGAAAGTTTATATTTCTACAAGGGAATTTATTGCTACAAAAAAAATCAGAAATCACATCTTTCTTGAGTTAACAAACTGCAGTAAAAAAATAACTCCAGTCAAAACTACTTAGCAGAATTCGGTGCTGACATATGTGGCTTTGTTTAAAAGAATCTGTGTCCTAATTTAATAAAAGTTAACACAAAAACATCCATTTTAACACTAATATCAGTTCCTTGCTAGATTTGATATTTTCAGAAATTCTCCTTTATACTTACAAGCAAGTATGTCTAAGTTTAGTGAGCCGATACCGAGTGTGACATAAAACAGGGTTAGCTTGTTTTAGCAGAAAAATTTAGAGCAGAGGAGATTAGCCGACGATGACTCTGCCCAAAGCTGTGTTTTCATCAGGCAGAGGCGGGCCAGCTGCTTTCCACTTATCTTCATGCTACGCTAAGCAAAACAGCTGCTTGCTAAAATAAGTATTTACTTCTTCTTATCTACTCCTTATCTATATTTAGCTGGAAACTAAAAGCATATTTTAAAAAAAGGCTGCAGCTCTTTCTGAAAAGATGTGAGTTATTGTATCCAGAACAAAACAAGTACCACATTATTTAAGATGCAAATGAAAGGAAGTATCTTTATGGTTTTTTGCTCTATCGTCTCTCTGAAGTGGAGCCACAGCGTTGTCTTGTTACAGTCGGATAAAGTAGGTGTAGCCAATAAGGCGTCATGCAGGCCTGCAGATCACTATTTTAAAGTGAATGAACTGTTACAGATCAGTGGATCAATCAGAGAAGCTGTCCTCAACCACTGAGTCATGGGTTTAGACCACAATCGTGTAGAGGCAGCATTTACCTTGAGTCTCAAAGGGGACATTTTACTGCATTCATCTGACTCCCAAATTAAGACACTGGTAAGAATAACTTCACATTGATAAAAACTTGAAGTCTTTAAAATGCAAAATAAGTCACTTAATTGAGGTCATAAAAATCAATCACGCAACAGCCTTAAAAAAACAATTCAAACAGTGAGCTTTTTGTTTTTATTAGTATATTTTTCTTCATACTTTGGCAAACTTATACAGCAGATCGTACGTGATGTAATGTCTAGGAATTCGTTTTCAGCATTTAACCCTGACAATTTTGGATGTCCTTTCACTTCTTTTACTTCTCCTCTGGTCTTTTTTTCATCACCCTGCTCTTAACAGGGATAAATCAATTGTGAAGAAAAACCCAAAACAACGCCAAGATCTACAAACCGCCCGTACACTTAAAGAGCACAATCCAAAGCAGACGTGCGGTGGATTATAAACGTCTTTATTAAATGCAGTGGTTTATGTTGAGGGTGCGGCTCAACACAGCTCCATTGTTCACATTGGCGGGTAAGCTACTGTACATTTAAGTGCTTAAATTTGACTGAAAGTAACATGTCGAGGCTTTTCTCTGGGGTCGGTCTGGAGGCAGCCTCAGGAAAGTCCAAATGAAGAAGAAACAACATCAGCAACAACAAGGGCTGACCACTCTATACTACCAGCAGTCATTTTCCAGAATGATTTTCAGGCCCCATGAGATCTATAAACTCAGCTCCTACATGATCTGTGTTGCCCCAGCTGACCTTGACACTCCCTCTGCTAACCACGCGCTCAGCTACCTCACATCACAGCGCTGCCTTTGAGGTCAGCCAGTGAAACATGCTATTGCATGCTAATTGCAACATGTGTGGTGAGCAGAGCTGGAGCTGCTTGGGTTTATGTTAGTTTTTACAGCTTGTGAACAACAGTTTCCTTCTTCCTTTCCCTCCTATCTGTGGTCTCCCACACCTCCCTTCACTCTCTCTCTCTCTCAGATGAGGATTGTTTCATAACAGAGCAGATTAATCTGTCAACGCCCAAGCTGAACTTGTGGGACACTGACATCAGTGTCGTCAGCCAATGCTTCACATTTGCTTTGTACACTTAGCAGAGAAAAGTCCGGGTCTTAAAAGGCAGAAAATGTGTCCAACTGAAATTAATTAGACTCTTTTTAGCTTTAAAGTCAGCCAATCTCACTATTTCTTAACACAAGCTGCTAAAGCCACAAGTTAAATGACAGCGGTTAACGGTAAAATGTAGCACATCAACCCCAACTGGAGGAGAGTCATAAAGTTAGCACACTGACTCATCAATAAAATCTATCTTGAGGCGGCTAACATGCATAGCATTAGCAAGAATGAATTACTGTTCATTCCCAATTGATGCTTGAGTAAAAAATCACTGTTAGTCTAAACCAGGGGTTCTCAAATCTAGTCCTCGAGCCCCCCCCCGTCCAGCGTGTTTTGGATGTTTCCCTGCTCCAACACACCTGATTCAAATGATCAGCTCGTTATCAAGCTCTGTAATGGCTTAATAACGAGCTGATCATTTGAATCAGGTGTGTTGAAGCAGGGAAACATCCAAAACATGCAAGTGGGGGGGCGCCTTGAGGACAGGACTTGAGAACCACTGAACTAAAGAGTGAAAAAGACATGTATAGCCTACCAACCCCTCTTTTGTCTCTAAGTCAAATGATCTGACTTCATGCTCACTGTAGTTACAGTTTCTGGACATCTATGTGGAGAAACTAAGCATCTATGCCAAAGATGAACCAAAAAGTTCACATCTCTGAATGCTCACAGTTTTTGTGTGTTTATGCTAATTGAATACTGGGAATTTTCAGAAGGTTCGGTCCTGCCAGCAGCAGCAAGGACCTGAAATGTCTCCGTACAAGGGGTGAGCTGTCGTAAACAAGATAAACAACTACATACTCACAGCCAGGAGTGGGCACAAAATCTAACTCTACTAACTAATGGATTAACTCTGGTAACTGTTAATCTGTAAACAAAAATGTTCCTTTTAAATAATAACTTAATTTGCCTTTAAAATAAACTGAAGCTAAATTGAAGGTTAAAACCTGTTGCAGGTTTGGATTATTTCAAATCTACAAATGCTGTGTGATCCTGCTCAAGTTGTCCATGATCCATCTTACCAGTCAGGAGATGTGTCCTTACTGGTACTGATGGGGATTCAGGCTCTTTTAGCGACCCAGATCATCTGGCTCTGTATGAACCAGCTCTACTGGCACCCAAACAACAACTCTTTATTGAACCATTTGCATACAGGAATCAGCCAATACAGCTAAGTCATTTGCTTTCACTCTACAGTCAGCAGTCTTCCCCATGACTGCGGTTGGGTGTGGTGGATTAGGCTTACAGATGTGGAAATTTGTGCTGTTTGAATAGAGATTTGCTCAAATTTGACATAAAACATCCTTATATTCTCTATATTTCTTAAAATATTGGCATGACAAAACATTTCTACATTTAATGAAAAACATCCTGCCAAACTCTCACTGTTTCTTTCATTGTTTTTCTGCCCAACTGCTGTGACATTAATGTGCCACAACTCTGAATTGGTCGACCGAGCTTGTTGGTCTGTTGAACCTCAAAGCTGAATGATAGCATCCCAATCCCAAGCAGAGAGAGGACTCCAAAGGCTTCAAACTGACTCTGAAAAAGGATACATATGTCCTAGATTAGCTAGCATTAGCTACCATTAGAGCTTTGTCCCTCCCAGACGAACTCAAGCTAAACTAACTCAGCAGAAATCCATTTGAGTTTTAATTACAAGAGGGTGTAAACTTTTTTTGTGAATGGAAGCTGTTAAATCGTCAAAAGTTGCGAAGTAATGCTTTTGACTAAGTTTGATTTCATTTAATTTAATCACTGCCATCTCGACATGATTTCCCCAGCAGTTAAAGTACGATTAACTTTCATTTAAAATGCCACAGTTATATGTTGTTTCTGTGACAACCTCTCCACAAACAAGAGGGAACCGACTACTTTAATCCCCAAGGGGCCGAGCCATAAACAGCACCAAATGTCATGAGAAAGAGAAAATGACAACAGCTAAAAAAGGGAAGAAAATAGTCGAGAGAGGCTGTGACGAGGACAATCTCAGGGTTAAAGATTCCTCAGTAAGGGAGAAGAACAAACTCCTAAAAGCTGAATTAGCATTCCTGTCAATCAAAGCCCTGGGCAGAAACACATACACAACCAAGAGTCTGCTTTAATATCCCTCTCCTTACCTAGGCCCCAAACTCTATCAGCACACTGACAGAGAGATGTGGGGAGAGGAGGAAAGTAGAAAAAGAGAGAAAAGAAAAGTGAAAAGGAGAGTGGGGATAAAGCGGAGAGACAATTATGATGAAAAAAAGGGGAAAGAAAGGGTGTGAGGGATAACAGAGAAGGAGTAATCTGCAGATTTGATCATAGATGATACTTTCCCTGTATAGAATGCGTCTCTACAGTATACATGCCTGCAGAGTATAACACATGCTCTTTTTAGGGTGGGGGTGTGCAAGACAAGCAAACCACTGAATGACAGCCAAAATGAAAAGCCGAAGAGTACAGCTGGTTTCACTGTAGCTGGCATGATGCAGCAGAAAAAGGGCTGGACGGTCTAATTACACATGTGCATTAGACCCTCATTTCTTCGTGTTTTTCCTATGATGCATAAAAGAATTCACAAAGTAATGTCAGCACGGACAGCACAGGCACACAAAACATGACCACCAGCAAGCCTATTAGGGAGAAATATGTCCAAATATTTTCTTTACAGCAAAATATCTCAGAAATGTCAGTGAAAACAATTTGGGAGAAGCCCATGAGAAAAGACTTCTTCACCCCTCCTCAAGAGGGAAAGGGACAGAGGGAAGAGAAGGGAAGGGAAGGGAAGGGAGGGGAAGGAGAGGAGTAAAGAGGAAGATGGAAAAGAAAAGCTGAGGGGAGGGGAGAGAAGGAAGGGATGAGGAGGGAGAGAGAGAGAGGGAGAAGAGAGGGTGGGGGCTCTGCTTACGCTGTCAGATATGCTGACCCATTCCCACGCTGGCCTCTCTGGATTATTTCCCTTCCTACAGAACCGCAACCTACCCCGTCTGTCTGTCTCTCTCTCTCTCTCTCTCTCTTCCCCACCCTGCTCTCTGCTGGGCTGGCTCCAAGAATACACAATGTTAGCGGTGATTGAAATCCCCTCAACAGCATTTATTCCTGCTCACAGATGAATGAGCTAGTTTTGCATGCATATTAAACATAAATATAACACTGAACGCTTGTTTTGGACGGACATACACAATATAAAACCTGTAACAATAGCTTTACCCTTTCCAAGTTGGAGTGGTGAGCTAGAAGTAAACATATGTGGGTCAGTCTCTATAACAAACTATTGCTTCATCTGTATCTCCCTCTCACTTCCTATCAAAACCAAAGGTTTACTATGCAGGACAGGGTCATTTTAGCGAACAGCCCATTCACCCGGGGCGGGGAGTGTTTGGCATGGCTCATTCGCAGAGGATGGGTGTTATTTCCTCATCCCTTCCTGGTCCCTTAGGGGGGAGGAGGGGCCGGCACTGATGTAAAGAATGGAGAGGAAAAGAGGAGGATGGTAGAGAGAGGGAGAGGAAGAGGAACTGGAGCAGGAGAAAGAAGAGGGATGCAGATTTGAAAAGAGAAAAACAAAGTCTGTGATAGAGATGGAGGAAAAAGACGAAGGTTTGGAAGTGGGAGAAGATGGGTGAACAGAGAGGGAGAAATAGAAGAAAGACAGTGACACCCAGGGGAGAAGGGGGGAAAGAAGGAAGAGGAAGGGATACATAACTAATGGGAGGAAGAGGAGATGGAGAATGACAAGAAAGAGGAGGAAGAGTCAGAGAGAAACAACAAACACCCAAAATAAACACTTCCCAAAAGAAGAGATGAATAATCAGAGCCAACACTGAACATCCAGTGAAGCCTGAAAAGGTAACAAATAAAGGTTACTTTAAAGGTTACACAGTGAAGGAAATGCACATATTGGCTTTCTTGACTGGGGGCGAGCAAATTGATACTTCTGTCATGAATGTAGAATAATTAAAAAGTAAACTTTGCTATAAGACATAAACCCGCTTATTACCTGGACACCAAGTGGTTCAAAGACAGTTTTTGTTGATTCAAAATCGATTAATCTATGCAGCTATAAATGTGTCCCCTAGTTCAACAGTTTGTAGTGTTACCATGGCAACAATGTTCTCACCAGCCTACCTGTGGGTGGAATTGACAACAGACTTAACATTTTGAGTCTCATTAAACAAGATGTTTTCATTCTTCTTCTCAAAGCTTCAGTGAGGAGTTTATTTGGCGTTCACAAAACAGACTAAAATTTATCCAGAGGATTTTCTGTTACATACAAAAACCGACAAGAACATTACCAACAAGGACTAACTTCATACTGTGACTTTTCAGGCTTTAAACCAGTGCAAAGCGTACAAACATCCGTTATTGCAATTTTCCTTAAAAATATGACAATAAATTCAACATCTAACTGTCTATAGTCAACAGGATGAGTTTTTTTTTGTGGGAGGACACTGTGACACTGACACAAAGTTTATATTTGACAAGCCTAGCTCAGACTATGTTGTCCACAAGGGGGCGCCAATATTGACACAAACTGAAAGGTCACAGGAGCTTTAACAGATGTTAAAAATTACAGCAGCACCTGCAGCCGAAAAGGTCCTCTTCCCTGTTACCATCCTGCTGGTATTTTCTTTTCACCCAACCAAAGCCTGTGTTTTTGTTAACGGTTATTTCAGATACTTTTTTTTTTGCCACACTGTCAACAGGAGGAAATGAAATCATACTCTAAACTAGAATGCCTCACCATGTACAATATCAGAGTGTGTGTAAGTATACAGGAAAGGCAGAACCAGTGACAATGGGCTGCTACAGCTGTATTTCACAGCTCTGTGTTACAGGAGGAGACTATTTCTGGCTGAAGCAGATAGCTTTTTGGTCAGCGAATTTACAGGGAAAATTCCACATTCGTGTACTCTCTATGGAGGAGAAAGGCAAACGAGACATTCCTGTGTGACTGCGTTTCAGCGAACAGAAACCCTACTAAAGCATTGATAGGGGAATTTAAGAGCATGACTGAGTGTGAGAAACTTCACCAGAGCAGAAAGTGTCTGCATACGTCTGTGTGCAGCTCCATCCGATAGGACCAGAAGTGATTTGAAGCCCACAGCGCTCCTCTTTGTCAACAGTCAATTCTTACAAATATAACTGAGGCTGATGTAAGACAGAGCAGGAAAGGCTTGGCTGTTCTCCATCCTCACACACACTCACACGCGCTTGCACACAATTGTATTTCTGAAAAGTGAATGGAGCTTGTCAACCCTTCATCACCTGATGCCGATCCAAACACAACAACACACTAAAGCGAACATGTGCACGGTTAACTAAATTCATGCGCTCATCCTGAAGTATGCGCACAGCACTCACAGTAACATGAGCGCAGTTACACACACATTCACACAGACCATCTCTCTGTCCCAGTATGTAGGAAACAGCTCATGGAGACCTGGCCAGTAAACACTTATAATAGCCAGGAATTTGGCATTCCTTCAGCAGTTATTATATGGCCCCACATTCTCCCAGCGCTCTCCCCATCCTCTCACAGTGTTCACAGTGATGGTTGAATGGAAGCAAGCCAATGAGACAACATGTGGTTTTCACTAGTCCAAGCAAGAGGGACATGTAAATATTGATTGTTTCAATATATTGGCAGAAATGGAAACAATGTAGAGATGTAATCTTTTATCAATAACAGGAGTGGCATGTCGCCTGCCAGCTGAAATTATTGCTGCCCGGACCAAATAAACAGTCACGAACAAACTCCCACCGGGTTGAAAATGTAAATGTCGAAGGCGCTTATAACCCTTACTCTTTTTCACTCTTGGTCCATTTCTTTCTCAGTCAGCCAGTCCTTATGTCTTTCCTCTGTCGGCTCTTCTTGATGTACTCTTTCTGCCAAATTCCTTCTTCTATATGTAACGTAAACACTCCGGAGCTGCATAAATAATTTCAGCGGTGGGGGTTTACAGAGGTTTTATGCCATGAAACATAACAACGGTATTAACCTTCCCTTCAAACAGCTATACATCTGGGGAAATGAGGCATAAAGGTCTAAAAGAGGTAAAAACGCATAGATGCCAAGAAGAAGAACATTACATAACTGTAAATGTGTACGCAAAAATATACAGGATGTTTTTCTTAACATGGTAGCAGAAAGGATTCTCAGGGTTTCAGCTAACGAGACAGTAACTGAGTATGTGGGGATACTTTATTTTGCTGTGCAGTGACCCAAACCTCAATGAGGCCTTTTCGTGCCCCAGCTTTATTGTTCTGGCCCCTAAACTGTGATTTCACTACACTTGTTTTAAGCCAGAGCAGATTAAGTTTAGATGAATCTACTTAAAGCTACCAGCCAAGCACCAAGCCTAATGTAGGAACAGTTAGCAATCACACAGCGCGTACATATTAGCATTCAGCTGCTAAGAGACAGGAGAGCAAATACTGGACCTCGAAGTTGCAGAAAACATGAATCAGCAGGTCAGGAATGAAAGAGCTCTCTGATGGCAAAGTAAAGTGCTGAAACATTTCCAGAGTCCACACTTACACCCACGTTGTGGTTTGTAACAGAGTTTCTTAAAATCAGCTAAATGATGTGGCAGATTTGACCCTGACTGCAGCCTAGTTACCGTTCCAGTTCTTTGGTTTCTGACTGACATCCTGGGTGTATAAAACACTTTCTACCACTCTTAAATCTTTTTAAAGAGGACTGTTTGTTTAAACTTAACCCCAGATGGCCAAATACACAGTCATCCAGATTTGAAGAAAACTTTAACAACGATGTTACTTTTCATATCACAAACTTTTAGTTGGCATTTTTCTGCATTACAGTACTATTTACTTATCAGTTGACATGACACTATATGTGTCTCTGATATTTATCTACATGCTAAAATACAGTAGTTCTTTTTACACCAGTTTAATACTCTATCCCAGTGGTTCTCAAGTCAGCACACCTGATTCAAATGATTAGCTCGTTATGTAGCCATCACAGAGCTTGATAACGAGCTCATCATTTGAATCAGGTGTGTTGGAGAAGGGAAACATCCAAAACATGCAGGACAGTGGGCCTCGAGGACTGGACTTGAGAACCACTGCTCTATCCAGTGAACACAAACTTTCCTGGTCTTTTTTTTTGTATTCAATGTATGTATAAGGATTGCAGCAATATTGCATTTTCATCTCATGATTACTGTGGCCAAAATAACTCCAGACAGCAGTATTTTTTGTGATACTGATCAAAAACTACACTTACCAGGAAAGGAGCCACAGGCTGGAATCAAACCAGGGCTGCCCACTTGAAGCATGAACCCCATATATGGGATGTGAGTAGTCAGCTAGGCCTATTAATCTATAAAAGTAATTTTTTATCCACCAACAGAAACGTCTCGTTATCCTTTGCTGTTGTAGCCCCACACTGCAGCGGAGGCCAAAGATTCATAAACCAGTTGGTAAAAGTTATCATCAATTACTGTATCGAGCCCTGGATAAATAACTAAACCTTGCATTTTCTATTTATCACAGTTTTGCGTCGTCCTTCCTCTTCAGAAATACTCTTGAACCTTGAACTTAATAGAAGCAGAAAGCACCCTTCCTTTGTTTCTTAGAAAAACTTATCAAAGAGAAATAACTATACATTCAGGAAGGGGTCAGAGCTTTGCCAGCCAGTTTTTCATTAGTGATGGAGTAACTGGCTCTTATAAAACTCTTCTCACAGATACATCAAACAAAGGAGTGACCTTGGCTGTTATCTGCATCCACATCAACCTCATCCTTAATTGGCACGACTGCAGCAGATGAAGAGACTTTTGTTGAAAAAAAGCCTCCATAAAAGGCTCCTTGGCAGTGAATGTATCACATTCTCACAATACTCCCCTCCCCCTTTTACTGTTTTTGATTACGGCACTTGGCATGTTACCACTCAATCAATTTGTTGAAATGAACTTTGGTTTAATCAATTTCTTCCATTGAATCACAGTGAGTTCACAAGGCCACAGTATCTGGGAGAGAAAATTGGAAGGAGGCAGGCAGGGAGGGCAAGATTGAACATTCCCACTTAAAGGTCATCACATTGCTTATCAGACTTCTCATCAGCCTTTCTTTCCTTTGAGCATGGCGGGGAAGCTAATATTTGCAGAGCAGTGTTCTTAAAGACCAAGAGGAGGGTCTAGGCTATTAAAGCTGACTCCCTCCTGTTCAAGCTTGGCATGATGATCAGAGGAGGTGTGCTGTGCATCGACATTCACGGCTTCACTACCCGACACAGCTTCATAAGCAGAGGGGCCCTTGTTGACAGCAAACTCTGATGCTGCACAAATGAAGCCATTATGGAGGGTTTACCTTCGTATCTTATTTGCATGTGTAATAACCCAAGGACAGGAACTTCCACTGTGACAGCAAACTTTTGTTCTGATTGGTAATTACTGTCGTTTGAATCCATCCTCTGTAAATGCGAAGAACCTGGGCACATACCTGCTGATTCTGATTATGAAATTAAGTCAGGAAATTTCAATTTCAGACTTGAAAAAACAACATCCAGATGGATCTTACCGTTCGGCTTCGAGGCGCATCTCCTCCCGCTTCTGCCTCCTCAGCTCCCGGCGCCGCTCAAAGTCCATTTCCTCCATGATTGTACCCTGAAGGATGACATCATTGAAAACAGACAAATTAAGTCACTCGGTATCAGGAAGGAAGGGAGGAAACAAAATAATGGAAACATTTTCATTTCAGGGCTCCAACAGAGTAGAAATAAAGGGGAGCTAACAGGTTTGTTTTTGAATGAAATTAAACCATTTTCCAGACAAATTCAAACAGACATCTGAAAATAGTGTTGTTGTTGTTTTTATCCACACATCCTCATTCTTCTATTTCATATTTCAGCATCTTACTGCTTTTTTAGAGTCTTTTGCATTTAATTAATGTGATAACCGAAGAGAGAGAAAGCACTGGCAGATAGAGCAGAAGAAGATAAGCAGAAAAGTGCTGTGGGTGGATGTCGAGCCTCGGTATATAGAACAGATTGGCTTTTATTGTGAAACAGCCTAAGGAAACACAACATCATGCATTTGTCACAACACTGTTAAGACTAATATCAGTCTGTCTTTCAAAACAAAATAATCAATCTGCTCATGTTTCCATCAGGGTTTTGTTTGGATTATTTTTGTAGACTACATGTACGTATGTTTGAACAGTGAGCTAAAAATTATATGTATGTATAGTAGGGCTGCCTGAAACTACGCTGGGATTAGGGTCTCAAATTAACAGGGTATTTCCTCTATCAGTTGCCACAATGTCCCTTTTGGTGCACCCAAATACACCCACCCCAGTGTCTTCCTGCTTACAACTGCTACTGACAAGATAAACAAAAAGTGACACCGCTGCACTTTCAGACGGCGCATTACAATTTTTAAAACTCCCACACAGCGTATTTCACAAGTCAACAGTACTGTGAACTCCCTGTATTCTAAGGTGACAGATTTCCTAACAGCCAGAAACCCCCTCACAAAATTCTGACTAACCAGCTGGTCAAAAGGTGAGAAAACCCACAAAGAACAGGCAAAATTGAGCACAATTTATTTAGCACGGCTCAGCACAGACTTGCAGAGCTAGCACCACCGGCTGTCTAAACTGGTTTTGCCTGCCATTGAGCAGGATTTTGAAAAAAATTCACTGGACGGCTGCATTTAAGTACCATTCATCCTTCTGCAAAAAGTCATGCCCAAAAGCGTTAAGTCTTATCTCCAGGGTCAGGGAGGCGGTCTTGTTTATGGCCTCAGCCTTGGTGACGAGAGCTTTTCCGAGATCTTTTTTAACCACCTTATCTTTTTTACAAGTCAGAAGAATGAGACCGAGAGTAAAAGAATGAAGAGTAAAATAAAAAAGGAAGCGAGGGGAAGGAGATGCAAGGACAGGATGTTCACTCAATCAGTCAGTCAGGAACAACTCTCACTAAAAATACCCCGCTAGGGTACATGACTTGGTGTGCAGTGAGGACTGAGACCACCCAGGAGCTGCTGAGCCTCCCGTCATACATCGGTGTAGCACCACTAAACCTGCAGCCATATCTACTGTGCACCAGAGCAGAGTAAACAGACAGTGGTGGAGCGCAGGAGGGAAAAACAAAGGTGCATGAGAGCGCAGAAGATCAAAAAACAGCACTGAATAAAGTCAGACTTGAAAACTCGATCCTGTGGTGATAAAAAAACATGAGCAGGAAAGTGAGTGGCAGAGTAGATGCTCTAAAGTGCAGTAGGACAAAGGAAAACTACAACTGTCATACCTTGGATCAGCCTTTAAAAACTGTATTTCCCTCCACACTACACAAGATTTCACAATACAGCAGAGACACAATACAACCAGGTCTGGTAACAGTCTCCCACAGTCCAGCCTCAGCTGACAGTCAAAGGAAAATGCCTGCTCCTTTCCCTCCCTCCTGCTTGTCCCTCCCTCCATCTCTCTGTAACCTCCTTCCTTTTTCCCTTCAGCTTTAACCCCCTCCCTCCCTCTCTCCCTCCCACTCCTTTTTTCTCCCTATCTCTACTTGTGAGCTTTTCCTTTCTTGTTTACCCACATGTCAAAGCTTGGCTAAACTGTTCTGTGGCATGACTCGGCTCTTGATATAAGCTTCCTGTGTTATAAGCATGTTTTCCGCTGCTGTTTCTTTCATTTGGAGCAGACCCAGCAGGAAAGGGTCAAAGTGGGCCTCTATATACAGTGTGTGGATGTATGCATATGCATGCACATGCTTGGAGGTGCAAGATTACAGCATTTGAGTGCAGGCATTTTTGGCTCATTCTGGTGGACAGATGGGGTCTGAGGTCTCTGCCTGTTATAGAAAGTTTTTCTTTGCTACTATCTGCTCCGTTGTTGTAAGTGTCATAACTTCTGAATGATTCAGTGGCCTTTATAAACATGTTTTAATTGGTAGAGTGTTGCTCATAAAGTGGGGTTATTCATTTCACTCATTGAAACCCTAAAAATCTACAACCTCCCCACTGCATCCTCTCACCCGGTCCCTCCCGCCCTCTCCGCAGCCTGTGCACTAAACACAGGCCTTGTCTCCTTGCTATTACACTGTAAAAAATAGATGCTGAGTCTAAGCAGAGAGAGACTTTTTCAATACCACAAGAATCTCTCCTCTATGTACAGATGCACGCTTAGTGTCTTTTCTGAAAGGGGGTGGGTGGGGGGGCAATTGGCACTTGAATGTGAGGCTATTCATACAACCGTAATTAAGGCATAATGATAGCAATAACCCAAACCAACATGGCCTCCAAACATTGCCAGTCTAATCACATGCTTCCTAGAACCAGTGACGCCAAGGGAGACAAAGATATTAGTAACACAAGCACGGCAGCACATACATTTAGACTGTTTATTGCAAATGTTGCATCAATTATGCAGCTAAGGAGACTGTGTTTCATTAGGGTTCGATTAAGTGCAAAGATTAGCTATATTTCATTTCATGTCAGTTTCATGTCATTTTTAGGGTAAATTAAATGAAAAGATGTTTGAAAAAAATGATGACAGAATAGACCGTGTGCAAGAATTTACAGCCGAGCTAATTATATTGTCATGATAAATGTATGGAAGGAGTTTGTCAAAACATGCAAGGCTGAATGCAGCACAGGCACACTGTCTCCTCACTACCAGAGAGAATGCCAGGACAGAGGAGGAAGCCTGTGGCAGCAGAGAAGGCCCTTAGTACGTGTAGAAATGTAACTGTTGTGTATATCATCGAGGGGACCACCCACACTTTGCAAAAGCTAACAGGGGCAGAGCGAAAGAAGACAGCATTCCTTGGAGTTGTGCAACCTGGAGTTGAAAGTTTGTGACATTTTCAGACTTTTTAAAAGCTCAGCCTGTCATAGCCTGTCCATTATAATAAAACTTGTCCTTCCCTCTGCTACATCTGTCCATTAATTTCACTGTTATGCTCCAAAACCCGCATCCATCCATCGCAGCCTCCCTCCCCTCTCTGTCTCTCCTCCCCCTCTTTCTGTTTCCCTGTCTGCCTCAGCCCTCTACAATGGCTATAATGACACATTTAACAGTCAAATTACTACCTGTCGAGACTGCCAGACCCTGGCACAGAACCCAGTGTCTAAGTGCCAGCCTTTTAAAAAGCCTTAAAAGCCGAGTTGATATTATCCTGACAGCCTCTGGGATTACACTACCTTATAACGCTCCTATCTTCTCACGAAGTCTTGAGTTAAAGTACCAAAACAATGGGCCCCTATAGGCCAAATGAGGCATACAGGAGATCAAGCAGCAGTCAGCGACTAAAGCTGAAGAATAAGTTTGGGCCAGAAGCACATCTATTTTGGGATTTGGTGAAGTGTTCCAAACTCTAGCTAGCATTATGTGAGAGGAGAAGACTGCAGCTTTTTGGTCAGATTTGTTCCTGTGATACTCAGGGTGAGTGTCCCTCACAACCTCTGCACAAACACATTAATCTCCACATTATGGTTATGGAGCTATGTAAGGAATGCTTCACTTAAACCTCTGATTTTAACATATAGGGGACTTGAAAGAGCCTTAAATATTCTTTAATATGCCAGTCAAATATCTACTCATTCTCCACAGACCTTTCCTTTTGTTCAGTGGCTGCTAACAGTTGAATAACAGGAATTAATGATAAACACATGAAAACTAGCTCAGCCCAATCACTAAACAGTCAGATTTTTAAAATAATGTCATAAATACAGAAAAACTAAACAAAACAAAAACAAAAAGCTGAACCATCATTCAGGAATAATCTGCAACTTGCTTGACTGAAACGTTCTGGTACATTATGTTCTTTTTATTAGATTAGGGCAAAAATCCAACATAGATCCAACATAATAATCCCATAAAATACTTTGATCATGAAAACTGTGAAATAAAACACAATCAGTCAAATTGAAGAAAGGCATGTCAAGGGTGAGCGTCACGTGACCTCATAAACTTAAATGAATGTGGACAACTAACATATCATTAACCATTTATATTAGTATTTAAATTTATGATTATCTTTAGCCTTGTGGCTGAAACTTCTTTTGACACCACCTCATTAAACAAATGTCTTTATGCTTTAATTTTGGTGTTGTTCTGTCTTGCTTTTAGTTGGCTTTGTATCCTGCAACAATGCTTTTACTTTCAAGTACATGACTCTTGGTAGATTGGAAGTTACAGCACTGAAAGAAACCTGGTGAAAGGTGGTTAGACAGATAATTATTTGGTTAATCCAAAGAGGCAAAAGCTCTGATATTTTTAATTTACAATAAGTCTTGAACAGCAGTGTTAAAAGTGCTGAATCATCCACCAGAGAGCAGCTTCAGCTAGCTCGCTAGCAGTCAGCTACAGCTACATCTCGTTTATCTTCTGTTTCATGACGTGTGGCAACCAGTGTAAAGGACCACTGCTACTAGGTCACACTATCAACATTTCCTCTTGTTTTTTTGTGGGATATCAATATATATGTACACACTTTTAAAAGATGGTAATTGTCAGTGTATTGTGACAGCCCTTGTTAGCATGCTAGCATAAGGACAAAAAAGTTTAGCCAAACTCAGGAACAGTCATAGTATTTCAGGTTCAAAATTTGCGCTTTATTCTGTCTATCCTTTAATTTTTTGGTTAAAGAGTACAGATATGCCACACTGGAGATATAAACCACAGTCTGTTGCTGCTGCATCTGTCCATGTAGCCTAAAAAAGGAATAGTGCATTATTACAAGGCTTGAGTTTCCATAGTAAGGACATAAAAACTATCGACAGGGCATTTGTACTGCTGCCCTCCTCATGGCCTCTTGACTGAGGAAAGAGTATTTATGGAGAAAAAAGAGCTGAAGAGCTCTGAGTCCGGCAGCTATGGAGTCACAGCTGTGCAGGTGTCCAGGTGAGGACAGGTATTTTAGTAATCTGGAATGTGAAAGCAACACTGGCACAAAGCCAGCTCTCTTCAGTCTGCGAACCAATGAGAGAAAATATTTGCCCACCTGCACCAGAGGTTGAACCATTTCTCTTTTAGCCACATGCCACTGTACTGCCTCAGGAAAGTTTTTTGTTTTGCTGAGGGTTTAACCGAACTGATAATTCACCTCAAATTGAGTGACATTTCTTTTTGCAGGGGGATCGATCAGTTACATCAGATGTGGTCTTATATCATCTTTAAGTGTTTTTTAACATCCATGATTTTATTTCTATGTGGCAGTTAAAGAAAATTGTTGTATTCAACTGGTCTTCATGTCTGATTGGGAGGTAAACTTGTGAGTCGTCAGCATAACAGTGAAATGTCACATTTTATTTACAGAGCAAATGGAAGTGAGTAAATGGAAAACAGAGTTGGACCGAGAACTGAATCCTGTGGAACACCATATGATAAGTTTTCTGTTGATGAATCTGAATCAGCCGTAGATGACCTGACTTGAACCACAGTAAGGTTGCATCACTTATTCCTGCCCTCTCTGTCAATGAGTCTGTTAAGTCTGTCAACAGTATCAGATTTCAAGATATGTCTAAGATAAAAATCCAAGGAAATAAATAAGTAATTGGTGGACATGGCAACTTTGAAGGGAAAATTTTACAGACAGGATTTCTTCACTAAGACTACAGCTTTCCTTTCTTAGGTGTCAAAAGTTGAAGGAGATGAATAGTACAATTGTGACCACATTCTGACAAATTCGAGGCTTGAACTGAAACTGAAAAATTGCCTCACTTCAAATGCTGTCATGGCTCTGCCAGACGGCCTGACACATGCAAATCATCTCTGTTTCACAACACTAATGACAGACAGACGACCTCTGTCTCAACTATAGCCACCTATGCTTAATGGAAGCTCTGTTTCCAAGGAGACTCTCCATAGTTACATTTACATTGAAGGCTTCAGTTTGTGTCCTTGAGAGAAAGTATTAGATGCACATCAAATCACACAGAAAAGCACGTTTTTGTGTGTTAGCATTAATGTTTGCTTGCTAATTCTACTCTACCTTGTTTTCGGTTGTATTTTTCCATTTCCTGCTGTGTAAGCACAACAAGTTATCGACAATTGTAAAGCATGAAGGTGTAGATAGGAAGGTATGTTGTTCTCATGCGCAGTCATCATAATTAAATCAAACTGTTTGAATAAAAGAGCTCTTAGGTCAGCAGGATACAAGGATATACTTTATCTGTACTTGTTTACAGGGCCCTCAAACAGCAATCGAGAACATATTTTCTTTGATACAGAGCATGGAAAGCATTAGTGTGTGTGTGCTACATAATTCAAATAGAAAGTCTATAGGACTAAGAGCGAGGACCACAGAGAAAAATGCCAACACCCTGTATCCGAACCATTGCTCTACAGAACCACTAATTGTGATGGCCTTGTTTCCCTCTGTAGGACATTAAGGGCCTGATCTACTAAAACACACGTGCAAACTTGACAGCGCACGCAAACCTGATCTACTAACCGGGTGTACCGAGGATTGCGTCTGTCAAATGAGCAAAACAGCGCGCAATCGATTTAGTGTGTTTGCCTTCATGAATATACAGAATATATGTAGATCATAAGAACGTGCTGGGAGAAAATTCTGGGAGTAGCAGATGCAAATGATATTATTTAGCACAGCTCTTGTAATTTATTTGGTTTTTCAGGTAAATTATGATTTTTATAAATAAGGTCAAACACGAAACAGACGAAAACATGTATCTGTTTGTCTTATTGATTTTAAATCGTTTTAATCCTTTTTTTTGATTTCGAGTATATTTTCTTGCATCTGTAAAGCACTTTGTGTTGTCTTGTGTATGAATGGTGCTGTACAAATAAACTTCCCTTGCCTTTTATGCAGTTCCCCAAAGTGATATGTGTAACTCCATGGCTTCAGCCACTCTGCTCTCACTACTCTCCGTGGTGACAGCCGATAGCGCACGCAAATTCCCTGTTTAAAGAGGGCAGTCCGCACCACTTTTGCTCCCGCTATCAATTGCGCACGCAATGATAGTAGATCACCCACAACACGCCCACTAATAGCATGTGCAATTTTTTAGTTTGCACACGCAATTTAGCGCTCGCTATTTTGGATCTTAGTAGATCAGGCCCTGAGATTCATCCCTGTTAATTTCAGCTTGTTTTGTAAATACTCAAAAACTCCTCACAGTGGCTTTAAAGACGTTGGAGTCTTTTTGATTAAATGGGTTATCTGATTATAGGATTTCTACCTCTGACACTGAACATTTTCTGCATGCAACTTTAAGAAGTGTAAAAGTAACATAAAATGACCATTTCTGGTGTTTCTGAGACTTATGGATGCTATCTTGACAGGTGATAAATGCTTAATAGCACATAGGCTAAATGATATTAGAAATCAGAGGAATGGAGATCTTATAGATCAGTTAAAATAATAATATGTAATTAATCATTTTGGCAAGGTAAAGATGATAATTTTTTGGGTGATTTTATCACACAGATATAGCCAGTGCAGTGAATGAGGAAGAGGAGCGAGATTAAGAGAGAGGGAGGGATGCTACATGCCTGTAGGTAGTGCAGACTAACAGCTGTTTTGGCTGGGGCTCTGGGGACAGTTTGAGTTGGGTAAACCTAATGTTTTCTGCAGGGGTAAGGAGTCTCCTGGGAGTTTTCTGACAGGGCAGCTAAAATATGTTCAGACTCATTGAGGGTGTGTGCATCATGATAAACTATATCTACCAAACAGGATTTATATTTTAATGCATTTTTTGAGTGCATTTATGTAAATGTGTGCGTGGAAAGTGTCAGTGGATGTGTGGAGGAGAATAATACAAAAGTGAATAAATAAGACGAGGAGCATGTTTTTACTACTTCAATACGTGAGACTCCTGCTAATGCATTACGTGTGTGTTTATGGTACAGTTAATGTGTGTACATGTGTGATATCCATCACCACCGACAGTGCTGTGTTTGGAAAGCTGGCTTGTGGTTGTGGTTTTTCTGTGCTATGCATCTTCTCTTATACATCCAGATCTCAGCAGCATTAACACGTTTACAGTCTGAGCATGCAGAGCGGCTGCAGATGAGCGTTAATAATTTCACTGGGAGGTTTTGCCCTCACTACGGCCAAGAATTTCTGTCCTTCTTCCCATCTCTGTTCATCTTTCTCATGGCTTCATTTGTATTCAAGATACTTTTCTCCGCCTGCAGCGAAGAACCTGACTATCACACCACTGACCTAATATAACTGTCAGATACTGAATAACAGCATACATGGATCCGTTATACCAGTATATAGGTACAGGGCTTACCTTTTAGATGTAAAAGAGTACCACAAGTGTGTCTGATAAACCCAGTTTATAGTCAATACATTTCTTTGGGTTGGTATCCCCCATTATAGATCCAGTAGCAGTTGCTGTCTTTGCCTATGTAGTTCAGGACTCAGACATTGTAGTCTGTTTCTATCTCTTCTTGGACCACAGTACATCAGCTTTGCGAACAGCTGCAGACTTTCCCTTAAATCCAGCTCCAATCTGTGGAGACTAAAGGTTGGCTGGCTGTGAATAAGGTTAAGTATTTTGTTTAATTTTACAGGATTTACACATGTCCATGTAGCCAAACTTCTCTCTGTGCCTCCTTGAGTCTGTATCTGTATGCCACAGGGTGAATATGGCCTCATAGCTGAGGTCTTCAGCTGCAATTACATATTTTAGGCAACATATAAGGTGGCCAAGTGCATCAGACCATAGCTCAATCTCAATACCATATGCTTTCCACTTGCTATCTTCTCCAAAACAAATTTTTTAAAGAGTGGCTTTGACTTCGATGGAGGAAAAATTTCACTGGGTATTAGCAGAAGGTATTCTTATGCAAACCTGAGACGCTAATGCAACAAAAAGCAGTGGAATAATAGGGTGTTGATTTGAGGGTTTTAGGGCGAGACACGGCTCTACGGCACTCAAACAGACTGCCATTCATGACATTGGATTGAAAGATCAGGCACAATCCCTCCTTAAATTGGTCTCCAATCTCCTCTCTGCTGACTTTACCTTTCTGATGGAAGGCAAACCAGTGAGGGAAATAATGTCCCATCAGTGGAGGGAAAAGACCTGAAGGTTACAGATGTCAAGTTTCCGTTTGGTGCAGAAAAAAGAAGACTCCTGCATTCCCAGACAATGGTTCACATTCCCTCACACCTCTCTGTGCCCTGTGAATCACACACTCTGAAACTGACTGACTGACTGAGGTTATCTGTTCACACAAACACACAGCCAAGAAACTCTCTATGGAATACCTCAGATGCATCATATTTTACAGGGTGCTAGCAGGCTACACTAACCACAGTAAGGATGAAACAAAGGTAGGTGTTAGTCTGCTGTCTGGAGGACTCTGTTGAGGCTTGATTTTTTCTGTGAAAGGAGACACACTGGGAAAAGGATGCTATGGTTGAAAAACTGAGATTAAAGCCTGATTTTACATGATGTTTTAATGATGTGCTGCTTTTCACTGAAAGCCCTGTCACCCCACACAACGCCTTGCACTACAATAGTAGCACATGCACTTCAGCGTGGGTATTTTTCCTGATAAATACATCAAAAGCTGTTTAAAAACTGTCCTTGTTACCAACTTGGTTTGCTTTATTAGTTCATTGAGTCCATTATACAGCTGACTGTGTGACAGATCCTCCTGTCTAAACCCATAAATAAAGACCCAGCCTTCACATCCTGCCTCCACCTGTTAGTCATTTTTCATAATATAAGGCTGATTTGCAACCTAATAATGCTAATAATGTCTGAATCAGCTTTGAGCCAGTGTGAGCAAGAACTGAGCCACACAAAAATGCACTGATGTGTACATTTTTTCCAACAGCACAGGTAAGAAAACATCAAAAATGGCTAAAACAATCAGGCTGTTTTTTTTGTATAGCTATGCATCACAGCTGATGTCAGCTAAAATTTAGCAAAACTCTTAAATTTGCAGGAAAAAGCATTAAATTTCTGTTTCTAAGATGATCCCAGCCCACTTAAAATCAGAGAGACTAGAAGAAAAAAATTGCCAAAACTAGCATCATTATTGGGACAAACAAATGACTGCAAATTTTTGGGTTTATGTAGAATAGTGAGCAATAGATCAGAGGTTCTCAGGGGCCTTTAGAAGAAGTTATTTTCAGGTATCTGCCCATATTTTAAAGAACAGCTGCCTTAATCAAATACAGCTCATAACAGCAGACAAACTCAAGTAAACTTAGATACACAAAGGCAAACTTAATAATTACTTCTTAACTGTTTATTGTGCCAAAGCAGCGTGAAAAAACAGAATGAAACATAAAGTCAATATTTAGGTGCCAAAATGGTCTCAAGTGCGCCCACCTGAGGCAAGTTTTAAAAGCCAAAGACTAAAAAACCAAAATTAATATTCTGATTTCAGTGAAGAATTCAGCTTCTTTACAAAGTGCAAAAATGTTTTTTCTTTAATTTCTAAATGTGAGGGTAAAGGCTAAAACTAACTCACTCCTTTTGATTATGCTAAAGAACGATCAAGAGTTGAGCAAACTTGGCCTTTTTTAGGGTGTAACTTCACTGACTAAGAGTTGGGTGTGTCGTCATCGTTCAGCACGTAACAACTGCATTCACTCCAGATTAGCCAAATGCTAACAGGATCAACATTGTTAATTCTGCAATTGCCACCTTTGGGTTTCATAACAGCCATCACTAATGGCTGAAGTAGGTGACACTATGGCCATGTTTTTCACAGTCTAGCCTTGTGCTACAGGAGGCAAAGCACAACAACAGGGTCATGGGAAAAGCTAAAACGCAGCATTGTAGTAGCATGAGTAAAAGAAGAGTCATCGAATGTTGGCTTTGTTACAGGGTTAATACAGACCAGAGAAGAATGTAGCAGAAAAATCCAGAGTGAAGTTAGCTGACTTTGAAAAATGACCAACCTTCATATTCAACTTTGACCCATTGTTCTTACCGTAGTTGTGCACACGCTTTGATGTGAGGGATAATCTACAAAATGTTGAATTTTTTCAGTCTCCCCTCCAAATAAAGCCCTTTCGTTAATCTGGTTTGACTCTTGGCAGTCTCAGTGTGAGGACTTTTGTATTCTTTGCCATATCAGACTTTATGGAGGTGATTTATTCATGTTCCAGGATCTACGCAATACTTAATCACAGCCAATAAAACAGAACGGTCCAAAGTAGGAAACCTAAGACCCTAAATCTGGAAATATACTGTCAGGTAACGAGTAAGTCTTCTATAACCCACTTTTGGCGCTGTTCTGCTTTCTCAGGCATGTTGTGATATGCTGATGATAATAAATAGTATTTGTTTCAGTTATCTTTCAAACTGACAAATCCCTTTTGGAGAGGATGCTGTAGCGTGATACTTTATAAACTCTTGTGTCGTCCTGATGAAAACATATTACTGTCTTTGTAACATTCTTGAATCCGGGGGTTTTATTTTCCACTGTCACTGAGATAACCTCACCACCATCCCTCGTATTTTTAGCACATGACTCACTGTTGCTTTAATATTTCCTCCTCTTCCAGGTCCCACACATGAATGGATTTTTGTGCTGCATGCTGCACATCAGGCTGCGTTCAGTTCGAAGGTATCATGACCTTCCCCCTTTCAGTGGAGAGACGGCTGAGAACACCTGCGCTTCAGCCGTCAGCGTCCTCCTTCAAGCTGGGGGTTTGTTTATGTGTCTTTAAACCTCACGCCTAAAGCCAAGTCACACTTAAATTGCAGTGAAAACATTACCTGAACATGCTATATCCATCATCTGGATTCCCCGTATTCAACAGCAGGTTAGCACCCTGATGCTCCACTCAGACTGCAAAGACATCATCTGTGATCTTAGTTTTTCAGGATCAAACTAAATCCAGCTTCAGCGCGTTACAAAATCTTAAAGCTTCTAAAAGTTAACCACTAGAATGACATGATGAATTCTTATTTCTGAGCTGCAGATCCAATTTAGCAAATGAAATAACAGCCCAACAAGACTTGGTGAAGCAGTTGGCAGAGGAGTGAGGCTTATAAAATACCGTCTTACTTTTAATGTTGGTTTTAAGAGGGGCATTTGCATTAGAAGTCAGATTCTTGCTGCCCAAATCATAAATAATACTGTAAAAAGGCACAGCATCAAGAGCCAATACATTTCCTCCTCACTCTTTGACTTTTAAAAGGATTGTGTCCCTTTTAAAAAAGCACTTTCAGATGCCTCACCCACTATCAGGCAGAATTGGAGAAAAAGCATTCCAAAAAGTACAAATCCCACACAAAATAGGGATGTTTGTACGGCATCAAAAGGCTACTGCTCACTGGCTGTGCTCCATATGACCAAATATGGAAGGAAAAAATGCTGCCTTTTCCCGTAACCAAAATGGGAAAAGGAAAAAAAAAGGGGAAGGTTTTCTTGCATGCTGTGTGCACAGCGAGATAGAGCTCTCACACTCACTACACAGTGGCCACAGAGTTGGCTCACTCTCAAAACAGCATGACTGATGGTGATGTCGGACCTGCCGTGACATCCCAGCGAAACACGCACACAAACACGCACACCTGCACGAATCAGGAGTCATGAAAGAGAGGCACACCGACCCCTTTCAATGCTCTGACATTTCATTTTTAAACACACAAAAGCTTTCCTCACTTTCACATATGAGCTCTTTACCCGAGTCTCAGCAGCGCACTTGGAAACAGAGCCCCACGGAAGGGAACATTCTTCTCAGTGAAAAAGCAGCCGTCTCAAACGCCACAGTCCTCCGCCGAAGTTAGAAACGGTTTGTTTATCTGACCCCCCTCGCTATATAGAGCTGCTCTGACATTCCCCTCCACTGCAACACTGCAAAAATGTCTGCGTGGGTATGACATTACACAAGAAACGTGAAGAATGATCCCTGACATTTTTTAATGTATGTAAACTTCCAACACAGGGAGCAGAAAAAAACCCCACCAAAAATAAAACAAGAAAAACAGGCTTTAATTTACGCCAAACTGCTCAGGATAACCGGTCAACTGGCTTTACAACAATATATTTAAGGAATAGACAGATTTTCAGCTCACTGTGAGTTTGCCTGATTCTTGAAAAAGTGAAACTATTTTTAAACACGATTAAAGTGAACTGTCTTACCTCTTACACACAACACAGTCAACAGCATTAGCAATTTATGCAAATTCTTTTTCAAAGCGATATGAAAAATTTACTTCTTAAAAAAAACATCCTTTGCTTGACGTTTTCATTAATAAACTTAATCTGTAGCAAGATGACCATTTTTATTTCCGTGTGAGTTAAAACTGATGATGGAACAAAAACTCAAACAGCATCATTATTTTACTGACTGAGCTGAATTTCAATAACTGTAAAAAAAATCCCATTCAAATATCTTTTCTGTTTTCAAACTTCAAGTTTTGGCTTTGCTTTGCTGCCAATAAGATCAGCATTGATAAATGAGCCATTTAAACTTGATCTTCTCCTGTTTGCTTCTGGTCCGAGTAGTTCTGGTTTTGGCGGTGAGCTCTTTTGTAAGCAGCACCACTTTTCACAAATAAAAGACACACTTTGGAGCAAACAGCACAACGTCAAATCATTTCAACAAGTAAACAACCCGGTACTTGACATGCATTATTAACCATCTGTTGTGGAACCCCATGAGGACTCTGGACCAAAATCAATCCTTTATCTTTTGTCACTTGGTATCACACGCAGTTTCGGAAAATACATGTTTTTAAAGGCCAACTACACTACAATCGGTTTAAACCGAATCAAACAAACCATGACTGATGAATAAAGCAATGCAATTTTTCCACATCATTTTCCTGTCATAACAAACTAGAGTGATCATGTACCAAAGGACAACATCATCTCTCACTACCTTAGAGGACTCCGTGCCAACTCTTTAGTCTATTAAATTGTAAATAATTAATGACAGACAGACGCTGAACCGAGCCAAAGCAAATAAGGTGATGGTGAGCTGGGTGCAGAGAAAAAATAATACTCTTAAAAGCATCTGAAGCATGGGATCTTGGAAACCCTTTTGCACAAATGGTTTGTATCTCAAGCAACAAATAGTATTTGGTCAGAAATGTAAAGAACATTTGACTTGTCATAAAACCTTCCCTCATCCTTCTCTCGTGTCCGAGGGAAAAGCAGCCTCTTCTTGTTCCTTCAGGAAAGCCTGTCTTGACACCTGCCTTCTGTCAGAGTAAATGAGGCTCGAGCAGGAGTCTGCGTGTCTTCAACAGGACATTAATCTACTGGTAGCGAGCTGACCAGAGAGACTGAGGGCTGATATATGATGGAATTTAGTCCAAGCACTGCTACTGCTGACACCAGATAGAGAGCAGTTGATCCAGATGATAATCATAAAGCAGAATTAAAGTAAGAAGAGTAAAATCAGGACAGAGTGACCTCTGCTGTGCTTCCTTCGAGCCTAATGAGGAGGAGTTCAACCCATATAGATAGAAACTTCAAAATCTGTTAACTTTAGAAAGCCAGTGAGTCTGGATGAGAGGCCCTCGAGCAAGATCTTGAACTCTCCTAATAAGTTATAAGTCAGATTGGATATGCAACAAAGCTGAATGACTAAAATACACAAGTATATGTGTCTCGCACAGTCCACGGCAGCCCGCAGCCTTGTACACGGGCAATAACATGACATGCTGGAATCATTAAGTGGAACATAAAAATGTATTTCTCATAAAGCTTGAGAGGTTCCTGATGTGTTTCTCTACGGCCGAGCAATAGAAGGAAAATGGATCTGCTGAACATTTGTGACACGCTGCCTATAAAAGCCATGCTTTGGTGGGGGTGGACGTGTGGCTCAGCGTGGCCGGAGAGAAATTACACTTTGGTGAAAGAAGGAGAGAAAATCGGAAGGGTGAAAAAAAAAATGTATAAACTGCAGAGTGATTTATGTGGCTGGCTCGAACCACACCGAGAGAGGACGTCTTCCCTTCATACCTTACATGGAAACATACATGAGGTTAGCGTGAGGCTAAAAAGCATGATGCAATGCCCCCACATACTGAGAAAGCTGAAAGCCCGACAGCTGAGTGCAAACCCTGAAAAAAGTTTGGCTTTTTCTGCACATGCAACATAAGCCTATCAGGAAAACAAAAAGAAAATCACTTTCACAGAGGACATTTATCCAAATCACTCCAAAATGTCATAAATCTTTATCTTTCTTGCCTTGTTTTACACACAAGTCAGTAAATCACACAGCGGAATGCCAATTTTTTGAAGAGAGCTGCTCGGCTTTTCAAGGGTATTACATGACAAGGTATTTTTCAAAATAAGGGCCTGCATTCCTGGAGAGAGATAGGGGAAGATTAAGGAGCGGGTAGGTTGTGGGTGGGGTAGGCAGGCAAGTGAGATGGCCTAACCGAGAGGGTCTATTACTCACAGTGGATGAGGGGTATTGGAGTGATCCCCTGAAAGTGTGTTCGGTTCAGTATAACTGAGGGAAAGCTAAAGGTTTCTTCAGGGAATGAGACAAGTCAGAAACAGGAGGATAACCGAGGGCTTTTTAGTGCAGACAGCCTGGGATGTTTTGTTTTAATCTCATGACTCTCTCTCTCTACCCTAGGTCTCCATGCGGCCCTGACATAATCACAGTGAGCTGATGTGGGTCCAGGCCGTTTAAGAGTGGATGTGCTTGGATGCCTCAGCCAGGTGTGGGAACTAAAATTTGTCTCCAGTCAGTAAACCCAGCCAACATTTGATAAATGGGTATTTCTCGGGTGCATTTCACACCCGTGTCTGTCACTCTTATAATACAGTTGTGTTCACATTCCTCTAACATTTGTTAGAGTATCCTTTAGAAGCATTTATGGATATTTGTTATGTTGTTTCAATTGTTTTTTGAGCTGCATGTAGACATAATAACTTATATACAAGATCATCTTTCAAAAGTTTTAATGCTGTCAGGCATGTAGCAGTTCCAGAGAACGTATGTGACAATGCGACAAAGTTCCTTAACATTTACATGTAAATTTAAATTAAAAGTCTGTGGGTTTAATATCTCAAATTGGTTTGCTCTGTGTGCCTAACATTAGCAGAGCTAGCATTACTAGTCTAAGTCCTCCCTGCAGGTTAACTTCATTTTTAGTCAAGGGGAAAAGTTCATATTTTAACTTAAATGAGCCGTTTGGACTCCTGATAATACGATATTTCAGCGTTGTAGGCCACCTGGAGTAGCTTTCTGTATGATCCAGCAGAGGGCGTTCTCATCGTAATCTGACCAACCCATGAACTCTTGACCTCAGTAAACCAAAACAGTCATGTTATTCTGTGTAGGAGTATTTGGGGTCCTCCACTGTAGATAGAAAAATAGAAGACAAAGGATAGCAGCTTTCTTACTCAATAGCAACAGTAACAGAGGAGGAGGCACCATTATTGAGCAGTGCGATGATAAGTGTTTAGCCCCGTATGACTGCCTTTCTAACAGCAGGTCCTTTACCAGAGGCTCAGATAAAGGCCATCACTACTGTAAAATCAGAACATCTGCACATAATGTTGATTCGTTCCAAGTTGATTTTCCGAAAGACTGACAGCACTAATACCTGTGCTGGTTATGCTTTGCTCCAGCTTTGGTCTCCACCAACTACAGAGGCAGCTTTACTTTTTTTTGCCAAACACAATGATTTTTTCTTCCTTTCCAAAGGTTTTCAAACTAGTTTTTGGCCTTTTTTGCATTCTCTGTATCAGTAAGTGTTTTTTTCTTTTTCAATGCTTCTCAACATTGGTCACAATTATTGGTAAGCTAGCACCTCTACCAGCTAATCCACTCAAACAACAATGTACGTTTTTATTGTTTTTGTATGGCTGCCTCTTTGTAATTTGTCTTTTATGTGCATCTTACATTTGAATTGATTTACTGCCACCCAAAATTTGCAAAAATTGGTAATTAAAAATAACAGAAAACTCAATACAACCTTTGGTGTTTTTCAGAGTTTTGATCAACACTTGAAGACTCTGAAGTCCCACTCTCATGATGCAACTTGACATCTGGTACGTATTAAATGTACAGTGTGAGCCATGAGGAAAACAATCCTATAGTTATAAGAAAAGGTATTGTGAAGCTTTGACAAAGAACTGCAGAAGTCAGCACCTCGGTGGTTTCCTATTCCCTGTCCACTTCTGCTGGTTGACAGATATGATTCCAGGGCCCAGAGATGTGGAGCCCTCCATTCACATCGAGATAAAATATCATACCATGGTGTTACTTTTTTTCTCTGTCAGTGGTCTCCAGTTTCAGATTACAAGATATTAAAGCCTTAGCGTTGGGTTTGAATCAGCAGATGCACATTCTTAACGTGACAGAGAGATCACCTCTCCTTCCAAAGAACACATTCCTCTCTCCTCATACCTCTAATCCTTCCTGGGCTCCATGGGGCTAAAGTTCACTAGCTTTACCAGATCTTATTTTCTTGAAGTGCTGTGCTGGCTGTGATTATTAGAAAGGTAGCCAGCCAGTTTGGACGGGGACACGACTATGGTCCGACCCTTGAGGTGAAAGGTCCAAAGCAGGGTCCTGAAACTGCAGTCGTACAGTGGGTAATGCGTGTCACTTAATACTCTGCAGCGTCTGCAGGTGTGTTTGTACTGTGTTCATTGTTTCTGTCAGTCCAGAGGCAGAGGTTAGCACCAGTGCAAACACTGAAGATCTTCATATCTGCAGTAAACAGAGGGAGTGCAGCTGGTGGTAGACGAACGTCTTGAACTGCATCTTTCAGGAGAGTTACCCCCTGTCCATCTCTATTCCTCCTCTATTTCTGCGGTTATGTGACTTTGGAATCCATTGCCAGAAATTCCAGGAAACCCTAGAGCTTCATGAGACATAACAAAGCTCCGTCTCTTCCTCTGTCTCTTTCATTGAAGACTACACTATGTTGCTAAGTGTGTCTTTTGCAGACTTGCCGGGAGCTCTGCTGCTCGTTCTCCTAGGGAGTTAAAAGTAATTTCATTCAGCGGCTGATTGCTCATTTTGTTGCATTTTTAATGGTGGAGTTTCTTACTTTTAATGCCTGATGCTAATTTGAGACCAGAAACTATTTAGACCATGGAAGACGCAATCATCATTGAATGCTATTAGCATGATGTGGCATTTACCACTAAATTGAGGATAAAATTCAGCTTTAGAGGTTAATATACGTGCGGTACTTAAGCTTCCTAATTCCAAAATTTATTGGAATAACACATTTCTCAGACAGCCATGAAATTGTAAATAATTGAGTAGTGCTCTAAGGAGGCTTCTCTGGTTGCTCTGTTGAAGTTGCTGTAAGCTTAATTTAGCCAATGGCAAAACTAGAAATAAGATTTGGTTCACAAAGCAGCAAAGCTAAAGGGGAATTAATCCAAAACCACAGCTGTATCCCAGCGCCACTAATCTGTCCATTGGGGTTTACCCATCTCCTCATGCTCAAAGATTGTCTCCTCCATCTGGGCTGACTCCACTCTCAAACACATTGGTAGATGCACATCTGAGCCCCCGCATATACACACCTTCAGACATACCTATTCACCCCCAGCCACCACCCACCTTGTGTTTATGTTCAGAGCTTGAGTGACTGGTATTTCATTTCGGCCTGCCCGGAGCCCTTTTGCACAGTTTGGCTTGGCTGGTGTACCATTACCAGTCATTAAGTCTAACCTGAACTAATAGGGGCCCATTTTCCAAGGTGGTCTCCCAGGTGGCTGTCACAGACGTGAGTGGCACTGAGGGGCTCAGGGCTCGAGTCAGGCACACTGAACCTCATGAAAAATCTGCCGGGACGCAAGCCAGGCTCCATCATACGTGCGACGCAGACGCTTTGATAACAAGAACCCATTGTTCTAGAAGAGACTTCTGGGTGTTTTGTTTCTCATTAAGGCAGGTTTAATGAGGCCAGCCAGACAGGCTACCCCATCCTATTATGCACTTTGCCCCATTAATACCTTCTGCAACATATGATGTACTGAACCATCTACAATCACCCTTAAATCACTACTCTTCTTAAAATAAAACAAGTCCAGCACAGAGTGTAGAGATTAAAACACGGCGCAATCAAGGACCTGAATCTACACTCTCAAAACCTGCAAATCCATGATCCAACTGATTCTGTTGATATGTCTTATTGGTCCAATGGCAGAACAATCTGTCTTGAGTTCAATCAGTTTATTTTAATCAAATCACTGGTTCACAAACATACATGGATTGTGTAATGAAGTTTTTAAATGTGTAGGAATTGTGAGCCGACAGGAATTAGACAACTGCATAATGAAGTCTTGCAAGTGTGGAAACAACCTCTACCAATGGGAATTTCAGAGTCCGTTGGAACACTAGTCAAGCATTCACAGTAGACCCCTTGTGGCATAAGCTGGACCTGAGGCTGATCTTCTAAAAGGTAACTAACATTGTGGGCTCTATTTTCGTGCGCGCCGGTGAGGCGGCGGAGGGCGGCGAGCCCCGCGCAGTTGTATTTTCGTCTGGCGGAGCCCAGCGTAAGGCCAATTTGGTATTTTCATGGCATGAGCCGCACGGAGGCGAGCCGAGATCCGCCAAGCTGGGCGTGGTGGTGTGGCAGGGGGAGGTGTCGACAGAATCAGCAGGCGCAGTGACATTTTCGTGCTCGCCACCGGCGTGTAAAGTTCGCTGAAAGCTCGCCGATTCAAACCTGGTCAGCTTTCAGCGCAAGGCGGAACGCAGCTGGTCTAGTAGTATTTTGGTAGACCGGCGGCGTATTGACATACGTCACTGATGCCTCACCGGCAGGTTTCCACAGTGTCAGGCACATTTCAGTGCAATAAATAATCATCATCAACTATTAATCTGAGTCAGCACATACATTTGGATCTATATAGATATATTCTGATCTATATCTGATCTGATGAGCGCGTTTGGCACGCGTTTGGACACACAACCTGACCGAATCAATACAGCTGAAACCGCATCAAATTAAATTAAATATCTAGTAAATATTCACACATGATGAAGTTAACAAGATATGTAATTCGTCTCCCTCCTTTTCTTTCTTCCTCCTCCTCTTATTTCTCGCACAGCTCGACCTGGACACGTCTCCGTGCCCTCTGTCCGTCTTGCTGCTGCTGCAGCTGAACAGATGATTTGTTTCAGTGCTCAGATGCGTGATCTACTTTAAGCCGACATACGGATATTATAATATTCAGTTTTGTGAGGCAAATTTATTTTATATGCCAACATCTATGAAAGAAAGAGCCAGGCCACGGTGCGCGATGCGTCATTTACGCACAGATGGTTCCGATTTTAATGCCATTTTTGGAGTTTATGTTGTGATCTGTGCGCTCAACCCACCTTTGTCACGTGAGGTTTGAATATGAGCAACTTTATGTGAGTGTCTTTATTTGTGGAAAAGGGTGTTTGTCTTACCACTGGGTCCAACATTACGCACACTAAATCCATCTGTGCTCATATGAGAGAGTGTGGAGGACACTTGTTGAGGAGCTGCCCTCTGTCGCCATCTTGTGGCATTACTGTCTTAAGACATCTCTTGATCGCTTTGACTACTTCATGAAAATAGTAATACGCCTCGCCTGTGGCGGATTTAAAGGCAAGGAGAGGAGCCTATGTGATTGGTGAAAACAGGTCTCGGCTGTGTTAAACCCACTAACCGCCCTTTCTCCTCCCCGTTTACGACTTATGGTGCTGGGAGGAGCTGAGTTAGGGAAGGGGGATACTTACGCCGGGCTGCGCGGCTCACCAAAATACCAAAATGTGCTTGGGAACGCCTTGTCAGCGCGGCGGATCTGACTGACGCTGCGTTTGCGGCAGGTCTCCGGCGAGGCACCAAAATAGAGCCCTGTATGTCAAAGAACAAACCCCACTATGCCATCCGCACAGACTAGACTAGTATCACAATGTTTTGACTATCCAGTTACAAACATTATCTGGTCTGCTAATCATGGTCTTGCTGTCCTTTTCCTCTCTTTTTTTTTGCTGTTTTGTTTCTCGCTCATAAATGGTTAATTCCTCTCAATTTATTATTGAGTGATTTACACAGAGAAACTTGGGCGTGGGAACAATGCCCACAAAATGATCCACAAGACAATTACAGTGGGTGCTGCCATCTGGGACCTTCTCAGCAAGGTTTCCCCCCAAAACAGTAAACTTTGTAAATTTGATCCACTGTTTGGGTTTAAAGTTTGTCAGCTGTCAGGTGCCCCCTACTGGCCTGGGGTTTTAACCAATTTCCCTCCCAATATGGCAGCCTCTGACCTCTACAGTGACGCATGCATGTGTTGTGCATCACATTTAACCAAAATTTTGTACCTTTCCACTGTCTTATGGATGAAAAAAAGGATTTTTAACTCAGGCTGCTGCTGCTGTTGGACAGTCATCTTCCACTTCATCGGTTAAAGGGAATGATTAGGGCACCCAAACGTTGAAGTGAGTCCCATTAGAATAGTGCCTCAATGTTGAAAAGCCAGTTAGTTAACTCACTGACATTGGGCTATAGTATGATGTGTTCAAGGCTCACAGACTATTTGATAAACCAAGTCAATAACAGCTCTGTTAACACATTGTTATCAGGGATCACAACTCTGTTAACACGTTATCAGGGATCACATACACAATGGTTTGGCTAAGCTGTTATATTATGTCCCCCATGTCCTTTAGGCAGGCAGCCTGGGTTTGATTTCAACCTCCAGCCCTCTACAATTCAGCTCGAGAGTGGTATAAGTATCAATAGAAACTGACCATCTCTATCCTTAATCCCAAGCTAATGCTGTCTCTACTCTTACAGCAACAACCAGAATTTTAGTAAATGGAGCCTGACCATAAATGAGCTGCACCTTATAGCAGGCATGCTGGCCTTTGACTTAGAAGAATTTGACATATAGCAGCCCATTCATTTCCTATGCAGTTGTCAGTAAAGCAACTTGGACGGTGGCCTAACACGTCAGAGTGTGACACTTGAGGTGCCCGCCATGCGTCATGTTGGGACACTGTGCTCCAGGTTTTATGCCTGTGAGATAAATTGATGTAGTGTGAAAAGAAGGAAGGACTGTTTGGGTGGAAGCTATTGTAAATGGATAGGTCAAAAAAATATCATTCAACAGACTAGGGTTTGGTTCTAACATGAATGATGGAAAGAAATGCCCAGTACATTTAAGGTTAAATAGAAGGTACAGCAAATGCATGTTTGTCACGCTGACTTGAAAAAGGCTTTTCAGAGTGAACCATGTAATATTCAGCTGGAAGATGTTTCATTTTTGCCTGAACTGGTTTTATGTCTCAGCTGTGCCTTCCTCCGTGTGACATGTGTCATCATTAATCAGAAGGGAAGGAGCCATTAGTCTAAATAAGGGGGTAATTAATCCACACTCACACTCCATTAGACGTCATGCCCAATTGGTGCAGGGAGCTGTGTGCTGGGTAAATAAGCAAAGATGACCGTACCAATAGCTCTGTCTCATTACTGGGAAAGCCTTAGTTTAGACTACGCCACGTATACTAATCCATGTGGATATTAAGGCTTAAACTGAAACAAGAATAAAATTGATGTCAGTATTAAATAATTATGTTCATGTGTGTTCTTTTATGTAGGAAATTTGTGAACTTGCTGTCTGATCAGAGGATAATCACACACATATGTATCTCAGACATAAAAAATTTGACTGGACTTGAGCACTAAAGCCAAACTATAAGCCCTCAACAAGGTTAAACTGCAGCAGGGCATACAGTATGAATCATCCCTTACTTTAATAAGTACCATTTGGCTGTCACCTCGGCGGCTGTAGAGCTGCTCTATTACAGTAAAGCCCCTCCAGCGCAGAGCCGGGGTTATTCAATAAAAACCTGACTGAGTGTTTCTCCCAATCACCACTGGCAGAGCTCTGATGAGGTAAAAAGCTCCTCTATGCCAGCCTCTGTCCCTGCAGAGCACTGTCTGATTAAAATGGGTTTCCGAAGCCATATTTTTGTTCTCTTTGTCCTTTTGCCAGACCTAAGTTAGTGAACAAAGAGAAAAATTGACAAATTACCAAATGCATAAAGAAATGAATCCACCAAAGGAGATCAGATCTACTATAAAGCTCTGCAATAGGCAGAAGACAGCGTTGGGTTTCATTGGGATCCATGTCTCAAAGAGGCAGTAGGCCACAATAGATGACACATACCTTACATTTGTTACTGGTGTTGAGGGAGGACCAGCCCGTCTACGCTTTTGATCTTCAGCCTTAATCACTTTCAACCCCCCACTTCTTCGACCCCCCCTGCTAACAGCGCAGTGACATGTGAAGTGGAAAGAAACGGCAACGGCGGAGAAGCCCATCAGAGCCGGCTTTCTTACTCTCCGGTCCTCCCGCCTCGCCTGTAATGCATTCCTGAGCAATCCTCCGAGGCTCATATGTAAATGCCGGAGTATGCTTCTGATTAGGAGGCACAAAGAGTACACTCTATAAATGCACTCTTAAACAATTACCGCTGCTCCTGACTGCAGCCTCGACACAGACCTCAGACTGTGCTGCTGCCTGACTGGCTTATTCGGGTGAGAAAGATGGATGTGGACCATTTCAAACAATGTGCCCTGCTATGAGGCACACGTGGAGGGGTTGACTTCACAAACCAAATTGAGAAAGATTTAAATTAAAGTAAGGATGCATGATGTTCATAATTACCAACAACCAATCCTAACTTGCTCCTGATAGTCGATGCCAGTACAGATACCAACTTTTTGTTTTGTAGTCAAACATGAGTGTAAAAAAGGCTAAGCTTAAGTGAGCTTTACTATTACTACTGTAATCATTGTCATCCTTGGATACAACAGCTTATAAAGTTTCAAAATTACTGACAAACCTTGTGGAAATTACCTGTTTGGTGCCAAAAGTGAAAAACATCCAACTGGGACTCAAGTGGGTCGAAGTGGGATTCAACATGGCATAGGGATGGCAAAGTCTGGATTTTTAAGTGGGTTGGTATTTGGGGCCCATATATGAATTCCAGTAGATTACATCAGGCTGAGTGTTAGGAGAAGAAATCAGCTTCCCAGTAATCTATATTTTCATCTTCATATAACATCAGGGATGAAAAGCTCTAATATCTTTTAGAATGTATTACCACTGTGTTTCAGGCTGTAAGTCGTATAAACATTGATAGTTGGACTAACTTTGGTCATCTACAGCCCTTCGATTCACAAGCAGCACAAAGAGAATGAGAAGAGCGGTTCAGACATATTTTAAGTGGAAAACATCCTGCAGCACATGAACTAACATCTGAGTACAGCTAATGTTAGCGTTTAGACACTTCCTAGTCAACAATTATGTTTAGGAGTTTCCCATCCTGACATCACAAGAAGCTGGCAGCCATAGGAATATGGTCAATTAGACAAGAACATGCATACTCTGTTGGTCCCAAGTGGGCTACATTTACATTACCATTACTGACCAAGAATGCAGCCTATTAAGAGCCGTCTTTAACCAGAGGGGCAAACACATGGGCTAGGGTCCCGGCTCACGTGTTTGCCCATTTAAACCATACAAGGGTGTTTTCAGTGGGTACAGAACCTAACTACTAAACTTCAGCTCCTGCAGAGGCTGATATTTTTGTCTGTTTGTACAGTGAAAATGGAAACTTCATGCTCCCAATCTTCAATCTGTTGCCCCAAAACCACTAAAAAGACCTCTGATTGGTGGAACTAACTTTGTAGAGACAATTTCATGAAAAAATTGGAGATTACTTGACAGAAATCCTTGTTAGTTTCAGTAGGATTACAACACATTCTTCTTTGATTTTACAACAGATCTGAAATAAATGTTCGAATACTCTTGGTCCTAACTTGGTTAGAATAAAATAGTTCTGGACTTTGATGGTCTTCCAGAGAATGAAAGAGAATTACAGTGAAGTTCTGACTCATGTGAATAGCCATGTAAGGACACAGTGATTGTTTTATGTGTATGAGGTAAGTCCTCACTTCCATCATTACCACATACGAGCCCCATCTCTCCCCTGCCAGTTCTCACTCCCTTGATGGCAGGCGTCCAATCTGGACTCTCCAAGCTGTCCTTCACATTTGCCATGCACACTTCAACACACATTGCACCTCTATAACCACCGGCATAAATCCAGGGGGCTTACTGACCTGCACACTGCCCTGTCTGTTTCCCCTATGCAATTCATAGAGTGGTTAACCTCGCTCACTGTGTAAACACATGACCTCACTGGTCATGTGTTTACACTCAATGGTATTTTTCACACACGCCGCTGGGATTTACATCACTGTATTACCTCCGTGTTCCCTTAATTCCCCATTACCCGCGAATATGGGACTTTAAAAAGTGATTTGACAGGCTCTTGATTAGCCATATTTGTTTAGCTTTGGGACACTATGGGAGGGAGAGAGAGGCAGAGAGAAGCAAATAGGAGAAGGAGGAGAAGGGAGGTGAGGAGAGGACAGGGGGAAAGAATGGAAAGTTGGCAAAGAGAAGAAGTAAGGTGAAGTGAGAACAACATTATAGCAATCATTTCTTTTTGGGAGAAAAGGTCTGAGGCAGAGTAGATTGGTGTTAATGGAAAAGAGAGGGGGACAGAAAAAGTTAATGTAGCAGTTAGGAGAGAGACAAGTAAGGTGGTTTTCTCTGCCACAGGGACACACTGTGCACGTCTGAGGTCCCAGTGGGGGGACACGAAAGGAAAACACAAGGCCAATCAGCTAACAGAGACATTTCCTGTGCTTGTTTTATCAGATGAAGAAGAAGCCCAAAGGCTAAATGTCCCTCTTAACAATGTTGTACGCTTCTCCGAATAACCCGCTTTGGGGGAAACAGAGGGGAGAACATGCATCTTTGTGGGATGACATCAGAAGCGCTGCTTAGGAGCACTGACCTCACTCTCGCACAATCAATCATCGACAAAAACCCTGAGAAATGTAGATCACGTGGCTATGAGAGGAGGTTTTACCATTTAAGACATAAAGCGAAGCTGCCTTCTGAATTAAATCATCACCCGCTGAAACAGCAAACGGTTTAATAAAGGAAAAGAATACAAAAGTCCTTTTTTATAGCTTTGAAACTTCTGGCAGTTCCATGCATCTGGATATGAGCAGATGGTGGGCCAGTATGCCAATTACCAACACCGACATGCCATGCTGCTTATTAGGCAATCTGGCCTTGAATGATAGCACTTTAAAGTCAGAAAAAGACACGAGTGAGAGGCTGATCTAACAAACCGTCTTCATCAGAGTGTGACTAAAGCCCTGAGGAATTCAAACGCAGGTCTTTCATGCCCACATGACCACTGCAGCCAGGAGAATCAATGTCAGGAAGAAAGGAAGTAACAATGCAAATCCTGGGAGTGAGGTTCACCATCCAATCCCTCATCCATCTACATATACTGGAGTGAATCTGTGGATTGAGGAAAATTCAGTCGGGTTCGATTCAAATATTTATTTTGAATCTGTTACGAGCCATGGAGAAAAAGCTGTCTGGAAGAGGTGGAAAAATTAGGAGTAAGCATTCTCCGTCACCCAAGAGACGACCGGGGTCTAACTGTGCAGTGAACAAATGCGAGAACATACCAAGAGCACCATGGGTATTCTCCTACAGAACTTTTCCATGTCAGCTTGGCTGTATAATGAGGAAGTTTTTTAAGTTCACAGCCTGGGGAAATTTGTCTGAAAATAGTAAAATTAGATGTGCTATCAGAGCTGAGAGTCTCCCTAATCAACCACATGAATATGAGATCAAATTTAACTTTTTATTACTTTTCAACATTTCTTAAGACTGTGTTTCAGAGGCACATCATCTTTTTATTGACATCTGCTTGTCTGTGTTTGGTGTCTGTCTGACTTGCACCTGGATACTGGATACAGAATCAGAAAAAAGTGGAAATCTTTGATCAATTCATCTGGTCATTAAATTTGAAATGACAAGATCATTTGCTTTTTAAATCATAGATGACAGGAAGCTTCAAGTTCCAGTGTTAAAAGACAAAGCCAATGCCCAAGTGTAAAATATTGCAGTTCCTCAAGTGTCCACTTGAGGCTGGGTCCAAAAAAGAAAAAGGAATCCTTAGCAACACCCACGATTGCCTAACAGCCAATCCCCATTTTAGTGCACAATTTAACATTTGTACAGCCCGGCTCAAACAACTGCTGAGGTCAAACAGCTCATTTCTTCATTCTTACAGACTTTACAGGGTGTGGCAAAATGATAACTCATCGACTTTGATTAAAACAGGGACAAGAAGAGTTTTCAAAATTAAAAATCTAGAGGCTTGGCTGATTTGACTGACAGGTGGGTGTGCTGTGGCAGTTTACCAGGGGGCTTCAGGCCCACTTTTGCTTTGTCAGTCCAGTTTGGGAAACATAAGGCTGAGTCAGCATTTCTAATATAATGACTAGCACCCTGGGGCCTCAAAACATTGTTGCTGAAATGTGTGTGTGGTATCGCTTAGACTCGACCACTAATATTAATCCTTTAAGGCCCATAATAATCACAAAGTCTTGATGATAACTGAAGAGTTGCATAACTGTTTTATGGATTATTATGATGTGTTCATGCATTCAAGCTCCAACAAGAACTTTTTTGATCTTCGCAAAATAGACTAAATTTCACATTGATGCCTTTTTGTGATATCCAAAAGCAAGCAAGAACATCAAGACAGACAATTTTTATATTATTTTCAATGCCTGAAACTGGCGTGAGGGGGAAGGTGAGAACCTGGCAGATGAAGAAACAGCTCTGTTTTTACAATCCCACATCAAATGTTCCCAATAAATAATACGTCTGACTGTCAAATGGTGCCAGGATGGGATTTTTTTGTTTTTTCCTCTACGTGCTTAAGTACTGTCTTCTGAAAAAGTTAGAAAAAGACTGCTTTGTCCACATGGGGGCGCCAAAATTGACACAAACCAAAAGTTCTGATGGGAGTGTTTCATTTCCATGGAAAATGTACAAAAGTAAAACCTACTTTAAAGCCAGTATCAGGAGGGTTATCAGAAAATTTGGTGGGATTTTTGGTGAAAACAAACTTTGATTTTATGTCTATGCTATTAAAAGGATTAAATTATATGTCCCTCCAATACTCTCTCTGCTCCACAATCCAAAGTTTTTATACAATTGTGTAAAATTTGCCACCACTTCATTTTATTTTACTTTCCAACCATCTTTACTTTGTGAAAAAGTTAAGAATCCATTTCCAACTCAAGATCTGCCCGTCTATCCAAGCTCACCATATTATACAACTTAGTGTGCGGTTCTGGATGCACTGCATTCAAATTACATGCTATCAAATTCAAAGGCATGGGGGAACAGAGCGAGTACACTGCAGGGCTCCCATCCAGAGCCTGAGTCCCATGAGCGCTAGCTGCACGTCAATCACAATCACCTCAAATGAGCTGAACCCTGTCCCATTCTCGTTGTCGTCCAGAAGACACAAACCTAAAGCCTGCGCTGACTTTACTCGAGGCATCCAGTGAACGCTGATGACAAAGACACCATTTATAAAACAGACAGAGCTCATTTTGGCCTGTGGTTTAGCAGACTTAGAAGAATTTATGTCTCTATAAAAGAAACAAATTCTTGAAATAAACAAATCTGCATAAAATTAAGCAAAGGGACAAACAGACAAGACTACAGGAAACATGCTTGACATAGTTTCACTGGTCTGTTATGAGAAGAAACCAGAAAATAGCTCTGGCACCTGTTGAGCAGAAACAATGTATGTTTGGACGAACGTGATAGCATGTGATCACTGGAAACTGAACCGCATTTGGAAAACCCCAACATGGAACACAGTATAGGTAAACATCTATTTCAAAATGAACAGAATGGCCAGATCATTTGTGTTAGAGGAATGCCTCTGCCAGGTTTCCATTCGATTCAAATTCAGTTTGCCACTCAGTTGGCTGCCTTTGCTCAGTGGTGGTAAGAAACTATTGCCTTGCAAGGAAACTCTGGATTCCTGCTTTGGAAACTGATACTGTGGTTGATTATGAGTATCTTGGATCAAAACTATGACAAAGCAACCACATTTGCTGGATGCATTTTAACACATAACTGTCCGCAGACAGACTCATGAGTGCTCATGCTTTAGCAAATGTTGATTGTGATGAGAATGCAGCAAAATAATTACCGTACCCAAAATTTAGCTTTAATCATGTGCATTAGAGACCGAAGAGAATGAGTGAGCCGGGGTACAGTAACTAGAAGCCCTCACCACACTGTGCAGTCCAGAGCCAGACTCCGGAAATGCATGGCAGTGTTCCCTGCATCCTGCCAGCCCAGCCCTAACCCTGGCCCTGGCTCTCGCCCCACACTGCCAAACCCCTGTTATCACTCTGTGCAATTACCTCCAGATTCTTCTGCACCCATATCATACTGTGCCAGTTATAAAATCCCCCTCTAAGCACACAACAAAGCACTACATGCATTTTAATGTAAAGCCTGCAGTATTCTGTGTGGGTTTTGGCCTGATATACCTCCTCCAGAGTATGTGTGTGTGTGAGTATGCATGCAAAAACTTGAAAACAAAAAGGCAGTGATCCCCAACAGGGATGCTTGGATCCCAGGAAATACATTTGCCATTGCTATGGGGTGCTTATATACATGGAGTAGCTAAAGCATAGTTAAATTGAGTGCAGTATATATTATGACTGGATTTGATAAACATGCTAAGACATATTAAATCTCCAGAGTTACACAAAGTCATTTGCAGTCAGTCACAAGTGCGGCTGAAAACTCCTGTGCATTGGGTTTGATATGTTACGAAAGTTCTGAATTCTGTAAAGCTCTATGAATCGTTTCCAAAAAAAATTCATATTGGCAGAGACTAAAAAAAAAACAAATGTATTTTTTAAACAGAAATAATTTTTGCACCCCTAACCAGCAAACGGTAGGCTGTACAATGTGAACAAATTACAAAGTTCTTCCTTATGTGTGGGTGTTTGACAGCTTTAAAAGGTACATGCTAGACAAAGAAATCTGCTGCTAATTACTCTGTCTTTACAGGTCGAAGTTCTGATATGTAGGCAGACAAATAGAGTCTGTTTAGCTGTGAAGGGTGGCTGACAGCTTCCTGAGCTAAAATAACTGGTTTTAAAGAATAAATTAAAGCATTAAATACAATTAAAAGTTGGCTCAAATTCCTAAACAAGTTATTTTAGCTTACTTTTAAAATACTTATCTTAAACTGTCAGAGAGCTGTCACTAAAGCTACAAGAAACTGAAACATGTTGACATTTTTATCAAGTAAGACATAGTTTCAAATAGTTAGCCTTAGAACAAGTATTTATAGTAAGCCAAGAACAAGTTAACAAACAGTGTTTGATTAGGGTTAAAACCATAGGCTGTATATAGAATGGACGCTATCTGCCTCCTTGATGGGTGAAGCCACTCTGAGAACAGCACCCTCTGGTGACGGGCTACAGTATAGGTCATAAATCCTGCCTCCGCCAGCAAAGCTTATGGAGTTGTGGACAAACTTTAGAAATTTATTACACAGAATATAACTTTTTTCCCCCCTGCATCCGATGTTACCATGTAGTACTGAAGGACTGGTTTGTGCTCAAGTCCTCTTTTTCTGTAGAACTCAGTTTTTTAAAGATTTTAGGGGGTTCATGTTTTCTATGATTGACACTTGATACAGACTATGGGCGTACAAAGATTGCGTAGCTCACCTGAGGAAACGCTGCCTGAGCTGAGCCATCACAGCCACTCTCGGTGACTCTCCCACAGAATGCGCACAATGCTACTGCACAATGTTGGTTTCGGGAAATGGAGATAAAACACACAATTACTGAGTTCTTTTTGGCTTCAAATCTGTGTACTTGCTGAAGGCAGAACCAAGTTGTCCATAGTATATACAGTCTATGGTTAAAACGACTGTCTACATGTCATGAACATAGTTTAGATAGTTTTAAGTGATAAGCCAAAAACGTAAGCTGATAACACATAAACACACATAAAAAGTGTTAGCTTAGCTATAAGAATTTTGTGAAAGTAGCTTAAAGTAATGGCTGTACAGTTTTGTGGCCTATAGAGAGCTAAAAATGGCAGCTGTTGGCTGTAACAGCATAAAGTTATACAAGGTGAATTATAATATCTAAATTTAGTGTTACACATTGAAAAAATCTAATGGTGGAAGTTTCCAACAAACTGCTCAAACACATTAGTCTATGAAGAGGCAGTTAAGTTCAACACGACAAAAAAAGTTGGCATCCGCTGTACAAACAACAGTTATGTACTGCATTCCTGAGGCCATTCCAGTCACCTGTCACCAGGTTGGACCTGCACCATATAAGGAGTGGAAGAGCTTCTCCGCTAATTTTCCAAACACCTCACAACTTATCGGATACAGTTTCACAAGCAGTCAACATACTGTCTGAGTCCTGAAAGCACTGAAAGAGTAGAAACCAAGAAAGATCTCTGATGCTCCCCACCCTCTACAGGCTCCCATTTTCTATGCTTCCACTTCACAGATACTACTATGTAATAAGGCTGAGATCAAAAGACTCGCTGGCCAACTCAAGTACAATGAAATTGAAGAGAGCCTTTTGCCTCAGGGGCTGTAGGATTGCAAAGAATGTGATACCTTGATAGGATGAGAGGTGGTTTCTGGTGTGAACGCAGGCCTGCCTTTTGCAAAACTGCCCTGTGGCTTTGTCTGCAGGATGTGTTTAGAGTTCATACTCCAGAGGGCAAATGCCTTCTGTATCTCAGCATGATCTCAGGGTCACATTTGATCATTCTATGATGGCTATGGTGAGCTGGTAGCCATACAAAGCCTCTGTCTATAGTCCAACAGGTTATCCACATTTTTCCATTTTGGGACAAAAACTTTTTCTTTTAGGTTTGGGTGGAAAGAACGGTCAAGACCAAAGATATTTGCTGAACTTTCATCTGAAAAAGGAAGTTGTTCCAGGCATTTGTCAGTGTCATGTAGGCTGCTGAGGCGATGGGAAACACAGCTAGACGGGATTTTTTGGACACCCCCCCTTCGCCCTGAAGGAGGGAGCGCGCTTTACAGAAGTGGACAAATGCTTTTCTTTGTGTAATCCTGCGTTTCACTGAGCACTACATGTCTGCGTCAAAGCTGGACGCACTGAGCTCGAAATCATGAGTTTGTTCTGCTTTTTACTGATCTGCCGGAGCGAAGAAGAGGGAGCGGCGCAAAGCCAAGACATCCTGAAAAGTATCAGCAGCAACAGCAGGAGCAGCTCATGCGCAGAACAGAGCCCCCAAAATGTGACCATCTCCCATTGTTAAAACGCATTCGCCTTAGCATCAGTCAAGTTTCTTCATGATGCAGTGTAAGGGGTCACAAGAGTTTAGTGAAAAGTTTTTTGCGCTTACCTGCGGATCTTTACGGGACAAAGTCGAGTTCTTGGGTCGAGTATGAGAGGAGAGGGAGCCAGTCTGCAGTCAGTCCTCCACTACACTCAATGATAAAACCAAACTGAATACCCGCTCAAGCCCCTCCCTTTAAGACATAATCACAGATCTGCTCTTGGCTCGCTTATCCGCTACAGACTGCTTCTGAAATGCTGAACTTGACAACGAACTCGAAAAGTATTTAGACCTCGTTAGAGTCGAAAATGAAAAAGACTGTCTTCTTAAAGAAAACCGCGAAGTCTTCAAAAGTGAAAGTGACTAAAGGCAGAAAAAGTGTCCTCTTTGGTTTTCCTTCAGAGGGCCTCAGAGAAAATCATCTGTCAGGAGAGTTCAGATGAAAAGTAAATCTTTACAGAAAGGAGGGCGGCCAGCTCACAAGCAAAATAACAGGCCTGAAAGATCTCCTCTGAGTTTGTTGATAACATCATAGAAACCTGAATGCTGTACAAATAACAATCAGTAGGCTGCTATGTCTACAAAATACAAAAAAGGTACAGTTATAGATGGCAAAAATGTTCCTGCTATAACAATAACCATCTATTCAACTTCAGAAATAACTTTTATAACATCAGAGGGAAATGTTCTGCTTCAAGCTGCTCATTATATCCTATTGAAAAGACTCTGAATGAGTTTTTCACCTCTCATTAAAAGATGGCAGCAGAGAATTGCATTCTTGCTTTAAATTTGCATGAACTCAACCAGAATTTCAACCTTTTTTTTAATTAAGTTTTAAGTTCTTTTATGGATTCAGACTAAACTAAATAGTTATAATCTGCTTTAATTTTCTAAGGGGTGCAAATTTCTAACTCACACCTGGAATTTTAGCAATGGATTTGAAGCCGAAAAGCTCTCAGTATTTCCGCGTTTTCCCTCCATTTCCTGAAACCAACATTGTGCAGAGGCGTTGTATGTACTCCACCTCTGCGCAGTAGCATTGTGCGCATTCTGCGGGAGAGTCGCCGAGAGTCGCTGTGAGGATGCTCGGCTCAAACAGCGTATCCCCCAGGTGAGCTATGCGATCTTTGTACGCCCATAGGCTGTATCAAGTGTCAATCATAGAAAACATGAACCCCCTAATAACTTTTAAAAACAGAGCTATACAGAAAATAGAGGACTTGAGCACAAACCAGTCTTACAGTAACTACATGTCAACAGCACAAGCAGGGGGGAGAAACATTTATACTCTGTGTAATAAATTTCTTAAGTTTGTCCACAGCTCCACAAGCTTTGCTGGAGGAGGTGGGATTTATGACCTATACTGCAGCCCGTCACCAGAGGGTGCTGTTCTTGGAGTGGCTTCACCCAGTGAGGAGGCAGACGGTGTCCATTCTTTATACAGTCTAGGATTATTTTATGAGTTGTCATCACAACTCATAAAATAATCCTAGTATACAAAGTTGCTGCACAGGCTGAAGGTTAGTGCTGCTGCTCTCTATCTGTTGACTTGCCAGCTACAATGAATTGTATCTGACAGTGACTCTGAAAAGAAGTGGTGCATTTTGAACAAAACTCTACCCATCGTCACACATAAAAAAAACCCTGATCTTTAAAAACTTTCCACATGGACTGATACTAAAGACATTTATTGAAGCAGTCATTTTTGTTGATTAACTGAGAAAGCCAATCCCTTAGATAAACCCAGGAGAAGTGGTTGATCGTCCGAAGCATCAAGTCACTGAAGATAATAATAATAATGATAATGTAATAATGATAATTTATGAATATGCTGTTTGTTTTGTTGAGAAAATCCTGTGAACAGTTATTGATGTAATTATCCTGAACACTAAAAATCATGCTGATAAAGAATAATTTAAGGATAATTTAGGGTGGGTTTGACAAGATTGACATTCTCTTTGATCTCTGACTGACTCTGTTCTTGAGGACGGCTTATTTCACAATTGTGTTTGATTAATTAAATAAGCGCTGCCACATGTCTACATGTACTTAACTCTTTCACTTTAGTGCCACATGTACTGACCGCAACAGCCCTGGGTGATAAATAAACTCAGAGGCTGTACATAACTAACAGGAGCTACATAAACATACACTGCAGTTTCTCTCACCATGTAGGTCTATATACCGTTAGATGGATGATTGGTATTCAGGATGTCTTGGTGCCCCAGGTGGTTGATGTGCATACCAAATACCTGTGGCATCTTGGATAAATTCCAGGTCCTTTATCACTGTGATCTGTCTCCTGTTCTTTCCTCTATCTTCTGTGCATTGTCAAAGACAAATATGTCAACAAAGGACAGACAGCTGCAGTTGCAAACATCTTATTTCCCTTGTGTTTGGTTCATGTTTGACTTCACACTGACACAGGTTTGACACATACACTCTATCAAACATGGACAGTAAAACAACTCCTCTGAGTGTAGCTAAAACTTTTAGTTTTCCCCCGGTGACAGGCAGCTGTACAGGTCTTAAATCCTGACTTCTTCATTGTAAGAAAAGTATGAAGATTCAAATATAAGTCGAATTAGCTCATGCTCTCTGTCACACAAATACAAATGTAAGCTCTACTGTGATCTTAAATCCACTAATTAGAAGTTTAGAAAGGGAACAAGCGGGTTAATGTGACAAATATAAACTTAGGAGTCATTACACTTTCCAAAGTTATTAGTGTTTGTCAAGTCAACACTAAAATCTATTCTGCTGTGGACTATACAGACCTGAGGGGTCTTTGCTGCCTCACCACCTGGTTAAATGGATATTTTGGTTAATTGGAGTGTAGTAATGCCAGTCCTGTGACTCAACCAGCCAAATTTACATCTTTGCATTTGCTCTAAACGATGTTACAGGTCGAACATGTCAGCAGCCATTAAGGTGGCGTTTTGGCTTCACTGTTTGCAGAGACTGAGGGGTATCATTAAATGGTATGATGCATCCAACAGACTGACAGAGTGATTATCAGAGTTGGTCACATTTAAGCGTTCTGCTCTATCCACAGGCACACTATAGCCTTATAATTTAGCCTAAAAAATTATACATTATAATTTAACCCTTGTGTAACCCTTAGATTTACATCCTTTCTTAACGCTCAGTGGCTAAAAAAAAGCCACTGACATTGACTGCTGTAAAAACATACTGGATTCATATTTTTTTGAGATTTGTTTTCATATATCTCTTAATTAACTTCTGCTCTATTCAAAACTAGTAAATGTTTCATTAAGAATCCAAATTTTAACCCTTTAAGGATCCATGTAAAACATAAAGTCGCTAATATTAGGGGAAAAAATGGGAGGAAAATGACTGATTTTTATTAGATTTATTTTCTATCATATCAGTGACATTATGTTTTGAATGGACCCTCAAAGGGTTAAAAAAATGTTTTTAGATGAAACATTTACTAGTTTTGATCAAAGCAGAAGTTAATTAAGAGATATATTAAAAAAACTGGAAAAAAATATTTACCCAATATGTTTTTACAGCAGTCAAAGCTGTTTTTAGCTACTGAGCGTTAACAACTGATGAAAATTTGCCCAGCGCGTATTTTTGACTTGGTGAAAAGTCATATTCCCAAAGTGTCCATCAATATAAGCATCTGCACAAAAAATCATCCCATTTGCTGCAGTAAAAAAAAGGTTACGTGGAAATTAGTGGCTAAATTTTGCCCCTAGTGGTAGTAGTAAATTTTAGCCACAGCGTTACACAATAATATATTCACAACATAAGTAAAAATGTGTTAGTGCATAATGACAAATGCTTTCCATGTTATCTCGTTTAGCTAAGCTTCTAAGCATATTTATTTGCTGAAGGGAGCAGAACACAAAGGCTGCTGGGACAGTTTTGCAGAAATTTCATCCTAAACCAATTTATTGGACAAAATTAAAAATTTGGCCTTGAGGCTGAGCAAAATAAAATATCAGGGAGTCACATGAGTGATTAGTGTTGCAATTAATTCTGAAAGAAACACAATTTGGACAATTAAAAGGTGCCAAACATGCTGTGTTGCTTTGGAAAGGAACAACAACATGTTTCATTAACGACTGTCAGAGCTGCAGTATGAAAGATGTGCAAAAATCCCTTTTATTTAGGGAAAAGACTGAATATATTTTTCAGAGGGTTATTAAAAAATTGGAGGCTCTAAATGAACCATAATTGAACGTTTTGAAGATGACCTTTTTTTAGTCAAATGCCTGCACTCTGACTGAAATATCATGTGATACACTTTAAAAAAAAAGTGTTTTTAAATCCAAATTTGCACTAAATGATGGGTTTAAAATGTCCTCACAGGAGCAAGGAACCCAAATTCCTGAAAAAAAATGAGAAGAGAGAAGCTTTATTCTCCACATCAGTCCCCCCACAAATATCTCTAAAAGTGAGGTGTAAGGGTTGGTTCCCTCCACCAAATGCTGACCTGCTTCTTGTAACCTTTTGTCTGTCAGCATTTCAGTGTGGATGCAGGAAGTTAGGAGGTGAAAAAATACAATGGCTGCAGTGTTCTACTTTCTACTCTGAAACAGCAGCACAGAGACACTGCCCTGCTTTGTCTTCTCCCTTTAAAACAATGATGCTCTGAACAAAGGCTGAACTTAAGAGCATTAGGCCACTGGTGCAGAAATGAGCACCATATGCGCTGCTGCTCTTATGCATGTGTTTTTATAAGATAAAGAAATATAAACCCCGCTCTGTTGATTGTGTATGTGGGTGCAAATGCAATTGTGGGTAAAAGTGTGTGTAGTGCATGTGGCTTGTTGCGTATGTGATAAAATGAGAGTGCATGAGGACGGGGGGGGAGACAAAGACAGAGTGGAGGGGGCATCAGAGGGCCATCTTTCTCACAAATATGAATGCATTTATCTTCATTCCTTTGAAAAACAATATTTTGAAGATGTAGCTGTCATCCCCCATGTTGCAAGTTTTTCCTCAGACTTGCTTCTCAGTTCACACACATCATCTTGGCTCACAAACCTGCATTAAGCCTGTGAAAAATCCCTTCACGGCACCATGTGTTGCCAAGACAGGTTCTTTTGCAACTTCATTACAACAGACTGGACTTCCAACCAAACTCAACCATATTCCTGCCAGCAGATGTAGTGCTGAACATATGCAGCCCTCTTTTACATCAGACCAGGGTGAAAACATCACAGCTTTCATTTGTTTTGCCGTCTGTGAGCTGTTTGCAGCTCCTGTCAGGGGTGCACACTTTGGAGCCCCAGGCCAGAGAGATCCCTCCTGCCAAATCAACCTGACACATATTCCCTCTAAAATGTTACATCAGATAAAACATCTCAGAACCAATTATAAAGGTTTTAACACCACATTGCCTCTAACAAACCTTTGACATTTTCCTATTTCATCATATTGCTTTAAATCACTTGAAAGACTGCGTTGCCATCATACTGACATTAGAGGTGAGGATGGGATTTGCCTTTAAAGTTATGTTCAGTTGTAGAAAAGTGTTGTAGTTAATGATGAAAGTCGCATATGTTTTTCTGCAACAGCACTGATGAAATAAAGTTTCCCAAACAAAAATAAAAACAGGACACTTTGCCCGCTGCAGTTTTGAATATAATTTAATTCTCTCTGCCTGAGCCTGAATAAAGGGATCAGTGTCAGACAGCCTCTGAAAACAGATGAACACACACTCCAGCCTTGTTCCACTCGTGTTTTTATGATGGATGATTGGTATCAAAGTCTATATCTTTGTGCCTCAGGTGGTCGATGTGCATATCAAATACCTGTGGCATTCTGGGTAAAGCCCAGGATTTTTATCATTGTAATCTGTCTCCGGTTTCATCCTGTATTTTTCTACTATGCACTATGAAAAAAGTGTGATCAGAGAAAGACAGCTGGATAATTTCCCATGTGCATGGTTCGTGTTTGACTTACTGACCACAGTTCTGCTGTGCTCCATAAACACCACCTTTTATCCTCTTTGTTTAATATCATAGTACAAAACATGAAATATTGTTCCCTGTCATTGTTACATATGGAGTGGGCTGAATCAGTGCACTGGGATTGTGTGCCATCAAGATAAACAGCAGCACCACAGCCAGGAACACAATGGATGCATGTGCTTTCATAAAATTAAATATCACTAATACATATTAATGTGATCAGGGGCAAAATGCCTTTTAAAATCCTTACACGATGGCAGCTCCATGAATTGTTTTTAAAGGCCAAGCAGAATTTAAAGATATCTATTCATTGGTATTATGTTGGATTATGATGATTTTATTCCAGTGATTAGTACAACTGAGAGAAAAAAAGAGAAGGCTCACTCAGTTTGAAAACAAAAAACACCTTGAATCATAAGAGGTTGTCTTAATGTTAGTTATTTTTCAATTGATTTTTAAATAGCTCTCTTGAAGCCTTTGAATGACTGATGTCTTGTCATTTCAGTTGTGTATAAATATAGATGTGAAAATAAATTAAACTTAAAGAGAAAGTTGCAAAAATTACAGAAATAATAAAAAAGAAAACCGTACACACAGTGAAGCACCTACTTCATTTGGACTGTGTCTATACAGAAAACAGAAATTCTTCTAGTAGGTTCCAAATTCAACCTATCCAAAGTTGACAGTCTCTCCCTTCCCATCGACAGTTCCTCCCCCTCCCCTCAGGTCAAGAGTCTGGGTGTCGTCCTTGACAGTACTCTTTCCTTCAAATCCCACATCAGCCTTACCACTCGGACTGCCTACTTCCATCTCCGCCACATCAATCGGCTCCGTCCCTCCCTCTCCCTCAACGCCACCTCCATCCTCGTCCACAGTCTCGTCACCTCCCGTCTGGACTACTGCAACTCCCTCCTCTTCGGTCTCCCTCACACGTCTCTCCATAAACTTCAACTGGTCCACAACTCCGCTGCCCGGATCATCACCAAAACCCCTTCGTCCCACCACATCACCCCCATCCTGCAGCAGCTCCACTGACTCCCGGTCTCACTAAGAATCCAGTTCAAAATCCTCCTGTATACCTTTAAAGCCATCCACAACCTCGCCCCTCCTTACCTGTCTGACCTCCTCCACATCGCCACTCCATCACGCCACCTCTGATCCTCTTCCTCTCTCTAACTGGCCTATCCATCCCACCACCCCTAACTCACTTTTTTAATTTAATTTTAATTGGTATTATTTATTTATTCCTTTTGTTTATGTCAAATGTTTTAATGTTGCTTTGTTGATTTTAACTGTTTTGATGATTGATGACTTTAATTGTTAATAGTGTTTTATTATTGTTTTATGTTCTGTGAAGTGTCCTTGAGTGACATGAAAGGTGCTTCAAATAAAATGTATTATTATTATTATTATTATTATTATTATTATATGTAAGCAGCTTTGTTATGTCATATTTTGGTCACGGTTGCATCTAAAACAAAAGACCGCAATGCACTTGGGGTCTTGGTATCAATCATTACCAGGTGCTCTTGAGATATTTCAAGTTTTCTGTATTTAATTCTTCTTGTGAAAAGGTGCTGTGTACACGTAAGACAGAGACAATGAGAGCCGCAACTGTCCCTCCTGTATTTGTGTTTAGTTATAATGAACATGGCAAATGTCTAAAAATAAATGCTGATGGATACCTGAGTGGTGCTTAGGGGCTACTTAATGTGCAAAATACAAAAATCCACAGCAAAAAAAGAAGCAAAACAATTAAGGACCATTAAAATCATAAAACAACACAATGGCTGACAGTCCAGCAGACGGAGGACACTATCTTCAGACCCCTGCTATTAGCTCAGCCAACCTTTTCTTAAGTACAGTGATTGAAAACATGAAAAAGGTGTATTAAATAAGGGGATCACAGTTACATATGAAATCCTAGCCTCAGTTAATGTGCATGATGAACTGGTCCTTGAATCCTCTCCTTGCACTCAGCCCTCTGAACCCTCTCCACGGCTAATTTCCATTACATAAAATGATTTATTATGATCAGTTACATGTAGCATGCAGGAGGCTCAAGCAGGGATTAAAAGCTTCACTTTCACCCACCTGTTTCATTTTCAAACTATTTTTTAACATGTTCAGGGGCCCCAGGACGGGTCCCTGGAGGACTCCGTCACACCATCTATAACTCCAACTAAAACAAACACCGAATCTCTTATTTGTTGACTTTGGAGTACAGAGAATATAAGAGTTTTTTTGGAAAATGAAGCTTTGGACATTTATGTGAGGAATGTGGTTTAAAGGTAAAAAAAGAGTCTTTCATGTTGCTTTTCATGACATCAAAGTAGCTCTGAACTGAATTCCCTGAAGGTTGTGTAAAAGCTGCACACATTAAACTTTATGAAGTGAAAAGTTTTTTACATTCCCCGTTATTACTCTTGAAAAGACAAATTCACCTGCTTTTAAAAGATACTTCAAAGAGATTTTTAGCTTCTGGCTTTTTGCATTCTTAAGTAGCTATAACCTAAAGCCACTGTCAGGTGTGAGAACATTTCATACCCAGCCAGTGTACCAAAGAAACAGTTACAGAAAAAATAAAAATGTATTCCACAGTTAACAAGCTGTCTCTGAGAATTGTTTTATCCTCTATCTTCACTCAACAACTGTTAGCGCGTCTCATAATTTAAAAGAAACTGCTGATTGTTTTCACTTTTATAAAAAATGGTGAAAGGATCCAGCTCTGAGTGAAACAGGAGAAACTGTGCGCCACACCATCCCACTCAACAAAGCTAAGTGCCGTGTGCTGTAGGAACCCGGCTTTTATACACAGTTAAGAAAGAGCGATGAGTAAGAAAGAGAGGATATCTCTGAGGTTATTAAGTGGGCACCTCCCATCACAGATGTTTAACTGAATCACTCCCGAGACGCCTCCGCTAGGCTCCTTCAAATCCCAGCGCCGCCACATCAACAAACATAAAAAGATAAATATCTGTGTTTGGATGGGTTTCAGTGCCAAGACTCTGGCTGATACATGAGAGGATATTCAGAGCCTATCAAAGACATGTCATGTTCAGCCATTTGACTGCTCAGTATTATTAGTAATTTATGGCAGGATGAGGGCTCTTTCTTTTTGCTTGTTTCAGTCTAAGCTGTACTGACACACACATAAGGCAGCAGCAGACAATAAAGCTTTGACATAATTTCTGCTTTAGAGTCAAAGCCGGGGCAAATATGACAATGAGTGGGATGTTTGATATTACCACGGAAACCCCATCTGTGTCCAATCACAACAAGGCCATCTGTTCAGCGTGAAAAAAAAAGAAGAATGACATGATGAATGGTGTGAGAGATCAGAAAACTGTAATTTTCACATATGTGCTTTTTATACATGCTTTACATGTACGGCACATGTGGACATGTATGTCTGCCACCTGCAATCACAACATGTATTTCTCAGCAGACCACTGAAACCCTACATCTTCTTTCACTTAAAGAGGCTCTGCAGAAAAATAAAGCCCACTAACTGAGCTCTAATCCTTTCAATATTGGCTTAATTATTACACCCATAAAGTCTGCCGTGTCTATGGGCCAGTTCACTTTAATTACCCAGTGGGCTGGAGCGTGATCTTCCTGCCAATGCCCTGTCACTCTGTCAACCCGTTTTCATGCATCAGAGAATAATGAATGGATGAATGGAGGATGATGCTTGGACAGCCCCTGGTGGAGATTATGATAAAGTGAACAGTGTGTGTATGAGTCAGAGGCCTCATTTGTTATGGTGTCAGCATCCTGACCTGCACTGCCACCAACAGTTCAGAATATAAAGGAGGGAGGAAACAGGGTAAGAGTAGTTTTTAAAGGTTTTAAAGAGGATATTTTGGTCTCGTTTTTCTGTAAATGATTAAAATCTTACAAATTCAAAAAGTGCCCACACTTGGTTTGTAAAAGGTTTGATTATACTCGTCATCTTTTCCTGAATTAAGCTCTTTAGTTAACAGGTTTTGTTTTCATGTTATAGCTGCAGAGTAATTTTAAGGACATGTCATCCTCCTTGTATCGATTAAACTTTTGTTTAGCCAGGTTAGTCCAGTTGAGACAAGCGATCCCATTACTACCCTCCACACCCGTACTCTTTCAAATTAAAGTTTAGAGATTAAAGATGAAAAGATGAAGAACATACAAACACAAATATGGGCACAAGAAAGTAATAAAAAAATCTATGATAAAACAAAATAAACATGCCGGTGATCAATCTAAGGGTACAACAAACACTCAAACAGACTGTCCAAAGAAACAAAAACATCCAGCTAGTCTTTTCCCATCAGTTTATCAGCCCAACAAAAAATACAAAAGGTCTTTATCACTGAGGCTTTTTTTCTAGTTAAACCTGTATGCACCAGTGTTAAAACTACAAAACTGTCATTCTCATAAATGTAAAATTTTCTTGTCCCAAAAATAACAACCTTCCATCAAAAGTCAATCCGTTCTGGAGCTCCCCCTACTGACTGGCTGCTGCAGTGACTTTTTTTAAAATCTCCATATTATCAGATGGGGCATAGGTTATGCTTTAACTTCTCAACAAATGTTAAAAACATTAATCTCAAACACAACCCATTAGTCAAGTTAGTTCTTACTGTGCTGATTTGTGTTCAAGTCCTCTTGACTGTGAGGATTTAACCCCTCACTTAATGCTGTAGAAATAGGTACACTGCCATGTACCAATACCAATACCACTCCTGTGTGCTGTACACCCAATCAGCAGTGTAGAAGATATGCAGTTTAACCCAGTTTAACAGGCTGTAAGGTTGTAGACTGAAAATAAATGCAAAAAAATTTTGCAAATCGATGCTCTTTCTCCCCAAGCTGACTCCCATACCGCCAAGACTTTAGCTCCAAATATGCAAGATGTCAGCATCCCTCACAGAGAGGTTTTAGCTTCGCTTTTGTCCAACAAATGGAGGTGGAGACTCACAGTTCATCTACATATACACAGTCAGGGGTGTCAAAT